CCGCGCCACGCGACAAGAAAGGAGACCGGCACATCCCCGCGTCCACCGAGTGTACATCGGCATTTGCCAGGGCAAAGAGCGGGAAGAAGAAACAAAGTGGTCGTCGCGATTCGTGGGCAAAGAAAAAGTCAAAGAAACTATAGAGAATGAAGAGAAATATATAGAGCGTTAATTTCGTTTTTTGTTGCTGTTTTTGCGCTCGCATGTCGAGAAGCAGGCGTCGTCCATTGCGTGCATGCGGCCAGCTACGGCTTTGCGGCTCCATCACTTGCCCGCCAGCGTGCGTGCTGTTGCAACAACCGCGCAGATGCACAGCCCGGCACGCAGGGAGGCAGAGAACCGCAGCACATTCTACACTGTGCTCCTTCGAAGATCCGCATACAGCAGACGCAGCCGCAGCGCGAGTCCCGTAGAGAGGGTGGAAAGAACAGCAGATCCAATGCCCACGCACGTGCGTGGGCATTGGATCTGCTGTTCTTTCCACCCTCTCTACGGGACTCGCGCTGCGGCTGCGTCTGCTGTATGCGGATCTTCGAAGGAGCACAGTGTAGAATGTGCTGCGGTTCTCTGCCTCCCTGCGTGCCGGGCTGTGCATCTGCGCGGTTGTTGCAACAGCACGCACGCTGGCGGGCAAGTGATGGAGCCGCAAAGCCGTAGCTGGCCGCATGCACGCAATGGACGACGCCTGCTTCTCGACATGCGAGCGCAAAAACAGCAACAAAAAACGAAATTAACGCTCTATATATTTCTCTTCATTCTCTATAGTTTCTTTGACTTTTTCTTTGCCCACGAATCGCGACGACCACTTTGTTTCTTCTTCCCGCTCTTTGCCCTGGCAAATGCCGATGTACACTCGGTGGACGCGGGGATGTGCCGGTCTCCTTTCTTGTCGCGTGGCGCGGCGCACTGCGGTGCGTGCCAATGCCCCAATGGCCGGTCCCTGCTGTGCACCTCGTCTGAATGGCCATGATCTCTCGAAGTCGCGACGCGTTCGTATTTTCATCGCTAAGTGAACAAATATTCGCGTCCATCTGGACCTGTGCGTGATGATTCTGAGAAAACGAAAACGGAATGCGAAAAGAAGGAAAGTAGTGTATCTGGTGCGTACCGCGTGCTGTGCTCAGCCTTGCGATGCGTGCTGTGGACTCCCTTTGTAGAGCGCCGAGGGGTGTCCCTCGTGTCCCGTCGCCTTTATTGGCTGTGCGGGGGCGTGGAGCTGGGAGGCTGTGCTGTCGCCGTCCCACTCGCGTGCTGCGGGCGGCCGCCGTGCGCGCGTGTGGACGCAGCGCTGACGCGCGCAGTGCTAAAAGCTCGTGCGTCGCCCTCGCCTACGCGCACCCCTTCCTTCTCCTTCTTTGTTCACCACTCAACTCTTCTCCCACCTTTGCTCTCCGTCGCACGGCACCTGTTCTCGCCGTTTGCACGGTCTGCCGCGCGCGTGTGTGTGTGTGTGTGTGCTGACGCGGAACGTCACATCTGCAGATTAATATCACGACGAAAGCAAAATCCGAACTCTCCGGAGCCAAGCAATCCCCTTTTCTTTGCAGGTTTTTCATTCTTGCTAATTATCTTTTCTCACCCTCCTGCGGTTCAAGTCGTCGGAGGGTCGGAGCAGCGCTCAGTTAAACCAAAGGAGAACACTCAAAGTAAACATTAATATCAAAAATACCACATCATACGAAAAAGAAGAAAATAACGTTTTGAGAAACACTGTGATTAACAAGAGAGAGAGAGCACGAAAGCGCATCATTGTAAACCATGATGACTTGAGGCTCCACCCAGCTACGTCCTGTACAAGTTACCTCTTTGCTCACAGGCGCGTCAGTGCTCCACGACACACCTAGGCGCGATGTGCACACAGCATGCCGCAACGAGAAGAAAGAGATATCCGGATACAGCAAACGACACGAAAACGCTCTGTCTTCATCAATCCAACTGTCTCCTTCCACGTCGGCTGTACCAAACAAGCGAGTGGTACAACCGTGGTCGAACTTGGAAACACAGCTGCTGTTCAATAAAAGACTCAATGCTGAAACATGGATAGACGAGCGGAGACTCTTTTGGCATCTCTTCTTGCGGATCACAACGGTTTTAAAAAGAAAATGGGGTTACAATTTAAATAGCTGAACAAGAAAACAAGAGAAGAGGGAAGTCATGGAGAATTAAGAAGCACACCATTTGACCCTTGCGTCATCAGCCTCCGCGACTCTGATGACACAGAAATACCTTAAACCTCCTCAAATCCGCTGTCGTCATCGGTACAACACAACGGTGCTTTGAAACCAAAGGGAACCATGTGATGACAACCAGACACAAAATTGCGGAGGAGATGCAACAGGTATGCCTCCATTTAAAATTACCAACAAATGAATCACTCAACGTCGCCGCTGCTCTCCAATTGCAAATCAGAGTTGGACAAGGCAGCCTGGCCGCGCAGCTGCAACTCGCAGACACGGAGGAAGCCCACAGCGGCGTTCACAGGAAGGCTCGGCTTATTTCGTCGACGCCACGGGTTCCTGAGCAACACTGTTCGGTGCATCACCCTTGTTGTGCTTCTCACGGTACCGGCGCTCATCCTCAGCAGTCCACGGCTGCAGGAAGGAAAACACAATGACAAAGCCGATCAATCCGATGACCGCAAAAAACAGATAGATGATCGCAACACCCTTGTTCTGGTTGCCGCTCGCACCGCCCGACAGACCCTCCTTCGCAATCGGGAAGAACACGCTGATGATGAAGGCGAAAACACCCTGGAAGGTCTGCATCACACTGGAGCCACGCGGGCGGAAGGACAGCGGGAACATCTCCTGCGACAGCGGGTAGAAGGAGCAGCCAATGCACGACTGGAACACCAGCAGGTACACAGCAATGGCAGCAATCGACACGCCGTTGCGGGCCCCGTCGCTTTTCACCACGCCAGGCATCGTCACGATCCCCATCACGATGCACGCAACGGACGCGGCTGCCGTACCGAAGAGAAACACAAACCGCAGGTTCGTCGTGAGCGCCAGAATAATGAGCGAGCACGCGGCACTGAACACGTTCCAGATGTTCAGCACGATGTTGCCGACCATGGGGTCGAAGCCGACGTTGCCAGTGATCGTGGGCGCGTAGTTCATGAAGGCAGTAATACCCGTCAGCTGCACAACACCAGCAACAACGACACCGACCAGCAGGCGAGCCACCATCGAGCCCCAGCTGTACTCCGCAACGTTGATGCCGCGCTTCTTCTCCATCTCGTCGACGCGCTTCAGCAGATCGGCCTCATTGCCCTCCAGCACCTTTGCGTCGTGTTCCTCAGTAGCCTGTTCACCGTCGCGCTGCGTCCCAGTTTCGTCTTCGGACTCCCGCGCCCAGTACGGGCTTTCCTCCATGAAGTAGCCCATCAGCACCGTGATCACACCCACAGCAGTCGAGAGCGCCAAGTAGCCCTGGAACAGGCCGTACAGGTCGCCGCCCTTGCCGCCAAGGCTCACGCCCAGCACCATGCCGCCGCCAATGATGGCAGCAAGCGCCGTGCCTAGGTTCATCGTCACGCAGAAGAACGACGTCAGCACCTGCTTGTAGCGGTCAGGCGCGTTCTGGTTCACGTACACCATCGTCGGCACAGTGATGAACAGCTGCGCGGCGCCGGCAAGGAAGCGGCCGATCGTGGACGCCCAGTACTCGTTCGTCGCCACGCCGGCATGCTGCATGATCGCGCTCAGCAGGAAGATGAACCCGCCGAACATGAAGGCCTTCCGGTGGTGGAAGAACCCGAGGAAGTCGCCAGCGAGAGGACCGAGGAAAATGCCAACAACCATCGTGGCGCAGGCGAAGATACCAGAGTACAGCGACGTGAAGCCGGCCTGGTTCACGCACACGTTGCCGCCGTAGTCGTAGTGGCAGTGCATGTACCCACTGTTGTGGCAGTCCTCGCGCGTGAACTGCGAGCACATCCCCACGGTCCACTCGCACGCGTTGTTCCGCCACGTGCAGTCCTGGTTGATCACGCCGGCGCACGCCTTCTCCGTCGTGTACAGCGAGCACTGCTCCGAGTAGGTCTGGAAAGTGGCGAAGACACCGTTGATGCCGGTGGGGAAGCCTTGGCCAAGACCAGCCAGCACAAGGAACACCACGTGGCGCGCAACCTTCCAGTGGAAGAAGCCGCACACGTAGCTCACGCCGTCCAGGCTGTCCGCCTCCGACTCTGGTGGGGGCGAATTGATGGGCTCTTCGGCCGCCAGTTTCTGCATGGCAAGGGCCTCCTCGTCCTCGGGGGATATCGGCTGCACAATACCGGCGGCACGCACAGGACGGCTCTCCTCACCCTGCTGCTGCATCTCCCGCGCTTCAACGTCTTCACGTGCCGAGTAGTCCGCCATGGCTCCGACGACTTGAACCGCAGGAGGGTGAGAAAAGATAATTAGCAAGAATGAAAAACCTGCAAAGAAAAGGGGATTGCTTGGCTCCGGAGAGTTCGGATTTTGCTTTCGTCGTGATATTAATCTGCAGATGTGACGTTCCGCGTCAGCACACACACACACACACACGCGCGCGGCAGACCGTGCAAACGGCGAGAACAGGTGCCGTGCGACGGAGAGCAAAGGTGGGAGAAGAGTTGAGTGGTGAACAAAGAAGGAGAAGGAAGGGGTGCGCGTAGGCGAGGGCGACGCACGAGCTTTTAGCACTGCGCGCGTCAGCGCTGCGTCCACACGCGCGCACGGCGGCCGCCCGCAGCACGCGAGTGGGACGGCGACAGCACAGCCTCCCAGCTCCACGCCCCCGCACAGCCAATAAAGGCGACGGGACACGAGGGACACCCCTCGGCGCTCTACAAAGGGAGTCCACAGCACGCATCGCAAGGCTGAGCACAGCACGCGGTACGCACCAGATACACTACTTTCCTTCTTTTCGCATTCCGTTTTCGTTTTCTCAGAATCATCACGCACAGGTCCAGATGGACGCGAATATTTGTTCACTTAGCGATGAAAATACGAACGCGTCGCGACTTCGAGAGATCATGGCCATTCAGACGAGGTGCACAGCAGGGACCGGCCATTGGGGCATTGGCACGCACCGCAGTGCGCCGCGCCACGCGACAAGAAAGGAGACCGGCACATCCCCGCGTCCACCGAGTGTACATCGGCATTTGCCAGGGCAAAGAGCGGGAAGAAGAAACAAAGTGGTCGTCGCGATTCGTGGGCAAAGAAAAAGTCAAAGAAACTATAGAGAATGAAGAGAAATATATAGAGCGTTAATTTCGTTTTTTGTTGCTGTTTTTGCGCTCGCATGTCGAGAAGCAGGCGTCGTCCATTGCGTGCATGCGGCCAGCTACGGCTTTGCGGCTCCATCACTTGCCCGCCAGCGTGCGTGCTGTTGCAACAACCGCGCAGATGCACAGCCCGGCACGCAGGGAGGCAGAGAACCGCAGCACATTCTACACTGTGCTCCTTCGAAGATCCGCATACAGCAGACGCAGCCGCAGCGCGAGTCCCGTAGAGAGGGTGGAAAGAACAGCAGATCCAATGCCCACGCACGTGCGTGGGCATTGGATCTGCTGTTCTTTCCACCCTCTCTACGGGACTCGCGCTGCGGCTGCGTCTGCTGTATGCGGATCTTCGAAGGAGCACAGTGTAGAATGTGCTGCGGTTCTCTGCCTCCCTGCGTGCCGGGCTGTGCATCTGCGCGGTTGTTGCAACAGCACGCACGCTGGCGGGCAAGTGATGGAGCCGCAAAGCCGTAGCTGGCCGCATGCACGCAATGGACGACGCCTGCTTCTCGACATGCGAGCGCAAAAACAGCAACAAAAAACGAAATTAACGCTCTATATATTTCTCTTCATTCTCTATAGTTTCTTTGACTTTTTCTTTGCCCACGAATCGCGACGACCACTTTGTTTCTTCTTCCCGCTCTTTGCCCTGGCAAATGCCGATGTACACTCGGTGGACGCGGGGATGTGCCGGTCTCCTTTCTTGTCGCGTGGCGCGGCGCACTGCGGTGCGTGCCAATGCCCCAATGGCCGGTCCCTGCTGTGCACCTCGTCTGAATGGCCATGATCTCTCGAAGTCGCGACGCGTTCGTATTTTCATCGCTAAGTGAACAAATATTCGCGTCCATCTGGACCTGTGCGTGATGATTCTGAGAAAACGAAAACGGAATGCGAAAAGAAGGAAAGTAGTGTATCTGGTGCGTACCGCGTGCTGTGCTCAGCCTTGCGATGCGTGCTGTGGACTCCCTTTGTAGAGCGCCGAGGGGTGTCCCTCGTGTCCCGTCGCCTTTATTGGCTGTGCGGGGGCGTGGAGCTGGGAGGCTGTGCTGTCGCCGTCCCACTCGCGTGCTGCGGGCGGCCGCCGTGCGCGCGTGTGGACGCAGCGCTGACGCGCGCAGTGCTAAAAGCTCGTGCGTCGCCCTCGCCTACGCGCACCCCTTCCTTCTCCTTCTTTGTTCACCACTCAACTCTTCTCCCACCTTTGCTCTCCGTCGCACGGCACCTGTTCTCGCCGTTTGCACGGTCTGCCGCGCGCGTGTGTGTGTGTGTGTGTGCTGACGCGGAACGTCACATCTGCAGATTAATATCACGACGAAAGCAAAATCCGAACTCTCCGGAGCCAAGCAATCCCCTTTTCTTTGCAGGTTTTTCATTCTTGCTAATTATCTTTTCTCACCCTCCTGCGGTTCAAGTCGTCGGAGGGTCGGAGCAGCGCTCAGTTAAACCAAAGGAGAACACGGAAAAGAAAGGATATCTTTCCCCTGCAACTCAGGCAGCCATCACACCGCAGCGGACCAGCCTCATCACAGTCCTTTATACGCGCAACTCATTTGCAATGCGTTTACCCGTGCGATTGTTACTAACAGCCCACAGCGTATAACGTACTGATGTGAACGGTACAAAGCGCTGCATTCTCCACGGAAAAAGAACGTTTTCCGTGCCGCTCCATACAAGACGTATTCGCGAAGGGGGGGGGGGGGAATGACTGCTGCCGCGACCCGGCGACAACGAAGAACGCGCAACGCCGTCACACAGCACTCACTGAGGGGGCACAGTCGCATGCCAGCACCAGAAGTCGGTGCTTCACAACGCCCACGGTGCATATTTACGGTAACTCAGTTTGGAAAAGGTAGAAAGAGAGACATTCTGCACCGCGCGACGACCACCTCCACAGTGGTCAGCGTCGGGCATACCGTCCCCGAAAAGAATGAGGAACAAGGGGAGAGAAAAATGAATGGAAATGATCAAAGGCATCAAAAAAAAAATAATAATTGAAAAGAAACAGATGAAGTTTATCTTTGGTCCTCTTGCCTTAGTCCACGACAAAGCAAGGAAAGGACACCAAACAACGCGACGAGAAGCAAAGAAGAAAAAAACGTCTTGAGGATTTAGTAAAAAAAAGGTAGTAATAATTAAAGGGAAAAGCCGGTCGGGGGCGGTAGGGGGAGGTCCGTTGAATATATATAAGTGTTTGTGTACGGCTTGCAACGCGGCAGGCCGGGCCTCTTTCCCGCAACTCATGGTGCAACAGAGCACCATCTTATCATTTACCACAACGTGCTGTGTGCGGTGCAACGTCACAGCACGGCGGGAGCGCCGGAGGGTCCCTGTGACACGCTAGCGCGCCTTACTGGCAGCAATAGCCTTGTTCATCTCCGCCACCTTCCCGTCCAGCCAGTCCCAGTCAACCTCACCATTGGAGAACGACACACGACGGCGCAGCGCCTGGTACTTGATCTGCTCCATCTCCATCGTCTTGAGCCCCTCCGAGATGTTCATCTTCTCAAAGTCGGGCACGAAGTCGTCGCGGAAGTGCGCCGTCGCGGGGTGGGCGAGCATCACACCAATCGGCGTGTTCACGTCGAAATGGGGGAGCGGTTCCACGGCGGCCGGGGACACCTTCACGTGCACAGCGCCGCGCACGTCGCGGGACGACGACCCGAACAGCAGCTCGAAGTCGCCCTCCTCCACCACCCAGTCCTTGCGCGCCACGTCGTAGTACGCGAAGGCGCGGCGGTCCAGCGTGAACTTCACCGTCTTCGACTCGCCGGGCGCCAGGTGCACCTTCTCGAAGCCCTTCAGCTCCTTCGCCGGGCGGTCGATGCTGCTCAACACGTCGCGCACGTACAGCTGCACCACCTCCGAGCCGGCCATCTTGCCCGTGTTCGTCACCGTCACCTCCGCATGCACGGCCTCGTTGTCCACGTACGCAGCCTTCGCCACGCGCGGCGCGCTGTACTCGAACGTGGTGTAGCTCAGACCGTGGCCGAAGGGGAACAGCACATCCATGCGGCGCTTATCGTAGCACCGGTAGCCCACGTAGACGCCATCGCTGTACGTCGTCGTCGTCACTGTGCCCGGGAAGCTCAGGTACGCCGACGTGTCCTCCAAGCGCTTCGGGAACGACTCCGACAGCTTGCCGCTGGGGTTCACCTTGCCCATCAGCACGTCCGCCACCGCGAGACCGCCGGCCTGGCCGGGCAGGTACGCCTCCACAATCGCCTGCACCTTGCTCGCCCACGGCATCTCCACCGCGGACGCGTTGGTCAGCACCACCACCGTGTGCTTGTTCGCCGCCGCCACAGCCTCCACCAGTGCGTTGTGGTGCTCCGGCAGGCGCATGTGCGCGCGATCGAAGCCCTCCGACTCGTCCGCATCCGACAGGCCGATGAACACCACCGCCGCGTCGCAGCCCGCAGCCACCTCCACCGCCTTCGCCCGCAGCGCCTCGTCGTGCTTCGTCGCACCCGTCGCGTAGCCGGCCGCGTACTGCAGCGTTGGCACAAGCTTCTTCAGCTCCTCCAGCGCACCCGACGCCTTGGTCGCGTTCACGAACGAGCTGCCACCGCCCTGGTAGCGCGGCTTCTCCGCAAACTCGCCGATCACGGCGATCTTCTTCGACGCGTGCAGCGGCAGCACGGCGTGCTCGTTCTTCAGCAGCACGATGCCCTCCGCGGCCGCCTCGCGCGCGAGGCCGTGGTGCGCGTCGACGTCCCACTTCGGCGCGCCCCTCGACAGCGTCTCCGCGGCGCGGTTCACGAACTCCAGGATGCGGCGCGCGCACACGTCCAGCTCCTTCATGTTCAGCTTGCCCTCCTTCGCAAGGTCCAACAGGCGCTTCGACGTCGCACCGCCAGTGCCGGGCATCTCCAGGTCCATGCCCGCGTTGACCGACGCGCCGCGGTCACTCACCGCGCCCCAGTCGGACACGACGAAGCCCTTGAAGCCGAACTCGCCGCGCAGCACGTCCGTGAGCATGTGGCGACTCGACACAACGTACTCGTTGTTCACGCGGTTGTAGCACGCCATGATGCTCCACGGCTGCGCCTCCTTCACGATGCTCTCGAACGCGGCGAGGTAGATCTCGCGCAGCGTGCGCTCGTCGATCAGCTCGTTGATCGAGAAGCGGAACGCCTCCTGGTTGTTCGCGCAGTAGTGCTTCAGCGTCGCGCCGACACCCTCGCTCTGCACGCCCTTCACGTAGGCGCCGGCAAGCTGGCCCGCAGCGTACGGATCCTCGGAGTAGTACTCGAAGTTGCGTCCGCACAGCGGCGACCGCTTGATGTTGTTGCCGGGCGCCAGCAGCAGCGACACGTTCTCCGCACGGCACTCCTTGCCGATCGCCTTGCCGACCTTCTCCACCATGGCACGGTTCCACGTCGACGCCAGCACGACGGCAGTGGGGAAGCACGTGGCGGGCACGCTGGTCACGTTACCTGAGGCACTGTCCACGCTCTTGCGCAGCCCGGTGGGACCGTCGCACATCATCGCCGAGGGAACGCCCAGGCGCGGGATGTCACGGGTGCACCAGAAGTCCTTGCCGCCGACGAGGCTGATCTTCTCCTCCAGCGTCAGCTCCGACATCACCTTGTCGATGTCGATGTGCTTGTGCGACATGGCTCCGGCGTGCCTCGGTGTTAGATGGGAAAACGGAGAGAGGATGGAAGAAAGAAAGAAAGGGTGATTTGGCTGTTTTGGAGTTCGGTGTGTGCTTGTTTGGCTGGCGTTAATAGCGTTAATGAGAAGCTTGAATGCTGCCGTTCGCCGTGGCACGATGGAGGATGGACAGGCAATGGGACGAAGAAGGGGGGGGGGAGGGTGAAGTGGGATGGTGACGCGAGAGAGAGAGGATGGCGGGAGACGGCAGGGAAAGCGCGAGGAGGGAAAGAAAGGAGCCAAGGGAGGTCCAACGGAGTCGCCACACGCGTCCGCGGGGCGAGGCGAGGCGAGCCAGACCGTCGCACGCGCCGACGTCGCTGCCAGCGTCCGTCGCGCTGCCTCGCTTCGTTCCCTCACTCGTGAGGCTCCGCGGCTTCCCGGTTGCTTCTCCGGCGTTCGTTTTCTGCCCCGGTAAAGGCAGTGAAACGCGTCGCCGGTGACATCAAAGGGCTGAATTTAAAACCAGAAGGAAAGGAAATGCCAGCTGTTAGTAAAAGTAAAGGAAATGACAAACAACATCTCTTGGGGGAAGGCAGACACACACGTACACCGGTGAGAACGCCGCTTTGAAGACTTCGAGATGGGGCCATGCGTAGCCAAACGTTTGCGGAGGGCGCCATCGCATGACTCTTGGTTCGCATTTGAGAGGCATTTACTCGAGTCAGCACCTGATCTCAAAGGGCAGGACGTGGCGTACGATTGTGGACGCACACCAGAGTACAGCGTGGGGGACTGCGGCGTGAGACGGCAGTGAGACGCAGTCGTCGGTAATAAATGCAACAGTGCACGCTTCTACGAAGAGCGGCACAGCCAGCAGCCTCCAAACAGGTGATGGCTCGGACGACTACGTGTTTGAAAGAAAGACAAGAAAGAGAAGGCGGCTGTCGTAACGAAAACAAACAGAGCTGGAACGAACAACAAAAAAAGAGTCGTGGCGGAAAGACACTAATAAAACAACGTGACAGTGAGTTAGAAATGAAAACATGAAAATACGCCTTCACATAACGAGAAAAGTAAAGCTACGGAGCTTCACGGCACGTTTTGTTTAGAGGTGCTGGAAAACTGTAGCAAAAAAGGAAATGAAACGTTTTAGCAAAGCAAAGAGTTTTGTTTTTGTTGTCGTTAATTGACAAAAGGAAGAGATTATTTCCTTTACTACACTTTGCAGATTCTACGCTGGAGTGAGTAAAGTGAAAGGTCAGCACGCGCACCCACAAAAAGTGCTTCTCGTGTTGCAGAGAGGCAGTTCAGCACACCACAGCGCCTTTACTCAAGACGCGCTCCACAGCAGGACTTAGCTCGACTTCACACAATAACACGAGCACCTACCTCGACAACGTAGCCATAGCAAGGGACATCGTGCGGGGTTTAAACAGGGCTTGGCGGTTTGCATCAGACCGGCGTACCATGTGAGTTTTGCGCCGCCCAAAGAGCAACACTAAAGAAGAGAAAATAGAGGGAGAGGGAAAACACATCAAGAGATCGGTTTGCTTTATCGTCCGCCACAAGAGATAAGTGGTACGAACGGAATCAAAGGGATAGAAAAAAAGAACTATGAATTATATATGAGTTTTGCTTTATAGAGAAGAGAAGGCAAAAATGATGTCATGCCAAAATGAAAAGCGCAATAAACGCAGCTGGTTGAGACTTACTGGTGTGAACTTGTTCTTCTCGGATCATGCGCGCAAAGGAAAGCCGAAAACCTACGAAGAGAACAATACAGCACACTTCCTCCCCAGATACTGCCTTTGAGGAGGAAAAGGTGTACCGCGGTGCTTCCGCCGGCACCAGCACCGCCATGAATGTCAATGAAATCGTTCACAACAACTGAAGACCTTGGGTTCTCTTTCCGGCGCAGGGGATAAAAGAAGAAAGAACGTCACCGCTACGTGTGGAAATAGCAGCACACATCACACAGAAATCATAAAAAATGTCCACATTCCTCAACACATAGAAAGCGACGAAAAGCGTTTAAAAAGAAGTGAGACACATCACACGAAAGGAAAGCGCTGCCACCCCACTGTGAGATGGCGAGTGAGGCTCAGCACACGCGCTGTGAGGGGTTACCGGTTCGCGCACCAAAGCAACAGAGGAAGAAAGAAGAGGACGGCGTTCCGCCTCGAAGTGGAAAGATGCGGTGGTTCACGTTCTCCCGTGCTTTGCAAGCCTAGCAGCACAGCCACACGCAAAGCAAACCCCCTGTCTGCTCGTTGCAACGCCCTTCCTCCTCCAGGTCTACCGCGTACTGGCGTACCTGCACAAACCACATTTGCACAGGGGCAACGCCGCAAACGTGCGCGAGGAAACGTAGAGCTGGCGCGGCACTGTACGCGTGCAGTAGTAACGGTGCTTGACAGGGTTGTGCAGCGGAGCTCATCGCGTTAGCACAAGAGAAAGGAAAAAGGCAGTCGGGTGCCAATGTAGACAATGAAAACGCTTGTGGAAACGCTGAACCGGAGATCAACAAGGTGCACAGCAGGACCACAAAGACACGTTGCAAAGAACGCCTCTACTGAAGCCGCGCACAACAGCCGAGGGAAAAACACAACAAGATCACGACATCCCTGCGTCCGGCGTGCTCGGCAACAGTTGGCGTTCCTGCAAGTGTAGGGCGACTTCGGATCCCTCACGAGTAAGCTCCCCGGACCACTTCATCCACCGATGCCTTACGCAGAGGGATTGGCAGTGCCGGTGGGCTCCCTTCAAAGCTCTGCGGAGGTGTGAGCACAAGGCTCCGGTGCATCACCCTTGTTGTGCTTCTCACGGTACCGGCGCTCATCCTCAGCAGTCCACGGCTGCAGGAAGGAAAACACAATGACAAAGCCGATCAATCCGATGACCGCAAAAAACAGATAGATGATCGCAACACCCTTGTTCTGGTTGCCGCTCGCACCGCCCGACAGACCCTCCTTCGCAATCGGGAAGAACACGCTGATGATGAAGGCGAAAACACCCTGGAAGGTCTGCATCACACTGGAGCCACGCGGGCGGAAGGACAGCGGGAACATCTCCTGCGACAGCGGGTAGAAGGAGCAGCCAATGCACGACTGGAACACCAGCAGGTACACAGCAATGGCAGCAATCGACACGCCGTTGCGGGCCCCGTCGCTTTTCACCACGCCAGGCATCGTCACGATCCCCATCACGATGCACGCAACGGACGCGGCTGCCGTACCGAAGAGAAACACAAACCGCAGGTTCGTCGTGAGCGCCAGAATAATGAGCGAGCACGCGGCACTGAACACGTTCCAGATGTTCAGCACGATGTTGCCGACCATGGGGTCGAAGCCGACGTTGCCAGTGATCGTGGGCGCGTAGTTCATGAAGGCAGTAATACCCGTCAGCTGCACAACACCAGCAACAACGACACCGACCAGCAGGCGAGCCACCATCGAGCCCCAGCTGTACTCCGCAACGTTGATGCCGCGCTTCTTCTCCATCTCGTCGACGCGCTTCAGCAGATCGGCCTCATTGCCCTCCAGCACCTTTGCGTCGTGTTCCTCAGTAGCCTGTTCACCGTCGCGCTGCGTCCCAGTTTCGTCTTCGGACTCCCGCGCCCAGTACGGGCTTTCCTCCATGAAGTAGCCCATCAGCACCGTGATCACACCCACAGCAGTCGAGAGCGCCAAGTAGCCCTGGAACAGGCCGTACAGGTCGCCGCCCTTGCCGCCAAGGCTCACGCCCAGCACCATGCCGCCGCCAATGATGGCAGCAAGCGCCGTGCCTAGGTTCATCGTCACGCAGAAGAACGACGTCAGCACCTGCTTGTAGCGGTCAGGCGCGTTCTGGTTCACGTACACCATCGTCGGCACAGTGATGAACAGCTGCGCGGCGCCGGCAAGGAAGCGGCCGATCGTGGACGCCCAGTACTCGTTCGTCGCCACGCCGGCATGCTGCATGATCGCGCTCAGCAGGAAGATGAACCCGCCGAACATGAAGGCCTTCCGGTGGTGGAAGAACCCGAGGAAGTCGCCAGCGAGAGGACCGAGGAAAATGCCAACAACCATCGTGGCGCAGGCGAAGATACCAGAGTACAGCGACGTGAAGCCGGCCTGGTTCACGCACACGTTGCCGCCGTAGTCGTAGTGGCAGTGCATGTACCCACTGTTGTGGCAGTCCTCGCGCGTGAACTGCGAGCACATCCCCACGGTCCACTCGCACGCGTTGTTCCGCCACGTGCAGTCCTGGTTGATCACGCCGGCGCACGCCTTCTCCGTCGTGTACAGCGAGCACTGCTCCGAGTAGGTCTGGAAAGTGGCGAAGACACCGTTGATGCCGGTGGGGAAGCCTTGGCCAAGACCAGCCAGCACAAGGAACACCACGTGGCGCGCAACCTTCCAGTGGAAGAAGCCGCACACGTAGCTCACGCCGTCCAGGCTGTCCGCCTCCGACTCTGGTGGGGGCGAATTGATGGGCTCTTCGGCCGCCAGTTTCTGCATGGCAAGGGCCTCCTCGTCCTCGGGGGATATCGGCTGCACAATACCGGCGGCACGCACAGGACGGCTCTCCTCACCCTGCTGCTGCATCTCCCGCGCTTCAACGTCTTCACGTGCCGAGTAGTCCGCCATGGGTTGGTGATGTGTTTTTTAATCTTCTTTGATGGATATATTGCTTTAAAATGGGCAACGGGAGAAATGAAGTTTAGTGGGTGAGATAGAAACGTGTCAGCGGAACTCGCGTGTACGTGCTGGTCCACTCCGAATCTTTTGAACAACAAAAACAGGCCGTAGTGGATCTTTGTGTTGGCTTTAGAGTAGAGCACTTTTGGGATGCTGATTAGCTATGATGTTGACAGTTTTGTAAAAAAACAATAACGAGTACCGAAATTGCAGGTCAAACGCGGCCGAGAATTGTTGTCGTGAAAAAGGAAGGCGATCGTGCCGCATCGCAGCGTGCATGGCATTAAAGAAAACAATAGCATTAAAATACATCAGCATGAGGGTCGTTCAAGAGCCGAGACGCACGAGAGAAGAAAAGATACGTTGTTGTTGTTGACCAGAGTTTGAACAACAACAAAAAAAAAACAGAAGCCGATGCGGAGAGACGTGAGCGTTGATCGATTCGGCAAACGCCGTGGGCGTCGAAGGCAAAGGATATCACGTGACTTCAGTTTCCCAGCACGTGCTTTCGTCGCACCTTTTAAAGTGTTACCGGTCAATTGCTTCTTCTCGCTTTAATACTGCAGTACTCGTGAGTCTTGTCCGTCAGCAGCGGACCAACTCGGTCAAAGACTGCATCTCTGACACGGGGCTGATTCATCGGGCATCTACCATAACGTGAAGGTGTTTTCTTTGATGTTAGTTTGAACTGAGGGACCACAGACACCCATGACTAGCTGCATGCTGTGACGCCCTTCGACCTGCGACACAACGAGCACAAGCCTTTACGGTGATACAGCAGCGGCGTGGTACATGTGTCACAGCATCAGCTTACAAACTCGTATGAGAAATCATTAAAGAGGGATGTACAATTCACCACTTCAACTCAAAAACGGAGCTTGATGTAGCGAATTAATTCAAGACAGAAAGCGTTTTGCCAGATGCACGTTCGTGAGACAGCCAAAAGATATATAGTGAACACATGAGGACGTAAATGAATATTTAAACAAACGAAAGAAAAGGGAGAGAAAAAAATTTTGATGAAGAATGATTCAAAAAAAAGTGCTTCCGTAAACAAGTAGCGATTACTAAAGGGAATTTGGAAAGAAAAGAGTCGCGACGATGAAGTCAGGCTATCAGAGGGTCACACCGCAATTCGCGCCGTCGCAAAGACTAAAGGGAAGGGGGAGGGGACTCCGCGCATCGGAGGGGGTCTACGCATTTCCTTCTCCTTCCCGTCCCCATCTATCCCTCCCTGTACTTCTTCACCGCATCTCCCACACTCGTCAAAACCAGCTGTCAAGGAAGAAGAAGAAAACGTGCCTCCTGTGTTCACCTCGTGCGATGCCTCCCGCGCCGCGTCGGCGCTCATCAACGCGAGCACACGACACAGCTGGCATGCCTTGCTCCACCTTGCGCTCGCTGAAGTGTTTTACAGTTCGCCCGACAGGAGGAATCACTACGTTGCACAAGAACGCGGCACACACGAGTTCACAAGAAGCCTTTTTTTTCCGCGCTCGTCATCGGTGATTCGCGTACGATGGGAAAAAAAAAAGAGGGAGACTGGCTATTTATAGAAAAAAGGAAAGTATCGATGGCGCAAGAGAGAGTGGCGAGAGAGGGAAAGAAAGAAAAAGAAAACAAAAAAAGAAACAAGAAGCGTATGTGCGCAGAACCCAGGAGAAGAGTATATATATATATATATATATCAGTTCGAGAAGACAAAAACAGCAGAAGACTAAAAAGAAAAAGGGGAGAAAAAGGAATCGGTCATTTTTGACGTATGTGCGTGAGCTTGAATGCACAGCGTGAAGTTGTGTGTGTGTTTGTGTGTGCTGCTCAAACGCGCATGAAGAGTCTCTGGTGGGCAACCCAGAACGCACGCGCACAGCCAAGGAGAGGGGAGCGAAGACAAGAAAACCCGGAAAAGAAAAACATTGGGTAAAACACACAATAAAAGGAACGAGTGCACGAACACCTTAGTACGCATTTTCATCGCCGCCTCGAACACTGCATAGCCACATTAATGAAGCGTGATTGTCCAGTCCTCATCGACGCGCAGCGGCGTGCTGCGCACGTCAATAAACACCATATCGCTGTGCTGCTCCACCGGCAGCGATGCCCCTTTGGCGGTCGCAGACTCCACAGTCCCGGCAGCGGCGCCGTAGATCACGACGCGCTCCACCGTGTTCGGCGCGGAGAACTGCCCCTCCGACGCAGCGCTGCACGAAAGCGTGCCGTCCGCGTACTTGAACGCGCGGTGCGCAAACCGGCCTTGCTTGTACTGGAACGTCTTCATGTCGTCCAGGTACAGTTCACCTTCGCTAGCACCGTGGGCGTCCAGCGCCACGTGCAGCGTGAAAGAGTCGTTGACGGCGAACGCAGTCGAGGCGCGCCTTTGCGCCTTTGTCGGCAGCACGCAACCGCCGCGTAGGTACATCGGGATCGAGTCCATCGTCACCGGCACCGTGTGCACGCCCGCCCCGGCAACCCTGCGGCCGCTCGGGTATTCGTACCATAGCGCGCTCTTCGGCAGACACACATCCACCGTTTGTGCCTCGCTGTGCACCACCGGGCACGCAAGCAGCGACGGCCCGAACATGAACGAGTCCTGAACCTCCGCCAGTTCCTCTTCCGCAGGGAACTCGAAAAACAGCGGACGCAGCACCGTCGCACCTTCGTGGTGCGCGTGGTAGAACACCGTGTACAGGTGTGGGATCAGTGTGTAGCGCAGGTACAGTGCAGCACGAATGCGGTTACGCGCTGAAGGTTCCCACACGTACGGCTCGCGGTGGAGGGTGTCCATGTTGGCGTGGCCACGGTAAAAAGGGTAGAAAACAGCAGCCTGGAGCCAGCGCTGGAACAGTTCACTCGTGGGCTCATACAAGAAGCCGCCGGCATCCACACCGCAGAACGGGTAGTTCGACAGCGAAAGGCACAGCAGTTCCGCCATCGTACCCTGCAGGTGGTCCCAGCGGGACATGTTATCGCCCGCCCACATGCCACACAGACGCTGGCTGCCGGCGAAGAAGCTGCGAGTCAAGACGAAGGGGCGCTCCGGCTCCACGCCAGGGCCCGCAGCCTCCAGACACCCTTGCGTAGCGGACAGCACACTCAGGAATCCGTAGAGGTTGTGCAGGTAGCGGTGCTGCACTGCGCGGCCGTCGTCGGTGTGGTGCAGCGCCTCGCGGGGCATGGTGCGCTCCCGGTATCCGTGAAACACCGCTGGCTCGTTCATGTCCACCCACGTGTACGTGTTGCGGCCGCCGCACTCGCACCTGTCGTCGTGGAAGAAGGTCGCGTACCACTCGCGGGTGCGGCGCTGTAGGAAGTCGGGCCAGCAGCTGTTGCCGGGCCAGCAGTCCGCCTCGAAGTTCTGCAAGTCGTCGGGGGTGCGCACAAAGTGGTTTCCTGCCACTCCCTCGTCGTACACCTCCCAGCCCTCCTCCGTCTTCGTGTGTGGGTCCTTGATGGTCACCATCTTGCGACCGCGAGACACCAGGTGGTCCAGCAACGCTTTCGGGTCGGGAAAAGCATCATGGTCGAATTGGAAGTACTTCTTGTCCGCGGAGTACTCGATGTCCAGCCACAGCACGTCGTACGGCATGTCAGCGCCGGACATGCCGGCTTCCACAGACATGCACTCTTCCTGCGTCATGTAATTCCAGCGGCATTGGTGGTAGCCCAGCACACTGTAAGGCGGGAAAAAGGTCGGACCGGTGATCAGCGCGTGGTGCTGCTGCACAGCATGGGGTGTGGGACCAGGGATGAAGAAGAGATCCGTGATGCCCACCTCCGCGGTCCATCGCACCGCGGGGGCGCCAGGGCGTTCCAAGATGCGCACGTACATCTCCGACGAGTTCATGAAGAGCACACCGGCCGTGGCGGAGGCCGAGTAGGCCATCAGGAAGGGAATCGCTCCGTACTTCGGGTCACCGCTCTGCAACGGATACCTGAACGCATCGGTGTTAAACAGCTGGTACGACTCGCCCTTCTGCATCGCCAGGTCTTGCGTGTGCTCCGGTAGCCCGTACAGCTTCTTTGCCACGGGGAAGCGCAGTTCCACCGCAGGCGCCTCCACGTCGCGCAGCTCCACGAACCCGACGACAACCTCCTTATCGTGTGCAACAAACGAAAAGTTCAGGCTGTCCCCATCACGGGTCACAGACAGCGTTGATGTGTCGTTGGCGATCACCTGCGTGCGGCCCTCCTGCCTCACCGTCAGGGTCGACTCCGCGACGGGGTGCGCAACAACAACTTCAGGTACTTCCCACACCCACTCCGCGTCCGGCTTTACGCGCAGGCGGATCACTCCGTGCTTGTAGCCGTCCGCGTACAGAGACACCGGCCCCATAGGCAACTGGAAAGAATTGAACTTCATCGTGTGGAATGGATGCTTGCAGAACGAATAGTGGAAAGCAGAAAAAAGAGCATTTAAGGAACGTGAAGGGAAATGTTCAGCTACCTTTTGGGGAGAGAGAGAGAAAACTGCTCTTTGCTCCGTGTTGAGGAAATCGAAAATGAAAACAAAGAAAGAAGAGTGAATTGGCGTTAAAGAGAGCTCGTATTCTTTCGTGGCGGCGTGTATGCGAAGGCAGATGACAAGATCGCGTTGGATGTGTATTTGCGTCGTTCGCGTAAAAGCGGTGGCGTCGCAGCAAGCGCACGCACCCAGACGTTAGGTATGATGTGTCGGCGCACCGTTTTTGTCGAGTGCACATCGCATCACAGCGGCGTCGGCACAGTACGGACAATACAAACAACAAGGAATAATATAAAAGAGCAATGAGATATGGGTAAAGAGAAGTTACGCCTTTTTTTGGCGAAGGGGGGGGGGCACCTTCAAGCAACTTTCCACTACCGCTAGGGGGCGGCACTGCAAAGAGCACAAAAAGGGGGCAAAAATGACGCACATGGCCCATGGTGCTTTGACAGGGAGAAGACGGTCACTGTGCGGTAAATGATGATGTTCTTTTTCCCCCTGCGTGCCGAACAGGCGTTGCGGCTTGCCATCGCTGCACCGCGCAGCACTTCCTGCCAAGCTGTTCCTCCCATTCAAGTGTCCCTATTTGGCCTTCACTGCGTGGTGATTCCAAAACCTCCGCACATCATAATCTGATTTCTTAATTTATTGCCCTATTCGAGCACGGAATAAGGAACGGGCGGATCCGCCTACGTTCAATGGAGCACAAAACGGAAGTGTAGGGAAGCGTCGTCAAAACTTGTCGTCGGCTCCCTCCTGCGATTTCTGCTTTCTCATTATTATTATTATTATTTTCCTTACGTGCTCCACACGCACTGTCATTGCTGCGGCTGCGAGAGAGTTGCCCCAAGGCGAGCCCAAATTCCGTGCGCAACGACCAGCTCATTCGTCAGAGAAGAGGGGCACTTAAGCGCGTGCCGCAGGTGCGTAAGTTCCTCGGCGGTCACCACCGCGAAGGCAGCCCCATCTCCTTTGTATCCGAGCCCCAATGGAACTACCTCACCGCCGTCCCTGGAAGGCATCGCGCACGCGTCGCCAGCTCCGTTGTGTGGCAGCAGACAGCCGTTTTCCTCAAGGAAACCCAGGAACGACACTCTGTCTGCGGCGCTGTAAGAACTACTAGGGAGGCAACCAGTGAACACACTGCCGGCGTCGCCCAACGTCGCATCTGCGGTATCGCCTAGCGTCGTTTTCTCGGCTGTGTGTGCCACAGTGGTACTAAAAGACTGCAAGACGGTGACGCAGGACACTGCGTGCCACCAGGCCGCCACTTCACTCTCTCGCACGCCGATGGGGCAGTTGCTCGCTGGATTCGCCGACGTTCGTGCACCTGCAATTCCGACCTGGTCTGCGCAAAGACCGCTTTTATCGTCTGAAATGCGTCGTGTCGCCGTGCGCGACGTGCCGCCCACTCGCACTCGTGCCTCTGCGTCCACGTATTGAAGGTAAAAAGTGAAGAAGCGGAGGCAGTCCTCCTCACTCCACAGTCGCCCACACCACATCAACGAAAGCGCCACAAAAGTGAGTTGGGCCGCGGGTCGCACGTGTTCGCGAACTTCGTCCAAAGAGACGCGGGTCTGAAACGTTAACGGGTAGGCTGGCGACGGGGTCACGGCGAAAGGCGATGCAGCTGAAGAAAACGTATTATCCGGTGCAGAGCCGCTGTGTCGCTGGTTGATCTCCGCTGGCCGCACAGACGCTGCTTCACCTTCTGCGAAAGAAGGACACAGCTGCACAGCGTCGTTGGTGACTGATTTCCCAACGAACGTCTCCGCCAGGATCGCGCTAACATACACTTTGCGACCTAGCGCGGCATCGACACGCCTCTCCCAACCCAATTCGCCGCCGCCACTGTCCTTGCCGACCGGGCCCCCTTCAAATAGGCGAGCCATGACGTTGAACAGGACCTCGCGCAGTGGTGACAGGCGCTCGTACACTGCCTGTTGGCACCGACGCGAAACCGAAAGTGGTAACGGATGCGACTCTAAGCCAACTGACGGTGGCACCGCTGCTTTCGCTACTGGGAGGACAGCAGAGCACTTCACGGGACACGTCGAGGGCGGTGGTCCGCGGTGCACCCACTCGTCACCGACCCAGGCCGTCCACAGATGTCGCTCCACGGAGACATCCCGCGCCGTCACCTCCGCCAGCGCGTTCTGCGCAGCCCACAGCGAAGTCGCGAGATCGAGAGCCTCCATCGACGCTACACCGCTGTCAAGGTGTGTCGGCACGGAGGTCGCTTCCCAGCTAGCAGCCTCCACCATCCACTGTGCCACGAGATCGCAGTGGAGCACGCCGCAAAACTGATTCACCAACGCTGCCGCACGCGACACTCGAAAGTCAACAGGCGGTGCAGCGGTGCTGGCTTTGCCGTAAGGTGCGACGCTACTGCAAGACTCCTGCGCGGGGGAGGACTCGTGGTGCGCCTTCTCGTCGACGCACCACGTCGCGCTTTTGCCGAGACGAGAATCATACAACGCAAGGAGCGCGTAGAAGGTGGGAAGGTACGCGGCGGAGCGCAGTCCAAGCCGGCCGGCGGTGGACGGACCGTGGCGCACCAGCAAGAGACCCGTCAACTCCTTTTCAGCACCGGGCTGCGAAGCATTTGCTGCCGCCACCGCGCTGAGCGCCTTTTGCAAAAGGAAACCCTCACGAGGCAGGCACAAAAATTCTGGCAGCGCTCGCCCACAGAGCTGCTCCACCTCGCGGCTACACAACGACAACCATGTGGACACGACGGCGTCTATGCCGGCAGCCGCAAAGAACGCCCGCGGGTCGTTGGACCAGAGCAGTGGAAACATTTGCTGATTCCGCGCCTGCGGAGTGTCATGCAGGAGGTTGACGCGCGCCACGGCCCCGGTCCAGCCTGGTTTTGCGGTGCAGTAGAGAGACGTCGTGCCGTTCTTGCTCCTGCCGCTGTTTCGGAAGAAGAGCACGAGTACCTGATAAACCTGCAACCATACCGCGCACTTCTCCACCGCGCTGATCGACAGATCCGCGTCGGTGTCCATGCCTTGCAGGTTGGCGGTCGCATCGACCAGCGACGTCGACGTTGTAGTGGGCGCCGCCGCAAATGCGCTGTGTTGAGCGTCGCCGTGCCCCTGACTATCCGCCGCCGCCTCCTCTCGCAGCGTCGTCGCCGCCGAGTGGACCCCCACAAGGTCTGCGACCGTGCTCCCGCCCGCTACAGGTGCTGCTAAGGTGATGTGGCAGAGCTCCGCCAACGCGTCTTCGCAGCTGCCGAGGACCAGCTCCACCTGCATCTTGTGCTTCTCGACGAGGTCCCTCAACTTATCCAAAAAGCAGCAGAAAAGCTGCTCGAGGCTAGGGACCGAGGCCGGGGCGGTCCACACAACCGCAGACTCAGCGCAGTACGCGTGGGATTGGCGCGTCGTGCCGTCGCTGGAGAGCTGCGAGACGCACCATCGCATCACGCGCACGCAGTCACGTACCACGCTGTCCACGTCCACCACCAAAACAGTCGTGTTGGCAAAAGCGCCACTGCCGGTCAGCACGTCAAACGGAAACGTAGGCGAGGCTATGATGTAGCCGACGGCGGTCGACGCGAGCAAAGAAGACGTCCCTTGCCCCGACGCCAATGCACTTTTCTGTTCATACGCGGAGGCACACAACCACGTAACTGTGCCATGCAAAAGTGAATTTGAAGAAGAACTCATTCGGCTACAAGAGGCATGCAAAAAGACAGAATAAAGAACTAAATAAAAAAGGACGAGGAAAGCCACCACTAGGTGACGGCCGCGAAGGAATAAGAGGGGTAGGATGCCAAGAACAAACGGACGCTAATAATAATATGCGAGAGAAATACGATCTGATGCTTTACATTTATGCAGTCGAAGCGTGCTTGATTACGTGCGGCGCTGCCCCGACGCTGACAACGGTCATCCACCCAGGGGTTTATCGCTCCGCCGCAGTTGAGTTGCAGATATACAGTGCGTTTCTCCAGTTGTGTGGGAGGTGAAGAAGAAAAGAATAAGTAGTAATGTGTAGTGCAGGAAAGTTGGGCGAAGAAAAAAAAAGAAGATATTTATGCTCAAGAGAGGAAAAAAGACACAAGTGACGATAACCGTAACACCACATGCGAAACAGAAAGGGGCGGGAAACTGGAAACGGGGGGGAGAGAGAGGGAGGGGGAGAGAGAAGTGCATGAGGATGCTGCCAAACAGCGATGTTCATGTAGACTTATCCGACAATAGAAGCGTGCTGAAGAGTCCATATCCGCCCTCAACGGAACCATGCGTGCAGGCTTCGCATGTAACATTTTTCCCCGAGTACTTCGAATGACAGTAACGTTCGTAGAGGTTCGGGTTTCCAGCTCCGCATGACAGGTGACATGCCATCCCACGACGAAGTCGTAAACGCCAGACACGATCGCCCAAAGGAAAAGAGAAAAGGTCCTCTTCTCTTTTTCATTTCACCCTCTGCTGTAACAATCAAAGAGCGGGTAAAAATGTGATAGTGAAGCGGCGGACGCACTTTCGCACCTGGCGGCAGCTTCCGCTGTACTGCCGCTGCGTATCGCTGCTTTGTTTGATCTTCATTTTTTCTTCTGCAAGGCTTCACAGGAGGCCCATAAATGCGTACAGAATTCGTTCTGTCGGCTATTTCACCGAGGGAAAGAAAAAGGAAGTGACAATGGAACAGAAGAAGGGGAACAACAACAACTATAGGTAGATCACACACAGCAAAAGGAAAAAGGGAACAGAAAAGCACGACGGCGTCGGACACTCAGACAACGCAGATCGCGTGAACGAGAAAAAAAAAGGGATGCGAACAATAATAATAACAATAATAATAAAACAGACAGGCCCTATCCAGCTTCTCAAACCCGCAGTCTCTTTCGTGTCAATAGACCAAAACATCTTCTTTAGTTTTTCGGTTTTGTTTTCATGTGAACCTCTCTCGCCTGTCCATTGAGAAACAAGGGCTTCGCCGGAGGGTAAAACTGGACTCATGGCGGCTCTCACGCCTCCACTGTCTTTTCCGGACGATGCAGAGAAACAAATTAGTATCGCACTCACACGCACACCACCTTTGCGGCCGGCAAAAAGGAAAAAAAAAGTCAGCTTGAAAGCCAGCAACGCTCCAGCTGTTCTTCCACACCCACAACTACCAAAAAGAATCAGTAATAATAGTGTTCAGAGGCGAACAATGGAGAACCAATAGAGACAGAGCGACAACTCAACAGAGCAAAAAGCGAAATCATGAACGGCCACACTCTCACTCCTGTCCCAATACCACTCAAGGGGCGCCACCATAAGACGCCGTTTCCTTCGAGCTGCAACTGCCATCACGGCAGTGTAACAGAGAAAAAGACGTGGGTGTTGATGGACAGCATCACTTGGCGTCCCAGCAACAACAACATGAATAGCAAAGCAGCCCACATGCATTTCGTATACCTTTTTGCATAGATGCCGAGTGCGTTGTGGCTTCTGTGCTTGGTGTGCTACTATCTGCAACGCTTCTGCTTTGTTGCTTGAAGGCAGCTCGTGAGACTCGTGCTTCACCTCCGCATTGCTGTTAACCCACAATGTTTCTTTTTAAAATACAGATTGGAAGGAGAGAAAGCAACGAGCAGAGTAACTTACCCCCCCCCCCGCTTCTACCTTTTTATCATTGTCTAGATGACAGCCACCACGCTAAAGTGCAAACGAATGCGGCCTCGTGCACACCACCGAGCAACCCCAAAGCAGAAAACAAAAGGAGAGCACAAAGAGGAGAAAAACGACACTGATGAGACGAAGGAAAGGCAAAAAAAAAGAAAAAGAGGTGACAACGTAGCAATCAAAGAAAGAGATAACAATGAACAGAACACCGAACGTGCTTTGCACAAGGCAAACAAACAAACAGACATACAAAAAAAAGGACAAGATACAGAACTTATAACATCAAAGAAAACAATCACCACAAACAGAGTAATTGTGGTGCGTTTCCCTGCTCTCCGGTCGCTCTGCCTCTTCTCGTTGTTGTTGTTGTTCTGTTTTTTTTTCCCTTTGCCTGGTCCCATTGCACGTCTGAGGCACAAAACCGCAGACAGTTCTACCGTTGCCCTAGAACGCTCTCGTTTGGGTTTGCTTCGAAAAAAGAAAAAAAAACTTGAGAAATAACATAAAAAATCAGAATGCACACCCGTCATAGCGCTTCGGGTAACTAGCTATATAATTTAAAAAAAGAGCACACAAAAAGGGAAGAAAAACAAACCGATAGGTGAACTCGCATAGCGCACAGACAAGTGAGAGAAGAGAAACAAAGCAAAAGGAAGGTTCTATGAAGAATATCGTACAAGAGGAGAGAAAGAAGGCGCGGCACTTCGTAGGCTGCGAGGCTGCGTGTATACGCCGTCCTGGTCAAACGAGGATAAGATAAATCAAGCGATCGCAGGTGTCTTCCCTTCTTTTCTTCTTTCTGTGACAAGACGTTTATCCAACATATATCACTCCTTTCATGGAACCCCTATTACATTGCTCCTACATGTCACCCGAGCACTACTCATGATCACGCAACGCTCTACGTATTGGAAAGAAAAAGGAAAAAGAAGAAGAAACAGACAAAAACAAAATAAAAGCGTTGCGTCGAACAATAGTTGTTCAGATTCGGCAAAGACAAAGCAATGTAGCTCTTGCTAACCCCTTGAGAGAGGGGGAAAAAGAGATCAGGAAGAAGAACACGTTGATAGCGTAATTGAAAACAAAAAAAGAAAAGAAAGTGCGGTCCAGCAACAGAGAGGGCAGAAAGAACCAACAGCGGAAGAAAGTGGAAAACATATAACGCGAAGTTGCGCGAGGACCCGGGGCGACAGCAGAAGACTAGTAGAGCGGCTCGACAGCGGCGATCGACGAGACAAAGCCTCTTACAGCAGAACGGGACGACGCGGCACGATGAAGATAAAGATTTTGGAGAAGAAGAACTGCTGAGCAGCGAAGGCAACAGGACCTAGGTGGACGGCCTGAAAAGATGCCGCCAGAAGCTCCAGTGCACACCCTGTTGCTTGTGTGGTACTGCAGGCCTCCTTCATCACCAACTCCTCAAAAAAAAAAAGAGATAGAAATGAACGGCGAAACCGTTTTGCCGCTTGTGCTCGTTTACTACACCCTGTTCTCTTCCTGAAACTTTTTCAACAGCGGCGCGTTGCTCCTCTTCCAGCGTTCCAGCGCCGCGTTTCCACGCGAGACGCTCAGCACGCACATCTGATCCTCGCGCAGCTCCATACAGTTCGAGAAGAAGCGCTTGGCGTTGCAGTGGCTCCACGTGGACAGCGCGTAGCGAGTGTCGTCGGCCGCCGTCTCAGCCGTCTCGTGCGCCGCCGCGGCGAGGAGCTGGCGGTTAACCTCACGCGATACCGCCTCGAGCCGCTCCGAGCTGCTCGCCACCTCTGTCTGGCAGGAATTCCGGTGTTCTTGCAGGTACTGGAGATTCAACGCGGCCCACTCCTCGGCCTCCTCCTCCATAATCTGGGTGCTGCGGGCAGCAGACTCAAGCAGCGTCTGCTGGGCGGCGTGGTGGGCGCGCAAGGACACTTGTTCATCAATCATTTTCCTCGTCTCCATGAGCGCCTTGGCGTTCTCCTTGACGTACTCGTCGCGCTGCTCGTCGATGGCGTTCCTCACCCTCGTCGCCTCCTCCGCCTTCTCCTTATCCTGCTGCGCCTGCAGCTGCGCGCGCTCCCGCTCCGCCTCAGTCATGGCGCCCATCTCTTCCGCCGCAGCACGACGGTCCTTCACGTTCACCTTCGCCGTCTTACCGGCTTTGCTGGCGTTCACATCGTAGTAGACACCGTCGTGCTGGGGCAGCTTGCGGCGAATGACGGCCGGCTTCGCCATCGCGTCGATCGCGAAGATGTGCAGATCAGCAAGCAGCGAGTCGTACGTCTTGCCGGACTCGAGGAAGTCGAACTGCAGTTTCTCCGCCTCCGCCCCGGTGGACGAGGTGACCTTCATGTCCTTCACCTTGTTTGCGAAGTGCAGCGTGCTGACCGTCTCGTCGTACGTGAGCTGCGTCGGCGAGCACTGGGCGAGCAGCAGCACACGCGAGCTTGGGTGCGAGAAGGTGGGCTTCAGCAGCGACGTGAGGTTCGAGATGCGGTAGCTGACGAAGCTGCCCTCGTGCAGACTGTGCACGACATTCCCGAGCGCCGTCAGACTGCTGTTGATCGACGTGGCCTCCTTCAGACCCGCGCCGGTCACGTGACTGCGGTTGATGCGCTCGCTACCAGCCAAGTCGGCCAGGATGATCTTGCTGGCGTAGATGGGCTCCTTCTGCTCCGGTAGGCGGAAAATGGTGCCCTGAAACGGCATCTCATACGGCGGCAGGACGGCCTCCGGCTGGTTGCTACCTCCGTTCGCGTTACCGCCCTTCTTCGAAGTCGGCGTTACCGCTCGCTTGTCGCCCGACTTTTGCGCGCTGTTCGCTTTGTTCGACTGATCCAGAATAGAGAGCGACGGTGCTGCGGCGCTGGCAGCCTGCTGCAGGATGTCGATCGAGAAGAGGCAGTGACTGCGACTGGAGGAAGAGTTCGAGTCGGTGGCACGGGTGGAGCGACGGGAAATGGCAAGTTGAATTTCGTTGAACACCGCCTGCAGCGACCTCATCTCCTTGATGATCAACGACGGCAGTATCACGTCCTCGCCGATCATCACCGCCTTCAGCGGCGGCGGCGCCGTGCCGGGCTTGCCGCCGAAGAGGTCACGAATGTTCTCGTTGTAGATCTCCATACAGCTCAAACCGACGACCACGTGCCAGCCCTTCTTCGCCTGACGGATCTTGTAATCCATCAAGTCGCTCAGCACACGCAAGAACATGCCGCTGTTGGTCGTGAGTAAATCGTTTTCGAGCGGGTTCGGTTTCACATCACCCAGCACTGTGAAGGTCTTACCTGAGCCCGTTTGGCCGTAGGCGAGAAGGGTCGCGTTGACGCCCACCAGCGCGGCATCGACCATGTCCACAACGGCGTCCTCGTACACCTCCAGCTGCGTGCTCTCCTGATCAAAGATGTAATCGAAGGAGAACAAACTGCTCTTGGACGGTTCGCCAGGCTTCGTGAGCTCCACCCGAAGACCATTATCGCCGACGCGGTAAACGCCCTGCAGCTCGAACTTCTCCTGCTGCTGGTTGATGGCGCCCTCACGCAGCATCGGACGCACACGGACGGACACCATCACACGTTGATTGCCAACGGTCGTCATCTTGAAGTGGTCGTTACGGAGGTGGAAAGAAACAAATAAAAGAGACAAATAGGAATGAGAAGGAGAGAAGAAAAGAAAGACGACGACAGAGGTACAAAGAAGGAAACCAACAAACCGTATGTCAAAACTAACGCTATTGGGCACAACGCTCTGAAGCAACCTGTCACGTTTTTCGTGTTTTCGCTGCTTACGACAACAAAAACGAAGCAATGCTGTTGAGGACGCTGTGAGATACAGGAAAGCTGAAGAAAAAAAAGAACAATGGAGGATAGAACCGGGAAAAAAAGAGAGTAAAGAATCAAATAGAGAAGACAGGGTAAGTCTACTACGCGAGTCTGGTCACTCTAACCTCCCTCTTTTATTTTTCACTCTCTGTGAGTAGTCTTTAAAACTATTTTTCCTGCTTGGTTTATCGGTGTCTGCGGAGGCAGCTTGTGAGTGCTTCGCAACCGACTAAAAAAAGGCGTGGAAAGGAGATGCGCTATGTGTGCAAGTGTGTGTCTACGTTGCTTGAAATATAAAACCTTTTACTTTGCCTGAAAGTAAGGGCAATCATATATATATATCAAACAAGGCAAATGAGATCGAAGGGAAAAGAAACCGTTTCACAAACCTAATGGCAAAAAAATGTATAAAAAGCAAACTCTGTGTGTGTGAGTGTTTGAGACAAAGGTTCACGAATGCACGTGTGTGTATTGAACGGTATGTTTAACGGATATTGTTGGGGCCCGAAGAAACATAAGTGTATCAGCGGTGATGGGCAACAGAAACAAAAGAAGAAGGTGCATGGGGAGCAGGAGAAGTAGAAACTATTTTTGGTAGCTACAAAGCTACTGTTGCAAAAACAGAAAAGCGCGATAACACCGACTGAAGATATGTGGTTTCGCCGTTCTTCGCGAAAAAGGCGGCTGCTTCTCGCTCGCTCGCTCGCTCTTTTCGATTTGGAGTTGAACGACAGTAGAAGCGATACGCGGATGCAGAGACACGCATGCGTGTTTGCTTTCGCACACCTATAAATTGGAAGCAGGGAGGGGGTGCGTTTCCCTTGTTTTTGTGTGTGCGTGTGTGCTTTGTTTTTTACCCATTACGCGACGTAGCTGCTAGGACAGATTCACAGGTGCGTGTGTCTGTGTATGTTAGAAAAAAAACGGGTAGAGGGAAAGACGTGCGAACACACTGATTCTCCTTCTTCTTTTTTACGGAGACTTCTTTCGATCTCGTACATCAAAACCACTTTGCTGGTTTTTCAGTCCCCGGTGGTTTTCTCTAACTTTTCGCGCTTCAGAGTCTCACGTAGGAAAAAAAAAACCAAAGAGAGTAAGAAGAAGAACAACAACAAAACACTTGCGATATCGTAGCGCGGCCACAAAAAGCGAAGCGGGGCAGAACAAAAATAAGAAAATCAATGATAACATCAACATAAGCAAAGGAGAGAACACAGTTAGAGACGTATTTTTCTTTACAGCTCCAAATGGCGCAACACACTTCACGGTTGCCCTCCAAACAGACGAAACGAAAGAAAGCAAAACCGAAAACGTAGCTTCTCTTTACGTACGTACACTGCTTGACCGGTTGGTTGCACAAGAAAAATGGGACATTGGCAAGAACGAAAATGGCGTGGCTTCGAAAGAGCATCCTGTTGCTTGTGAACACGAATTACGACAACACACACACACAAAAAGAAAGGGGCGCAGAGCAGAAAACTCACAAGCTCATGCTTATACTCTTTCAGGTTGTATTTGGATGTTTGTGCATGTAGAGATCTGTCATCACTTGCTGATGTTTTAGCGCTCTAACGCCTCTTCGTTTCGCTATCCATTCTTGTGTCAGTCCCTTTTTCCCGTGTTTACCGCTTGAAAGGTGGGCAAAAATACACTTAACACGAAAGGGGTGATGCCCGTGTGACTCCGGCGGATCGCGCAAACAGAGAAAAAGAGAAAAAAAAGAAGAAAAAAGAAGAAAACAACAGGCATCCGTCTTACATCATACTTTTTAATAATCCGTGTTAAAGTATGGAGTGAATGATAAAATGAAGAACGATACCGCAAATGTGATGCTTAAATTGCTCACGGCCGGTGCTTGAAAGAACAGAAAAAGACGGGTGATTTGATTCTCCATGTAACAACGCCATACATTGCGCTGCAGTGGTGAGAAACGGACCCGTCAACGAGAACAAGCAGAATTTGGGAGGCCAGCACATCATGTACAACAGAAGGAAAAGGCAATTAGGAGAGAGAAAACAAAAAAAATACAACAAGACGTTTGTGTACACGCTGCTGCAGTACACACGCAAACGCTACAGACAAAGAAAAAAACGGAGTTCACTTGTGTGTTTCGGATTCTCGTTTCTTTTTACACCCTTTTTTTTTTTTAAAGCGTATGAACGTGGTTTGTCAAGTAACTCCCGCAGCACAAAGGCTAACCGCAAAGTTTTATATAGTTAATAACCGCAACAGAAAGTAGCAGAATATATAGAAGTACTTGTTGCTGCTTAGAAGGCAAACGAAGAAGAAAAAAGCATTTAACGGTCACTTGAGAGAGAAAACAGCAAACAACAAAAAGGTGAAGACAAGGAAAAAAGAAAAGGCAGTTTTTCATTCTATTACTATGATAAGCTGCGAATTGTCCCACATCAGGGAGCCAAAGGGCACAGCGAAGGTCAACGGTAGAAAGAAAAAAAAGAAGGTTATCTCGAAGCTCGAAATAGCGGTGAAGAGAAAAGCAAGGGAACACCGAACGTAAACCGTGAAGCTGCTTTTCTTTAACTAGAAAAGGAGAGATATTGTGTGAGTGAGAACAGTGATCACGCTAAGCCAATTCGCTTTTTTTCATATTATAGGAAACGCTCTTTTTCACCACGGCGTTTTATTGTTGCTAATGGTATCACGACAATAAAGACCCTTGAAAACCAAAAGCACTTGAGAAAAAAGAAAAGAATGAAGAGAGAGAGAACCCTTAACGTTCGTTGAGGAGCAAAAAAAAGGAAAATTGCCTCATTCAACATACTAAAAGACGTGTTTATTATTCTCAAAGCATCCGTTTTACTTTTTCTTCTTAACTATTTTTATTCCTAATATTGTTTTCTCTCTTACGCGCGCCTGCGGAAGAGAGAGATGCGCTTCTTCTTCTTCTGTTGCTGCGCCGGCACGCGGAAGGAGCCGGTATTGGCCGTTGCTACGCTGCCCGCCAGAGAGGCGAATGACATGCGCAGGTTCTCGTTGGCGATCTCCTCGACGCTACGGTCATCCGGCATGGCGCGCGTGAAAGTGTTGTACTCCTTCTGGCGCTGCTCCTCCGTCTCTTGGCCCTCACTGTCGACCTCGACAAGAACTGTGCTGATGGGGAAGGCGCAGTTCTTGATAACTTTGTAAATCTCACACGAGGCGACAAAAATAATGACGCCAATCGCGATGACCGCCCACTCCCAGGTGATCATCTCGTGCAGGAAGAGACCGTGTGCGATGGGCTTGACGTACACAATCGGCACGAACAGCGCCGTGCCGAGGATGCAGGAGCCGTAAATCCACTTGTTGTCGAACCAGTGCATCCTGAAGACCGATAGACGCGGGTGCCGCACGGTGTAGGAGTGCAGAAGCAGGCCAAAATAGAGAATGCCGAAGGCGGTACAGCGAGCCCGCCAGATGCTCGAGCAGCCGGAGCCGTCGTGATTGTTGCAGTGCGTCCCGGCAGGTCCATCCGTTAAGCCGTAGAGGACGACCGCGAAGCCGCACAGCGTGACTGCGCCGAGCCAGAAGCCGTACACGACGGTGTCTGAAATGAGCTCGATCGTGAAGAACCCGGCAGTGTTCGGTGGCACCTGCAGAATGTCGTCGGTGGCCCGGTCGAGCGAAAGGCCGGTGGCTGGCGGGGCCGAGGTGAACATGTTCAACCACAGAATCTCAATCGGCGACAAGATGAACACAGACTCGCCCTCGTGGCTGATCGGCAGACCGCAAATCAGCGCAATAACCTCGGCGACGTTACTGGAGAGCAAATGCACGACGAACTTGCGGATGCACTGCGAGATACGGCGCCCCTCCGCGACGGCCTTGACGATGGTCGAGAAGTTGTCGTCGGTAATGACCAAATCGGCGACGCCCTTCGTCACATCCACGCCGGAGCCCATCGCGCAGCCGATATCCGCAATCTTGATACTCGGTGAGTCGTTGAAGCCGTCGCCCGTCATGGCCACAACACGCTTGCGGCGGTGCAGGGACTCGATCATGCGCACCTTCGACTCGGGCGAGCAGCGGCCGACCACCACTGGAAGGTCCGCCCAGCTATCGATGATGTCGGAGTCGATCTTGTCAAAGTCGGGGCCCGCCTGCAGCTTCACCGGGTCCTCCAGGTCACGGCGGTTGATGATGTTCAGCATGGACGCGATGCTGCCGGCGGTGGACGTGTGGTCGCCGGTGAGCATGCGGACACAGATGCCGGCGTGCTGGCAAGCAATCACGGACGGGCGCGACTCCGGCCGCGGCGGGTCGTAGATACCGACGATGCCGAGAAACACCAGGTCCTTCTCCACTTGATCGCGGTCGTAGGCGTCGATGAAGGGCTGGTTGGTCGGGATGGGGAAGAGACGGGTGGCGTCCTTGCGGTACGAGAGGCAAATCGTGCGGAGGCCCTGCGCGGCGAGGTCCTTGATGTGCTGGTCCACCTTCGCGCGGTCCTCCTGGGTCAAGTGCTGCGTGTTACCCTGCTCATCCAGCTTGTAGTTGCACAGCTCAATCACGCGCTCGGGGGCACCCTTGGTGCAGAGGTACAGCTCGCCTTTCGCCTTGTTTTCCCAGGCGGTGGACATGCGCTTGATCTTGGAGTCGAAGGCGTACTCCGTGATGCACTCCCAGCCCTCTTCCTCCAGCCTGTCACGGTTCATCCCCGCCTTCCACGTCATGACCTGGATGGCAATCTCCGTCGGGTTACCGTTGCCGGCGAGCGTGTCGGCGTCGTCCTCGGAGATGTGCAACACCGTCGTGCTGCACAACGCGGAGCACTTCATGAACTCGTAGATGTACGCTGCATCCAGCTTGGTGGACATTTGCACCGGCGACGGGTTCACGCCGTTCTTCATGGCAGGGAAGAAGTCGCCGTAGGTCTCGTAAGGCGCACCACCGACGCTGTAAATGTCATCGACACTGATAACGGCCTTCTTGACAACCATCTTGTTCTCCGTCAGCGTACCGGTCTTGTCGGAGCAGATGTCCGTCACGTTGCCGAGCACCTCCAGCACGGGCAACTTCCGCACAATGCACTTCTGCTGGGCCATGCGCTTCACCGAGACGGTCATGGCCACCGTAATCACGGCGCACAGCGACTCCGGCAGAATAGCGATGGCAACGGCCGTCGCGTACGATAGCGTAGCCGGCGTGTACTTCATCTTGTTCGCCGCAAACACCACCACGGCTAGAACTGCGCAGCAGAGAAACAAAAAGTACATCATGTAGTCCAGTTTCTTCATGAGGGCCGTCTTTCCGCCACTCTTGCCGTCGTTGAGGCGCTTCGCGAGCTTGCCCATCTCGGTGTGCAGGCCGCCGGCTACCACAACGGCCTTGCCGCGCCCCTGCGTTACGAGGGTGTTGCGGTACACCATGTTCTTGCGGTCGCCGAGGGCGAGGCGGTTTTCAGGGTCGTGAATGACGTTGGCGTGCTTCACGACCGGCAGCGCCTCACCCGTCAACAGGGCCTCGTCCACCTCCAGTCCATTAGACTCGAAGACGCGGCAGTCCGCCGGCACGGAGGCGCCCTGCTCCAGCACGATGACGTCGCCCACGACAACCTCGTCGATGAAGATGATCTCCGGCACACCGCTGCGCAGCACCTTCGCCACGCCGGCCGTCATCTGCTTCAGACTCGCCAGCGACTTCTCTGCGCCGTACTCCTGGTAGAAACCGAGAAAAGCATTGAAGAAAAGGACGAAGAGCACGACACCGAACTCGGCCCAATCCTTGAAGACACCGCTGATGACAATAACGATCAGCAGCACAATCGTGATGGCGTTCTTGAACTGATTCAACAGAATAATGATCCAGCTTGGGCCACCCTTGATCGGGATGATGTTGTCGCCCAGCGCCTTGGCGTGCCGCGGGGCGTCCTCGTTCTCCAGACCGGACAGCGGGTCCTCCAGCTGCACCAGCTCGAAGACGTTCTTCAGCTGCAGCGCCCAAAACTTGTCAGCGGGGTCGTAGAACTCGGGGGTGGGCTCGTCGCCCTGTTCGTCGCCGAAGTTCATGGCGTTCTCGTCGCTGTCGACGTGGCCCTCGCGGCGAGCCGCTGCGGTGGACGTCGTGTCGGCATCGACCTCTGCCATCTCGACGTCCTTGTCCTTCGCACCGCCGTTCTCGCCATCGGCGAACTGCGCCTCGGCGCTGTCGTACATGTAGTCCGGCTGCACCACCTCGGCCTCCGTTGACTTCGCCTTGGGCTCGATGTCCACCTCGTCCAGGTCCACGCCCTTGGAAGGTTGGTTAGACGAGGAGGTGAAGGCGCCAGAGGCGGCGGCGGTCGTCGGCGCAGGAGGCGACTCCGACTGCGCCGCCGCCGGAGACCGGTCGTTGGGGCTATGACGGGGCGCGGCGGAGGAGGCGCCACCTGCGGCGTCAGACGAGGCCGCGGCGACCTGGGCGACAGGCGGACCCCCCGCGGGTGCTGCCGCTGGCGCGGCGGCGATGTCGGCGTTCGGATCCTGATGCATCGCGGCCGCCGGCTCCGCAGAGGAGAAGGCGTCCGGTGGGTGGAAGCCGCCCTTTTCACGGTTGTTAACAGGCATGGTTTGCGCTTACGGGGATTGGGGTGCGGAAGGGGATCTTCTGTTATCAGGTGACAAGGAGAGAGAAAAAAAAAGGATCTTCTTCTTTGAAACGAGCTAGAGACAAGGCAAGAGCGACTTTTCGTTTTCTTTGAAAACTGCACTTGGCTTGTACAAGAGGCTCTCGTAGTCAGGGGTTACGCCTAATGATACACTGAAGTACACTGCGAGTGTCCTCTTTGGTTCCTTTCGGTGCTGTTTGGCGAACTGTAATGTAAAAACAAAAAAATAGAAGAGTACACGGTGGCGGGCCTCTGGAGTACGAAAACGAAAAGCTTTCTTTTTTTATTTTTTATATCGAACAGCTTCGCTTCACAACAAAGAAAGGACACTTAACTTTCAAGAAACAAACAAAAAAAAACGTATGATATGTAGGTGGCTAAATACAGCAAAATAGCAAAGAAACCAAGAAAAAGGGGGTTTCAAAAACAACCGTGAAAGAAAAAAAAGCCAATAACAGTAGTAATACTAATAAGTTTAGAGAAAATTTCTGCTGCATTTTCTCTCTTTGTATATAAGGGTAGAGATGTTCTCCTTTTTTTTATTTTCAACGCCGTGCTTGGTTCCCGTAGAAGTGTAACTGAGGGCGTAACACAGAAAAACGCTGCAGTGCGGAAGGAGAAAGAGGCGTTAATGCGTACAGCAGAAAAGCTTCTTTTTTGCTTCTTTCCAGCCTTAAAAATGAGAGAGAAACGAAAAAAAAAAAGAAGCGTAGTGAAGACAAAATACAGATGCTACGAATAGGCAACGGCGGTTTTTACTTTCCTCTTTTCTCACAGTTACGCTCTTATATATATTCTTTTAGAATTGAATTAGAGGAGAGGGAAAAGGTAGATGACGCACACACACAAAAAAGGACAAGACAAACCTGGCGAATTAGGCAGATTGAACGCTTAGATCAACGTAGGAGGGCTCCTTTCCACAGATGACGGTTTCTTAAATTCTTTTCTTCTCGGGTGTTACAGCAAGGGCGGCTCTGATAGAGTTATATTCGAGTTGTGCATTCAAATTCAGTGGCTCGAGAGCAGAAAGAGGAAAAGAAGGAAATGAAGGAAATATGCGACGGTTTTTTTTTGGTTTATATGTGTGGTTTTTAATGCAAAAGAAAAAAAGAAGAAGAGGCAAGTAGTCTTCTTTGACAGACAAAGACTCCTGTGAGGGGGAAAAAAAAACAAAGAGCAAAAGAAGAAAATCTCTTGGAGGGAAAAAAAGTCCAGGAATGATATTAAATCTTTTCTTGTTAAAAAAAAAAAAGAGATATGCTCTTCTGTGTTGTTGCAAAGAGGTGCGGCTACGTTAAAGAGCACAAATGAACTTGGTAGGAAGGTAAATGGTGCGTTTTGCGTGTGTGCGAGCGTGGTTGGGAGGGGGGAAAGAAGGGGAAATAACGTATGGCGTCATAAGAAGTGAAAACATGAAAAGAGCGGAGAAGGAGTGAGGAAGATAGTGTATCACTCAGCATGCATAGAGAACACGCACATCTAGAAACAGCAAGCTACGTGCCCGCCAAGATGGCTAGCCATCTTGGTAAAGCTTGGGATGTACAGCACGCATATGCTTTTGCACCAACCACATTTTACGATTATTATTCTCCCATTCGCGATGTTTCGGTCACGTTGGTGAGGGGTTTTTTTGTTCTCCACTTCTTTATCTCTATTATTTTTGTTTCGTTCAGTCGCGCTGAACCAGCAATGAGAGTACAAAAACGCCGTAGGTAAAAAAAAAGAGCTGCAAACCTTCCCGACACACTTGTTAAAGTCTACATAACATATTCGAAGGCGTAAAGTTCGCTGCCAATTTGAGTTCCTTCTTCGAGATCCATTTTGGGTGTGTGTGTGTGCACGCGCGCTGCTTTAACAGAAAATTCACATCAATCGCGCAGCGGGGCTTCGCCATTCCAGTTCACCTCTGCGGAGGACCAGACCGGCACGGACGTGATGGCGGTGTTCACGAACGATTTTGCGTTGCGCACTCCACCACCGACGCCGCCAAGGGTGATGCTGCGAACCGTCACAGACAAGATGTAGCAGCCATCCTCCGTCGCGGCGTCCCAGAAGACTAAGTCCTGCGCGGCGCTCCCGCCCAGGTTCAGCTTCTGCTGAAAGACCTGTCGCGTGTCCTTGGTCATGTACAGGTTGGCGTAGTGGTTCCTGTGCCGCAGCACCCAACTAGGGAAGATAGGGTCCATCGCGTAGGTGTAGGTGGTTGAGGGAAGCGACGCATCTGCATCCGTAGAGGGAGTGTCGCCGAGTAACATTCCACACTTGAGCTTGGCGGAGTACCCCATTTGGTTTCCGTTCTGCATTCCGTTATGGCAGAAGGAGGACGCCCGCCCCGACAAGATAAGGTTAGCCAGCGCAACAGTTGCGTGGCCATCCGTGGAGGTGGAAAGCAGAGAGGGGCGCTCCTCATGATTCATCGCCGCCGTCAGCTCCTTCTGCACGACATCCACGCCACGAGACAAAAGCAGAGAGAAGACGAAGCTCAGCAGCCCGCTGCCGCGCGGCTTCATCCAGCGGTCCTCGTCTAACAAGGTCCCACGAAGCACCTCCCTCACTTCCTCAAAGCTCTTCAGCTGCGTCCAGCAGCGCGTGCGGGTCAAACTTGCCTGCTGGCGGAGCGTACCACGGGTAAAGCGGGGCTGCCCGCCCTGCAACTTCCAGTCCCCGTCGAGCAGCACCACCTTAGCGGCGTTCGGCTGCGCCTGCTCCAACACCGTGCTCACGGCACGCAGCAAACAATCTCGCTGCCGCTGCTCCTTCTTCACGTAGACCTCCTTTTCATAGAAAAAGGCCGCGACGAAGGCCTGCACAGAGGCCACCACTGCGTCGCAGCCGCCGGGTCGCCACTGAATGAGGGCGCAGTCCAAGTCCTCATCGAAGGTGAAGCCCTGCTCGAGAAAAGCACGCGTGAGGCCGCCGTCGAAGCCGCAGAGAAGCTGGAAGGCCGCACTCAGCTCTCCACGGAGCTCGTTGGGCAGTGGGTCGCCGCCTAGGGTGTTCGCATCAACACTCTCGTCGTCATCGCTGCTGGCGGCGGCTGCGTTGCCATTGTCGCTGCTGTCCGCTGACCCGCTGCGCCCCGCACCACTCTTCGCTGTCGCTTTATTCTCCAGCTCCATCCAAGCCGGCTGCACCGGTGCACCTGCGGGCTTGGTGGTGGTGGTGGTGGTGTTGGCGGCAGCAGGCGCCGCTGACGGCGATGAGGTCGGCGGACTGGCGTTGGAGCCTGAACTCTTGCGATCTTTTTTCGCGGGTGTCGAAGTCTTCTTCGCTAAACCGTGGGGCTGGTGGGTGTCTTCCTCCTCTGAGTCTGTCTCGTCATTCCCAGACGATGCGCTTTCGCTGCTGCTGCGTGCGTTGCTGAGGAGGTCGTCTATCGTCATGCCCGCCTCTGCCACTTCCTCTGGCAGTCGTGCGTGGGCTTTACTCTTCTTCGCGCGCTCACCACCCGCACCGCTCGTGGGCTCATCCAGCGCCGACATCTTCTTCACACCTTTGTGCTTCTGCTTTCTCTCCTTGCGCGCCGCACGCTCGGCCAATTTCGCCTCCAACGCGCCATACTTAGCCGGCACCTTCGGCAACGGGGCCGCTGCCTCCGCCGTCAGCTTCTCCACCTCCACGCGGCGCTCCACCCGCAAGTTGCACAGCATCTCCATGATCGTCTCAATTCCCTCTCCCTTCATGCGCTGCTGATCATCTGGTTGCAGTGCCATGAGATCAGACATGACCGCTCGAGAAGAAATCGTGTTGTCGTCGCGTGGGTGCTCCTCGTCGAAGGCTTTTAGCGTGGCACGAAAGCCGCGGCGATGCATGTACTCCCGCAACAGCGCATCCGACAGCAACTGTACCTGATCCTCGTGGATCATCGTGTAGACCGGAGCATCTGAAAGATCCTTCAGCTTCTTTGGTGGCATTTTCGCTATTGCTTCTGGTTGCGGTTGCCGTATTCTACTTGCACACACGCGAGTACGTAGCCTTGTTCGAAGGTAACGGCCTGTTCGATACCTTTTCAGATGCCCAATTGCCCACCTTGACCTCACGGACGCCCCTATTTGGACGTGTTTTTGTTCTCGGTGTGGCTTGCTGTTTTGATTCTTTTTTTCTTCGATAGAAGTGAAAGATTGGTGCGCTTGAGAGACGGTGGAGTTTGCGCGTCGTTCACGACACTGCCTTGCAGGCGCCCAACGAGCAACGCAGACGATGCAGCTGAGCAGAAGAAATATATATATATATATATATCGCCCCCCGACAAAACACACGTTACCGTTCCTGCTTCCGAACGTCAATGACAAAAGGAATAAGCTTGGGGGGGGGGGGATTCAGTGTGGAAAAAAAAGATGAAGTGAACAATTAGAGGGCGCTGCTAGAGCGTGAAGATCGAGGGAGGAAGAAACAAAAGAAAGGAGTTCGAGGTAACACACGCTTCACATCAATGGCGGCATTTCCGATTCAAAATTTCGTACAAGCCACAGGTCTATTGTTGAGATAAAGAGCACTCTTTACGCAAGAAACGAAGACCATGTAGTCATGCCTCAGCAGCATACGCCAGCTTGGTCGCCCTCATGGTTCACGTCCCCACTGTGAGCGCTGCTGCTCCGTTACATCATCGTTTTCTTGTTGCTGTTGTGATCCTTTCCCGCTTCACTGAAGTAGTTGGATGTAAGAGAGCAGCAAGTAGAGCATGCACTACAAGAGAAAGCATCAAGTAAAACTTGCCAACAATAAAAAAAAAGAGAGCTCGAATGAGGAGAGAGAGACAGAAAGAAAAATTTGGAGGTGTGTCCCACGTAGCCATTCGTCGACTTCGACAGGCGTGATACAAAGTTTGTCTGGTGCATAGGCTACTCCATCAACTTCACTCGGTTGGACGCCAGGTCGGCCAGATCCTTCTCGGTGAGCAGCGTCGCACGCGGGAGTGAGGGCGCAGCACCCAGAGGCGCATGAATACCTGCGCTGCTTCTCCGATCGCTGCGGGCGGACGTAACAGCTGTGCGTAACTTACCCATTGATTGCCTGTCCGCATCTGCTGCCGCCGCTTTGGATGCGTCGGCTTCCCCTTGCTTCCCACCGCCCACTCCATCCCCCTCGTTGAGAGGACCAATGTCGATGCCCGCAAACAAGTTGTACACCGGCATGACGCCCTTCGTGTAGGCGTCCAGCGACTGCAGCATGATGTCTTCGACGTGCTCCTCCGCGGCACACGTGGCACAGGTCGACTGAAACGTGTTCGACGAGTACACGGAACGGCAACGAGCGCAAAAGAGGGGTGGGGAGGTGGTGCAGATGTTCGGGACGCTGTAGTTGCTCGGAAAGATGCCGCGGCGCTCGCGCAACGAGCCCTCCCACCACCCGTCATTCCAACGTCGATGCACCTGGACGACGTCCCCGGCTTTGCAGCTCAGCTCGTGCGCTTGCCGGCCCGCAAATTTGAAGATAATGAGGACCACGTCACACGTGACAAAGTTGGTTGGAAAGAGAAGTTCAACCGGGTTAGCGGAGGCCGACGAGGTGGCGGCAGATGACGTCGCGCTCCCGTGCTCGTTGCCGCCCGTTGCGGGGTCGGCAAATCGCTGCACAGACTTGAGCGACGGAGATGCTGTTTTTGTCGTTTCCGCGCGCACAGGGGGCGCTGTCCAGGTTGGGCCGTTGCTCTTCGTGCCGTACCACCAACCCGGCGACGCACTCGGCCGCAGCGCGGTGATTGTGTCCCCTGGCGCAAACGACATCTCTCCCTCCCCCCGCGCTTGGTACGTGTAGAGGCAGAGGGCAACGTTCTGAAAAACGTAGTTGACCATGGTCGACTTGAACCGCATGTTCGACGTGACCAGGCAGTTCGGAAATAACCCGCGCAGCGAGTGTGGCGCGTGCGCAGACGAAGCGGAGGCGTCCCTCTCGTTGTCACTGCTGGTCTCCAAGGTGGCAATGGCGGGAATGGTCGGGACGGCCACGTAGCCCTCCCAAAATCCCGACGCGCTTCCTTTCCCGATGACGTTGATCACGTCACCTGCCCTGAAGCTGATCTCATCAGCATTTAGCGCATCGTAGTCGATGAGGGCGATGCATTGCTCCACAGGTCGCTCGGCCTCCGCATGTGTGACGCCCGGTCCTTTCGTGCTCATGTCCTCCTCGTTGTTATCGTTGCCTCGACGTCAGTATCGTCGCCGCGAGAAAGCAGCAAACGCCGTACAATCTTTCGAAAACGGCAAAAAAAAAGGAGTCGCACTATTTCACGCATTTGTAGGAGAGAAGCAAAAGAAGGGGGAGAGAGAGAGAGAGAGAGAAAAGAACTTACTGAGGTGAGAGAATAAAAACGTTGTTGAACACGCAGAGGCGGCGGTGCACACACAAGTGAGTGGGACAACGCAACACAGCAACCGGCGAGCACCGGGTGAAAAGCAGCATCGCACAAGCCCCAACATGTACGCCTCTCGTGCGGCAGAGAAAAAGAAAACAAACAAAAGAAAGCTACCGTGAGCGGCAACAATCACCAGCCGCTGCGTAGCAGAGCCGACACCTTTGTGAGACATCGGAGCAACAGCAAAAAAAAAAAATGTCTCTGAATGCACGTTTCTCGAACAACAAGAGCGAAAGGGTTTTCTCCTTGTGAGTTTTTACTTTTTGGGGCTATCGTTTGAAATGATGAAAACACAAAGAACAAAAAAACGTAAACCAAAAGTGGGCAGAAGTCGACGAAGAGAAATACGGATGGACGTACAGCGCTGATCACGCAAAGAGCAAGAAAAAATAAAGAATTGTAGCGACGCGAAATTCTTTTGCTCTGCTGACCCAAACGACGTTCTCGAATAACATACGTACGAACCCATCCCCCGACGTTCTTAGTCCACGATCACTTCACGTTGAAGTCACTCGGTCTCTAGTGGGTGTCCACCTTGCGCAGCTTGGAGCCGCCGTTGATCAGGCGAATGTCGAGCTCGTGGGCCTTGCGCACAATAGCCTTGCGAGACTTGGCGCCAACGGTGTGCGAGATGACGCCAGCGTACTTGCGGTTCTGCATCACCAGCATGTAGAGGTCCTGCACGTTCTGGATAGGGAAGCCCTTGAAGCCAGAAGGCATGATGTACTTGGTGGCGCGGTCGCTGCCGTAACCCTTGTTCGGCATGGCCTTCTGGCCCTTGTAGCGGCGGCGGACCGGGGAGTCCTCACCGCGGGGCTTGCGCCAGCTCGAGCTCAGCTGAGGGAAGACCTCGCAGCGATGGCGGGTGAAGCGCTTCGTGCGCTTCTTCACGATAGCCTTGGACACGATCGGCTTGACCATTTTTGCCGCTATGATGAAGTGACTAGTGGACAAGGAGAGAAATACGAAGGACCAGATTGGATCAAATGTGCATCAGTCAGTGATGAATTTTTTTTCAAGATAGAAGAAAGGAACAAGCAAGAGTTGGAAAGAAGTGCAGACATCAGGTTTCCTCTAAGCTGAGAAAGAAAGGCGTAAAGCTACACATGAAGGCAAAACAAAACAGCGGACATTTCGCCAATGAGGCACATCTTGCTCTCTCGCCTCTCATTCCTTGAACAGGGAGCCCTTTGGAAAGAGGGGAAAAAAGGAGCGTTGAAACCAGCACGTCGAGCCGGCGAACAAACAGCGCCAATTGTTGCCGAGGGTTTTTCCCACCTTTTTTGCTCTCTCGATTCGCTAAATGCGTTTTTGAGGTCCATTGTGAAGGGAGATGTCCAAGAACAACAACAAAAAGGATACAACGAGAGTAGCGCACGTTCATCTACGCGGACAAAGCGCTGGCAAGCCCAAGTGCAACAGTCCTTAACAGCAACAGCAAAACAAACGACGGGCAGTGCGCAAAGAACAGAGAGTCGTGTCTTGTCCTTCGCTCGACTCTGGAAGGTCCACTAGTCAGTTCGCCACCACGACGCATCTTCGCCGCCTCTGTCGGTTTCGCTGGCCTTATTGCACACAGATGGACGCTCCAACCTCTTTAACGCAGCGCTGCGGGGGTAGCGAAAGCCGAGCGCGCCACCCAGCGACGCTGCCTCCGACGCCAGCTTTCTACGCATCGCTCGTCGCATTGAGCGGCGGAAGTACAAGCAGGAAGGCTGCAACGCTGCGGGCGGAACAGGACGCGTGTTGGGGTAGTTGTTGGAGAACGCCTTTCGAGTTGTGGGGGAGCCGTGATCGAGCGTGAGGCCTTGGCGCACGCGGCAGACGTGCTGGTACGTGTCTTGGTCGACGCAGGGGAACGGAGGCAGAGTGATGATTTCAGATGCGGTAGAGGCTGTCGCTGCATCGTCCTTCAGGGACACAGTGAGGGGCACGGCAAGGGCTGTGTTGGTGGCAACAGAGGGCAGCACACGCAGCGTCACGGCCAGCGTCGACGGGCCTTGCAGGGACCAGCTCTCAAGCTGCGCCAGCGACGGCGGGAAGGTGGTGGTAACGTCGAAGTTCGGCGGTGCGGCGTACAGGCGGTTGCCAGCCGCGTCATGCAGCCTCAGCAGCACCGTGAAGGGCACATCGATGACGACAGCGTCAAACGTTGAGTCGACGTCGGTGTGAGCGAGGTCCACGTGGCCGGGGCATACGGTGTACCACAGCGGCGAGTCCGCGATCGGTTGACCGTGCAGCAGGATAAACAGGCGGTGTGCGCCGGTGCGTCGCGGGGCAGCAAAGCGGATGCGGTAGCGTCCCTTTCCGAGGTCCCGCACCGTTGGCTCTCCCACCTCCCCAACAATCTTCAGCCGCTCCCCGCCTCGACGCAGCGGCTCATGCAGAAGGTTACATGTCTGCACCTCCATCACTACGGGGCTTCCAGGCACGACACGACGAGTGAGGCGCCGCGCAGCCGTCCAGCAGGCCACGCTGCGCTTCCGGTCCACAAACCGCGACACCTGCGGCTCCAGCACGGACAGCTGCAGCAGCAGCAAGGAAGCGATGTGCTGCGCGCTGAGGAGCTGCCACGAGGGCAGGGACGTGGGAGTCACGACACCAGGTGGTTGGCGCTCAAGGCACAGAAGCGGGCAGTAGTAGACAAATATGCCATCTGGAGAGAGGTAGCAAGAGCCGGAGAGGCCCGGCTCGAGCGTCAGCGAAACCTGCCGCACGTGCCGGCGCACAATGGCGCCGAGATCCGCGTCCCAGCCAATGCTGACACCTTCGATAAGCCGCTGAAGCACCCAAGCGCTTTGCTGATGCACCAAAATCCGCATCGCAGAAAGCAGGTGTGCCTTGTCGTTTGTCAGCTTCTCGATAGCGTCGAGATCGATGGTCAGCCGCGCTTGCGGAAGGTAAGCGGCGAGGCGTTGTTGCATCATGTCGTTCACCTCCGCGAGACGCCGGCGGTACACCTCGCACTCCTCCTGCACGAGCGTACGCGTCACCTCCGCAGTAATGTCGCTGCGCGACGGAATCTCGTGTTGGGTGAAGCACAGCATCAACTTGTCACCGCTGAGTTTGACCATGGCCTCGCGGCTTGCCGTGAAGAGCACCAGCACCGCCTTGAGACGCCGCACCAGCGCCGCGCTGACGATGGCGGCCGAGTGGAAGACTTCGTAGGAATTCGCAGTCCTTCTTGCTCGACGCGACTCTGCCACACCTTTCGCATCAGCCTTCTCCAGCAGATGCAGCGGCGGTGGGCGAGGGGAGACGACAGCATCAATGGCCGCCACGGCTTCGACGAGGAGGAGGCGTTCCAGCGCGCAGACCGGCATGCGGTCCAGCGTTGCGCCTTCCAGCTCCAGTTTGAACTGCAAAAACGGCTCCGCAACGGCGGGGTTGCTGACGCGGCTCTCGTTGAGCGCTTCCGCATCCTTATTTGCGGTTGCCGCTGAGGCGGATGCAGCAGCAATGCTGTCAGGCACAGCCGATACTGAGGTCACCACGCCGCGTGGCGCGGCCATTGCATTTCGGGCCGCTCGCAGAAACTTGTCACGGGCGTGGTGCACCCGCACCAAGGCCACATCGCCCGCCACCGCCCGTCCCAACGTTTCCTGACAGGCGTAGGCCACATCCGTGTGCGTGACCTCGTTGAACTCGATGCAGCACGACGGATAGACATCGCCTTTGAAGGTCATGGCCGATGTCCTGGCGTCTGCGCCGGGGAACCGCGTCACGGCCCGCTTCTCCTCCACGTAGCGGAAACACACCTGCAGCCCGTGCGTGGCACCGTGCCGCACGCCCACCACGACGGCGTGCAAGTCGGCCGCGTCCACCTCACGCAGCGTACTCTGAAGCGGACCGCGTACCCAGTCCTGGAAGTTGCGCATTGCCTCGTGCAGCCGCATAAACACGCCGCCGTGACGCTCCACGTCCGCCGACACACTCACTACAGATTCGGGCACCCAAAGAAGATCCCAGTCCACCGTCACAATGCTCCGTTGCAGCACCGGGTGTGGTTGCCGCTGCAGCAGACGCGTCGCCTTCTCGCTTGCGCGGACCAGCTCGGCCTTCCAGCGTTCCCGGTGCTCTCGCAGGGCACAGGGGAGGGAGGCCATCACATCCGGCACCACCAGCGCATGCTGCGCCGAGGACACGTACAGGGAGTGCGAAAGCGCGGCACCGCTCAGCTCCACGTACTGCTCATTGCGATGGCGTACCACCTGCACCTCGATGGACGCAACATCGTTCTTTTGCGTGTTGCTCGCTGCTGCTGCTGCCGCTGCTCCCCCTCGCGCCGCCCACGATTCCGGCGGTATGCCACAAGGCGAAGGCCTGTCGTAGGTGCTGAGAATGAGGGAGCTGCCCAGCCACTGCAGCAGCTGCGTCTGCATGGTAAGATTGCACTGGCGGAACGACTCCGGCTCGTAACGGATTTTAAAAGGAAAATCCTGCAGGAGCAGCCGTAGCACCTCGCGCTCGTGATCGGGATTGAAAAAGCGATAGAGCACTTCCGCGCAGTAGGCGTCGTAATGAAGCGCAGCAATGCCGATCAATCGAGCGTCACCGAAACGAAGGCGGCCCACCTCCCTTGCTGCCGTGACAAGGGGCGGCTGCGTTTGCGTACTAGTGCCCACTGCGTTTCCAGAAGCTCCCCCGTGACCATCAGTTGGTGCGGGAATGGGCGGCGACGGTGGCGCAGCGCCAAATCCGGCGACCTTCGCTGCGTCCCACATGCCAAAGATATCAAAGAGGATGGTGCGTATCGCCGGGCTGAGCGCCGGCACCCAGTGCAGAAAAGCCGATGATACAAACACAGCGCTTGCGGCAGCGTCGTTGGTGGTTAAGGGACTGGTGGCAGAGATGAGCTGACTCCTTCCTCCCTTCTGTTCTTCGACCCCCTCATCTTCCGGCTGCTCGCCGCCTCTACCGTCGTGCTTCACGGGTTGCATCCGCTGTACGGTGTCGAAGCACATCGGCAGAGACGTCAGCGCGGGTGTCTCACCGGCGGCCTCCTGCAGACGTTGCAGCACCTGTGCAGTGCGCAGTACCGCCGCGGGGTCCCCAATGGCAATGGCGTACTCCAGCGGTGTCAGCCGCGAAGGCCCGGCTGGTCGCTGCATTGCGTGGTACAGCATTCGACTCAGTACTTCTGTCCCGCTCTGCTCTCCGTCGTGTGGGTGTGCGGCGGGCGACACCACGTACGTGCGGGCGGCGTTGCGAAGCGTCTGCTCCACAAACTGGACGAGCAGCTCCCCACCGCAGTGGCCGGCCATGACGTGAAAGACGGACACCGGCGATAGAGGCGGCACACTGCTACCATCGCTGCTGCCGACTTTACCTTGACCTGCTGTGTCAGCCGCAATGTCGGGAGCCGAAATGACCTCGACATCCGCGTTGACGCCCTCCGTCTCTTTCATAACAGCGTCCAGCACACCGGCGAGATCGATCACTGTATTCGCCAGAAGGTACGAGGCGCATTCCTTATGCTGGTAGAGCGCAGCATGCTCAAAAGCGTAACGGCCGGTTTGCGGGTCAGGGACAGAGGGGTCACTCATCTCTAGCTCCACTAGCAGCTCCACCACGTTGCGTGAGCCATTCGCCGCGGCGAGGTGCAGCACGCCGCAGTCGTCGGCGACGTTGAAGTCCGCCAACACGCGCAGTCCGACGGTGTTACGGGTTTGCACGCACCACTTTAATAGCGAGACGGCCGTACGCAGCGACGGGCTCACGGGCAGGTACGGCATCTCGCCCGCATGCAGGCCGTGAGCGGCGGGGCTGTTCGCATAGGTTTGTCGAACTCTTTCTGCTAAAGCTGCGTTGATCTCCAGCACCCCTGTTAGCCACCCGTAGCGCTCGAGCGTAGAGTCGCTGCGTAGCAAGCGCCGCGCTGCAGCAATTGTGTCCCCGTCACCGCCGTGCAGTTCAAGTAAACTCTGCAGCGTCCGTACGTCGCCGTCTCCGCAGAGACGGAAGAGCACCTGCAGAAACGCTCGCAACACGCGTGCGCTGCCGAAAGCGTGGGCGAGGTACAGGGGTGTGTGGCCGTCGGCATCCTCGCGCAGCACGAGCGCCGCCGCAGTCTCGCCACGGCTGCCAGTCATCTGCTGAATCGCTTGCGGCGGTGCCGCCAGCTTCAACGCCGCGAGCGCCGTGCGCCAGCAACCGCCCACGGCAGCGCAATGCAAGACCGAGGTCTGGCTCGACAGCAAGTCCCCTGGGTGGCTGAAGTGCTGAACCAGCTGGACGGCGAGGTCGTCGTAACCGTGGAGGGCAGCCAGCATGACCGCCGTACGCCCGTAGGCGTCGCAGAGGGACACGTCCGCGTTGGCCGCGAGCAACGCCTCGACAGCTGCCTTGTGCCCGTGTGATGCTGCCAGCATGAGTGCCGTGCGGCCCTCCCTGTCTTGCTGGTTGAGACGCTCCGGCCGCATCAAGGCGGTGACCAGCACCGTGCGCCCATGTGCGCCCGCCACCATGAGCGGCGTCTGCTGCTGACGCGTCCGACAGAGCCGCCCGAGCGGAACGCGCAGCGCTGCGAAAGTCTCCACCGCAAAGGGTTGACGGTGATGCAGGGCGTGGTAGGCGCTCGTGCAACCGCGGGCGTCAACAGCGGCCTCCACGTCCGTCCGCTGGCAGTGCCGCGCCACTTCGATCAGCACATCCTTTGGAGCCCAGTGTGCCACGGCGTGCATGACGTGCCGCACACTCCCAATGACGTGCGCGAGAACCGCAGGGATTTCTTCAGGGAGCAGCGGGAAGAAGTACCGCGGCGGCGAAGCGTTGCCTTGACTCATCTTATTCTGGTCACTGCAAAGACCGTCCACGTTCGACATAAGACCCGCCACGTACAGGCGGTCGGCGTGCTGCATGATGGCCTGTAGCAGCGGCCAGCGACGCAACGACGCAGCGGCGACGGCGAGCATGTTGATCGTCTCTTTCCGCGGCGTCGCGGCGGGCCACGCGAGCAGAAACCTCAGCATTTCCTCATATGTCTGCACCGCGCCGGTGTCACCGCGGCGCAGCACCGCATCCGCCAGGAGCGTCATGCACAGCGTCAGCGCGTCCATGCGGCACACGTCGTCGCCGCTTCCGTAAAGCGAAGCTCCCGAGTCGAGGAAAGCGTCGCAGTGGTGCCGGCGGTGTCGCGGACGGCGAAACGGCGAATCTCGTGGGCGCCACGGCCGCTGCGGCCGCCCAGCACCGCTAGCCGTCGCCACTCCCAACGTCCGCCTTTCTCTCCCGGCTTCAATCCGCTCCGCACACGTACGCACACGTGCTGCCGCGGCTCGGTGATAAACTAGTGGGGGGCCGTGCACAGATAGGTACTGCACCCAGTCGAAGCTGCCCGCCGCAATCGCACACGTCAAAGCGGTCATACTCGTTAAGAGGTACGTGCCGCCCGCGAGAAAGAAGGAACGGGGCTTCGCTTGCAGCTGACGGGCGACGAAGACGGCGGACACGGCACTGCCGCGTGTGGCAGGCGGGGGCGTTGCTGCACTGACGGAGCCTCCGTCTACCGCCGGACCACCACCACCGCTACGGTTTGCGCCGCCCGATACGTCGGCTGCCTCGAAGAGGTTGAAGACGTCGCCCAACAGCTTGTGCTGTGCGGCGCGGCGACACACCTGGTCCATCGCATGGGAAACTCCAAAGCCGCTGAAGATGAGGGCAAAGAGATCGCGGGCGGCGACGTAGAGAGAGCGCGGGTCGAGCACCAGCTCAACCCGCTCAAAGAACGGCAGCCACGTCCAGCCGTCTGCGTGCGTCGCGGCGAGAGCGTAGAGAGACGGAGCCGTAACGGTGGCCGTGGTGGTCGGCACTGCCAGCGCAAACGACTGCATCACGTCCTTCCCACCAGAGCCCGACATCCCCGCCGGCACGGGGAGATGCAAGCCTTGCACCTCCGCTGTCAGGGCGTCAATCACGTCGCCGTGGCCCAGCTCCGCCGCGCTGTGCAGCACCGTGTAGGACTGGTAAAAAGGGCTCCGTCGGTGCCAGTGTCGCAGCACGTGTGCAACGCGAACGGACAACGACGCCGACGAGGAGAGGCGCGACGCGTCCGTGCGACCTACGCGATCGGCTGCGTTGCGTGGACGGGGGGCGGGCAACACACCACGGCAGATCAGGCCCAGTGAAAGCAGAAGAATTGCCCCCTCTGCGCAGTCTTTCTGAAGCGCAAAATCCACCGCCGCGCTGGTCAGCCGCACGCCACGACGGCCGCCACAACGGTGCAAGGCCTGCACCTGCTCGCTGAAGCTTGTGAGGCGCCACGTCTCTAGCTGAAACTCGTCCATCACACGTTCGACGAGGAGGGAGCGGAGCACCGGCACGAGCCGCGGTGTTGCCGCAAAGTAGGCCAGGGCGGTGAGGTGGCTGTGCTTGTGCGGTCTCCGGAAGATATCTTCTACACCATCAGCCCCTTCCTTCTTCTTTTTCCTGTCGCCGTCAGTGTCCTCATCGTCATCCTTCAACGTTTCTGCACTCACGACGAGGTCTGCCAAAAGCGCTGCGCTGCCGTAGCATTCCACTAGCACCTCTGCCACCTCGAACAGCCCCTTTGCCGCAGCTATGCGCACCGTACTGGCAAACCGCAGTGGGTGGCCCGCCCTCGCCAGCGCACGTACGCAGTCGGTCAAGGCGGCTTGCTGCTCGGCAGACATACCGGCGCGCGCGCTGACAACCAGACCGCGAAGAGCGTCGCCTACAGAGTGGCCGGCGTCCTCCTCGGTGTCCTCGGGCCGCAGCGGCGGGGACGCAGCCAACAGCAGGCGCACACACACGTAGTCCTGCCTCCACGCCGCTAAGGCCAACGGGGTGATGAAAGAGGTTTGGCTGTTCTTCAGCGGAACATGGGCGGCCATCGCTTTTGTCAGGCAGCCCCGCGCGTGCACGGCGCACCCAGCATGCAGCAAATAGGTGATGACGCTCATGTGGCGCTGCTGCACGGCCATGAGCAGCGGGGTCGGATGTGGACTGATCGAGCTTGCTCTCGTAGAGTCCACACGCTGCTGTACCTTCCATTTTTTCTCCTCCTCCCCTTCCGCCACTCCCTCGCATGCCGCGCCACTCTGCGCCAAGTCGATGCCATAGTGCTCCTTCATCTCGGTGAGCACATCGAGTCGCCCCACCTCCGCACAGCACAACACAACGCGATCCAGCCAACGGCACGACACTCGGCGGAGGTCTTGGAGCTGATGCACGGCGAGGAAGGCATCGAGGATGTCGCGCACAAGGGCTAAGCTGCGCTCCGACTTGGATTGGACGAGCCGGGTCAAGGTGGCTGCAGTCACCTTTAAAGCCGCAACGGCGGCACGTGACGCTCCGAGAGCACTGCTGTCTACTCCGTCATCGTCGCCACCGACTCCGAAATGCAGCTGCGGCGATGGGTACTCCTTCGCGTCCGACGCAGCCGCACCCGCAGCCGCCCATCGTTCCTGCTGGGCCTCGTGGACCGCACGCACAAGGTCAGCGTCATCGGTAGGAAGCACGCGACGGCCATGCCGGGCGGCGGGCGCAATCCCGGTCGCCACAAACAGCGCCAGCAGCGGCGCTCGCGCTTTCGTGGCGCGTGCCATCACGTAGTCGGTGACAGTCCACCCGCGCAGGTCGGTGTGCGGCCACGGAGGCAGGCGCAGTCCGCAGCGTAGGGCCAGCACCAACTCTGTCCGCTGCGCCGCCGCGGCGTAACTGTAGACATCACGCACCTTTACACGGTGCAGCAGCGTCGTCGCGGCAGCCTCGCGGACGGCGGGCACGACGCGGCGGTAAAACGGCTTCGGTGGGTGGTAGAGACCGGCTTTGCCGTTTACGCGGTTCGGCAGCAGCCGCGGTGCGTGGATGGTGAGCGGCACCATTGTCGGCTCAATGAGGGCCACCGGACGGGATGGCGGGAGAGGGACGGTGGAGAGCAGCTCCGCCCAAATCGTCGTCGGCAGTGCGAGCAGTCGGTCCACCAGCGCCCGTGTCACCTCGAAGCAGCCCACAGCGGCGGACAGGTGCAGCAGCTCCGTTGGGTGCACGTCTGACCGCGTTGGGTCGTAAGCACGCGCCAGATACAAGGCAAGGTGCGTTTGTTCTCGTTGCTGCAGCGGGCCGGCGTAGAGAAGACGCTGAAGGGTGTGCACGAGCACTCGTGACACCTCCAACGGGTCCACCGTATGCATGCCCAACAGGCCTCGTACCACGCTTTCCAGATTGGAAGCCGTCGCCTGCTCGAGTGCCGACCACGATCCGTCGCCTGCGGAGAGCTGCGCGCGGCTGAGGATGAGCACCTGCGCCACCTCCACTTGTCTCGCGCTCAGAGCCACCCCGAGAGCCGAGGACGACCCCGGCAGCACGTTGGCATCGGCACCGGCGCACTGCAGAAGAAAGGCGGCCGCGTTCGCGTCTCCCGCGGCAGCGCAGGCCACCAGCGGATTCGTATCGCGAGAGTGCACGTCGCACCACTGCGCCTCGACGCACCAGCGAACGCCCACGTCGTCGCGCAAGGCGCAAAAGCGGCAGAGAAGAACGTTGTCGCGACGTAGCAGCACCACCACGGCCGCGGCGCACTGCTGCATGACCCACGAAAGCATCGCCTCTGCGTTCGCGTCAGTGCGGTGAGTGAGAAGGAAAAAGAGGAGGTCGCGCGTGTCGGCAGCGGTGCCCTCGTGCAGCGCACCGTGCTCGCACAACAGGCGAAGCAGCTCCACTGGAATGGCACGCGTGCGGCCGTCGCACACGGCGTTCAACAAGGCACAGCGCAGCGGCGTGTAGCCGAGCCGGCCGCCACCGTAGACGTAGTGCGGCGCTGCTTTGACAATAGCGACAGGATCGGTGTAATCGGCATACGTGTTCGCTGCGACAGGAGCGCGACTTCCTCCAGGACCCTGCACCGTCAGCGACGTGCTGGCAGATCCTTGCCCAGACGGTCTTAAGCTCTGCCGATGCCTGAGCTGCTCCTGCCGCTTCGCTTCTCGCGCCTCGAGCGACCGCAGCCGCCCACGCACGGCGCCGTGATGGACAAGTGCCGTGTTCTCCCAGTGCGGGCCCCACAGCATCTCCGCCGCCGTCGCTGTTGCCGGTGACGTCGTCACTTCTGGCGGGGACGGAGAAAAAGACGTGAGTGCGGGAGCGGAGGACGCTCCTACGGAGAGCGAGTTTTGGTCAGCAACAGCGCCGTGGTGGTTCAGCAGCACAGCCGCCACACGTGTCATGCCCACCCCGCACGCGATGTGCAACGCAGAAATGCCGTGCCGATCTTGTGCGTTGGCGGCCAGGGTGCCGGGCGGGCACTGCGTCAGGAGCAACTCCACCACCCGCCAGCGCCGCTTCTTCATGGCCACCAGAAGCGGCGTGTTGCCGTTCAGGTCGGCCTCCGCCAGACAAGTGAGGGGTAGCTTTTGCAAGAGATACTGCACACAGGCCGGCTCCCCCGCGGCGGCGGCAACGTGCAGTGGATTTTGACGCCGGAAATCGTGGAGAAGAGAGCGACAGAGCGACGAGGAAGGAGTGTGACGAGTACTGCTGCCACCGCCCGCTGCTGGGGAGAGCAGCACCGAGAAGAGGTTCAGCTCCTCGCCGATGTAGCGCAGCGCGTCCACATTACCGCTGGCCGCTGCGGCGTGCAGGGCGCACTGACCTGACATCGCATCCCGTGCAGTCACATTCCTTTCATCGAAGAAGTAGTGATGTGCAAGCGCCTTCATCGCGGCCAGACTGGCGCCGTCGCGGCACAGGTCGATCAAGGAGGGGGAAAAGAGCTGAAAGAGGGCAGCAGGGGTGTAGCCCATGTTGTTGCGAAAAGCGTCGTCTTGGAGGGCAGTGGGGGCTACTTTCAGCGCCCGCAGTCGACCGCACAGCAGACCGACGATGACGGCGCGCCGGCGCTGCAGGGCGAGGTGCAGCGGTGTATCTCCGCTCCCATTCGCAAGCAGCGGGTTGGCCCCACCCTCCTCCAGCAACAGCTTCACCAGCGTGGGGTAGTTCCCGCGGACGGCGGCGTGCAGCGGCGCCTCGCCCGACTGACGCTCCTGCACATCCACGAAAATGTACGACTGAGAAAGTAGGAAGCGCACTGCCGCCTCGTTGCCGACCTGCACAGCGTCGTGAAGCAGCGTGCGACCCAGCAAGTCCTCGGTGTTGCCGTTCCACCGCGTCACCCCCGCACTCCATGTCTCTACGCGAAACGGTCGGCCGTAGCTGGCGGCGAGGGCGGAGGCGGAGAAGAGACCCGCCCCGCTGCCAGAGCCGCCCAGCGGTCGCAGCGGGTCGGTCAGTTGCAGCTGCAGGCGCTCCGCCACGACCCGCTCCACACGCAGCCCGCCCTCGGCTCGGTCGCCTGGTGCGACAAACAACGCGGCTAAGGCGAAGCGCTTCTGCGGCGCCACCTGCGACATCTCCGACACACCGCCGTCGTGGTGCTGCAGCCCCTCCTGTCCATCACGCGTGCGACTGGCGTGGGAGCCCGGGGGGTATTGCACGACGGCCACAGGGGGCGCGGTGTCAGGCACCCACTGAGTGCAGCTGCTGCTGCAGACACCACCACCAGCGCTGCCCCGCGTGCCCACCACCAACGCAGCAGCCGCGTTGGGTGCGGAAGGCGCGCACCCCGCGGGGAGTCCAAATCTCGGATAACGCGGCAGCACGTCCTCCACATGGAGTCGCGCCTCCTGCGCCCTGCTGTACATGCGGCACCCGCCGCCGTGCACAAAGCTAAAGGTTTCGGTGAAGTCGAAGGGGTGTAGGGGGGAGGAAATGATGCGCTGCGCCTGCTGCGACGTGATGTTGGTCGGCGGTTCCCGGACGGCGACCGACCCGCCGTTGCCACCCGACGCCAGGGAGACGAGGAGGCTACGCACCTCTGCGAGGGTGGTATCTAAACGTACATTGATTGTCGCCGTGAGCTGGCTTCCACAGGCAGTCGCCGTGCACACCAGGCACAAGATAGGGGCGTTGGAAGCCGTAAAACTCGCGTGCACATCCATCGCGTGTGCTTTTGTTTACTTTTTGAAATAACGACACCTGACTTTGTTCGATTGAGGCTCTAAAGAGTCGGGGGGAGCTTCCGCTCACGAATGTAGCTACCAAAAAATAAAAAAAAGAATCGGTCCACGGATGACAAAAAAACGAACCCGACACGATTTGCGACAGTCTTACTTAAAGGAGATCGCCTCAAAAAACTACCCGCAGCAAATCGCCAACGATATCGATGTAGCAAAGGGAAGAAGAGGTGGCCAGGCAGCAAAGTCAATAATGCCAAACGTGGACACTGAAACCTCCGCCAACAGTCGCAGCAACAACAACAGAAGTAATACACAACGATAGTAACACGGCAGGGAAAAAGCGCAGAGGAAAAGAGCAAACAAACACGCTCTGAACTTTTGAGCCTCCGGTAAAGTCGTCAAGTCTATTCTAAAACTTCAAAAATATATGTATATGAACGACAGAACGAGGGAGGAGAGAGAGATGTGGATACGCGTAAATACGCGTGTGTGTGCGTGCTGCTTACGAGCTGCAATGAATTACTTCTCTAGGAAACAAAAGGGAAGGGATGCTGGGCAACGAGAGGCCCTGACACGCCAACCTTTACGTCGTGTCAGGCGTATGGGAACAGAAGACAGAGAGGGTTTCACTTGTCGGTGCACGCAGGCAAAAGAAGCTGTAACGGCGCACCGACCATCTGCAGCAACAGGTTTAAAAAAAAAAAGACGGAAGGTATAAGATGGCGGAAAACGAAGAAAGGACTGAAGAAGAGTCATTGAAGGCAGGCATTTGATGCGTACTTAAACAAATCTTTAAACGGTTGATAGTTGATCGTAATCTGCCTTTGTGAAAATGGTCATTTTGGTTGCAGCTCAGGACATTTCGCAGTCAATTTTACCCAATGCTTGTTTTACGTTAAAAAAAAAATGAGTTGATCAAGTGTCCCATCGAGCTGCTCTCATTTGTTCGTTCTTGTTCAAGGTTTTATTTGCATTTTCCTTTCCTTTCCTTTTTTCCCACTTCAGTCGCGTCACCCCGACATGCGTGGTCATCACGCCAACGCAGAGAAGCTTCGACACAGCACTTCCAGATAGATGGACCACCACTGTGCCGTGCCGGCTGCAGACGCCTTCGACGCAGCAGCTGCTTTCGCTAGTCCTGTCCCTCCGTCACGCGACTCCACAGGTGAAGAGATCGTTTTTCGCTCATCTTTCTTCTCCTCCAGCAACTGCGCCTGCACACACGCCCGCAGCTCCCCTACGCGAGCAAACAAATCGCCAAACGTGTACGTGGCCGCCGCGTCATCCGTGCGCCGCGTGGCCACAGATGATACCGACGTCTCTCTCTCCGCATCGTCTTGCTCCTTGCTTACCCCGCGACGCCGCCAGCAGTGCGAGTGCAAAACGCCGATAGAAAAGCCACCCGCTCGCGACGTGGGCGACGACGTCATCGAGCTGCAGCACAGCATCGTCACGAAGCGATGCCAGCCGTAACGCGCCGTGGCAGGCACGTGCGGACGATAGCTGCGCAGCTGATCCTCCGTCACCACACCTGTCCTGTCTGCATCGACGAGATGAAACAGTTGCATCATCGCGTGTTGCACGACGGGCGGAATCGCCATGGCGACCAGGACATCCTGATTCGACCATCTGCTGCACGTGGATTCCATTAGCGCACCACCTCCGATCGAAGAGGTGGTTGACGAGAGCTGCTTTCCTTTTGCCGCAGCTGAGCTCCTGAACTCCGCCGCTTTCTCGTCCGCCGTTACGAGGACCTCGTGCAACTTGCAAAGAGACACGCGCACGCCTGTCGCGCTCAAAAGGAGGGGTCGCAGCACCGTCTCGAGATGACAGAGCGATCCACTCCACAATCCGAGAGCCCTCGGAGGGCTAACCGCGTACAATGCGGCAAGCACGGCGTCGTTCTGGAGAAGCTCCGCGAGACAGATCGGCGTGATGCCCGTCACCACCTTGACCGCCGCCGGTCGTGGTACAACGGGTTGGGCGGCGGTCGCCGGCGTCTCTGCATTGCCGTGTGCGTCTCCTGCCCACCGCACCGCAGCAACCCGGCTCCGCGGGCTCTCGCTGCGGCACCGTTGGCTGGCCTCCGACGCGGCAAGCCGCTTCAACGTGTAGTAGACTGATTCCACCTCCTCCACGGGACAGCACAGCGAAAGATACTTGGCGGGCAACGGTAGAGGGTACACTTCTAGCCACCGACGCAGCAGTTGGGTGATGTCAACTAATGCGCCGGCGCGGCTGGGGCAGCACCCGACAAGGGTGTTGACGAGCCGTGTACAGGCGTCATGCGCGGTGAGCGCAGCGGCGATGGGGGGAGAAGAACAAGCCCACAGACTTTCACACTCTATGATACTGCGTAGAACGAACGTCAGCGCTTCCTCCTTTACGACGACAGAGTGAGAGAAGCCATGTGCCTCGCTACGCAGCTGGCACAAATTTCTACTAATGGACCGGCAGGCAGCTACGCCGATTTCTGCCGACGTGCTGGAAAAAGCTGCCATGGCCCACGTGTCGACGGTGCACCTTTCCTCCGCTGACCCTTGCTCCGCTGCCTGCTGCCCCCCGACCCACTCCTCCAGACTTGACTCCACATGACGCCACCACTGTGCCTCTTCTAGCATAACTTTCTCAGGCGCAGCGCACGCGGAAGCCAGCAGGATAAGCGCCACGTGTGCCGCTACAACCAGGTCCACGCGACACGTCCAGCAACTCGAATAGACGCGCTCGAAAAAGACAGCGTAGTCGTCGTGCAAACACTGCGGTTGCGCTCGCTGTGCAGGTGATGCGCGAGCAGCCACCACGACACACGCCGTCTCGTACAGGTGCGCTTCAATGTTGTGCCGCAGCGCAGAAAGGATGTCCTGTCGTTCCTGGGGCAAGAGGCGACGACACGCGTAGCGCAGCCAACCACGCGATGCCTTTAGAATGTCTCCGTGCTCCAGCAGCGCCGCACACATTTCCGACGCCGGCAGCATCCTCGTCTGTTCTGTTGGGCTTTGTGACGTTGCTACTCCGGGCCGTGTAGTTGATACAGGACGCACGGCGGGCCACCTTGGGGGCGGCACGGACAGGGTTTGCGTCGAGAGCACCGCCAAGCAGTCGTGCAACGTCAGCGTGCCGTCTACAAAGCGGGTGGCTCCGGTGATGAGACGCGCGAGGGGCGGCGAAATCGTCATGAGGCGGCGTCGAAGCTCGAGGAGGTGCGTCAGCGCAGAAGCAGGTGCAGTACGATGCTGCCCCTCCGCACTGGTGCGATTCCTGTGGTAAGAGAGGAGATGATCGCCTACGGCCTGGACTGCTTGCTCAACACAGCGGCGCGGCAGGCGCTGCGCGGCGTCAACGACAGCCTCCAAGCGCGTAGAGAGTGGCACGAGCACCTCCAAGTTAAGGTAGCGAGGATCCGTCAAGATCACCTCGGCCAGCCTTTCCACATCCACCAACGTCAGCGGCGCTTCAGTGCAGGACGCTGACGCCGCCGCAGTGGTGCCGTGACCCTCCGCCTTCAAGGACATCTCTTCAGGGGAGGAGGGGGGCACTTCGACCGCTGCACTGCGACGGGCCAGCGAGCACACCGCCTCGACGTGGTTCCACAGCACGGCCTCTGCAGCGGTGCCCTCAGCCACGGAGAAATCAAAGATGTCGGAGAAAAGGGCGTTGCGCGCATCACTGAGTAGCGACGCCTGCAGCACCGTCAACGGAAGCACTGCTGCACCTGTAACGCTGCCTTCGCTGTTGACGGTGGGTCCACTCGGAGAAGAAAAGCAAGAGGAAGAGCGGAGGCAGCTACACCACTGTGCAATTCTCTCAATTCCTGTCTCATTGACTGAAACGACATTCCTCGAGAGCGCGGCGTCGCAGCCGGGGCTCTTGGATGCTGGACTGCGCACCGAGCTTGCTGCACCTCGCACGTTGACCGTCGGTCGCTGTGAGAGGCCACTGGATGTGCCTTTACCGGAATGCGCAACAAAAGTTTTACCATCGCCACTACCCTTGTTATCGCTCTTCGTCACTGCTGCTTTGTCCTTCGCCCCCGACAGGCACGCGCTGATGTGCTCTGCGTAACGCGCGAGTGTTCGCTGCACAAGCGCACATTCTAACGGCGACATCCACTGGATCGAGTGAGCGAGTCGGGGTGAATACTGGAGAGACGATAGTGAAGTGCTGCCTTCTCCTCTCAAAGCGGCACTGCAGTTCACACACCACGCAACGAGCTCCGCAGGAAAGGCGCCGCTGTCGCACTGGAAGGACCGAATAAAAGCAGGCAGAGACACACAGCGACCATCTGTAGAAACGGAAGAAGAGGGAGAACTCAAACGAGGTAGGGGAACGCAGTCCACACGTGCACCACCACCAGCAGCAGCCTCAATCGAACGCATTGTGGAGGACAACGCCAGGCGCAGCATGGCAGCTGCAGCGTCCTTCACATCGCTGCGTACGCCGCACCCCGCCGCGCTGCTGCCCCTCTCCCTGCTGCACGCGGCTGCCCGGTCCAACAAAGACTGCAGTACCTCCGCAACCTCGCTCGACGAAATAAATCCGCTGCCGTTTTTGTCCAAGAAAGAAAAGGCAATTTGAAGCTGCTCGACCTCCTCATCCGAAAGCAGGCGCTGAGGGGGTGCAAAGGGGGAGAAGTCGTGTTGTTGAGGTAGGGGAATAGGTGTGAACAGAGAGGGACGCCGGCTGCTGACCAGCGGTGTGTCGTGTGTCTTGCCCCACAGCTGATTTACCGCCACCTGGTAGAGACGCTGCTGCTCCCACCCGATGTCCGTGCCGGTGGAGTAATGCGGCGTTGTGGAAGTCGACGCGGAGTGAAAAACGTCAGCAGCGATACTTTCCGTTTCGGCATGAGGGGGCGACATCGATAGACCTCGAAAGGGCGATGGTGAAAAGTTGGTCCGGCGACTTGTATGGCGCACACGGCTGTCCTTGCCTTCACTGCCGCCCACCTCGTGCTCGGTGTCGCTCTCGCTTCCGCTGCTCTGCTGACTCCACGTTTCGTCCACCAAGCGGGCCATCTTATCGCTTACGAGAGGCCAGTAAGTCTGCATGAAGCCACACAAGTCAAGCGGACGCAGCGCGTGGTCGGCGTGGCGCAGCGTTGTGAAAGAAGTCGGGCTGCTCCACGTCTGCGGCACGCCGGGTGTCATGAATGAGCGATGCGCCTCGTTACAGCAGCGGATGTCCTTTGGAGAAACGGGCGTCGCTGTCGCGCCGGACGACGATGTTGTCGTGGCCTTGGCGAAGGATAAAGACGGCAGCGAGTTTTCCACGGCATCCGCCGTCACGTAGCCGTCGCCGTCCACGTCCACAGCGTAAAAGACGTCGCGGAGAAATAGGTAGATGAAGTCGGGGATTGCCGACTGCTCCTGCCGTACTGCCGCGTCGGAAAGTGCGTCCAGTACTTGCTTACGAGTAAAGACACGGGAAGGCATTGCAATGTAGGCAGCTCCAAAGGTGCAGTGGGGGGGGGGGAGGGGGAGAACTAATATGTATATCAACTAGACGTCTTGAATTCAACGGGTAGGCTTGTCGCAAAGAGTGACTGCAATAAATATTCAAAAAAGAAGAAAGAAAGATATAAAGACAATATAGTGAGAAAAAATGTGTATCATCTAAGCAAATCTAAGGAAGTCTAGAACCCTGTGAGGAAGGTAACAAAAATTTTAAATAGTCAAGGTCAGTGGAACGGTGGAATGTGCGTGAAATCCAATTGGAGCAGTGGAGAACTATCCCGTCAACTTGGGGGAAAAGAAAGAAGAAAACAAAACGCAAATCAAAGCTCCACAGCACGGGGCCCTTCGTTATTTGTGCTTTTGTTTGTATTTAAGGAGTATTCTCACAATGCGTTGAATGCCTCGTTACCATTCTTTTTGCCTATAAGGAAGTGCGGTGTAGCTTGTGATTCTTCTTTGTGTCGCAGCGCTTCGGGAAAGCACCCTTCGGCGCAGTGTTGCCGCGGGACATGAATTATTTTTAAAAAATGGAAGGAAAAGGGAAGAGGAGTTGGATGAGGTGTGGACAAGCGCCTGACCAGCTGGAACATGAAAAGGAGAATACCGAAGCTCCTCGAGGAGGAAAAACATCGCTGAGCTTCGAGAATTCATCGCGAGAACAACAAGAGAACATACTGCTTCTCAAGTGCAATCTGGCCTCTGCATAGCGCGCACCTGAATGACACCAAATGAATATCTTTTTGCAAATGAATCCAAAAGGAAACAAATGAGCGACTGAAAGCTAGCCTTGTCCACGTTCGACTTAACTCTCTCTCTTAGCTGTGGGTTCGTCGTCTTGATGTGCGAAAGCTGATTCACTCACACGCAACTTTACGAAGTAAAACGAAAACGAGAAAGTGAAGAATGAAGAAGAAAAAAAAGGACCGAGGAAGAAAGGCGCGGACCTACGAAGAATGCGGAAAAATACATATATAGCACGCGAAGAGAGAAAAAAAAAAGCTGCTAACACTATCATAAACGATACGATCGGGCTGCTTTCAACAGAGCACGTTAAACCACGCAGGCCAAACTCCCCGGCAGTGGCGCAAACCACAACACACATAAGAAGCGAAGAAACGAGGCAGCTTTAAAAACCTCCAATGCACAAATCTGTCAGCAAAGGCAAAAAAAAGGGGAGAAGGACACGCAGTAAGAGAGAAGCAGCTGTTCTCGTTTACAGCCGTGTGCCGTAATCCACGAACGGCGCCACCTTGGACCACATGATGGAGGTAATGAAGTACTTCTCCTCTAAACGGTACAGATCCTCGCGGGGAATGCCAAAGTCCTCCCAGTCTAACAGGTCCGGATCGCGCTCGGGCATGGCGCAGTTGTCGATGAACTGGCGATCCACCCAATCCGCCGTCCACGCCGGCGCCTTCGTACCAAGCAGAAAGCCTTGGTGCACCGGCAAACGCTCATTGAGGCGGCAGACAACGTCAAACGCCACCTTCGGCATGTGCACCGTCAAGTGGCGTTGGCCGTTGCACTCCGCGCACCAGCGAAGCAGGTCGTTCGTGGTGAAGCGAACAGGTCCGCCCAGCTCCGCGATGCGTCCCTCGGTGTGGTCCAGCAGCAGCGACCGCGCAGCCGCCTCCGCCAGGTCGCCGGCGAATACGGGCTGGTGGATGCGGTGGCCGTGGTTCGGCACAGGCACGATCTTCAAGAAGCGCTGCGCCTTGAGGTACTTGGAGTAGGTGAAGTCGTTCTCCGAGAAGATGTCGGTGCCGCGGATGATCGTGGCGGTTGGGAACTCCTCCAGCACTGCGATCTCCGCCTCGCGCTTTTGTCGCAGCAGCTTCGAGGGGCTGTTCAGATCGGCGCCGACCATGGACATGTGGGTGAACTTGAGAATGCCGAGTTCGCGGCTCCACCGGGCCAGCATGCGCGGCCACTCCACGTTGATCGCCTCCATCGAGAACCACGACTGGCTGTTCTCGTAGCACGCCGGCTCCTGCCACGCACCGACTACGTTGATGACGTTGTCCACTTTTTCTAAAATCGCCTTCACCACGAACTCCTTATCAATCTCATAATCCGTGTCGAAGTTCTGGCCCACCGTCCCGTCACCGCTGGAACGCATCTGCCGCACGCTGCTCGGCATACCGGAGCGGAAGCGGAAGGGAACGAGGCTGGTGTAGCCGTGGAAGCAGTTCACGGCGTGAATGTGGTGTCCCAGGATGCCGGTCGCGCCAAAGGTGGCCACGTTTACCCCCATCGTGTTTGCCTCTGCACCACCGTGGCGCCAAGTCGAGGACAGCTCCCCGTTCATGTTCCGCACAAACATACGGCGAGACATGGTTCAACTCAAAAAAAAAAGAAACAAGCGACAAATCGAGAGCAAAATTTATGGATGTCGCGATACTCGCCTTTCATCGGCGCAGTTGCGTGGAAAACAACAAACAAAAAAGAGAATGCAAGAAAGAGCAGCAGTTCTTCTCCTACCCTTCCTTCGTTCTTCTTCTTTCCTAGCGCAGCACAACGCTGCTAGCGGAGTATCCTCAAATAAGGTACGTTATACTTAGCGAAAGATTGCCGTGGAGGACTTCAGCAGCGAAGGAGCGCGTCAAGGATGGAGAACTCACTATTGCTAAAATGCTATGATTCTACTAATTTCAGAGAAAACCTATGCTTTTTGCAGCGTAGATGAATCCCCACGGACTGTGAACACGCGGGGAACGCTAAAGGGAAGAAACGATATTCTATCGATACAACGTGAGGTGCGCGCACACCAGAGCTTCTACACCGACTTCCGCTGTACGGCAGCAAAAGGAAAGTAAGGGGAAAATCGTGTGTACGTGAGGAAAGGCACGGAGTTTCAGAACAAAAGAAAAAGATAGGAGAAAAGTTACGAGGAAAGTATTTCGCCTTCGGTCTCAGAAGGCATCATAAAGACCGCCATAGAGCCAACAGACGTCTTCTTGCTTGACACCACCTTCAGTGTGATAGTCCTGTAGGAAGAAGCACGTGAGGTTTGAGAAGAAAACAAGAGAAGGCCCCGCCGAAGGAGAGAAAGCCAGAGCAGCGCTTGACGAAGCATCACGAGTTGCACACACATGAAATGCTTCTCAGAGGTGCGCATTGCTGTCAATGCTCGCGTTGCGGCGAAGGAGCTGCTTCTCTTCTCAGCCCTCCAAAAAACCAAGATGGATCGTCATCACATCGGTCATGAAAGGCAGTTGAGAAAAGCCACCACCGATTAACGTCCCCACTTTAAATTCTGCTTTCTAGGTTGTTGTTTTTGTAAAAGTATAAATGAAAAGAAAAGAAAACACGAAGTAGTGAAAAGGGCAGAACGAAAACGAAAATCACGAAGTCATCTCGCTGACCACCGAACCTCAGCAAGAGCCGCTACGAAGCCTACAAGGAAGAAAACAAGAAAAGCAGATACGCGCATGAAGAGGGAGAAAAATGAGAAAGAGAGGCGGCATCGCGAGCGAGCCGATTCTGGAGGTGAGACTACTCTTTTTTAGAGAAAAAAAAAAGTGGCCTTGCGCGCTTTCTCCTCTCTTACATCACTTCTGCCGTGCCTCAGTCGCCTGTGTGAACGCTTCTTCTCTTTTACTTCTTCTGGAAGGCGGCCACCTCAGCGCGCTGGGCCTGCACCTTGCGGGTGTGCTTCTTGGCGTGGTCGCGCTGACGCAGGGCACGGCGGTGCGACGCGATCAGGCGCAGGTACTCACGGCGCTCCGCGGCAGAGCGGCGCACGTGCTCGAGGGCGGACTGGGCCTTCTGGTACCGGCGGGCCTTGATCTTCGGCGTGATGAGGCGCTGGATCTTCGGGGCCTTCATGCGGTCCTTCTTGCCGTCCTTCGACACGCGGCGGCGCACCACGTACTTGCGCACGTCGTCGCCACGGGACAGGTTGAAGAGCTTGCGGATCTTGCTGGCGCGCTTGGGGCCGAGACGGCGCGGCGCGGTCGTGTCCGTGACGCCCTCGATCGGCTGGTCGCCGACCTTGGAGATGGTCACGTTGACGACCGCGATGTCGCTCGCCAGCACGCAGCCGCGCACGTTCTTGCGGCGACGCTCACCCTGGTAGCCACGGAAGGTGTTGAAGCCGATCGCACCGCGCTTCACCAGCAGCGAGACACGGCTGGAGGCCAGCACGCCGGGCACCATCGGGAAACCATCCTTATCCGAGCCACCGCGAAGGCGGAAGATGTAGCCCTTGAACTCCTCACCGAAGATGGCACCGTCGACGTCGTTGCCGAGGCGGTAGTCCTGCAGCTGAACACGGCGCAGCACGTCGTCCGTGATTTCGAACTGCTTCACCGTACCGTTGCGCGGGTACGCGATGTTGAGCTTCATGATTCGCTGACAAACTACTTTACTGTTTGTAAGGATGCAGTGGAAAACAGAGTTGAAAGTTAGAACGCAAAGATATAAGCAGTTATTGATTGTAATTGCAACGAAATTCGAATTGGAAAGCGAGAGAAAGGAGTAATAAAACGGAAGAGAATAGTAGAAGATCGCAACAGCGAAGTTGTTGCGGCAGGGGCATGTGAGACGACGCACCGCGAGGGAGACAGCACAAGAGGAAGGAAGGCCAAATACAGCCCGACAAAAATGCGACAGGTGCAACACACAAAAACCAGGACACGGTTGAATTGCTTCCTCAAGGAAGCTCACAACTGAATGAACGCCGGGCGTTTTCGCTTGTGAAATCGCACTTCAGTAACTCCACTAGAATCAAGAGGAGAAAGAAGAGTTGTTCCTTGTGGGTCGGCACAACCAACAAAGTGGCGCAAGGAAGCCATAAAGCTGTGAGAACAAAAAGCAGGTCAGCTGAGCAATTGTTTCTTTCAACCGTACCACGAAGTTCTTGTGCGCGCAACTTAGTTGGAAACACACCTCTTAATAGATAAGCAATAAGAGGAAGCGTCACTTGAAGTCGCAGGCAGGGAAACACTTGCGGACAAGCACAAAAAAGCATTAGCGTACACGGTAACGTAAAGCAGGGAGAGGGGGAGGGGGACGGCAAATACTGTCGTTTAAAGCCTCGCCGTACCCTTCCGAATCCACGAACCAAACACCGCCCCTCCGTGTAAAGGGCGGTACGACGCACCGACGTCCACGACGACACCACGCCCAGCAACAACGACGCGTCGATTCAAGAAACAATTGGCCAGCTCCGCTGTTCCGTTCTCGAGAGAAGCAGAGGTGGGAGCCGTGCTGGCCAGAACCAAAGCCTCCACCAGTTTGTTCTCCGGGGTGCGGACCAGTGCCGTTGCGGTGGACGTGGAGGGCGAAGAAGGCGTACTGTTCATACATTCCTGTGTCGTTGTCTTTCCACCTTCCATCTGCAGTGTGGTGTACGATGGTGCGTGGACGTTGAGGTCCGCATCGCCGTAGATTTCAAATCGCCGACGATACATCTGGTAGACCGATTGCCTCCACCTGTCGGACTCGCCGGCAGCACCTTGCGTTGCCTCCGTGACCGTCACCGCCGGCAGATGTGCAGCAGCGGACGCAGATACGGCCAAGTACAGCGATCCCAGCAAAGGCAATGTGTAGTAGCGCAAATCAACCTGATCCCCTTTGAGCAGTGACACCCCGAGCTGGCTGCCCTCGCGATGGTAGCCGTGCCCCAGTAACGTGCGCAGCACCGCTCGTATCTCCGCATGCGGCAGCTCCTGCAGCAGTACCTCGAACTTGTGCGCGCGAACCGCCGTGCGCTCTCGCAGTTCGCGGCGCCACTTTGGCTCGGCGTTGCGGAGCGGCAGGCTCGTCTTTCGACTCGAGCACAGCTCCAGCAACGAGGAAAGGAGGTGCACCGCCGCCTTCACCGCACCGTCGACGTCGCCCATAACGTCTTCGCGCCACTTCCAGGAGAAGGCGCCGAGCGTGTTCGTGAATTGCTGCACACGCAGGGAGTGTGCATCCGCCCGTCGTGTCGTTTGCTTGCGGGCAGCGCTGCGCAACGGCAACGATGCCGTCGTCGTAGCCAGTGCACCGCCCCCTTGTGTGACTGTTCGAGAGGAAGTCGGAGCGGAAGCGGAAGCGGAAGCAGATGGCGGCGTCGGCTCTTCGCACAAAACGTCCACGACCGCACGCACCGCGCTCACCACTTGCCGCATGTGTTCTTCGCGATGCGCGTCCTTCGCCGCCACCATCACCACCGTCAGCGGCTGATCAGCCGGCACAAACGACGCCGCCAGTGCGTAGACGTTGGCGCTGGACAGCAGCAATGCCAAGTCGTGCAGGTGCTGCACGTAGTCGCTCTCTCGTTGCACCTGGGCAGTGGAGGACAGGATGTACCGCAGCATGCGTGCATAGACGACGGCGTGCGTCCAAACAGCCGGCACGAAGGAGCACGGTCGTCGCGGCAGTGGCGGTGCGCACACCTCGATGGGCGAGTCCATCGTGTTATGCATTTCTGTCAGCAGACTGAAGCTCAGCCGCTCCCCCAGTCGATCTTCCTCCAGCAGCGGCAGAGGCAACGACGCAAGAAGCTCGGCCTGTGTCGCAGGCGTGATAGGCAGAGCGACGCGCAGACCTTCTGCGGAGTCCACACGAGCGTCACGTTGCGTGTCCGTTTTTCGGCTTTCGTTCTTCGCACCATTCGCATCTTGCAACGTCCCGGTGAGCAGGCGGGCGGCGTGGCTCGCCTCCTTCACCGTGAGGAGGCAATGCAAGTGCCACGAGACTCGCGCCGCTCGCAGGGCGGCTGGGGAGAGCCCGTCTGACCAGTTCTCCGCCCTGCCGGAGGTGACGGCGGTGGACAAGGAAAAGGGTATCCGAGAGGGCGGCGCCGCAGAAGGCTGGGTGAGCTGCGTCCACAAAGAAAGCCACCGCTCCTCTTGCGGTACTGTTTTGGCTGAACTCAAAGGCTGCTGCTGCTGTTGATGTTGGGCAGTGTCGTATAGAGTCAACGCGCTGGCAGCACAGTGAGCCGTCAGCGCGATCCCAGCTGCATCCAGAGAAACCTTTCCTACCTCCTGCGCCAGCCTCAACGCGGCTTGTGGCGATGGCGCGAGGCATACACCGCACAACTGAGCCAACCACCGGAGGAGCGGCAAGGGAGACACCGCAGCAATTTGTGCGGAGCGCGGAAGCTGGCGAGCAATATTACGAAGGGTGTGTGCAGCGAGCAGGTGCAGCGGCGACAGTGCCGCCCACGTCTGTGTCGCAGCTGTTGATGAGGTGCCGCCAGCTGTGTTACTCCTCGGAGTAAAGTCTGGTGTCACTGGGCGAGATGCGGGGCCTGACGACTCAAAGCGGGTGGCGACCCAAATCGGCCAGTCCGCGGGACTTAAGGTCACAGCGACGCACGCACACAACATCGTCGCCACCGAATTCGCCTCCCTTTCAGCGTTGCACAGGATCTCCTCCACGTCATTCTTCCCCACAGCGCACGCGCCGATCAACGCGGGTTCTTGTTTTTGCTGGAGAATTGCGCAAAAGACGCGAAACGCATCCCGGGTGGCTAACGCGTGCTGGAGAGTTTCTCCTTGCCCGACTGGAGCAGTGCCGTTACTGGGCATCATTGCCAGTGAGGACGCAACGAGGGCATGTTCTCGTCTCTGCACCACATTTTCGGAGAATGCAGCCAAAAGGGATGCGTGCGGCTTCGCTCCGACCAAGAAGGAGGTAGACGGCGACGAAGAGGAGAAAGACGAGTTGTTCGCTTTCACTGTAATGCCGATGCTAGCGTTAATTATAGAAGATGTGAGTTGTGGTGACGGTGGTGCGTCCATCGTGTTGGTGGCGGTGAGTCTGCTGCACCGCGGTCGGCCAAGACCCAGCGCGGCCCGCCAGCTTCCTCTTCTCTTGAACATCCCCCCAAAAAAAGTGTTTAAAACAATTATTAAAGTCTGCTTAAACAGAATTCGTGGCCGAGTCGACCGTGGAGCACGGAAGGTAAAGAAGAGAAGAGGCAACAACGATGCTTACCTCACAGCACCGGTGTGCACCTGTCCGCCGCAATACCTTTCTGGTTCGTACTAGTATTATTTTTTCCCGTGAAACGGAAAACAAAAGTTGTCAAAAGGAGAATGAGATCGTTTAAGGAGGAGCGGCAATCGCAGGACCATCAGAAAGAGATGTGTGTGTGTGGGGGGGGGGAGGGTATCAAACAACTGCCTCTTTGTCTGTTGCCCTTTTACACCGTTCTCCCACAGTTGCTCTTTGCTGTTGTTCTGCAGCGATATCTTTACAATTATCAACTACTACCGCGGCATATTCTCCGATGGAGTAATTAAACACGCGTTTTAACCGATATCGTCGGCTGAAAGAAGGAAAGTAAATGTCCAAAGCATCTTCCATCCAGCTGGAGCGTCGCCTCCCAAAAGTCTTGTCGTACGTGACGCCAGAAAGGCGTTCCTTCTTCTCAACGCATGTCTTATTTTCTTTTCATTCTTGGGCAGTAGTTATTCGAATGCTTAGACGATTAGCAAACCGGCAACTTACCATTGCCGCCGTTACATGGTTATCACACAGTTAGAGGTGAAAACAGGAAAAAAAAGAGCACCAAACCGTGCCACAATCCTAGCTACAGAGTGCGTGAGCATGGCAGAATCAAACACCTATTTATTCGCTTTTTTTCGCTTGGCTCGTTGCTGTGTGTGCGTCAACTCCTCGTTTTCCTTTCCTTTCACGATTTGGCTCACAGTGCATTCAGTTTCACCATTAACTGCTGCGGCGACAGAGCCGACCGTCGACCCTGCTCCACGACTGTTTTTGCCTTCAACAGATCCTTGGACACGGTGCGCTCAAACACGACGTAGGCCACCCAGTCCTCGGTGTTCGCCTGCTGCACCGCAGTCGTGGAAGCTTTCCCAGTGGTGGCGGACGGCGCCTCGCCCGCCGACAGCTTCTTCGCAGGCGTGCCGTCGTACACGAGAGGCAGGAAGGACTCGGGCTGCTTCGACACTCCGTACAGCTTCAGCAACGCCTCGTGCGCCTCCCGCGCAGCCTGCACGGCGCCGCGCACCGTCGCCGGGCTCGCGCTGGCGCTCAGCGTGCGGTACACCGCCACTCCCTCCAAGAACGGGAGGATGCAATGCGTGTGGGCGTAGCGGGGAAGCGGCTGGCACCGCTGCGCCACCACCAACAACCCTTGCAGGTCCGCCATCCACCCTTCGGCCGCCTCCGTCGACGCCCCGCGCAGCGCCTCGACGACGACATCTCGTGTGCACACACGACGGCCCAACCACGAGGCGAGACGACACCGCAGCAGCGACGTCACGCCCTCCAGCCGCACCCACTCCTGCGTCCGATCGAGTACGCTGGAAGAGACGCCGCTAAGGAAGTGCAGACCCGCGGCGGCGAAGCTGGTGAACCGTGTAGTGCTCTGCGTCACAGAGGACGAAGAGGGGGAAGTACCAGGACGCGCAGCAGTACGGCTATCAAGATTATAGCTCGCATCATCGTCGCTGTCACTATCGTTGCTGCTGCTGCTGCGGACCGCAAACTTCTTGGAGGCCCCACTGTCGTTCGCAAGATACGGCGCGTTCGCGTTGAGAGGGCCCACCATGGATTCCAGTGCGCTGAAGACGCGCCACATGGACAGCGGCAGCAAAGTCGCACGGTCGTCGCTAACGGCGGCGGGTGGACAGAACTGCAAGGCCGTGGTGCGATTGAGCAGAAATGCCTCCGCCACCGCCCAGGCGTCCGTATCCGTCAAGCGACTCCGCTCTGCCGGCGTCTTCTTGCTACTACCGCTCCCACGAGAGTTACTAACCAGGCTATTCATTGTAGCAGGTAGCAGCCCATGTTGCTGGAGAAGGTCCACCACTGCCATGCGGCGGCGTGCGTGCGAGGCGGCGACCTCGCCAGCGGACACAATCGGCCCGCCTTGCAGCTGCGCCCCCTCCTCCTTCCACCACGCAATAAACCGATCCACTTCCTCCGTCGTCAGCTGCAGAGGCTTTGTTGCGGCATTTCCTACAAGCGCAGAGGCAGAAGCGGGTGATGTCAGCTGGGCGCCGGTGCTACGCAGCACGTCGCGATCCTCAGCGTGCAAGAAGCGCTCGAGCTGCACGACGGACCAGGTGAGCAGAGGAGAAGCAGAGGTAGCAGGAGAAGCCTCCACGGTGGCGGAAAACGAGCTCGGCTCGATGCGAGCGCGAGACCTGGGCGGCGCAGCGGTGCTCGCAACAGACGTCATTTCCTCCTCCAGCTTGTGGACTCGTTGCTGCGGCGTCTCTACGCAGGTTTGCTGCGTTGCCTGGTCGAGCTTCCGCTGCTGCAGGATCCAGCAGGCCACCTCTGCCACATCGAGCGGCGTCTCCGCCGGCACCTTCTTCTTCTTGTCGTTCTTCCTTGCCGCGCCAAACTTCGTCGCCGCGGCACCGCCATCACCGTTGCTGCGGGACGACAGCGAAAATGAGCCCTGCAGGAGCGCCGCACACACCTTCGAGACACCTGCTGCCGCTGCCGGCGTGCCCGCTAGTCGGCGGAGAACGTCTATCAATGTCTGCCGCACAGCAGCAAAGCGCAGCGTCGAGTCCGCCGCATCAGACGCCGTGACAGCCGGCAGGGCGGCAATCGTCGAAGAAGGCAACGAAGCAAACGTAATGATGGAGACGAGCGTCTTGACGGCGGCGCGGCGGCGGTCCTCGACGGACGGGTTCGCGAAGGAAAACTCAGCAAACGCCGCGTTGCTCGAGTGCTGCTGCGGCTGCTGAGAAAACTGCTGGCGGCGATGCGCGTCGGCAATGGCACCGCCGCCGCCTTCTGACAAATAGGTCGTCGTGTCCACGATAGCCGTAGCGTAGCGGTTCACCAACGCATCCTCCATGGAGAGGTAGGCGGCGAAGACGGCGTCGATGCTCTGGCGATGGCGCCACTGCACACGCACGCGCAATTGCTGCTGCTGGGAGACGATGGAAAGCGTGGTGACTGACGAGGTGGTGTCACGCCCGCCCGGTGCGTCCGCGGCGAGACAGGCCTCGAGCATCTTGCGCGTTGCAGTCGACACAATAAACTCCATGACTTCCTTCGAGAAGGAAAAGGCACCCGCCGCTGACAGCAGCTGGTCCATCAGCAGCGCACCGCTGGCAGGGCTCTCGAACGACTCCTCCACGACGGTCTTGGCGAGGGCGAGGTCCAACAGCACCTGCCCCATGGACGCGTTCTCCGCCCGCAACTTCGGTGCAATGACGGACGTCGGCTGCTCCGCTGCACCGGCACCACCATCATCAGCAGCATCGACAGTTTGGGTTACCTGATCGCCGTCCTCCTCTGCTGCCTGGTGAGCAGCCTTTCTGCGCGCCTTTCGCGCCTCTTCACGGTGCTCCGCGAGGAGGCCGTCCAGCAGCCGTTGCGCAAACTGCAGCTCCACCCGCAGCGCACACGCCCACACGGTGGGCTCGGACGACATGGTCAGCAGCGCCTGCTGTAGGATCGCACGGGCGTTGTCAGTGTTGTGCTGCAGCGTGCACTGCCACTCCGCCGCCTCCACCCAAATATCGCTGCGTCGCGGGTAGGCCACCATGAGCTCCCCGTAGAGGTTGCTGAGACTGCCATTGCGTTGAAACTGCTTCAGAAAGAGCACGTACTCTTGCCGAAGTGACTCGTGTTCCTTCTTGTTCTTGAGGTGCTTCAAGCCGATCTTGTAGATGCCTTCGATGCGCTCCACGATGTCCCAGCGGTGCTGCAAGCTGAGTTTCGTGTGATGGCAGTAATCGCGGAGTCGCTTCTCCAGGACGAGCTCGTAAGTTATTGCCCCCCGCACGTCGAGAAGGAGAAGCGGCTTCGCGACGAGGCGGTACTCCCAGTGGGTACGCTGCCGAGACACCTCGAGCGTCTCCTCGCGTGTGAGGAAGCCGCTGGAGTAGTACTCATCCAGCGCCGGCACCAGCTTCTCCAGCCGGGTCTCAATGGCGCGTGCGCGGGCCATCGTGTCACGTCTGCGTGCGCCTCAGCCAACAAGCTAACCTGCAGTTTGATAAACGAGCTTGACAATCGAGCAGACCAAAAAAAAAAGTGTTGGGGTGTGAGCAACAACAGACCAGGAAGAAGAAGAAAAGAAGAACGAGAAAGCGTATCGGTTGAAAACGGTGTCCATCGAACACGAGGAAGGCGCTGGAACGCGCAACGCGTAAGGTAGAAATGCAGAAATAGAACGTTTAGAGACACCTACTTATTTCCCTGGGACGAATGCCACGAAAACACAACGCGCGCTGACGCTGCACCACCGCGCTTCACACGTCTGCTTTTGCGGCTGAAAGTTCGCAGCGCTGCTGACAAAACAAAAAGGCGGATGATTCAAGCTTCCCGTAAAGTCATTAATGAGATATATGTTTTCTTCGGTAATACGATAGCAAAAAGAGATTGCTTCTGCATGTGTGTGTGTGTGTGTGTGACAACTATTTGAGGTGACGTAACCACAATCGATAAAACCGTAGCGCGCAACGGCCAAAAAGGGCCTAGCAGGTTCGCATAGTCCACCAAGGCGCAGCGCACAAAATGCCTCTCGCCTTTTCCGTCAAGACTCCCCCTCTTGTGTTTTTTTAACGGCCTTCAATGACGCTCCCATACCCCGCCAAGATCAACGTCGCCGAACGGAACGGCGCGCTGACCGTGACGGCGGCGGAGGTCGTCCTGATACTTTGCCTCCGCTTCGCGCCGCTCGCGCTTCTTGCGCTCGATCGGGGACTCATTCGACGGCGGTGGCGGCGACGTCTGCGCAGACGACCGTCGGGCAGAAGCCGTATTCGGTGCCCGCTCGCCAGAATAATGGCTTGGCTTCTCGTCCTCCGCCTGCTGCGCGGCAGCCGCATCGTGACGCGTCTGGTCATCGTAGCTGTAGGTGCTCTGTCCGCTGTAGCTCGCGGAGGCGTATTCGGGATTGAAGTTATCGGCGCCGGCGTCCGCGTTGCCACCGTAGTGGCCGGAGCCTTTCATTGGGTCGAAGTCTGGGTTTGTCCGGTTCATCGCTGATTCCTTCATCTTATCCATGGCCCGCTGCGCCCGGATGTTCTCAAGCGACTTGCGCATCATGTTGAGGCTCTCCGCATCCTTGCTGTCCACCGTCTCGTTAAAGAGGGAGCGCATTTCGGAACTGATGCTGTAGTCCCACACATCCTTGTTTTTGAAGTCCTCGGGGTCCGCGTACACGCCGGTGGGACTGTTGTCCCTCCGTTCACCTTGCATGACGGGCTTGCCTGTTGACGAGCCCGTCGCGAAGGCGTCGATGTCACCTGGTCGGTCGCCGTGCGTCTTGGCGCTGTTCATGTCGTAGCCCAGCACGCTCTCCTGCGTCTCCTGGTTGAAGGCACCGCTGCGGCCAAAGACCGCGCTCGTCATGTAGTCCTCCTCTGTTACCCACTTCTCCTCCATGTGCCACAGCGAGATCGGCACCGGGATGTGGCGGGCGTTGCGCGTCTCGTCCAGCTCCCAGTCTCGGTGCTCCGCCGGCTCCCTGCCCTCCGCCCGTCGGCTCGCCTCGAACCGTGTTTCCTCCTGGTTCTGCCGGGCAATGGGGTTCTTCATCTGCTTCTCCACCTCCAACAAGAACTCGAAGATGTCCGCCGAGTAGGTGCACATAGCCGTGCCGGCGAGCTCTTTGCAGTCGCTCTCCTCGTGCACCGTGGCGGTCAGCATGCCGACACATTTGCCGTTGCGCATCACGACGGAGCCGCACATGCCCATTTGAATCCGCCCGCGGTCAGCGTCCTCCTCGAGCGATGTAGTGTCGATAAAGAAGTGCTCGCGGGTGACGGCCTGCACGCGGGCCCGCACCCCGGTCGGGATCATGAGCGGCTCGGGGCCCTTCTCCTCGTCAAAGAGGGACTCGTGCGCCGTCATGCCGTACACCCAGACGTAGTCGCCCACCTGCAACTTCGCGTTAATTTCAAGCCGCGGCCGCATGATGTAGCCCTCGTTTTGCATCCACATCATCTTCATCTCGCCACTGCGCTTGAGGTTTTGCTCGGGGTGGACGACGCACAAGTCCAGCCGCGGGTTGGAGTGCACGTAGACGTGCTGATTGGAAGTGAAGTGCTTGTACACGGCGTTTCCTTGCACGGAGACGAGGCGTACCTGTGTCATAGTGTCAGCCAACGTGATATGCGAGACGAAGCGGGTGGGTCCTTTCGGTGAATAGTAGTTTGGGTAATCCCACGGTGTGATGACGTGGGCGCAGGTTAAAATGTGCGTCCAGTGCCCGCCATACTGCGTGAAGTTCGGCCCGCGTGTTTGCCCCATCCAGTCGACCTGAAAGCACGTCGCGTCCATCAGCCGCCGCCACCGATCAGTTTCCTTGTGTCGCCACTTAAAGCGTGTCTGCACCGCCATCGCGTACGGCTGGAAGCGGGCGTGCCTGGCGTAGCTGACGCGGAGCATCGTCGCCAGCTACCAATGGCTGTGAAGGCCTGTCTAATAAAGGCTGTCTCAAAAAGCTTCGTTGCATGGACGGGAAAAGACGACAACAGCGATCGGGCGGTTTCCACACGTCCAGATGCAACAGCGCCGCACTCAGCGAGGAGAAAGAAAAGAGAAGGTATTCGGATTTACAAAAATGCCTCAAAAGTGTATTGCGCAGAGGAGACATCGCGAACAGCGCCAGTGTTGAAGCGACAGTGGAAAACTCCATTTCTATTGCGCGTCCTCTTCTTGCTTATGTTGCTGCTTCAGGCAGCGCTAAGCAGCTGTCAACTTGCATAGCGTTTCGCGTCAGCTGAGAAAAAAAGACTGTTGTTGAGAACGTCTTCGGCAAACTCATATTTATGTATATATTGAAATGGTAAGAGAAAGCGGCACGCAAAACACACAAAGAAGGAAAAGAAGGATTGGATCCCCAACAGCGACGCAACTGCACCTCATAATCACGGACACCATCGCGAGAAGAGTGAGGGAAGGAGCTTGTTACGTCTCGAGTTCTGGCACGGGCGATAGAGAATCTGTCCACTTTTTCCTTTCATCTTTTGCAGCACGCATACCAGCGCTTCTTCGCCTGTCTGACGGAAGAGGAGGAGAAAAAAAGAATGAGGCAGTCCTCCAAAGGTGTCGTCCCTCTAACATCGCCGTAGCAGCACTACAGCGCGAGGACACAAGCTCTTCACATCACGGAAAGTCGTCACGCCTAGCTCCCATTCTAGCGGCGCAGGCGGGAAGCCGGTCACGAAGCGCACCGTCGACATATCCGTCGCATCAGCTAGCTCGTCCAGTGTAAGCACAAAGAGACTCAACTGGTCGACGAGGTCGCTGCGCAGGAAGCGGCGATGGTACTGCTTGCCGGAGGGACACCGCACACTGATCTGCACCGTCTCGCCCGCGGGCACGCCCTCCGCGGGCTCCTCGTGCAGTAGCCCACTCGCTTGCTCCTTGGCGGCCTCCTTCTGCTGCTGCCGCTGCGCCTCCAGCGCACGCTGCCGTGCCTCCTCTGCCTCCCGTCGCTCTCGCTCCTCCTTTTCTTGCTTCTCCGTCGCTGCGCGCTCCACCGCTGCCTTCGCCTCCGCCGCTTTCTGGGCCGCCGTGGCCTGTCGATCTGCCTGCTCTTTTCGCTGCAGTTCCTCTAGCAGGGCGCGGTCCGCTGCCTCCATCTCGGAGGCCGCCACCTCGTCCGCCGCCCGGGCCTGCTCGCGTGCCGCACGCTCCGTCACAAGGCTGATCTCCTCTGCCAGGTACGTGTCCCAGTCCTCGGTGCAGAGGCGCCACTCCTGGCGGAACACCTCGCGAGTGTGGTAACCCTGGAGGCGCAGAATCACTTTACGGCGGAAGAGAGCCGCGACGAAGGGAAAGGCATGGGCGCCGAGCTCGGTGGCCAGCTGATGCCCCTTCTTCTCTGTGACACTCACGCCGAACAAGATGCAGCTTTCGCTGAGGAGGGCGATGATCTCGTCCGTGCCAAGGACCTCGCGCAGGTATGCTCCCGTATTTTCGTGCAGGGGGCTGTGCAGGTACAAGATGAGGTACTTGGCGGTCTGGGCGGCGCTCCGCTGCGCCTCCTCCAGCGTCCCCTCAAAAAACGGGATGGTCAGCCCGTACTGTTGTTTCACTTCATCGGCTAGCATTCTAAACAGTTTATGCCTTCTTTTCTGTCTGTACCCTGATCTTTCGAAACTCAGCGGCGATGGTGATTGTGCAAGCTTCTCAGCTTGACGACCGAGCGCGTTGGTTGCGTGAGTGATCCTTGACGTTCCTCTCGTGGTTGACGTTTCTTGCTACTGCCGTTATTCTTCAGTTTCTTTCTTCTTTCACAGCGGACGCTACGGTTCAATCTTCTGTCGAGAAAAATAAATAATAATAATAACAATAGTATACAGACGCGTAGGTGCTGGCTTGGAGAACAACAGAAAGAGTGACGCGGTCTGACGTGCACACCGCGTCGCCTCACCACTATTTCTTTTTCAAGTGGGTAAGGAATATGTATCAGTTGCCGCTAAGGTATGTGGGTGTAGGCGTATAAATCGATTGTTGTTGGCGAGAGAGTCTACAAAACTGGAAGATTCCCCTGCCCTCAGTGAAGGAAAGGAAAGAGAGGATTTATGGGTGGCAGACGACAACAGTAAGCGGCAAGCGGCAAGGCACAGGAAGAAAAATATGAGGTCCTGCTCTGCCTAGGGCGGAAACAAAAAGAAATCGAATTAGTGGGTGCTTTTGTGTGTGTGTGTGAAAGCGTCCGTGCGTTTTTAGACGCCTCTTGAGAGACTTGGTTCTGGTAATAATGCAAAAAATGATGATGACTGAAATGGATCGTGCGTTCGGTGATGATGAGCACGCCAGTGAGCAAGCGCTTTGAAATACCTTCGCCGGGTGATGGTTGATTTGTTGGTGATCAAGGGCATTATCAAAAGATAAGAACAGTGAAGAGAAAAGTGTTTGGCAAGAAAAACGCACCTCGTTGTCTCACAGAAGAGAGAGAGAGAGATACTTTGGAGTCCTTAGACGTCAACAAGTTTCGCTGTCAGAGGATGACGTTTTCAAACATCGAATAGTGCCGAAACGATCCGCACGGGCCTCTTCGTTTCGAGTTTGACTAAGGTTTCTTTTAAATCGACGCGGTTTTCTCTTCTTTTTGCTGTGGAAAAGCACGGAAAAACGCCAGAACTCCTCCTCCCGTTTATTGACAGTTTTTTTTTCTTTGCTTTGTTCAACGAGCCCATCGAGGTAAGCAGGCTTGAAAGATACCAGCCCCGTGAATTAAGTACTGTTATTCTTTTTATCACCGTTTCCATCTCATCAACGAGACGCTTCTTTTTTCAGCTCTGGGTAACTTCTACTTTAGCAACATACTTTATATACCTGCGCTGTAAGCATCGGATTGCCTTTTCTCTACTTTGTCGCAAGTACACTCCGTCGCTCCCTGCGGTGGTGAACTCGATGATGATAGAGAGAGAAAACAGAGGGAAATACGCAACCGGGGCAGCTGCCATTTTGTCAACATCGGATGCACTTATGAAAAGCTATGTAAAAACGCAGATGGAACTGGAGAGGAGGAAGCCGCATGAAAGCGTTGAGTTTCGTACCCGCAGAGCAGAGAAGAAAGGAGAGGATGTGTGCACTCTCATCGCTACCTCTTTGAATAAGGTTCTCCCAACCTCCGCCGCAACCCCCATTGACACCACTGCCCTCAACAGTTACGTCTGTCTGCGTACTTGTTTACAGCGATCCATCGATCTCGCACGTTGCGTCTTTTCGCATGAACTCAATCGCCTCCTCTGGGGTGTCGACAAAATGAATAGCGGTGCGCTGCTCCGGCGGAATGCTCAGCGTCTCCGCGATGCCCTTGCAGCACTGCTCCCAAGGATCGCGGAAGGCGACGATGACGGGGCGGGGCAGCCCGCCCGGGTGGATGACTTTCTGGACCCAAATCGTCACCAGCTCCTGCAGTGTCCCCATCGTGCCTGGCAAAATGAGAAAGTAGCGCGAGTGCGTCGTGAGCTGCTCAATACGGTTCAGCATCGAGGTCGAGTCGCGCATTTCGGTCAGGTACCTGTTGCCCTCCAAGGCACGATCAGGAAAGAGACCGGAGACCACCACGCCCACCACCTCCATTGAGGCCGCCGGGGAACCGGGCACGGCCGCATCCCGGGCCTCACGCGCGCCTTTGCTGACAGCCTCCATGGAACCGCAGTAGCCGCCGGTAAAAACAGTGAAGCCGCTTGCGGCGGCGAGGCGGCCGCAGTCCTCCGCCTGCTGCCACTGTGGGGTGTCGGGCTGCGTTCGCGACCAGCCAAAGACCGCCACCGCAAGCCTGTCGTCGCGGCTGTAGTCTGGAACAGGAGACGACGCCATTATCTGTTGGGGAAGCTCTCACTTTGGTGTTGTCCGGGGCAGTTAGTGCTCTAGTGAGCGCGTCAACAGGAAAAAGGAAACGTTTTCTTTGGTCTCGAAATGATGAAATAAAGAAGCGTACTTATTCCTTTTTATTATTAGAAAGCAAACGTTTGACGTAATTGCCTTGTGCGATAGCTGTTAGGGATCCAAGTCAACTTAACAGAGGTAAAGGAGGGGGGGGGTTGTGATTATCATCAAAAATGCATATATAACGCAAGAGTAGATGGTGTGTATGAGTGTGTCTATAACATAAAATAAAAGCGAGCGCATTCAAATCTCGAAAGCGCGCCGTGGAAGATGAGAAATGTCAATGTAGAAACAAAAAAAAATGAAGGTGACCTTGTCGAGACTGTCACCACAGGAGACCCCAGAGACAGAGAGAAATGGGCAAAGACGTGCTGTCAAAGGAGGGCGTGAGAAACAAGATCCCACAGCGGCGGATTGAAGTGTTTGAGGGGGGGGGGAGAGGGAGGCGCAGTGAATGAGACAATAAGAAAAAAGAAGTTGAAGGTTTCCGGCGAGAACACGCCAAACGCACACGGCCCATCAATGTAAGCCCCTCTAGGTGCGAAAGAGTCCATTCTGCCTCTAGCAGATTCGTGCAGCGTCGGAAACGGCGAGGGGAATTGGACGGCTCCCAAAAGTTGTGGAAGTTGCTGTGAGCAGAACGCATAACCTAACGATCGTAAAAGCTGATACAACAGTTGAAGGTTCAGCCGCATCGATGCGCTTCTTATAATCCTTTCTTTTTTACTTTTATTAAACGTACCAACGGACGCTAAGGGCAACAGAAGACGGTCAGTGCGGAACGCACAGCACAGGACCTCTGGTGCATGATACCGTAATGAATATTAACCGACATCTGTGAACAACAGCACCCGCGCCAGCGAAGCTTTACTATCGACCGGACGTCAAGAAGCAGAACGACAACAACAAAGACCAGCGGGCTTTTTCCCCCGATAGAAATGTTCCTTTCCTTTCCTCACGACGGCGGGGCACCAGTGTTCAGGGTGCTCAGAATCTTCTGCGCCACCGCATCGGGCGGGGTGTCGATCACCGGGCCAAAAGCGTCGTGGCGCGCCGCGGATTTCTTGTCCTCAATGCGGATGTCGTCCTTCCCCGCCTCGTCCTTCATTGCACGCAGGTAGGCGTGGTAGTCAAACTGACCGGGACGCTTGTTGAACGTCTCCACCCACGTCTCGTATAGCCGGGGGAAGGTGTAGTACTTCAAGAGCATCTGCGTGAGAAAGATGCAGTCGACCCGCTTGAAGACCTCGTCTTTGATTTCGCACCGCACCAGCACTAGTTGCTTGCTGCGCGCCAGCTCCGTGAAGAACTGAACGGTCATGTGAATCTGCGCGTCGTCCTGCTTCTTCTGCCACTCACCGAGGGGGGCGACACCGACCAGGTCGTCCTTGAAGTTCGTCACCACGTTGAACAGCCCTGTGTCACGGAAAATGGGAATGACGAAGTACGGGCACGCCTTCAGGCGCGGCTCCAGCGCGTAGTACGCCTCGGCGGAGATGGTTCGTCCCCAGTACTGCAGAAACTGAATGTGATGGTTATTCCAGATGGTGGCCACCTGCTGCGGCGTGGCCATCTCGAAGAGGCTCTGCTTGCAGATCTCATCGAGCGACTTTCGACCTGGCCGCTTGAAGTAGCCGAGAGACGGACGACAAGAGCGCAGCATCGTGAACCCAACACGAGCACTCTTAGAGATAGCACCAAATCGAAAAAGGAAAGCAGATTATTTTTTTAAAGAAATGAAAAAAGAAGGAAGAGAAATTTGACTTTAAAGCTGCAGAAGTTACAAACGGCGGTTCTCGAACACACGTTGAAGCAATGCATTAATGGCTGTTGGGTTCATACCCTACTATTATTATTTATATTTTCTGATTTACGATTCAGCCATCTCTCTTTCTTCTTCACATCAATTGCGAAAGGGAAGTGCCACATACGATGAGTGTCTTCCCGTTGATGTACTGCCACTACGGTCTTTGTAACTAAAGCCGAGTTTTCCCTCCAGAAAAAAGGCCGTCTATTCATACAAAAAAACTCACCTTGACGTGCTGGCGTTTGATCGACGGTGAGAGAAAACACATTCTTTTTTAGTAGCTGCTACGAAAGAGGAAGAAGTGACAATAACTTCCTGCGATAGTAAAGCGCATCTATCTTGAGTGTAATGAAATCTAATGATAATAGTAATGTCATCTAAAAGTACGTGCGGGGATGTTGTACGTTTTGCGTGTGTGCGTGCGGGTGCGGGTGCGTGGGTGCGTGGGTGCAGCTTTCGCTCGCGCGTGGTCCATGCGCCCCGTTTCACGCACACGCAGCGGACATCGCAGCACCAGCACGCGGTCGTCAATTTCCGGAGACGCGGAACCGACACCCAAAAGAAAGGAAGAATTGATCTCTCACTCTCTCTCTCTGAAATCTAATGAAAGACAGCGCGTCGGGCCCCCCGCTCCTCCAGCGAAAACGCCGTCGGTGTCTGATGCTGACGACTGCTAACGGTGGTGGCGCGATAAAGTCGATCATGACTCGCGCTGGAGCCCCGCGAGGACGCCACGGAGCCACGCGGGCTGGGGCGATCACTCGTGTCCGCCCACAGGCTAGGGCCACGCCGCGGCAGCGAAGACGACGACGACTCGCGGGAGTGAAGGCGGCGGTCGGCGCTGTTCTTGTCGCTTTGACTGCGACTGCGACCTGGTTTGACGACGTCCGCCACACGCCCCCCTGTGCGATCTCGCGGCGCTGGAGAGTCCCCACCGCCACCGTCGGTATTGCAAGTGCGAGCGCTGCTGGAACTGTGGGTGGACGAGGCACGGATTGGGCGGTGGTTGCTGCCGCTGTAACTCGGAGAGCGACGGGCGCTGCGTGTTTGGCCGTGTGCGGACGGCCCAGGAGGCGTATCGAAGCGAGACGGGACGCGCCGCTGTAGTCGTCGCGACGTTGGCGTGGGTGTGGGAGACAACAAGGGCTGCCCGTGGTGGTCACGACGGGCGTCGCTGCTGCCGAGAGATCCGTGTCGCCGGTTGTAGGGCCGACGTGTGTTTCCGCCACTTTCACTGCCGCCACGATTCGAGTTTTGAGAGAGAGAACGGAGGTATGGGTTGTCGCGTCTGCTGCTCGACGAACGCTGTCTTGTACCACCAATATCCCCGCCACGCGACGTGCTAGACTGCCGCTGCAAGTCGGCGTTTCTCTTAGAAGTAGAAGCGGAAGCAGGACGGTTGAGAAGGCGGCGCTGACTGCGTTCGCGCTCCAGCGTGCGCAGCACCGCCTGGCGCTCCTCGATGGCCTCTTGCAGCTGCACACGCAGCTCTGCGTTCTTGGCACGCAGCTTCTCGGCGCCGGCGGCGTCCTGAACACGTTTTTGGAAGTCGTCACAGAGGCGCTGCATCTCGTGCATCTTCTGCTTGCTGAGTTGCACCAACGCCGCGTTCTCTCGCCGGAGTTTGCCGTTTTCGTTCTCGAGACACGCCAGGCGTTCCAGTGTGCTGCGCAGCTCCCGCTCCAAACGCGCCTCGGTGTCGGGGGCGGTGAACTTGTGTGCCACAGTCGGCGCACTTACAGCGGCGGATTCCTTGGCTGCCTGCACATCATCGTCATCCGTCTCCGTCACCTCGGACAGCGGAATTGGAAAGATGGCTCGAGTGAAGTCGACGTCGTAGTCGACGGTGATAAAACGCTGCTCCAGCACCTCGTCGGCGATGTCGGCGTCTAATTCAATGACCGTGTCGCCGACAGCTGCGCAGATACGGTCAAGTGTTTTATTTCTTGTGCTCTTCTGATCCCCGCTGTGGACCTCGTTGCTCTCCTTCGTCCCCTGTCGGATGGCTGCCACACCTCCATTCGTCGTGTCCAGGCTTACGGGCGTTGCAGACGAACCCTCGTCACCTGTCACGCTTCCCTCTGTCGTACGTTGCTGCTGAGGCGCTGGCGCGGAGGGAGACGAAACGGGTGAAGAGGCGTTTCGTTGCTGCAGTACATCGCGCTGAATGCGCTCCTTCATCTCCGCCACTGTCTCGACGTAGAAGCGGACGCACGCGGATCGGCCAATGAGGGCGTCGTACAGCATTCTGGAGAAGTTGGCGAAGCTCTTGCGCACCCCGGCAGACGTGGTGAGGGCCACAACATCGCCCTCGCTCAGCGACGCTACCAGATGACGCGGTGGGGACGATGCTGGGGTGGCGGTTAAGGAGGAAGGAACCGCGTCTCGGCTGGGACCCCACACAATGCCGGCTGTGTTGCGGCTTACTACTACAGAACCTGCATGAACAGGGGGTTGCTTTGAGAGTGGTGCCCCGTTAAGTGGAGGAAGTCCCAGAGAGTTGGTGCGCACATCCAACCACAGCTGCTGCTGCTGCGCATTCGAGGTGAAGCGCACCACGTAACGGCCGCAGGGAGAGTAGACGGTGCACTCCGCCATCTGCCCAGGAGGGGGAGAAAGGAAAACGCTGAATCAGCAATGTAGACGCGAAAAGTGGGTCAGTCAAACCACAAAGCTGTGGGGAATGCGTTTGTGCGAGTGAAGAGCAGATAGAGAACAGAAAGAAAAAAGACAGGTGATAAACTCAATAAAGGAAGAAAAATGGGGGAAGAGAGGGGGTTCATTTGTCGGCCAGAAATACTGTTTTGTGAGGTGCGCTGAAAGCAAGCACTCAAGGTTGTACCACACTGTTTCGCTGCCGCTTGAAGAACAGCGTCGAGCATCGCTGCTGCCGCTGCACTTCCACTTCCGCAACATATGCATACTTTTACTTTTCCATCTGCTTTGGGTTCGACTCACTTCTGTTGTGGTAGAGAGCAGTCAGTTTCTGTCGGAGGCACACACACACACACCGCTCGCTACGACATCATCACCTGACCTTCCCTGCTGCAGTTGCGGTAAATCGTCACCGTCTCCGGCACTACCGTATCGCACGCCACCGCCGCCGCCGCCTCTGCGACGAAGTTGTTCGAGTCGTTCACTTTGATCAGCGGGGCAAGGGCCGGCTGCTGCCAACGTGCGAGCACGCCGACGGGGATCGCTACGGCGGACCCGACAGGATGTGTGTCCGGGTCTAACAAGTAGAGCCGGGCGGCCTGCCCATGCGGTGCGGCGGCCTCGAGAACGTGGTTCAGCGCAGTTTCGCTCTGCACATCCACAAAGGGCGGAGGATAGAAGAGGGGGTGCCCGCTGTGGTGCCGCTCCTGCTCAAAGTAGGCCGCCCACGCCTCGGCGCGTAGTTGACTGTAGAGGCGGGTCAGCTCCTGTGCAAGTGCGGTGTTTCCTCCCGTTGCCACGGATAGCTGCTCAAGAATGCTGGCTTTCGTGTTTGTGCCGCTGCTTTTCACGTCTGGTAGTGCAGCGGTGCCACTCTTGGAAGCCGAACTCCTTGCTCTCTTTCGAATTTCTCCATTTCCGCTGCATGTGTGCTCCGTGTTTGCCGTGGAGCTCTTGACAGCAGCAGCGAGCTTTTCCACCTCCGCCCAGCTCTTCGGCACGCTGTCGTTGTCCAGCTGAGCCGTCAACATCCGCCACGTACGACGCCAATCCATGGCAAAGGCCGCCTCCACACGTGCGGAGAGGGCCGCGTTGAATTGCGGGTTGCGAACCACCTCCATCCCCATGGCGCAGTCCGGGTGACAGTAGTAGTTGTACTCCTTACCGATCTTCGCCGCCGCCATGCTCATTGCTTGCGGAGACGGCAGCTGATCTACGTAGGACGTGTCTCGGCTGTGCGCCAAAGACAGTGAGACGCCTGGTGATGCAGCTGTGGGAGAGCTCGATGTCCATTCTCCTCGCGTCGGAAGTGACAACCTCACCGCACCATTGTTACCTCGAGTGGGGGAAGAAGAAGAAGCGACAGCCGACGTCGCCGCTGCCGTTGCGGTGTTTGTGCTCGCCGGCGTCGCAACGTGCATCGCTTGTGCGAACGTTCCCGCGGTCCCTCGAGGGAGCGTCACAGCAGAGGATCCGGCCACTTCCACAAAGAGCCACTCATGCGAGTACACGTCTCGTGCGCAGGTGATGTGCGTCTGGGATCCGCATGCGTTGCACGTCACGGTGGGGATGTCTGGCAGGTCGCGACCGCACATCGTGCACAGGCAGTAGAAGCAGCGAGCAGGCGACGCTGACGGTGCGGTAGGTGAAGTAGCACCGTAGGGTCTGCTACCCTTTGATGCGGGAGAAGGGAACGTTGTGGTTCCCCGCTGCACATGTGTGACCGCGCATGCGCACGGCATGCTGCTATCGTTAAAGGATGCTGTGGGTAGTAATGCGTGACGAGTTTTCCGTCGTGCTTCTGCATTTCAGTCTCCGTGCCCGTCGACAATGGCAATATAGGCGATGAAGGAAGGGTACAGGGAAAACAGAAAAAAAAAACGATGGTCAGGCGGAACAAAGTCGCTTCACGAAGCTGCACAATACGAGTAATAATAACGCCTCTCACGTCAACGAATTATCGCGCCGCAGAAGCAGCGAAAAGACACACCTACAAACGACGACATTCGAAATCCAAGCGCTTCAAGAAAAAAAAAGTCACAGCACAGCACTGACAGAAACAGAGAGGCAAGTATGCGGGACTTCTGTTCTACGAACCACTTTTAAGTTTTATTGCGTTCGTTGGCGTGAATTGCACGCCTCCTTTTCACGCATGCTGTAGCCGAAACCGAAACAGCAGACAATTAAATACTTACATGAAACCAGCCGAGGACGGTTTCTCTTTTCTTTTGAAGAAGCGTCACTCCTCCTCCCTCTCTTCTTCACTAGACCTTGATTTTCCTATCTGCTTGTAGAGCTGTGTTTCGCATTTCCAGGGCATTACACAACGTTACAACAACAAAATTAAGGCGAAAAGACGACCTCCCTCTTGTTGCGACAGCCCTCTAGTTGCCACCAAACGCGCTGTGCACCTTCGTCAGAAGTGCCTCCAGTTTCTGGCCTTGGCCATCTAAGAAGTTCGCCGCTGGATTGCAAAGAAGGGCGTCCACAAGCCACCGCTCCAAAGCGGCCTCATCCGCCCTAGGCCGAGGTGAAGCCGTCGTGCCACTCGCGCCGACTGCGTGGCACCACAGGAAGAAAAACACCAACCACACATGACGGCTCGACGCAAGACGACTGCGGCTCAGCTCCGGCAACGTCTCCACATCGGAGAGAGGGTGCATGCTATGCAAAATAGCTGTGGGCGATGACGACAGCGTGCAGGGTGGTACATCCGTATTCGATGATGTGAAGAAGAGTGAGTGAACGCGCAGCAGCCCTGTCCAAAACAACGCATGGGCTCCGTTTGCGTCGTCAGAGTGTGAAAGTGGACTTAAGTGCGACTGCTCAGACTTAGCCTGAGCGCTGTCGAACAAGCAGGCGCTGCCGTCGAGCTGGGCAAAAGGTGTGTTGGTCACGTCCTCGCGTGTCAGCTCGTAGGCGTGCCGGATGGCGGCGGCGTACGCCTGCCGGAAAGACTCACCGACGTCGTTTTCACTCCTTGCGGTGCTCCAGAAGGATCGGATGGGTGAGGGAAACTCCGAATTGTTGTCAGCTTGCTGGCTTAAAGACTCAGCGCACTCAGCTACTTTGGGCAAAGGAGCAGGACGCTGGGTGAGATAGGAGTGTGCCCACTCACGCAGCGACTCGCACCAGCGGCGTTCCGAGGCGCACCGCTCTAATTCCCGTTTCCGTATCTCCCCAGTGAGGTAGCGAATGTACGTGGCTGCGGTGACGGATGGAGCTGCGTCCGCGTTGCTCATTTCCTGCCGTGTCAGTGCGTTGCGCTCCCGTTTGTAGACGGTGTTGATCAGCGTGTAGTCCTCTGTGCGCAAGACGCAAAGACGCGCCACATCGTCAACGAGACCTGCTGCGTACGGATCCAGCATGTCGACTCCGTTGTCCGTTTGTTTGTGCCGCCCACGTGTGTGCCTCCACGTGTGAGGAGACGTCCGCTAGTGAAGGCGTGTCCGACACAGAGAGAGTGAAAAAAGCAAGTCAGAAAGTAAGTGACGCATCAGGTGCCTACAAAGGGAAGAGAAACAATAGCAAGAACACAAAGTGATGAGCAGGAGTCTGTACAGGCAAGGATACTCTCCTGTCCTTCGACTGCGTAGCTGTGAAGCCTCCCATGCAGACATGAAATGAGACCATGTCTTCCGCAGTCGTGTTGCGCGGTACACGCGAGCAAGCCAGAGACTGCTAGCTTTGATGGTACGCACGAGAACAAAGGAGGAGGAGGGGGACGAACGGCGCGATAATGTAACGCGGGCATTTTCTTCCCGGATAGCACACAGCAGCGAACAGAATACCGCGTTGCAACTTCCGGCATTGTTTATTATTCGTTCTTTCTTTTTTGAGTTGAGTAAAATGATGAAACGTAAAAGCAAAAAAAGAAAAGGAACGGTTAGAACAGTGAAGTGAACAGAAGAGCGGCTCGACGAGTGTGCGTAGCATTGCTTTTCAAGCAAAAAAAAAGAACCCTCTTCACACACACGGCACCTTTCTCTTTCTCTCCTTCTCATTTTCTGCGCCGCCTTGACAGTTCCGCCCGCAAAACACCCACTCAGATTTAGTGGTGCTTCTTGGTGGCGTGGCGAAGGGCCTCCTCCATCTTGGAGCGCTTCTTCTTGGCCGCCGTGAAGTCACCGAGGCGCTTCTTGCAATACTTCAGGGCACGCTTCTCCTTGCCGACGCGCAGGAACTCCTGCACACGCTTCTCCAGGGGCGAGAGACCGACCAAATCGGCAATGATCGCCTTGACGGCGCGCAGGCGCTTGTGGGGGACGGCGTAGCGGTCATTCGTCGACGGCTGGCGCGCGCGGCGGGTCGTCACGTGACCCTTGTTAAACCCGGCAATGATGCCGGTGCGGGGAGTAGGAGCGGACATTGTTCCTTCTGTAAATACGGTGGTTATGTGGTTATGTGGTTGTGTGTGTGTGTGTATGCGAGTGATTTAATGAAGAGGAAGAGCATATTAAAATGTCGCGGAAGTGGTGGGAAACAGAGAAAAAAAGCAGTAGAGAAATTGTTTTGGTGAAGCGAAAAAGAGTTATACAAGGCACGATGGTTGAAGCAGAAGCGCAGAACATGAGACGGCAACTTGTGTCTGCGCACCTCCCTCGTTCACTTTTTGGGGGGCGAGAGAAAACGTATGAGGAAACGAGGCCTCCTGCCAACTTCTCCTTAGCCATCCATCGGTCGCTTCGCGACATCCGCAACGGAAGAGCAACGACAGGAGAATGTGACTGACGCGAGTTGCTCAAACATGCAATCATACGCGAACGCTGAGAACAGCGAAAGCGAAATGGACTGCTCCGAAACAAAGTTGCAATGCTGTCACCAGCACACTCGTTGTTTGCTAATAAGTATGTGTTTTTTATCGTTTATTTATCGTAAAGCTAAAATGAAAAAAAAAAGTGACTGCTAGCCAAAACTAGATCCAATCTGCACAGATGAACAACAGGAACGAGCAAGACGCGAAGGTGTCCGGCGCTGCGCAGCAGTCCCACAGAAAGCCCAAAAGGTGCAACCGCGGGGCTGCCACTCCACCGCGATCGGCCTCTTCCATCCTGCTTGTGGTATGAGTTGCACACGTGTGTGCCATACAGCCGTGATTGGGAGGACGACCCGTCGTTAACGCTTGCGCAGGAAGACGATGCGGTTGTTGCGGCGCCACGCAGCGCGGTAGGACGGGCGCAGCTTGGAGGCCTTGTGGCCCTTGTGGCGCAGACCGCGGTGCTTGCGACCCGCAGAGGTGAGACCGCGCTGCTCACGGTGCTTGTGCACGGAGTTGACGATCCAGTTGATGCGGGGGTCGCGGCGGATGGTCTTGCACATGGGGTCGACGGCGATGACCTCGTACCACTTGAAGGTGGAGTCCATGTTCACCCAGTACGAGTTCAGCACGCGCAGGTTGCCGAAGCGCTTGCCCAGACGCTGCTCAGCGACGGCCTGGTTGTTCTTGTTCAGCTTCATGCCGAGCACGCCGCTCGTCTTCGGCTTACCGTAGGTGATACCCTTGTGCACCGGGCGTTTGCGGCCACCGCGGCGCACGCGCACGCGGAACACACAGAAGCCCTGCTTCGTCTTGTAGCCGAGCATGCGGGCCTTCTCCGGGCGGGTCGGGCGGCGCAGGCGGACGATGGTGTGCTGATGACGGAACTCCCACGAGCGGATGCGCTGGATGAAGCGCATCACATCGGAAGACTTCTTCTTCCACAGCTCGTTCAGGTACATGAAAGCTCCCATTTTTGGCGGCGCTAACAGTCTATCGGAGGGGGATGTGAGTGTTGGTACACATACATAAAAGGTACATGACCAAGACAGAAATAAAAGGAAGGAGAAGAACGAGGTAGAATTTGAGCCAGAAGTACAAACACGAGTGCGCAGCGCCGCACAAACAAAAAGGTGTCATTGCATTAACGATGCATAAACTGAGGATCAAAATGACTTACGTGCACCTTGCAGGGATAAAACTCGTGAGGTTGATGTCGTTTTTCTTCAGATCGCATAAAGCACGTTTGGACTTCAAACGAAGTCCGAGAATCCTTCCGTTCGTTTCATAAGAGAAACAGGACCCCGCAGCGAGTAGATTCCGCTTCCTCGATTTCTTCTTACCGCTCACGGCATCTGGTGATTTAAAATAAGAGAGGTAAATAATATTGAGAAAACGGGGATCACATTCGCACCTCCTCAGCCATCCGTCACTAGGAAAAGTGAGAATAACCGGAAGAAGAAGAGCGAGCCGGAGAAGAAACTGTAGCACTGCGCCTAGACTCTTACTTGCCCAGACGCTCGCGGATGGCAGCAACCTTCGCCTTCGCCGCGGCCTTGCGCTCCGCACCCGTCAGCTTCTTCGTGTTGTACTTCTTGTGCTCGGCGCCCTCCTTCTTCGCCTTCTTCGCAAGCGACTTCGTCGGGTCCGCGCGGATGGCGGCGTGCGCCTTCTTGTACAGGCCCTCGATGCTCTCCGGCGCGATCTTCGCGTCCATGTACTTCGAGAACTGCACGCTCTTCTCGTCGGGGTTCGAGCTCGCCTCCTCCTTCACCTGCTTCAGGTACTCCGCAACGTGCTTGCCGAAGATACGGTCGCGGTGCGCCTTCGCGTTCAGCGCGCTCTTCTCCTTGTTGTAGCCGGGGAAGCGGTTGGGGCGGTGCGGCACCGCGATGCCGCCGTCCACGGCACCCTTCAGCACGCCGAACACGCGGGCACCCGTCGTCGTGCGGGCGAGACCGACGTCCAGGATGGCCTTGAACGGGAAGCGCTCCTCGTCGTCGCCCTGGTCGTCCTTCTTCGTGCGCACAGCCGCGTACGAGCCGTCCGCCTCCTTCGCGCCCTGGAACTTGTCCGCGATGCCGAGCTTCGCCAGCGTGCGGCGCGCGAGCAGCAGCCCGGTCGCGTACGCCGCAGCGTAGTTCGTCAGGCCGTGCTCAATGCCGAAGGCGGGCAGCTCGTGCGCGTACGCGGCCATCAGCACCTCGTCGCCGGCGATCTTCGCCTGCACGATCTGGGCAATGATGTCCTTGTTCGTGATGCGCACCACAAGGCGGTACTTGGGCGACCCAAACTTCGTCTTGTCCTGCAGCACCATCTGGCGGCGCGCATGGTAGTCTGTCTTGCCCTCGCGGCGGCGGCGGTACTGAACCTGGAAGCGCTTGAAGTACGCCTTGTTCTTCACGACCTTGACGAACGGCATGGTGATTGCGATGTGTTAGTTTACTCTGCGTACAGAGTTGGTGGATGGTATTGAAGGGTTACAACCACAAGCATGTGGGCGGCGAGGTTGCACAGCGTGTACGCAACACCAGCCGTGTACACAAACGTGGCAAAACACACAAAATACACAAACCAATTTGTTCGTCAAAAACAAAACGGCAAAGCGAAGAAATGAATGCAGGAACGATTCTTAGTTGCATCAAACGGGGCTCCCAACGTCACCACGTACGCCCACCAAAATGCATGTGGAGAGAAACAATACGCTCGTCATACTCAGTACTGCACGACCTTAGCACGTGGTACACCATGCCTCTGGTTCCGGCAATTTAGAAGTCCATCGCAAACAAAGATCAGCCATAACACTTTTCCTTTTGCGAAAAAGCAGCCTCAAGACCGAGGCAGAATGGTCGCCAAGAGGCTAAAAGTGCGAATTTGGAAGCTTCAGGGAACACATCCCATTACCAAGCCACATGCGCAACAACGGCGCCGTTTTAACGCATTTCTCGTGTGTGTTTCCTTTCGTTTTTCCTTTATGCTGCTTCCTATAAAAGAAGCTCTTTAATTAAAGATCTCATTCAATTACCAATTTTTGGCAAGAAAAACAAAGGCGAGAGAACTCGTCCGCAACACACACACACACACACACATTACATCCAACTAAAATAAAATGAACTACTGCAGGTTCAAGGAACAGAACTACAGCAACACTGGAACGCTGGGCAGACAATACAATTTACGGGAGGAGGGGACAGAAACTGAAAGAGCAGACGGCACCAGGAACAGGTATGTCGACCGGCCAACGGCCTGGTTTCTGTTAAATGGGTCTCACGATCTCGTACAATTCCAAAAACCCTCCCCCGTGCTCTTATTCTCGCATCCCTTGGCACGAACACTTCAAAGCACTCGAGTTTGTCGCACATTCTTGAAAGGTCTCATCCCTTGCGCGACAACTAACGCGCAAAGCCGCATGTCCACCAACGCATCACGCGGTTCGCAAGTCATTGTCGCCCGCTGACACGACACCGAGTTCCGTCACGCGCCGCTTCGAAAGCAACCGTGCTCACTCAATTCCAACGATTCAGACGAACACGTTTCCTTTTTCCGTGCGGGTGCGGGAGATGTGCGTGTGGCGGTTGTCTTCGCGTAATCCGTTCAATTTCGTTTGTTTCGACAGTACCGCCGCCGCCGCGAGGGCAAGACAGACTACCATGCGCGCCGCCAGATGGTGCTGCAGGACAAGACGAAGTTTGGGTCGCCCAAGTACCGCCTTGTGGTGCGCATCACGAACAAGGACATCATTGCCCAGATCGTGCAGGCGAAGATCGCCGGCGACGAGGTGCTGATGGCCGCGTACGCGCACGAGCTGCCCGCCTTCGGCATTGAGCACGGCCTGACGAACTACGCTGCGGCGTACGCGACCGGGCTGCTGCTCGCGCGCCGCACGCTGGCGAAGCTCGGCATCGCGGACAAGTTCCAGGGCGCGAAGGAGGCGGACGGCTCGTACGCGGCTGTGCGCACGAAGAAGGACGACCAGGGCGACGACGAGGAGCGCTTCCCGTTCAAGGCCATCCTGGACGTCGGTCTCGCCCGCACGACGACGGGTGCCCGCGTGTTCGGCGTGCTGAAGGGTGCCGTGGACGGCGGCATCGCGGTGCCGCACCGCCCCAACCGCTTCCCCGGCTACAACAAGGAGAAGAGCGCGCTGAACGCGAAGGCGCACCGCGACCGTATCTTCGGCAAGCACGTTGCGGAGTACCTGAAGCAGGTGAAGGAGGAGGCGAGCTCGAACCCCGACGAGAAGAGCGTGCAGTTCTCGAAGTACATGGACGCGAAGATCGCGCCGGAGAGCATCGAGGGCCTGTACAAGAAGGCGCACGCCGCCATCCGCGCGGACCCGACGAAGTCGCTTGCGAAGAAGGCGAAGAAGGAGGGCGCCGAGCACAAGAAGTACAACACGAAGAAGCTGACGGGTGCGGAGCGCAAGGCCGCGGCGAAGGCGAAGGTTGCTGCCATCCGCGAGCGTCTGGGCAAGTAACACCTGGAAGCGCTTGAAGTACGCCTTGTTCTTCACGACCTTGACGAACGGCATGGTTGATTTCTCTTAAAAACAGAAAAACAAAAATAGAGCGGCTTCGGGTGATTTTCGGTGAAAGCCTTTTCTGGAGCGTCGCGCGAGCAAAAAGAATACTGAGGTCGACGGCGTCAGAAGGTCAGAATGAAGCGGATGAAAACGACGACGGTGACACGATGTGGAGGCAGATTCGTACGCGGCACACAAGAAGAAACGTAAGAAAAATGCTGAAATCGCAGAGGTATCTAAAAGAGGGTAAGCCAGCACTCAGCCCACGTGGCGTATTCGCAACGCATGGACATGAGTGACACAACAACAGAGTCCAGTCAAAGCGAAGCGACAGGAATGGGAGTTGAAGAAAGTAGTTTAATCGGCAACGCATAGGCAAACGGCAAAGCCTGAGATTTCTCTTCGTAGAATAAGAGAAGTTCGTTGTTGTTGTTTCAACACGAAAGGCAACAAGGGTAGAAATACCAATTCGGTGAGCCGTTCTGTTGGGCGCAAAGACCGCAAAATGTCGAAAACAAAAAGTGAGTTTGATTCGAAGTGCTGAGCGTTCGTCGACTTGCCGCACGTTAGAATCAACCAGCGCTGTCTTTCCTAATAGTCAGTTTTGTTTCTTGGGAATGGAGGCTCCAAATTAGAAATGAAAAAACAAATGAGGTTCCATTATTACAGCAGGCTTCCCAGCCAACCAAGCTTGAGCAGGACGGAATGCCGCATCAACCGTGGACACAGCTCAGAATTAGCTTCAGAGAACTAACAGCGTAGCCTCCAGTACCGCCGCCGCCGCGAGGGCAAGACAGACTACCATGCGCGCCGCCAGATGGTGCTGCAGGACAAGACGAAGTTTGGGTCGCCCAAGTACCGCCTTGTGGTGCGCATCACGAACAAGGACATCATTGCCCAGATCGTGCAGGCGAAGATCGCCGGCGACGAGGTGCTGATGGCCGCGTACGCGCACGAGCTGCCCGCCTTCGGCATTGAGCACGGCCTGACGAACTACGCTGCGGCGTACGCGACCGGGCTGCTGCTCGCGCGCCGCACGCTGGCGAAGCTCGGCATCGCGGACAAGTTCCAGGGCGCGAAGGAGGCGGACGGCTCGTACGCGGCTGTGCGCACGAAGAAGGACGACCAGGGCGACGACGAGGAGCGCTTCCCGTTCAAGGCCATCCTGGACGTCGGTCTCGCCCGCACGACGACGGGTGCCCGCGTGTTCGGCGTGCTGAAGGGTGCCGTGGACGGCGGCATCGCGGTGCCGCACCGCCCCAACCGCTTCCCCGGCTACAACAAGGAGAAGAGCGCGCTGAACGCGAAGGCGCACCGCGACCGTATCTTCGGCAAGCACGTTGCGGAGTACCTGAAGCAGGTGAAGGAGGAGGCGAGCTCGAACCCCGACGAGAAGAGCGTGCAGTTCTCGAAGTACATGGACGCGAAGATCGCGCCGGAGAGCATCGAGGGCCTGTACAAGAAGGCGCACGCCGCCATCCGCGCGGACCCGACGAAGTCGCTTGCGAAGAAGGCGAAGAAGGAGGGCGCCGAGCACAAGAAGTACAACACGAAGAAGCTGACGGGTGCGGAGCGCAAGGCCGCGGCGAAGGCGAAGGTTGCTGCCATCCGCGAGCGTCTGGGCAAGTAACACCTGGAAGCGCTTGAAGTACGCCTTGTTCTTCACGACCTTGACGAACGGCATGGTTGATTTCTCTTAAAAACAGAAAAACAAAAATAGAGCGGCTTCGGGTGATTTTCGGTGAAAGCCTTTTCTGGAGCGTCGCGCGAGCAAAAAGAATACTGAGGTCGACGGCGTCAGAAGGTCAGAATGAAGCGGATGAAAACGACGACGGTGACACGATGTGGAGGCAGATTCGTACGCGGCACACAAGAAGAAACGTAAGAAAAATGCTGAAATCGCAGAGGTATCTAAAAGAGGGTAAGCCAGCACTCAGCCCACGTGGCGTATTCGCAACGCATGGACATGAGTGACACAACAACAGAGTCCAGTCAAAGCGAAGCGACAGGAATGGGAGTTGAAGAAAGTAGTTTAATCGGCAACGCATAGGCAAACGGCAAAGCCTGAGATTTCTCTTCGTAGAATAAGAGAAGTTCGTTGTTGTTGTTTCAACACGAAAGGCAACAAGGGTAGAAATACCAATTCGGTGAGCCGTTCTGTTGGGCGCAAAGACCGCAAAATGTCGAAAACAAAAAGTGAGTTTGATTCGAAGTGCTGAGCGTTCGTCGACTTGCCGCACGTTAGAATCAACCAGCGCTGTCTTTCCTAATAGTCAGTTTTGTTTCTTGGGAATGGAGGCTCCAAATTAGAAATGAAAAAACAAATGAGGTTCCATTATTACAGCAGGCTTCCCAGCCAACCAAGCTTGAGCAGGACGGAATGCCGCATCAACCGTGGACACAGCTCAGAATTAGCTTCAGAGAACTAACAGCGTAGCCTCCAGTACCGCCGCCGCCGCGAGGGCAAGACAGACTACCATGCGCGCCGCCAGATGGTGCTGCAGGACAAGACGAAGTTTGGGTCGCCCAAGTACCGCCTTGTGGTGCGCATCACGAACAAGGACATCATTGCCCAGATCGTGCAGGCGAAGATCGCCGGCGACGAGGTGCTGATGGCCGCGTACGCGCACGAGCTGCCCGCCTTCGGCATTGAGCACGGCCTGACGAACTACGCTGCGGCGTACGCGACCGGGCTGCTGCTCGCGCGCCGCACGCTGGCGAAGCTCGGCATCGCGGACAAGTTCCAGGGCGCGAAGGAGGCGGACGGCTCGTACGCGGCTGTGCGCACGAAGAAGGACGACCAGGGCGACGACGAGGAGCGCTTCCCGTTCAAGGCCATCCTGGACGTCGGTCTCGCCCGCACGACGACGGGTGCCCGCGTGTTCGGCGTGCTGAAGGGTGCCGTGGACGGCGGCATCGCGGTGCCGCACCGCCCCAACCGCTTCCCCGGCTACAACAAGGAGAAGAGCGCGCTGAACGCGAAGGCGCACCGCGACCGTATCTTCGGCAAGCACGTTGCGGAGTACCTGAAGCAGGTGAAGGAGGAGGCGAGCTCGAACCCCGACGAGAAGAGCGTGCAGTTCTCGAAGTACATGGACGCGAAGATCGCGCCGGAGAGCATCGAGGGCCTGTACAAGAAGGCGCACGCCGCCATCCGCGCGGACCCGACGAAGTCGCTTGCGAAGAAGGCGAAGAAGGAGGGCGCCGAGCACAAGAAGTACAACACGAAGAAGCTGACGGGTGCGGAGCGCAAGGCCGCGGCGAAGGCGAAGGTTGCTGCCATCCGCGAGCGTCTGGGCAAGTAACACCTGGAAGCGCTTGAAGTACGCCTTGTTCTTCACGACCTTGACGAACGGCATGGTTACTGAACAAGAATAGAAAGTCCTCTTCAGGTGTTGTTCACATGTTTGTGTTGTGTTGCGAGATACATACAAAGCAGATGCGAAAAGAGTTCAATGAGGAATAAAAAAACAGAGGAGATGAAATGAGCAGCGAAAAAAAGAACAGAAAGTGTTTGATGGTCTTTCTTGCCACAGCGGCAGACAGAGAGAAGTGAATGCGCTTCTTCGCCTGAAGACTCACACGTGGCTTCGTGGTGGGGCGGTACGCAGATCCTTCGTTTTTCACCTCCCTTTTCTGTTTCTCTCTCGTGAAGCCAGCGTAGACGAGAAGCATCCCGTCCGGCTGATATGTTCACAGGCCTGTCTAAGTGCAAAAGATCGTATTTGGCGTTGGTCGACGGCGTTGGAAGAAACAAAAAAAAACGGCCTACGAAGCATCAGCAAAGTGCATCTTTGATTATTCTTCTGTTCTTCTGTTTTCCGTTTCATCTTGTGGGGTCGTGTAAACATTGCTTCATACACGATAACAAACGCGGAGGGTTAAGAAGGTAAACAACAAAAAAGAGGTTCGACTGCGTTGAGTTGAACGGAAATGGAATACATCGATCGGGGTTCGGTCGTGACGCGGAAGAAGAATTAAAAAAAAATGTACAAGATTGTGTGCGAGAAAAAACGAGCGCACTGCAGAATTCCAAGAAGCTAAGATTTTTGAGAATGTTAACTGATGAAGTCCAAACACAGAAAGGCGTCGTGTAATGACGAGCAAAAATATAGAAAAAAAAAAGAATGACAACGCAACAACACCGTTTAAGAAAGTGAAGCAACGTGTTGTTTCTTCTCATCCTCCTTTTCCCTCTACAAGTCAATAGTGCGGAGTGGTAGTGTTGAAAAGGCGAGCAGTGTTGTTGCGGCGCTCCAGCTGAACGACGTAAGCGTTCAACTCGCGTATGCGCGACTCCAGATGCACGATCTTGTCTCCGCGCTGCTGGATCTCCTTGTCGTAGTTTTCCACCACGGTGTGCATCGTGTTGCTGTCGGCGATGGTCTTGCGCCACAGTGACTCCATGTTGGTGATGTACTGCGCAGCAGCCATGAAAAGATCCTCGTCGTTTAGCTGGCCGGACGTGCCAGCGAGACTGCCCGCCGCACGACCACTGCGCACCACCGCCGCCACGATCTTCTGCGTGGCTGGAAGCGTCATCGTCTTCGGCGACGACGCGCGCAGCTCCGGCGGCAGCGCCTTTCCCAGTTGCCGGTCCTCCGTGCGCACAATTGTCAGCCGCTTCGCATAGATGTCGTTTTGCGCGCTGAAGACCAGCGATGCGGCCTCATCCTTCTGCAGCGTCTCGAACAAGGAGTCCGAGTCGGATAGAATGCGCACGGTTTTGTTGGCAGCGACACCACGTCGGGACCCAACTCGACCCTCCGCACGTCGCCGCTCCGTCGAGCTGCTGCTGTTGTGCCGCCGCCGGCGCGGCAGGTCTGCCGTGGCAGACAAAGAGGACTGCTGTTGCTGTGCGGCGGGAGTGGTCTTGGTGTGGGTGAAGGGCCGCAGCGTGGTGGCGCACGACGGAGCCCAGCTGGTAGAGCGCAGCAGCAACTCACGGTCGTACTGCTGAAGAACCGCCTCGCCGATCAGGGCGCTGCTCCAGGCGACGTGCTCGTCAAAGACGCTGAAGTGTGGCGGTACCCCACCGGCACCAGAAGACGACTTCTTAGCTTTGTTGGCCAGCACGAGACACCCGACGTCCTTTATCGGCACCACCACGCCGTTGTACATGTTAAGGTACAAGGAAGGATTGTTAGTCGCCGCCGCAGCGCCAGCGGCAGCAGTGTTCGATTGCATGTGCGGGGATGCAGCACCGCGAAAGGTAGCGCCGCCCTTGTCCGCTGCGTTGGAGCCGTCCGGCGACGACGCACTGAAGTCGCTGGGGCGCAGCACTGCAGCGGACTCCGAGTAGTTCAAATTCACCGCAATACCCGTTTGCGCCACCGTTGTCAGCACGTTCGTCATGGCACAACTGATCGTGCGGGGGAAGTGGCCGCGGACGTGCGCCACGCAATGCAGAAACTGCGCACGGCCGGCGGTTGCAGCAGCAGCAGCAGCAGCGGCACCGCTGCCACCGCCGGCATTCGAAGCGGCGGTAGACCGCGACGCCGTGCGCGGCGCACCAGAATTCGAAGCGCGGCACAGAATCGACTGCTCACCGTTGCTTGAATTCGGGCGCAACGCGGCATCGTCGAGGTACACCGCAGCGGCTGTCGCGTCCGTCTGATGGAGGGCCGCCTCCAGCAGTAAGCAAAAAAAGGACTGCAGCTCGGCCGCGGCGGCCCGCTCCTCCTCCACCCGACGCGCCATCGGAGCGTTGTGCGAGAGGGCGTAGCTGTTCGGGGGGCGGCTGCCCGTGCCTTTCGGCTGATTCGGTGAGAAGGGACGGGAGCTAGCACCGGTGCTGGGAAAAGTAATGGCGGTGTTGATACTGTCGTCCTGGCGGCTCTGTTCCAGAATGCTGCCGTTATCGTTGTTGCCGCCGTTGGAAAAGGCAGGGGGCGCGATGGGATACGCGAGTTCGTCAGGCGCGTCGAACACAAAAGCTGCCCGAGGACGCGCGGGCGAGCCTTCGTTGGCGTTGGTGTCCGCCAAGGGCGCGCCAAAACCCCTCGCTTTTGTTGCGGAAGGCAGATGTACTGCTGGCGTTGCGGCAGTCGAAAGCGGGGCGGAACTTCCATGAAGAAGGGACGTGGCAGCTGGCGGCGCTGCTTCGGCCAAAGGATCAGTGCGCGTCTTGGACTCCGCTGCGGCAGCTTTGCGCCATGCAGGCGCGGTGAGAGATGCGTTGGTGGGGTTGGCAGGAGTCCGCACACCGCCGATACTTCCCGCGTTGGACTTCTTGGAGAGGTGGGTGTAGAAGTCCACCAGCTTGGCATCGACGCTCGCCTGTAGCTGCGTGGCGACAGCCTCCAGCAGGTGGCCAATGCGGCGCAGCGGGTGCAGATCGCTGTCCGTCAACACACGGGGAAGCTGTACTTGTTGGTCGATGTTGCTGAGACTAGTGCGATCGAACAAACTAGTTTGTTGCGGCGATTTCTTCGAAAAGGACAGGTTGGGTGGAAACGCAATGCTGTCTTCTTTTCTGGAAGCGGTAGAGTCGTTGGAGGCTTCCCGGGCGGCACGGGCGAGAAAGGAAGGATGTGCGGAAGTGAAGGACGACTCATCGAAGCATTGATACGAGGACAGTTTCGGCCGTTGTGGTGCAATCGTCAACTGCTTCAGCGCCTCCGCGACGCGAAACAGAGTCTCGAACTGCTGCGCGATGACTTCATCGTCCAGCAACATGATGTACGTCTCTGCGTGGGGTGTGTCAGTATCTGCTTGCACCGTCTAAATAAAAGAAAGCAAGTACAACTAAGAAAAGGAAAGGGAAATAGTCAAATTTGGTGCTATTCTTTTGAATGCGCGTGGTACGCACGTGAATGGTACCTAGAGAAAACAAGAAATGCGGATCTTAGTTGTTGTCGTACTTGCATATTTTTAGAGAATAAAGCAAGAGGAAGCTGACCGCAGCTTGCGTGTGTTGAGAGGGCCAATCAACGTAAGAAGAGCGCAAAGAGGAGGGTGGGGGGGGGGGGCGACAAGTGAAGAGCTCGGCGTATTCGCGAAAGGGGGAGAGAAAGAAGACCACATCACTTAGAAAAAGTCCAGGTGTGAAAAAAAAAAATGTTGAATGTCTCCCCCGCCGTTAAGTAGCCTACATTTAAAAAAAAGAGAGGCTTGAAAATAATATGATGAAATGTTTTCTTTTTAAAACAAAGGAACGCTCGACATGATTCAAATAGCACGTACCACAGCACACAAAAACGACGTACACATAAATAGAGAGAGAGAGGGATGCTGCACCATCGTCGCTGTGTGTATGGTTACCTCTCACCTCTTCGCTGATGTAATTTTTTTCCCCCGTTTACTTGCTTCTCCTTTATTCTCTACAGCACTTCGTGAGAGGCGGAGCCGGGGGCGTCTGTCCACCCCTTCTACGACAAACTAACACCAAAACAAAACAAAACAAAAACACAATGTGCTGTTTTCAGAGACATTCTTAAGACGGGCAGAAGAAGAGCGAAAGACAAACACCAGCTCTTCGCCACAAACGATCACCAACGACGGACGTGAGAAGAACAAAAAACCTCATAAAAAACAACAACGTTACGAAATTTGATTAAAAACATAAGGGGAAGCAGAACGAACTGATCGCGAGCACCTACCTCCACCGCCATCACAGTAGCAACAAAAACTGAGTAAAGAGCGCAAAAGGCGCGTATGCAGAAGAAATAAGAGTAGCCAAAAGGAGAGGAAATCATCAACAACCCCAAAAACAAAAGCGTTCTGACGCTTTTGACAAAACAAAAGTCGCGAAAACAAAAATAAAACGAGCAGCGCTGACGAAAACAATTAATACTTCGAGCTCCTTAGGTAACAGAAAGCCTTTTGTTTCCGGCGCCACCACTTTTTGGTGAAGATAAAAGTACCAGCTATTTCACTATCGGTGATTCGGTTTGAAACAGGGAAAAGGAAAAAAATTGCGATAATGAGAAGATTTCGGAAATGCGTAGAGAAGGGGGAAAAAATAACGAATGGAGTATTTGGGAGAATGAATTTTAATAGACGAATAGTTTACAAGGAGAGAAAAGCGCCAATCCACTGGTTAGATGAGCGACGTAAAGCTTTTTAACAAAGACCCACGTATTGCACACGGATACACACACTAAGAAAACAATGAAGCATTAAGGCGATTACAGCGGCACTAAAAATAGAAACCATAATTTTCAAACCAAGATTGCACTTTTGTGGTGAGAGAAATATACTTTTTATAAAGCGAATAAGAAACCTGCGGCAAATTATCGAAAACATCAAAGGGATCATAGAAATGAATGGTAGGAACGCCTCTCTCGCTGCTTGTGTGTCAAAGGACGGAAAAGGAAGGGGGAAAAGAATTCGCAGGGCCGTTGATAGAGTCGCAAGCTGCTCTCTCTCTATATATATATATGTGTAAACAAAGCACCAAAGCACCCAATACAGCACTTACCATCACTCTTCACCCCCAATGAAGAGCTTTCGCAGTAGAGGGGAGAAAAAAAGATCGGGAATAGTAATAAAAAGCATAAAGAGAACAGAGAACAGAGGAGCAACGTCAACAACGATGACGACGGCGCAGCGCTAAAAGAAGAACGATTCGGGTGAATCACAAAACCAAAAAAAAAAGATAAGAAAAAGGGATAAGTACAGTGAGAAAGAAAGAACCGAAACGGAAGAGGAATAGGAAAAAAAACACAGCGTCCTTCTCCCCGCCTGCATTACACGCGGCGAAAGAGAAAAAGGAAAGAAAAAAAAAGCCAAGGAGACCAGAAGAAACGACAAAAAAAAAAGAGTAGGATAAGAGCAGCACGAAATTTACAATGCGCTGCGTGTGGAGGCAGAGAACAACGTGCAGAAAGAAAAAAAAGGAGAAGCTTCGACTGACTTGCCGGCGGGCTCAGCTCTCCGAGCTAGAAGATGAAGATAGCTCCGACAGGGCGCTACCTGTGCTACAGGACCGCCATTGCTCCATCCAGGGGTGCTCTAGAGCAGCCTCAGGCGTCAGTCGCTCCTTTGCGTCCAGTTGCAAGCAGCTGACGATAAAATCCTCAAAGAGCCTATCCTCGTTGCTGTGACCCACCTTGAGAAAGTTGTGCAGAGACCGACTGTTGGGCGGGTGTGGCAGACGCTTCTTGCCGAGATTGTACTTCATCTGGTCACCTTCGAAAAATCGTTCGGAGCGGCGACCTTGGCGGACCAAGTAGGGCGGAATTGGGCCGAAGTACTCGACAATTCGCTCCAGCAGCTCGCCCTCCGAGCTGGCGGGGAAGATGGGGTAGCCGTTTGCGAGCTCGCACAAGACACAGCCGAAGCTCCACATGTCGATGGCCGCCGTGTACGCGATGCCCAGCACGATCTCCGGGGCGCGGTAGTAGCGAGACTGGATGTAGGTGAAGAGCGGACGACATTCCTCGCAGGCCGAGCCGAAGTCGATCAGCTTCAGCGAGAAGTCTGTGGGCTCGCTGGAGGAGCCGCCACCCTCGCTGAGCATGATGTTCTCCGGCTTCAAATCACAGTGCACGATGTTGTGCTTGCGGACATGCACAAGCGCCGTCAGCAGCTGCTCCGATAATTCGTAGATGAAGTCGCGGGACATGGGCCGGAACTTGTTCGCCTGTATCAGTGCGTAGAGGTCCGATGGAAGCAACTCAAACACGAGCAGGTAGTGGTTGCGGAACACGCTCGAGTCGAGCAGCTGTACAATGTTTGCCTCGTCTTCCTGATCGTCTCTGTTGAGCAATTCTAGAGTCTTTATCTCCTCCTGCGCCTGCTTGGTGTAGTTCCGCTTGTTCTTGATTATTTTGATGGCTACCAGGGTGTGGAGCTTGTGATCTAAGGCACGCACTACAATGCCAAACGTGCCCTGGCCTAGCACCTTCAGCACCTCGTAGCGGTACAGCAGGTGGTCACCGACGACGACGCGGTAGTGGAAGTTCTCATCGTCAAAGCCGTCGTTGTTGTCAGCGCCGCGGACTGCGTTGATCTTCTTGCACTGATCCGTACCGCAAAAGTACACGTTGGGCATGTACTCCTTGACCTCCTCTTCTTCATAGCTGGACAGGTATCGCAGCATGGGTGGGGAGGGGCTGAGGCCGGACTCGTCGTCCGAGCCCGCCAACGGAGGCGTGTTGACGTTGTAGCCGTTTTGTCCTTCATTGAAGACGGCCTCGTGCATTTTCCTCTCCGCCTTGTCGTCGTTCATCTTCATCGCAATGATCTCGCCGTTGATGAAGTCGTTGCCCACGCCATTGTCGGTCATGTGGGATAGAGCATAGCAACTGCTCACACCATTACCACCACTGATGCCCCTATTATTATTATTATTGTTGTTGTTGCAGCAGTTACTGCCGCCAGTCTCCATGCCAGCGGCACTGTACGGCATGGCGCCGTTGGCATAGTTGCGCTGCATCATGTGCGGTGGGATTGCGTACTTTGGCTGGAGATCACCCATGCCAGGTAACAAGGGCAGACTGCTGCCCATGGACATTCCTCCTCCCCCTCCTGCGCCGGCAGCAGCTTGTCGTTGCTGCTTCATTTGCATCTCCACCCGGTTCTGGCGATCGCTGATCATTAAGCTGTTCGGCGCGTGGCCGCTCATACCGTTCTGAAACATAAGACCGGCACTGCCTGCCACGCCGTTATGCATGACCACGCCACGCGGGTAGTTTCCGGCGAAGCCCATCGGTGGTGGCCGCATGGGGCCGGGTAGACGGCGCATGAAATTGCCACTCGGCGACGTCGGTGGTATGGGTATCGGGCCGACGGTGCCGCTGCTGCCAGGGGAGATGGGCACTCGCGTCACCGGGATCATGTGCGTGCCTTGCAGGGAGGGAAGAGCATCGCTCATGCGGCCACTGCTGCCGTGACGCTGTTGCTGCTGCTGCTGTTGCTGTTGGAGCTGGGAGCCGTTGCCGCTCATCAGCAGGGGTGGTCCGCCGGAGGCGGAGGAGCGGTACATCTGACCTTGCGGAGGCGGCATCCTGCCCCGTTGCATATACCCGAACGGTGGCCCTTGGAAGCGTCCATTCGCGTACGGCGATTGCACGCCGCCATAGATTAAGTTTTGATGCGTCTGCATCGTCTCCTCCGAGTTGGCACTGTTCGTGCAGCAAAATGGATATATATATATTATTATTTGGTAACGAAGAAAATAAAGAAGCCTTCTGTGAAAGAACCTGTAGATTCCTTAGATTGTTTTTTTTGAGAAAAAAAAACGATCAACTCTGACGCATCCACCGCTCTTTTTCCAGCTTCTGAAACAAAGAGAGGTACACAACGAAAAGAAATAGTAGAAACAATAATAGTAATAATAGTAATAATGAAACGAGCTCAGCAATGAAAAAGAGAAGAAAAAACAGAAAAGTAAATTGGGGTAACGAGGTTCAAATTACTGTATATAAAATCAATCGACTCGACGACAAACGCGTCCGAAGCTCGATCGGAAAATAATTATGTCTTTTTTTCTTAAAGATACAAACAAGGTGATTGAAAAGAATAAAAACGCAGCTGCTTTGATGGGAACGAGATTGACAGATGCGATACATCACCCCACACAACATAGCAAAAATAGAAAGAAAGGGGAGAACGAAACCGAAAAGAAGCGCCAAAAAAAAAGTCCGCGAATACTGAGAAGAAAAAGAAAAAACAATCAATGAGGCTCTGACAGGGAAAAAGGAAAAAGGCACGAGCTCTACGGACAACAGGCAAGCAAAGCAGTCGAGGATAAAACCACCTTCCCCAAAAAAAAAACCTGTTCCTAGAAGAAGAAAAGAGAAAAAAGAAGAGACTTCTGCCCTAGAATGAATGACGACGGTGACGTCTGCGAATGGGAAAGAGAGAAAAAAAAAAGAGAAAGCGAAAAAAGGAATTTGATCTTGAAGATAAGAAGTTTCAGTGTTTTTTTTTCTTTTCGATTGTCAGTATCGGTAGTTCTAAAGAGACCACAGTCAACGATTCTAAGTGTAGTAAAACGAAAGTTATGTGTGTTTGCGCGCCTGCTTGCTTAAAAGTAACAACATAAAAATCATAAAGAACGAAATTTTGGTGATTATCTTGTTGTTGATTTTTACTTTTGATTTGGTTGGAACGTAGGATTGCGAGTAAAACAAGAAGGGCAACAGTCGCGATGCACCGATGTCGACACGCCTTTGAGTGCGAATTCTTCGCCAGTGCGTAACACGGTGCACGTGTGTTCTTTTCTTCGAATTCGTTGCACCGCGATGCGTTCACAGGTTTCTTATTCCTGCTTAACAAACAGATTCTGTGTTGATGTTGTTTGGGGCCGGTTTTTTGTTTGTTTGTTTGTTTGTTTGGTAAGGTATGTTTTATTTTTCGAAGTAAAAAGAGTACACATGAAGCAGGGTAAGAAGTTAGAAAGAAGAAGAGAGAGAGAAAAAAGAAAATATAGTTAGAAAAAACCTGGTTTTTAGAAGTCTTCCCCTGATGCTGCGGGTATAGTATTGGTTTGACCTTCCTCATGCTCGTGGTTTTGTGTGCCCACAACAGTCAGCACCCACATGTGCAACCAAAGATCTGCGGAGAAGGTCCAAGGAAGAACAAGTTATAATCGCCAAGGGCAGTCATTCTCGTGAGCAAAAAAAAAGTACAACAAACGAAACGTGAATGTCGCGAAGCGCCGTACCAGTTCTTTTTAAGCGCACTTAACGTAGACGAGACCGGCGTCACATTTGACGCACAAGAGACAGTTGCACGTAGTTGTTGTTGCTGCTGTTGTTGGCCAAATAGATTGCAGCAGCAATTTTTTTCCCGTACCGCACTGTTTTGCCTTGTTGTTTTTGGAAGATTGTTACAAAGCTTGATTTGTCGAATCATAGCAACAATAACTTTCCCAGGTGCACATCCAAATGGATGTGCACACGAAAAAGTGCACAAACACTCTTGCGTTTCAACGCCGTTCATCAGAGAAGACGAACAGAGGGAGAAAGAAAAAAGAAAAAAACATTTATGTATCACGACAAAGCCCATTATTCCCAACAGTTGGCATTCGTGAGACTTACGCCATTCCTCGCTGCGCCTGTGTGCGCTCCCTTTTCGACGCTCGATGCGGAGCAACTTCTTCTTACAGCGGCTTAATCAATCATGCGCTTCTTCTTGAAATAGCGCTTCAGGTGCCTCATTTGAAGGTACGAAAAGGCGGCAAAGAGGAGAATAAGGCCAATCGACATCCACATCACCATCGCCGTCATGTGCTCGTTGGTGCTGCGCATCTCCGCCTCGCGGTTCTTGAGGTAGATAAACTCGTTGTGCACCTCCGCGACGGTGTCCTCCATCACACGCATTTGCACCTCCATCGGCCGCAGCTTGTCCTTTGTCGCCAATTTGTCGTAGTCCTTCGCATCGGCACCGATCTTCACCGACAGCAGGATGTTGCGCACGCTCTTAGCGCTCTTCGTAGATTGGCGCGAGGTGAGGCAAATAACGTACTCGCCACCGTTGGCAATGTGCTCCGCGAAGACGCCGTCGTCCTTGCCCTCCTGCGCGTAAACCTTTGCGCCATCCGCGTTGGTGATGGTGACATCCAAAAAGTCGCCGTACGCTTCCTCAGAGCTGTATGTGATCTTCGCCTCGGTGTTGCTAGGGATTTCTTGGGTGAAGCAGCGCTCCGTACCGGAGGGTAGTTGAAACATGAAGCTGTGCGCCGCCGTCGCGCAGAGGAGTACCGCCGCAAAGGCGAGCAAAAGAGTACAGTGAAGCTTCATTGATGCGCTGGTGTACGTGAGTGTGAAAACAAATATCTAAAGGTGTCCAATACAAATTTTTCTTCCGTTTTTCTCGCTCTCTTCCGAAATCCGAGTATACTAGAGTGCAAGGAGAAAAGAAAAGGCACGCATCGGCAAAAAAGAACAGTTTGAAACAGTGAAAAGAAGAGGGTGTTCGGACTAACTGCAGATGGTTGCCTAAACTTTGCATTAGAGACTGCTGGGGAACATTCATTATCGTTTTTGTTCTTTTTTGTGGCCGAAAGCCACGCGCTGGGCGGTAATTGACGTTACGTGCGACAATGCAAATTGAAGGTGCGCCTTCGTTAGCACCCGCCTCGACGTCGTCACACGTGCTGTTGGAAGGCAGCACAAAGGCGGCCAAAAAAAAAATAACAGCAAATAAACCTCGTAGCTGCTTCTCAGAATGTTAAGCACTCATTCTGTCATTGTTGATTCCTAATTATTATTATTACGGGGTGCTTCGCTTCAGGAGCTTTCACTGTCTCTTGTGTGCACGTGCATGTTTCCGTGGATCGATGAGAGTCAGAGAGAAGAAAAGGAAACTCATTATGCGAACGCTGACCGATAATACAGTACAGAAGGTGAGACCAAAAAAAAAAACCAAAAGTGGATCAGCTAACCACACGTCTGCACAGCACTCAGCAACAGCTGCGGCTTAATCCAGATCAAGCGGTGCGGCCCCCCTGGTCAGACGGAAGATGATAATAGTAATATCCACAACGAGGAAGAGGTACAGGAGCCAAACGTCGCTGTTCTCAACCGTAGAGGAGGAAAAAAAAGGAACTAGCTGTAAGTACAGCGGCAGCAGCTGAAAACGAACGCGCACAAATCTACAAAAAAAAAGAAGCTAGACAAGCAACTCAAAGAAGTAATAAAACTACCTCTGACGCCTTAGCATGCAGCTCAAGGAGCCAGAGGAGTTAATTGTTACCAAATGTACGTCCTCACACCATTGGGCTGACTCGGGTGAACGGGGAGACGTCTTGCGCTATGTCATCCTCATTGCGTTGGGAGTCTAGTTGCTGGTGGATAAAAACAGTTGCCGATTTCATCTCCCCCGTCTCGCACTTCAACGCGTGCAGGCCGTTGTTCAGCTGGTACATCTCCTTTGTGAGTAGCTGCGCGTCCTTGTCACCGTCCGTGTACTTGGTGCTGCAGCACGCCCCGGTGCGGAACACGGAAGTGCAGTGAACCATAGGACGGTAGAGAATAAAGTACGCTATCAAATTGTAGACGAACCACACGACGGGCGTAACGACGGCTACGTAAATGGTGCGATTGCGAGTAGTGGGGATGTACGCGGCAGGGACGCCGACGATGATGAGCAGCACAACCGAGATGAAACTCATGAGGATCCACCCACGAAAGTGGAGCCCAGGTGCGACGGAGCTCTGCATCGCGCTTTGCGTTGCTGTTATCGTTTGATGCGATGTTACTATTATATTATTTTCCTTTCGCTACGTGCTTACAAAAAGTGTGCGCGCTGACCGCTTTTCTCTTTTCTTTTGCGTATGAGAAGTATGAAAAAAGACTGTGACACTATTTGGTTCCTCCCCTCAACGGCGTAGTGGAGAAGTCTGGAGTACACCCGAGAAGAGTCCTTTTTCGATAGAATGTGCACGCGGTGCAACGTAGCAGTGACAGCGCAACGCACACCAAACAGAAAGGAAGAGAAGAAAACGAGAAAATGAGAAAACGAAGGAGCAGAGAAAGAGAGCATCAATGACCATTATTATTACTAGTGCTATTTTCTTATCAACCAAAGGGAGACGTGGCTCATCTTTGCCAGATGATCGATTCAAAACTGTGAGAGTTCCTGATCATAACCGCAACATGGTGCGGCAACGAGCTTCTTTCTTTTGCCTGCGTTTCCTTCTCTACTTCTGGGAGACGTGGTAACCTGCTACCCGCCTCGGAAGTGATACTTTTCTGGAAAACAAAAACGGGTTTTTTTGTTTGTTTGGGTTTCCCGTGGTTGTTACGTTAAGCTCAAAAAATGGGAGGCTTGGTTTCCTTTTCATCGTTCCTTTCCCTTCGTTACGTGTCGTCATCGCGCAGGTGACGACGGCGAAAGAAAACCAAAGAGGTGAAAAAAAAAGTGTGCGAGCCGCCTCAACCTTACGTGTCCTTTTTTTTTTAAGGCAGAGAAATGAGTTTTACGCGGTGTATAAACAGCGCAGCGCTGCGTAATTGAGGGAGAAAAAGGAGTCCTCAATAAGAACTGAAGAACCAGGAAGGGTTTCGACAACGAGAGCAAACAAAATAAGAAAGGGTTCAACTTTACAAAAGAAATCAACAGCAACGAATCCCTTTATAGAATAGGGAGAAGAAGTACGAAATGAGAGAAAGGAAATAAGGAAAACGCCATGCACTATCTGACGGAGACCGGCGGTGCGCCATTCGCATGGTGCATGTGGGTGTGTAGGTGGGTGTTTGTATGTGTGAGGAGGGGGAGGTATGTGGGTGACTTGTCCCGCAAAAAAAAAAATGAACTACCCTTCCTTTACTTGCTTGTTTGTTTTTCCCACTCGTCTTCTTTTTTACCCTCGCTCTCCGATATCTCGCGCTCTCTCTCTCTGTGTCACCCGCGCATTCTCTTACTTCGCCTTTGCGAGATACTCCGCAGCGACCATGAAGCCGCGCTCGCTGAGGGGGTACCCGGGTCCAATGGGAAGTCGGTTCTCGAAGAAGTGGCGGTATACCTCGAGCGCCTCGGTGCCAGACGAGACCACCCACGGAATGGTGGAGATCCACTCCGACCCTTTGATGGTGCCGCTGTGCAAATTGGTCTGGAAGCGGCCGGACAACTTTTCGCCCCAGTGCTCCGGCGTGCCGAAGAGTATCATCGGGTACGGCTGCACCGTGGCCACCTTGCGGCGCACCTCCTCCAGCGCGTACTCGAAATCGGTGCCGATGCCGCCGGTTAGAAAGATGGGGAAGTCCAAGTTGAAGTCCGACTGCCGCTCCACCAGCTTGTCCGCGCGGTACGTGAAGTACGCCTCGACGTACGTGTTCTGCTTTTGCTCGTTGATGGTCGAGCCGGGCTTGGAGGCGACGCTGCCAAAGTCCACGATGAGGCCGCAGGAGAGAATGCCGAGAGACTTGGCGACGCGGTTGCCCACCTCCATCGCACCTGGCCCTCCCCCGGTCACCAGCGCCAGCGGCTTCGCGTCGTTCAGCAGCGGATGCTTGCAGGACCTCTTGATGTGCAGAATGCCACTTAGCAGTGTCATGAGCTCCGCCTCGAAGTCTCCCGCGACCAGGTTCGACCCGTACACGCCGAAGAAGGTCGCGTTGATGTACTCCTGGCGCCGCTCCAGCGGGACGAACGCGCCGGAGTCGCGACCGGGACGGCGGATGTACTGGCAGACCTCACCTTTTGCCTCATTGACATGAAAAACGGCAATGCCAAACGTGTTCAAGTCGCCGAGCATGGCCGCGTCCTCCTGGCTAAAGAAGGAGCCGTAGTGCCGCGAGGCTTTGGTGAAGAAAATCGCCCGCAGCTTCTTGCCCACGGCGCGCGACAGAATGAGTGACTTGAGGCACGGCGAGGGAAAGTAGCGGGTGAAGAGGACACCGTCGCTGGAGATATCGTCGGTGGCGATAGCGGAAAGAATGGCGTACTCGCACTGCTGATACGTGTAGCGCTGCACCAGCTCCTGCTGCTCCTCTGGGTTCTCGAGTCCGACGTAGGTGGTCTGCCTCGGGTCGGCCACGATCCAGTCGTCGTCCGACATTTCCAGGAACTGGCCTCCTTTGCAGAGAAAAGCGCAGCACGGCAAGTCGCCCTTCGGCGCACTCTTGAAGGCGCGCAGGATATCGCTGGTTGTGCTGCAGCGATCGGCGAGCGTCTTGCGCAGCGAAAACGGCACCTGCTCGCGGTAGGACTCCAGAGTGTAGAACTCGATGGGAATGTGCGTCAACTCGTCAACGGAGTCGCCGTAGAAGACGAAGGTGCGGTCACGACTGCCGACGTCGAAGAGACCCTCCTCCGGCTCAATCATGCGGGAGCTCATGGAGTGCAGCCCTTTTGGCAGCAGGCTGTCCACCACACGTCCAAACACGGTGCGGAAGTGCATGGAGTAGCCGCGCACCATCAGCACGCCGAACGCCGAGGCGACACGCGTGTGCCCTTCGTGGAACTCCTGGTGAAGGCGAATGAGGTCCTTGTAGGCGGTGCCGGTGCACAGCGCCGCCCCGATCGTGGGTAGCAGGCCGTGGATCTCGCCGCTGTAGGTGAAGGTGCCTTGCAGTACGGGCAGGTATGCCACCACGCGCCCGTCGATGATCTGCAGGTCCCACGAGGGTTCGGCGCCGACGCCGTACACCAGTAGCTGCTGCCCACGCTGGTTCACCGCGTGCAGCAGACGCGCAATGTAGCTCATCTCCCGCACGACACGGTTGCCCTCCAACGCGAAGAGCTTGCCGACGTGGGCGCCGACGTTGATGTAGTCCAGCATTAGCACTGCCAGCGGCGACAAGGCCACCAGGTCCATCGAGATGGTGCAGGTGCGATTGGCGTGGTCGATGTTGATGACGACGTTCTCCGCGTTGACGCCGAGCTGCGTGATCGACGAGCGCAGCACGAAATCGCACGTCACGCCCGTCGCGAGGCCGCGAAACTGCGGGTGCAGCTGCGAGATGATGGCCTTCGCCTTGGCGGATTGGCGGTTGACGCGGCTGTAGCTGGTGATGCGGGCATCGCGCGTAGCCAGGTCAAACGGGTTGCGGTACTTGCCACGGGAGATGGTGTAGCCCTCGCCTTGCTTGTGTTTGGTGACCGTGTCGGGGTACCAACGGCACGACTCGGAAGGCATGGTGAAGACTTGTGCGCGTGAACAAAGAGGGGAAAAAAGTGATACTACGGAAGTGTGAGTTTCAAGTGCGCGAGGGAAGTGGCATGAACACGCTGATGATCAGCAGCTGCTCTTTTTTTTCTCTCAAACCTAATAGTTTTCTTCCTTTCCTTTGCTTTTCAACGTAGCGAGTAAAGGTATTGTATTGTGGTCTCGTCTCCTCATGTGCAACCGGCAGAGACGGGTGGAAAAGAGTATTCGTTTTCTACACAACCTGGCCCTTTTACAAAGTGGCGGTCAAGTAGCTCAGCAAAAGAAAACCCTCTGTGGTGCCTGTTCAGTCGACGGCAATAGGCAGAACAGGGGGGAGAAAAAAAGAACAAAGCAAACGTGCTATGAGAGAAAGAGGTAGCGCTGACAAAATGACACTTCAAGATGGAAAAGAAAATGCTTAAAAGAATGAAATAATAGCTGAGACAGTAGAGACGTCACAGCAGAAGAAAAGAGGGGGGAAAGAAGAGGAGGCGGAATGCGATACGTATTATCAAGAGAAAACACATCAATGTCATGAAACAGCCAGTTCAAGAAGCACAGCGTCGCGCATCTTCGTTCAAAATCACGCCACCAGCGTGAGGACTTGTCTGACCATCAAGAAAAGCCTGGCGCTGAGCAACACGCCAACGATCTGATGGCAAAGAACAAAAGCGCTCGCCTAAATTCTTCTTCGCCGCCCTACTTGTGAAAAAACAACGACACATCAGCACATTGGCACTCATTCGTTCTGTTGTGAACGCACCTTTCTTTATTATTCTTCACCTTACACTGCAATGTGTCACCTCCCTACAACAAGCTAGGCAAATCCAACGGAGAGGAAAACTGGTACAGTGGAACAAAGCGCAGCAACGAGACGACTGGGCAGAGAAGGGGAGGGGAAAGTCAAAGGTGATTAAAAAAAAACCTCGTCACGGCCCTCCAACGCGCTCCCTTCGCTCTCAACGTACATTTCAGTGCTTCTTTTTTCTTTTCTTTAGGACATTTGTTACGTTATTAATCGATGAGAATTAAGAGGAAAGCACTCACACGCGCGCACACACACACACACATCAAGAAAGAGGTGAATGCACAACGCTCACACGTACACATCTCAGCCAACCCGTTTCCAGGGAAGAGGAACGGCAACTATAAAAAGACCAGCAAAGCCGATCGTGATACAAACCGTTTGGAAGAAAAAAGGTCCAGCGCTTCCTCTTGTTCTTCGCGCGTCAGTACCGCTTTTTTGTGTGAGCGTACCTGCTCCGGCTCTTTTCTTAATGCCTGGATCCATGTACCTGCCCAAACTCGCGCCAAACCCAAAACACATTCGCAACTCGACTCTGACTTAGCGGCGGTGACGCGCGTTCTTACCGGGGCGCTTTTTGCCACCAGGGTGGAGGTTACGAGCACGTGGAGTGTTTTGCGTCTTCGTCCGCTTCGCCCCCCTCCCGCCGTCCTCGTCTTCGTCGACGATGCCGCGCAGGGCGTCGTCGTTGCCGCGTCGCTTCTTGCGCCAGTCGCTGAGGTTGTCCTGCATGTCCCGCTTGTACTTGGCCCGCTGCCGCAGCACCTCCGCCTGCACTTCCTTGCCGTATTTCTTCTGTTCCTTCATGGAGCGGCGGTGCGCCTGGGCCTCAATGCGTGCCTTCGACGCCTCCATCGCCTGGCGCACGTCATTCATGTGCACGTCGCTCTTGTACATCTCCGCGTAGTAGTCATCCGGCCGCTTCCACGGCACGTTCGCCTCCTCTAACAAGGAAATGCCACGCGCCACGGACAGCAAGGTCTGCTGAATAAAAGCCTCCTCGCGCTTCGGGTCGTCGTCGGCGTTCAGGTCGCTCGGGAGAGAGCGTGTGGACGTGAGGGCCATGCGCTCCACCCACTGCGCTGGCTCGTTGAACTCGACCCTGGTGGCATCTGCGGCTGGAGACGGCGCCGCCTTCTTCTCTTCCTCTTCTCCCTCTTCCTCCTCTACCGCAGCCTCGGCATCGGAGTCCGTCACGATGTCGTCGTCATCGTCCACCAGCTCCTCCTCGTCCTCCTCTTCGTCTCCTTCCTCTTGAACGCGGTCGCGGTCATTCTCCGCCTGCGCCTCTGCCCTCTTGACGCTGCGCAGGAGGTTCCCCTTCTTCTTCGCAGCGATCTCGTAGACCGGCATGGGCGCTCACTATCAAAAAAACAACAACAAAAAATCTTTAAAAAATAACAGGGAAAAAACTTTTTGGTGTGGCGAAAGTAACAAAGAATTATGGTATTTGGAAAAAGGGGGAGGGGAGTGCTCCTTTTATACGCGTGAAGTTTCTCCTGTTTTCTCTTCGTTTGGTTTGATTGATGGAAGGAATCAAGTTGAAGCATGTGATCGATATTGGGAGTACGTCGGTCATGGTGACGGGGAAAAGAAAAAAAAGGAGTAGGAGCAATGACAAAGGCGAATAAGGAAATGATTTGAGGCAAAGAGCACGCGCACACGGGCACACAGAACAAGCAAAAAACATGACGAGGAAAAAAAGACTTTGTTACTGAGCATCAGTCGAAATGGTGGAAAAAAGTGTGTTGGAAGCACGAAAAGGTACTTTACTGATCCTCGAAACAGTAACTCTCTATTCTCTTCTTTCTTCCTTCTGGGCAGAAGGACAGCCAAGTTTTAAAAGAGTAAATTCTATTTTGGACGCGTTCAACACGCTGCGCTGCCACAACTTTGAAAAAAGTGCAGGGAAAAGATAGCATACATACGACTCACGAGTGAGCTCAAGAAAAAAAATGGTGAAACACTTACATAGAGATCAGAAGCAGAAGCAATTTAACATCTGCACTTCCTTTCAAAAAATGATATGTGGAGACCGAAGGCCCCCACCGCCACGCTGCCTTTCGCTCGAAGACGCATCCATCAATCACATGGCACCCGAAGCAACCGTCGTCGCGTTCGCCGTCTCGGACCTGTCGCGTATGTTGCTTCCCTTCATGTACGACTCGTAGATGGAGGTCACACGCTCACACTGTGTGGTGAGGCGCAGCAGCAGCAGCTGCAGATCGTCGATCGTCTTGTCCTTCTCCGAAATTAAGTCATGCACCTTCTGCTCCAGCTCCTTCATATCGTCGGGGTTGATGTTGGCGCGCTTCAGCAGCTCCGTCAGCTTTGCATCACGGCCGTCCAGTTCGGTCTGCACAAGCTCGAGCTTCTTCTGAATGAGCACACGACGAAACGCGGATTTGCGCTGAATGTCCTGGAGCATCGCGTTGTACTTCTTCAAGATTATGTCGCGATCCTCCACGAGTTTAGCGTACCGTTGGGTGAGCACCTCGTGCTCCCACGAAAGAGTCTTGTACTCTTGGTCGGTGTTCTTGACCCGGCGCTTCACCTCTGCTAATGCCTCCTTGTCCGCTAAGTAATTTTCGAGCTCAATCTCTAAGTTTTTCTTCTGCTGCTGCAGGTTTGCCAGCGGCTCCGTCAGCTTTTTATTGCGCTGGGCGACCTCGTACATCGCTTTCTCGTTGTGCGTCTCGGTCCGCTTGCGCGCGTACACCTCGTCCTTCAGCGTGCGAATCGTTTCTAAGTTGTTAGAGGTAATTTCGCTGAAGTAGTCCTTGATCTCCTTGAAGGTGCGCTCATGGGTCTCCTTCAGCTCCGCGATGTGCTGCTCCTTGCGCTCCTCTATACGGCCGATCTCCTCTTTGCGTGCCTCGTCCATCTCCTCGCGTGCGCTCTTCAGCAGCTGCTCGTACTTCAGATGCATCTCCTTCATCTCACGCTCAAACTGCGCCTGCTGCTCTGCGATTTCCTTGTCTTGCTGGGTCGACAAGGCGCGCTGCTGTTCGAGGTGCCGCACCTCCAGCTCGCGATCGGCCAGCTTCGCGTCGCGCAGGTCGCGGGAGATGCTACTCTCCGCCGCGCGGTACTCCTCCACCTTGTTGACGAGCGCACGGTGCGCCTCCTCTTTCATGCTGGACAGCTCCAGCTGGTTCTCATAGAGCAGATGGCGAATCTTCTGCTTGAACACCTCTTTCTCCACCGCGTGGCGCTCCGTGTGCTCCTGCTTCTCCTGCTCCTTTTCCCGCAGCGCCTCCTTCACCTCTTCCAGGTCCTTCTTGGAAATGTTCCAAAAAGCAATAATGCGGTCGCGCTCGAGTTGGAAGTAGTTCCGCATAGCCTTTGTCTTCTGCAGCGCATCCGTTGCCATCCAGATTTCCTTGCCGTCGACGACAGCCGGCGCTGCCGCTGGCGGGGCCGTGACTCCGGCAGCAGTGCCATTCGCTGCTGACTTCTTCGCTGTGGCGTTTTTTTTTCCTGCCTTGGCGTCACCTCCCGCAGCCTTCGTCTTGGCCTGCGCTTTGGCCTGTTTTGGAGGCATCTTGAGTGCAAAAGCTGTTCGAGGTGCTTCCCGGGCCGAACGAAATGAGAGCTACGCAATCACCCTGGTGTGGCTTAATCTTCACAACGCACAAGAGAGGGGTGGGGAAAAAAAAGCTAGTGATGAGAGAGAAAAGAGTGTTCTGCCTTGACTTTCGCATAAAAATAAGGAAAGAGAAGAAAGCACGCTACGGACCCGATGCTCGTCTTCGGGAAGCGATGGTTTGTATTGCGGAGATGCGAAAAGGCAGAATCATACTTTACATAAAATCAACGGTACAAACAATTCACAGGTGTGTATTAGCCCGTAACGTGGCTTTTACTTTTCTTCTATTCGTTCAGAAACGCCACGCCTAGCCGCACGTTCTATTGGAGACAAGATTTGCCAAACGACACGTTCGCAACCACACTATCAGGGAACCCCAAAGGGGAAAAGATAAGGCTCATGGAAGGTGAGAAAAAGAGAGGAAACGAAACGCATGAGCGATATCAGAAAAGCAATTTAGACAGAATGGGTTTCTGCTTGCTTTTCAGCAGCTTTACCACCAACTGAATCAGCCTTTCTTTTTAACAACCATTGCTGGGATGCAGCTTCTTTGTTGTTTTTGATGTTGAGAAGCAACCCTCGCATGAGCATGGGAGTTACTCGAAGCGAGATCTAGTTTTGATCCCCCACACAAACGCGATGGCGTCAAACACTTCGCCACAGAAGCACCTGTTCCAAAAACAGAGAAGACACGCGCCAACTGACAAGACTCCCCTTACGCAACAATCGGGTTGATGTGCCATGAAATGCAGTGAAGTGAAGATTAACAGAAGGCTGTTGTGGTTGTTTTTCACGTGCACTTACAGTATGTAATTACACGCATTATAGAGACATATTAACCGTGAAAAAGAAAGAGGTAATCTGCGTTGTAGTTTTTTTTTGCTTTTTAGGAACTCGAGACAATCCACGCCGCTTCTGCTGTCAACACACGAAAGAGGGACAATAAAATGAAGAGTCAGCAGCCTCACATGGCGCGACAGCTAAAGCAGCGCTACTCAGTGGTGTTCTCCGGGGTCTTTTTAGGGATGTCTTGAGGCGCTGTTGGAGCCACCAAGTCATCCCACACAGCGCTCTCGAGAATGTACCCACTGAAGTGACGATCGGTGTACTTGTTCAGCGCACCGTTCGTGTAGCGCTGCTGCACGCCGATGTACTGGTTGATGTAGTAGTAGAGGAGGTCGTCCACCTCCCCGCGATAATACGCGTTGTTGCTGACCTCGTCATCATCACTAGCGTCATTTTTCTTCTTCTGGGTGTCAACGGCGCCGGTGACTTTCCCCGACGACGCGACGGCACTCGCACTTGCGCTTGGCTCGACAGACGCCTTCAATGCCTTGACTTTGTTAACCTGTGTAATGTACTCTCGCAGAAAATAGTAGATCGCTTCCACCGTGGCCAAGTACGTGGGGTCGTTGTTCTGAAACCGCCAGAATAGCGACGTCTGCGACTTGATGCGTACGTGCTTAAACTTACTAACCCGTTCATCACGCGCGATCGCCTTGCTTTGCTGCCACGTGCTGTCAATGAAAACGACGTTCCTGTATCGCTCCAGGTGCTCCACCTCGTGCAGCCCCACGCTCTGCTCGCTCGGGTACAGCACCAGCGTCGTCTCTGGCTCCAGCTGCTCCGGCACAGAAGGGTACTCAACGATGTGCATGTCAGGCGAGATAGTCGACGCGGCTAGACTGGTGCTCTTGCCACGCAGTTCATTGGGGTGCAGCACCACATACACATTGAGCGGCAGCACCAGCGGCGGCGGGTGCGACTCGGGATGAGTGACCGTGAGGCAGTCGTAGCAGTAGAAGAGTCGGCGTTTGTGGCACTTGGGGCACTCGCGGCGCTCGTGCTGCTCGCGCAGGCGGTAGAGTGGAACAGAAAAGTGCAGACTCTGAATGAACGCGTGAACTTTCTCTGCGCGCTCCTCGTTCGAATCGGCGTAGCCGCAACGTGGCCGCTTCATCGCACTAGGCACTATTATTTTTTGTGAGAGTGAAGAAAAAGATGCACAGAGGGAGAGGAGCGGTATAAGGAGAAACAGAAGAAGAAAAAAAGACAAGCGCATTATAATACTTGGAGGAATACTTGTTGAGGTACGATTTCCTTTCTTGATTCGAAAGTACTGCTTTCACTGACGATATCGCACTTCGGTCAAATCGCTCACCGTTTCCATAAGGTTTTGCCGGCGTCCCCTTCCCACGCAGTATGCAAACACAGCAATGCTCCTCAATTGCCTTCGGGTAGAAAAGTTGCCCGTTCTAGCTCCTCCTTGCGATGGGTATTATTGCCAGCACGTGTCCTTTCTGTCAATAACCCAGCATTCAAAATGTCCGAAACACCTTTTTTTAGGTAATATGTCTATGCTCTATAGATGAGATGCCTTCTATGAAGAAGCAAAATGTTTCTTAAAAACAATAAACAGCGGCTTAGATAGTGACTCAGACCTATAACAACGCCAAAAACTGGCATCCTTTTACTCAAGCGTACTCAAGCTACATTGTCCGTCTGCTGGTGTGTACCACAGAAATGTTCCATTCACCGCGAACGATCCAGGGTTCAGAACATGGACACCCTTGTAGTGGCATTCCCACTGCTCTGTCGAGTCGCAGAGAAGCATCGTGTGGGGCAGCACAGGAATGCGGAGAGCGTCATCCATCTTCCATAGCACCGCTTCGTCAATGTTGGGGGAGAGGTGGGCCTCATCCAGAATCGTCTTGGTGACCCGCTCAAAAGACGCGGCTGACGCTGTCGCGGCACCCCCGTTCACAGCACCCTCAGTGCTTTCTTTGGGACGGTAGCGCTCCCATTCGTAGCGTGACTCGCCTTGCTGGAAATCGCGCAGAAAATCGCGACGCGCGATGATCATCTCGTGCGTGTGAAAACGCAAGCGACATGGATTGGGGGCCAAGGTAAGCCGCTTTATGCGGCTCTCCAGCCCTTTGGCAAAGTGTGCCGCTATGGGAGTCTGCGGTTGAAAACCTTGTAACACGGTCATATCGTTTGGCCCTGGAATCAGAACGAATTGGCTTTGTTGTGCCGCGGTTGGCGCGTTGAGCGTCACACACCGTCCAAGGCCATCCAGCAGCGTCTGCAGGCGATCGGAGCTGTCAAAGATGTCCGGCAAGTGAGAAGCATCACTGAAATGCAGGGGGATGGATGAGAAATCACCAGTAAAGACGAAGGTGACATCACGCAGCTCCGCCTCGCTAAGTCCCTGCATCCTTTCGAAGAAGCGAGCGAGCCGGCTCATGGTGCTCGTTTTGTCAAGGTGCACGTGCGCCATCACGATGATGACGTTCTGAACACTTCTCTTCTCCTCTGTGAGTGCACCAATGAGATCCGAAGGCGCGAGCCCGAACAAGTCAGTGCTTGTTCCGACATCTCTAAGGGTCACCTCACGGCGCTCGGCTGGAGGCAAATCGATGCGCAACACCTGCAGAGCTCCGTTCACCCAGAACCCTGTCACTACAACCATGCACCCAGTTCCGACGAAGCAGTGATTTGTCACACGAGAGTTGTCCGTGAATTTAAGCTTGATCTCACCCCTCAAGTCTTCTAGGTAGACAACTCCATCCCGCTGAAGAATCAAGCCGAGAACGGCTATTTGGACGCTTGGGTCGAGACCTTCCATGGCAGAGGTGAGAAGCAGCGGCAATAGGTCATCATTGGACAGGCGCTGCTCGATCGCTTTTTGGAACAGCCCACAACGAAAGCACCGCCGGCGCGCCAGCAGGTAACGCTGATTTAGACACTGGAGGCGGTTGTACGCTACCGGTGAAGCACTTGAAATAAGCTCCCCACTGATGTCATCAACATAAACCTTCGGGACGCGGTTGAGCTCAACGACCTGCGTAAAACTTGAGGAGCCAACTTCAAAGCTTCCATGTAGTTTGTTCTCCTGGGTATTGATGGCAGCCTCGATTTTGGTCTTGTCGATTAATCGAACGCTTCCGTACTGCTTCTGGACGAGAGAGAAAATGTCCCTCAACAGATCTCGACGATACTCATCACTTGTATTGTACTTTCTGAGAAACTCCGCGAGGCGCTTAATTGCAGAAGGGTGTAAATCATACTTGCTTGCCTTCGCAAGCATTTGAATCTCACGCTCGACGTCGCTCATTGTCAGTGGACTCAAACAACGACGTCAATACTGTCTGTTTTCAAGTGCACTGTCAACGAACGAAAAAAGCTTCTGTGAGCGATTATTCCATCATTTCTTGTTAACTAGAAGAGAGAATGCACAAGAAAACACTGCAGAGGGGGAGGTTGTGTGAGAACCAAAACGGAAGCTTCAATACATTGTCATCGCTGGTTCTAACAAAAGGAAACAGGGACATCAACCAGATCAGACACTTGAATTGTTTTTTGCGCCAAAACATAACACGTTGGTGTCGTCTCATTTTCATATACTGAAAACCACAACGAACAGCAAACAAAGCAAGGCAAAACATGCGAACGAAATTAACCACTACGGCACATTGGTGTGTTGATAAGTAGTTTTTTTTTTAACTTTTCTTTATTGGTTCTTTTTTGATGCTGTTAATGTTGGCATCTGTGAAAGTCGAGCAGCAAACTTTGGTTACTTCTGCTTCATCCAATTGACGTTACTGGTTGGTACGCTTCAATAGTCGCTGCAACGTTTCAACTTCACCCACTAAGGTAGCGTTGTCCTTCCGAATCTGTGCAATCTCTTGACGCACACTCATTAGTTCCTTCACAAGGTCCTGGTTACGTTCATGAAGAGCATCGGCTCTGCCTCGTTCGCGTGCTAGCTCAAGTTCGTAGTTCACAATTCCGGATTTTAACTCTTCACTGGAGGTAACGTACTCGTTCAGCTTCGACAAGTTACTCTTGCGGCCCGTCTCCCTGGAAAGGTACTGCCGGATGGCCTCTTGCAGCTCCCCAGCACGCTCCTCATTTGCGTTTGCGCGTTGAGACTCTTCGTGCAAATTGCGGAGGAGAACATTGTTTAGCAAATACGTGCCCTTTGCGTCTTGCTGAATACTAAAGCAGTAAGCACCCACAACAAAAGTTAAGCACCAAGCAGCAATTACGCTGCCTTTCGCCGCAGGGGCAAGCCACCAGGCACGAAACCTGTTAATTGGCGAGGAAACATCGCGCCACGGTGTTGAATCGCCGGGAGCCTGGCGATGCGTGCCTTCATGAAATGTTGCTTGGGAGTAACGATGGAGCTCCGGCTGGATGCCTTGGCACAGGCGAGCGCTCTTCCTGAGCATCAGAAAACTATGAAATATGCTTTTTTACCTGTTCTGCTATTTTCTTTTCTTTTTACAAATTACGATAGTGGAGAGACCCTTTTTTAAAGATTAATAAAGAAAGAAGTTCTCAGCAGTAGAGGGAAGAATAGAAAAAGAAGGAAATGGAAACCATGAGGCTTGAAAGGATGCATAATAACACGAGAAACAAAGAAGAATTGGGTGTAACACCAATACGAAAAAAAAAAGGAATGTTGCATCACGCGAAACGCAAAAGAGAATAGTAGGTATATACAATTCTCTCACTTTTTCAACTTCGCGCTGCAAATAGATACCCTCAAATCCATATAATTGCGAAGGTACAATCAGCTTTGAAGAAGCATTTTATCTCTTTCCGATTTCAATTGATTTCGCCGCCACTTGCACGATTTGGTTCCTCAGCACAGAAAAGAGGGTCAATTGTAGGAAAGTCACAACGCAGGAAAGCACAACCATAAAAGTGGAATAAAGAAAAGTAAAGAGGAAGAAGCATGCTCCGTATCGACTGCTTTGACAAATAAAAAAAAATCGAAAAATCAAAAGCTACTCGTTCATTTTTTCGTTTCTTTCGTTGCCTTTATAATACCATTGAGAAAAGCCAAAACTCCACCATTCGCCTCCGTTTCAGGGACTCCGAACGAAGAGCAGAGCTGCTTGTACGTTGGAGGGTCCTGGAGCGCAGCCTGCAGCATCGCGGCCGCTTGAGAAACCTGCGGATTTTTTACTTGCGGGAGAAGATTGCTTGATGAATCAACTCCTTGGGGGAGGTGTGGTCCCAACTTTGCCCGATACAAAGCCGGCTCGCTGTTCAGTTCCTCTGTAACAATAGAGGAGGACAAAACGTCAGTTAAGGCAATATCCTTTTTGCTTTTCGATACGCTAGCCAGAATCTTTTTGAAGTCTTCTAAAGCGATCGTCGGTTTATTCGTTACAGGAGGACGCTCGGCCAACATTTGTTCCAGACTCATCAGATAAGCGCTGTCTTTTTCTTCTGATTTTTCCTGAAGCCAGTAGAAATGCAACTTTTTCTCACCGCCTTCGTTGACTTCAAACAATAAAACACGCCCCGTTTTGCACTGCTCCACAAATTTCACGTTCGTTTTGCCACGAGGAAGCCGAAGAGCAGGTGCGAGTTCGGTGTTGGAACCCCAAACAAGCTCGACTGCATTTGGGCCAGCAGAGAAGAATGAAACGTAGCCCTTACGCTTGTCTGCCGTGAGAATACCGTTCGCGTACTTCATTCTTCCCGCGCGGAACTGAAGATCCGGCTGTTTCGCAAAGGTTGGTGGTGGGATCATTTTTTGCACCTTTTGCTCGCAATAGAATGATGATAAAAAGACGTACAACTTTTGGTGAGTCGTTTAGAAAAAAGAGATCAAGGAGCAGAGAAAGAAAAAAGGAAAGCAAACATTGTCTTTTTCGTCACATCTATTTTGAACAGAATTAACAGAAGCTAGAGGGGTAAGTCCGTTTATAGCACTCAAAGAGTTCAATATACGGGGTTCCTTCGGCGAGCAATTTTCCTAAAAAGAGCAAATAGATAGCTGAGCGGGAACACAGGCCTTGGAGAAAGCACAGAGTCGACAACATAGTTTTCGCAAACGCCGCCAGCATCGACAGCAGTACACCAGCGCAACACCACATAGGCAGACATCATCGATCACTGAAATAGGAGCCTACCTTTATTCTCACCTTAAGGAAGAGCACTGAGGTGCGATGCCGATAAAGACACGGAGAAGAAGAGATACAAAAGAGGGAAAAAACAGAGCGCACAGAAGCTACATTATTCACAAAAATAGTCATTCTTCTAACCAAAAACACGATATATTATTCCTTCTCATTTTTTCTAAATGCTTACTAATACCTAGTGCTAATAAGTTGGATTGAAGCAAAACATAGAAAAAAAAAACACAATACATGCTCAACAGCTGACAAAAAAAAAGCAAAAGAATCAGAATCAAATAAACAACAATATGAGTGCGCAAATAAATATTTATCCATCAATTGGCACGATAGCAGTTTTCTGTATATATTGGGCCAGTTTTTAGTACGAAGCCTGTTTAACATAGCCAAGCTTCAGCTCGAACGGCAGCCAGTCTAAAGGTGTGGGGTCGCGGTACGTCACTGGACCCAAAGGTTGTGCAATCTGGACTGTACGTAAGCGTGCCCAGCCCGGCATAGGGGTAAGGCAGCGATCCTTCACATCCTCGTACGAAATGTGCTCCGTCATTACTAGCAAATCGCGGTACTCCTGGTACGTGCCGGCAACCGTGATCATCGCGGAGATCACGAAAACACCTAATCCAATGCTAATGAGGGGGTACACATTGCCGCCGAAGAGAAACCCCCACTTTTCTGCCGATCCGGCGGCAGTAGACACCATGCCATATTCTGTTTTGATGTTTCCTAACTGAAGGCGTGTCGCCTTCGACAACATCGGCGCTAGGGAAAGCCGAGTTCGAAGCATTTCTAGAAAAAAGGGTATCTCTTCTTTATTACCGTTTTGAGTCCGAAAAATGGGAAGAACGAGTGAAAACCGCTAAGAAGAGAGAAGTCGGCGCGAAAAGAAAAGCCAGCGAGGGAGTAAAGTGAGGAAAACATAGTCAGTTGGTTGGCGGTAATAGGTTCAAAAAACCGGGACTACTAAAGGAAGCTTTTAAAAGGTTATACGAGTATCAACAATATTTTAGAACACACATTTTTCCAGCTCTTTCTATCATCGATACAAACCCAATTTTTTGTTTTCCTGTTCTGTCTTTTTAGCTGCACCACATAACCTGACACAGAACTACTCCACTTCTAAGTTAAAGGCTCGCGTTGGCATCGAAAGGGGAAAAAGAACGTGTTTTCTCACAGATACGTAGAAAGAAATTCTTTTTGATGGGGAAGTAGGTTTAACCAGAAAACTCTGCACTATCTTCCCGACGAACGTCTTTTTCCAGCAGGCTCTAAATCGCCAAAACGCCTATTCCTAAACCGCAAGTTGTTGTTCAAAAAAACCCTGATGCTGGCATTCGAACAGTGAGCAGTACGCAAACGGCTACTAGCCCATATCACTTACCGTTGAACAGATTAAAAACAAGCACACTTTGAAAGGATTTCAAACGAGCAAAGAGTTTCGTTAACTCGCAACACTGTACTTTTGCCACAACACGCTGGTTCAGTGAGTTTTTGAGTGCACCAATTTCCACTGGGCAACTGTGAAAGCTCTGCGATCATCCCCCCCCCCCTCCGCAAATCAACAGCTAATGGATTACTGCGGCTGTTCACCCCCTCTGTTGATCCAATCGTTAGACCGATTGACCAGCAGTAGACCTCTTTTCCTCAGTGGAAGCCCGTTCTAACTTCCCTCGACTAAGTCCTTCACGCCAGCACCTCTTCTCTCCTCGTCACTTTCCCGCTCTACTCTCTTCCTGGAAGCCAAACAACTCCAGATTACCGCCTCGGTTTGGTTCTCTCCCTCTTCTTCTTGTTTCCTGTGTGGGCCATACTGGGTTTTACCGCGTCTCGTGAAGTGCAGAGCCGTGGATACTGTTTGCTGCAATGGAAACCTGTTGAACTCAGGTAAAGCCCGTAGCAACTGAAGCAACGGAGAGTCGACGTCGAAGCAACTATCGCCGTAGCATTCTTGCGGCACACGGACGTAGGCCCAACGGCGGGCCAACTATTACAGGAAGCTAGTTGCCTTGCGATAAATGTTCACAGTGCTGTCTAGAAAACTTAGGGAGGAACCGAAACCCGTAAAAGACAGGGAAGAGGCACCGAGAGCTTTGGCGTTTGTTCGTTGTTCGCACTCCAGAGACGTTTACTTTCTGTAAGCTGACGATGCCATAAGAAACCTTCTACACTACGAAGACCAAGTTAAGAGCTTGAAGAAAGCCTGGCCTCTCTCGTGTGTTGTTAAGATGTCGCACAACATTTTCTCTTTTATACAACAGGGAATGAGGCTCCGAAGGTGTTATTTCAAGCCTTCGATTAGTTACTGTTCTTCTCTCTTTCCTTTTGCGTTTCTACTCATCCACTTGTTACGACAGAGATAGCTCACTTTCACGTAACTCTATACGCCACTACGGCGGCATAAAATGCAGTTTAAGACTCTTCTTTTGGTGACTTGTTGTTTTTTTGTTTCTTTTGTCACTGGCGTCACTTCTCTGAACATTGCTGTTGTTTCCTCCGGTACTCCCGCACAATTGTTTAACATACACCACATAATCCAGGCAGCGGATCAGAGGAATCATAATGTCGTTGTCCTCGTGAATTCTGAACTTGCGAGTTCCTGTGAAGACTTACTCGGTCGCAGTGTTTGTTTGGCGCTTTTTTGTCCACACCCCGATTGTCAAAAGACCCAGTTTCTCTTTTCAAAAGCGGCTCAGTTGGCGCTTCGAAAAGATCGATTTTCACCAAACGTTGTGCTTGCCGCTGCGTTTGTCACAGAGTCTTTTCTTTTGAGCAGACATTATAGTGTTCCTTTGGTAATGCTTGCTGACACCGGGGCAAAGCGTGATGTTGACGGTTCTTCCGCTTTTGTTAGTCCTAAAAGTGGCGCGAAGCAGAACGGTTCATTTATTGACTCTGTGCTTGAATCGGTTCGTGGATTTTACGAAGACGCTAAGATCTCCGTTGGGTTGAGCTCGGATGCTGACGTATACGCGACGCATCACATTATAACACAGGGAATTCCTGGGCTTGATTTGGTTGAGAGTATCTGCCCCAACGTTCACCCTGTCGGATTCCTGCGCGCTGATTCATCAAGTTCCGCTGCTGACCTTGTGACGTTTTTACCTAATTGGTCACCAACCTGCTCCAGCAGGTTCATCTATGCGAGTATAAGCGCCGAAGATAGTCGAGCAACCTCTGAAATCAAAATCTTGATGGAAAGAGTGGCTGACGTGACCGACTCCTGTGTGTTGTGGTATAGCTCGCAGAAATTTGCGTCTCAATTGCACGCAAATGATGTTTCTGAGAATAGCAGCCTCACATTGACAGACAATGTTCTTGCATCACCATCGTTTGTACTGAATCAATATAAACCTTTTGTCGTGATATCTGATTCGATTGATGGGGTTTTGCGAGACGCTGTTTTCATAGAGTCCCCTACAATTTACATTGGCACAGATCAAGCTGAGTGCCAGCAGGTTGAGAATGCAGGCGTTGGTCACTGTACGACTCGTTCGTCTCTTACACAAGTCGTTTCCGCGACTGTGGCTCTGCAGAACAGCACGGTGGAAAGTGAAAATATACGTAGGGCGCGGCGAATGGGTTTTCTGATGGGCGGGGCGCGGAAAGCACTGGATGTGATAGAACTCGCCGCGCAACTAGGGGCTGAAAACACGGATTTTTTCTGCGAGTCAGCTATTTTTGTATCTTCTTATGGCTACAACGGAAGTGTCGTTCTGGTGTCCAGTTTTGTTCTCGGCCTTTGTGCTTACGCTTTTTCTTCGGTTTTGCGGTTTTTTTGTTTGCAAACGGAAAGCAAAAGCGCAACACTCTTAGCTTTTTTTTTCGTTCTCTTTTGTCCTACATCTTTTGTTTCATAAACCTGTGCTTGTTACTGTTGACCTCATCGGGATTTACCGGTTTCTGATGCTCAATTTTGTTGAAGATGAAAAGATCTCAAAGTACCAACTTATTATTATCGTGGTTGTTAAAGAGTACATGCATCTGTTACTCTTCCTCATTTAAACACACAAAAAATGTCAGTGACACTCGTAATGCGTTCTCCCAGTTTCGCACAGAAGAAATATGCTGCGCGAAAATCCGTGCTTCGCGCCTTTTTGAGTGTTTGCGCTGTTGTTCTTTTCGCCTGTAAAAAGGAATATGGAGTACGTCTTTCTTTCTGATACGCCTCCCTTTTCTTTCCTTCTTCCTCTCCTGCTCTCTTTTCACCATTTTTTCTTTACAGATCAGTTACATTAGAGAACAAAGCTACTTTTTTTAAACAGATCTTACGATGTCCGAAATCGAGGAGACTTTTCAGCGCATTAGCCAGCGCCCAAATGTTACGGGAATCATTGTCGTCGACAACGAAGGCACGCCTATCCGAAGCACGATTGAAGACACTGCTGTGCAGAACCAGTACGCTCATCTTATCACTTCCCTAGCTGCCAAAGCTCGTCATTGCGTCCGTGACTTAGATCCCACCAATGATCTTTCTTTCCTGCGCATTCGCTCGAAGAAAAATGAGATTATGGTCGCCCCCGACAAGGACTTCATTCTCATTGTCATCCAAAACATCGCCGAATGATTCTCTTAGGCAAACAAAGAGTGTTTTCATCTCGTCGGCTGGTGCAATTGTACACCATCTTATTTATTCCTTTTTTGGTTTAGGAATGTAAATAGATAAGCGTGTGGTTGATGTACGTCAAATAAGTTCAAAAAGAAAACATTTAAGGAAACCTGCAGAATGCTGAGTATCTTTCCAGAAAGGCTACTGACGCCTACCTGATGTTTCCTAAGAATGGGGCTGAGCTGCTGAAGCGTTGCTTCACTCAAGCGTCTTTACGCCGATAGATTTCTTTTGCTAGGTTTTGCTGTTGTTGTGCGGCAGAACACATTTTATGTTCGAACTCTCTTTATATGTGTGATTTTTCAGCGTCTGAGTTTCAACGCCTTCCTCTCTTTTTTCTTTTCTTTGCTTCTATGCGACTGACATTAAAGCTGAAAGGGTAATACGAACTGTTTTCGCATGCGTTTTTGTCTCGAGGTCTGCTGGTGATCGCACTCACGTACATATTCAACAATCCCTGCTGTTGCTGTTTCTTTTTTTCCCCTACATATAGAAACTTTGACCGCCTCTTTTTTCTCCTGGGCTGCGTTCGCTTATTCATATCATATCTTCTCATCCACAATGCTTTCTGTTTTAGAAGTCGCGAAGCACGTTTTCTGGAACGACAGTGCCTTTAACCGAAAGCTTTTGCCCTCGGAAGCGTCGCTGGAAAAATGCACGTGCACACTCCTTGATCTCAGCACGATGTCGGGTAAGGAGCGCATTTCTGCGTTCCGACAGTGCGGAATTGATCCGTCGCTCTTTCCACTCTTCTTACGAGCGCTTCAACATCTCACCGCGCTTCATGGCAACGGGAAGATCGATGACAGTTACGTCATTCACCGTCACCTCACGGCCCACCAATTTAGCCCTTTCACGAGCAACGGTCCGCTTTTGGGCTACGCAAATGTGAACAGTTTGCCCTATCGTGAACCCTGCTCGAGCGATGGAAAAGCACTGAAAAAGGAAAGTGTGACGGAAGCGCGCAAAGAAGCGCCAAGGCAATCTCGCTACAATGGGTTGTTGAACCAGGGAGCAACATGTTACTTGAATTCACTACTGCAGGCATTATTCCACATTTCGGCGTTTCGCTCAACCATTTATCACATGCCGACAAGGGAAGAGGCGGAGGGAAAGGGTAATGGCGACGCTTCGGGTACCAAGAGCATTCCCTACGCGCTGCAGCGGCTCTTTTGTCACCTGCAAATGTCAACTAAGGCAGTAGGTACGCGCGAACTGACTGAGTCGTTCGGTTGGGGATCGGCCGACAGTTTCATTCAACACGACGTTCACGAGCTCACCCGTGTGCTGCTAGACAACCTGGAAGAGAAACTCACGGCGCTGCGGGCGGAAATGGGACACTCAAACCCGAAGGACAACGCCATTCATCAGCTCTTTACAGGATCATTGGAAAGCTACGTCAAAGTCGAGGATGCCAACTACTTCGGCTCGCGCGAAGAGCCGTTCTATGATTTACAGCTCGTGGTCAAGAACAAGCAAAACATCTACTCCAGCTTCGACGCCTTTTTCCAAGTAGAAGTCTTAGACGGCAAAAACAAATACTGCTTAGAAAGCAACGGGAAAAAGGAATACCACCGCGCTGAGAAAGGTGTCCGCTTCAAAACAATTCCTCCTATTCTGCTGCTTCACCTTGCTCGGTTCGACTATGACATTCAGCGGGGCGAAACGAAAATTTTTACGAGGTGGGAGTACTACAACACACTTGATCTGTCGTACTACATGCCGGAGGCGCCGCGGGAAGACACACAATACACCCTGTGCAGCGTACTCGTGCACTCTGGGTCTAACACCGGGTTTGGACATTATTTTTGTTTTCTGATGTGCTCGGGGTCGTGGTACAAGTTCAACGATGAAACGGTTGCGCCAGCCAAGTTGAAAGAAGTCTTCGGGGACAACTTTGGTGGCTTCCGACTCAATTACTGGGGTTCGGAAATTCCGAATACCGCAAACGCGTACATGCTGGTGTACATTCGCACATCCCAGCTGACATCCATACTCCGCCCCATCAGCGCGTCAGACGTCCCGCAGCATGTCGTCGAGCAACTGGAGAGAGAACGCATCGAACAGGAGCGACGCGTGAAGGAGCAGGCGGAGGACTACCTTTACGGACGCGTTCATTTTATTCAGCCTCACGAGATAGTGGAGCAAGAAGAGTACCTTACCTCCCGCCGCCCGGTCGAGCAGAAATTTTCGTCGCAGAAGACGCTACGCCTGCTGCTGGAAGCCGAAGCGCTGCCCAAGTTTCAAGCGTTCGTCGCTCGACAATTTGGCATTGCCCCGAGGCAGCAGCTGCTATGGTTTGCCTCTCTCCGCGGCGACGCACCAAAACTCCGTCTCTTTAAGCAGGTCAAGGACGGTATGAGGGTCATGGAGCTTTTACAAAAAGACAAAGAGTGCTGTGTGCTGATAACTACGCCGCGTTCTGCACCCATGATTGAGCTGGACGCCGAGTGCGCGCATCGCGAGTATGAAGTGTTCCACCACAAACTGTACGATCCACTGCAACTGAAGCTGATGTTCATCGGCTGCACTGTGCTGCATCGCGACCCCCACGGCGACACAAAACCGGCAGTAGAGGCGATGGAGGCGCGCGTGCGAGAGATGATCGCAGAGCTTCCCGACGATACCCGTCTGCTATATGGCCATCATCTGACGAAACAGCCAGCGAAGAAGCACGGGCTTGCGTCGCCGCACACCAGCACCGTCTCGCTTGACGCGTACAAGTCCCACCAAGACCTCGCATCCAAGGACGAGGAAAAGGCGAATACCCCCGTCGTACGAGGGAAGCCGCAGGAAAAGCTTGTGGTTGTGCGGGAGACAGAGGAGCACAGCTTTCTGCCCTGTAACACTCTTAGCTCTGGCGACATTCTTATCTGGAAGCTCGACACCCCGAACGAGGACCCGGCCAATGTCTTCTACCCCGACATTCAGAGCTTCCAACACTTCCTGCATCGACGTATTCCCGTCGAAATCAAACTCAATCGCTATCCCGACTATCCTTCCCTCATCGACACCGAGTTGGGGGAGGACATGACGTATGAGCAGCTGCAACGATACGTGGCTCGCCTCATCGGCGATTTGGAGCACTTTGACCGCATCCGATTCACACGCCACAATCCCGAGACGGAGCTGCCGTACTTCATGAAGGGAAAGAAGCATGACCGTCCCACCTTGGCGCGGCTGCTGATGCCGGCTAGCTCCCGCGTTCCCGTGCTGTCCAAGTACCTCTACTACGAGTACTGTAAGTACACGGTCACCGAGATCGAGAACGCCCACTCGTTGCAGTTCAAACTGTACGGCGACAACGTGAAGGCGATGTCGGCACACTGGATTCTCCTGCCGCGCGAGCTGCCCATCACCGCAAACGTGCTCTTTTCCGCCTGTGTTCGCGAAATCCAAAAGGATTACACCGGAGATAACTTCAAGCCGATGACCACTTTACTGGAGGAGGATTCTGAGAGCGCAAAGTGCGACTCCACGCTCGCCTTCATGAAGAGCCTCATGACAATGGACGTCAACAAGGCGCACGAGGTGCTCCGACTGGCGGATGTGTGGCGCGGGCGTGTGTACAACGTGCTGGACAAAGACCACACCCTCGTTTTTGAGCACCAGACGTTTGAGGAGAGCGCCGAGTACCGCATTGAGCGCATTCCGCAGCCCATCCCAAACGTTCCGCTGCAGTACCAAGCGGTGTTTCCAGTGCATCATTTCACAAGGGTGCACCAGCGTCGCGACCTCGTCGAGACTCACAGCGAACCTTTCAGCATGTACGTCAACTTCAACGAACCATCCAGTCAACTCCTGCGACGGATCGCCGCGAAGCTCGAGATGAGTTTCGCAGCCTTGCAGGATTGGAAGGTGTGCGTGGTGAAGGAGAACCGCGTCGAGGTGATCCCGCCAGATTCGCCGATGGGAAAGCACATACACAGCTTTTGCGCGATGGAGTACTTCGAGCCAAACCAGCCAGAGCCGTCTAAAGGTGCCTTCATCGGGCTAGAGCACGCTCCTCTATCGAAGCGCACTGGCAAGCGGGAGGACAAGGTTTTAATCTTGAATTGACACAAAAGAGGAAACTCGACTTTTGTTTCTGCGGAAGAGCAGAGGGTGAATGAAGCGATACTCTTCTTGTGGAAGTGTCCTTTATACTGACTACAGGCTTGAAGCCTTCGTTGACGTACGAGCCGTTTTCTCTTGAAGAAGAGCCTTTTCTTTCTGCCCTCAGTTTGGTCTGGCGTGATTCAAGTGTTTTTTTTTCCTAGTTTTTTATGTTTTTTGCGTTGCACGAGTGCTTTTCTTAAAAAAAAAAGAACTTTTTAAATCTCCCAACTATTCTTTTCATGGCGTGTTGCCTTTGCTCTTATGGTTATCGTGTTGTGCTGATGTTGTTGTTTCTGCGAGGCGCGAAGAAAAAAACAGTCGAGAAGAAGAGCTGCGGTTTCCTTTTACCGTCGTGCAACAGGCTTTAGACACCTGTCCGTGAGTCGTTTGGCCTTACGGTTCCTTCTCTTTTCGTGCGTTAATATGTGTGGTTGGCGACTTTCATGCTTGATGTGCGTGTGGCGCTCCTACTTGCCGAGAAGGTGACACTGTCCTTCGTTTTCGGTTTCCTTCTTTTCTTTTCTGTTCATCTCTTCGATTCTCCTCTGCAACCTGTAACGTATTATTATTGACGCACTTCCCGGCACTCCTTCTCAACCACTACCACAATACTATCTTTGCTGAAGAATTTTGATGGTTCTTCGCGCAGACTCCATGCAGATACATTGCGGGATAGCTAAAACTCTTGTTTGTCTGTCTACTTTTTTTTCCTGCCTCCAGTCGTTTCACCGTTGTTCATCGCCTCTTTGCAACAATAATAATAGAAAAAAGACAGTGAGGCTAAGAGGAGAGCGCATTGGTCTTTTAAGAACCTCGTTCTTTATTCACACTTAGCTTGCCATGTCATCCAATTCTTCACCTAGCTCGCCGTCAACGGCCAACGGCGAGCACCGCTACGCACGCGTTAACGTCAATAAGCCGTCGTCCTACTGGGACTACGACTCTCTCCGCGTCCAGTGGAGTAGCCCGGACCGCTACGAAGTGGAACAGAAGATTGGTCGCGGTAAATACAGTGATGTGTTTCTCGGCGTCGACACCAAGGAGGGAGGGCAGGTGGTCGTGAAGGTGCTGAGACCGGTCAAAAAGAAGAAAATTCTGCGCGAACTGATGGTACTGCAGACGTTGAAAGGGGGACCGAACATAGTAGAAGTCCTTGACGTGGTGCGGGACCCCAGCAGCAAAACACCGTCTTTCATCTTCGAGTACGTGAAGTCGTGCGACTTCCGGACTGTGTTTCCCACCTTCACTGACCTCGAGGTGCGCAGTTACATTTTCCAGGTTCTGATGGCGCTCGAGTACGCCCACTCACGAGGGATTATGCACCGCGACGTGAAGCCGAACAACGTCTGTCTGGATTACAAGACGGGTAAGCTGAAGCTGATTGACTGGGGCTTGGCCGAATTCTACCACCCTGCCACTTCGTACAACGCACGCGTCGCGTCGCGCTACTTCAAAGGTCCTGAACTACTTCTCGAACTGCCTATGTACGAGTATCGTCTCGATCTTTGGTCACTCGGGTGTATACTAGCGGCGATGATCTTCATTCGCGAGCCTTTCTTCCGCGGCAAGGATATCACAGACCAGCTCGTGCGCATCGTCAAGGTCCTCGGCACCGATGACCTTCATGCGTACTTGAAGAAGTACAACCTGTGCCTTCCGCCAGTGCTGGAGGCAACATTAGGACACCACACCAAGAAGCCGTGGACTAGTTTTGTGAACAGTCAGAACGAACACCTCTGCCCACCAGAAGCGCTCGCGTTCTTGGACAAACTTCTCCAGTACGATCATGTGAAGCGAATCCAAGCAGCGGACGCGTTGCTGGATCCTTATTTTGATCCTGTGCGGCCAGCAAATTACGCGGCGGCCTTGATGCGGGATGATACGAATGCGAAGGCATCCACACAGAACGAAGAAAGCGATCAGGAGAACGAAGGCAAGAAGGAATGATAGACCAACAGCGACGAGTGTTGCAGACAACGCGGCGTGCTCATAATCTTAAATGAAATAGTATTTGCTCTGCATTGCATGTGGGCTAACTTTTAGAAACAAGACCGACCAACAAGTGTTTTGAAAGCGAAGCTCTGCATACTGTTTGTTTTACTCTTTTTTCTTTCTTTCGTCCTCAAAGCGCCACTTTTGTACCTCTGCGGCATGCCACTCTCGTCTGTTTTCTCCTAGTTGAACACGAAGATATACGCTTTACTCGTTTTCTTTTTTGAGTTTTTGTTCTTGTCGCAATCGCTTGGAAATTTAGAGTTATGCCTCATAGACATGTTTTCGCTTCCACGATTTGTTGTTGTTGTCTCCGTCATGTGCTGGTGTTCCTTCGCGGAGGTGAGCCGACGTGTGGGTGGTATTGTCCTTGATCGCCTTATTGACGCTCTTCCGCCTTTCTTCCTTTCTTCCTTTCTTCCTTTGTTTGTCTCAGTGACTTTATCAATCCTTGCCGCATTTATCTCAGCCGAAACGTTGGTCACTGTGCGTGGGTGAGAGTTCGGTACAAGGAGCGAGAGAGGAGGAAAGGTGGGAGGGAGGGCGGCGAAGGAAGGAACGTCTACAGCTGAGTATTGAACTATCTGACGCCTACGTGCCGGACCTCGCTTATACCTCAACTACGCGAACAGAGAGAGAGGGAGGGAGGGAGGGAAAGGGGGGAAGGGGAGTGAGAAAGAATGGGTGAGCAAAACGAACAAAAAATGCGTTAACAGGTTTTTTTTGTTTGTTTTGTTACTAACGGCTGTTCCATTATTGCGATCTTTTCTCTCTCTCTCCTTTGCGCAGAGTAACAATGGGCAACCGAAGAGAAAAGGAGGGATAACTTGTCTTTTTATCTTTTACTGCTGAAGTTGTTAACTCTCAAGGCAAGGAAGAACAACTCTGTGGGTCGCGCAGCTTAGAGGCGAAGCGCTGGGAAGTTTTTTTTTGCGTTTTTCCCCACTATAATTTGGCATCTTTGTGTGTGTCTACCTCTCCTTCGCAGCCCCACAACGGCGTGTGTCGGTTTCGCTACGCGGCAGTTTTCGATGAACGAATCAAAAGATAAGTGTTTTTATATATATGCTAAGTTGGTTGTTTTGTAATTGCGTTGCTTGTTATACTCGCCTCCCCACAACGGCAGCGTCCAAAAAGAAGGGGGAGAGAGGAACAGAGAGCGAGAGAGAGGGCGTCAGAGAAGCATCATCAAGTGCGCCAACGACTGTGGCGCATGAGCGTCGATGTGTGCAAGGGTGATGAGAAACGGAAACTGCCATTTGCGAGTGCTCTCTATTGATGTGGCGCACGAACAGGCTAATGCGAGTAACTCCCACAGAAGTGAAAAAGAAGAAAGAAAGCGCATGATGCAGCTTTTTTTTTTGTGGTTCTCAGCAGCAGAAGAGAAAAGCACCGCTGTTGCGTCGAAGTGGCACGAAAGTCATGGCGAAAGGTGGGGTAACTATTTTTTTTTTTCCTCATGCAACACCACCGTGGTCCCGTTGACGTGGATGTGTGCCATTCTCTATGATCTCTCTTCTTCTAATTAATAGAGAGAGAGAGATGCTACGCTTCAGTTCATAAAAGAACCTTGCTGGTCGACAGCTCTCGTTCACGACTCCGCACTCATTTTGTAACGAAATACGCTAAAACAAGTATGCGTTCGCTGCGTACGTTTCACCTCCTTCCGTTCTCCGCATCTATCCCTTCGGTGTCTCTTTATCGTTTCCCACGCGAAATACGGGCACGCACACACGATAACACGTTGGCCTGCCTTTTGCTTTTCCTCCGTTAGTACAAATTTGTAAGGGAGGTGAGAGTCGCACTTGATTAGGTAGATTCTCCCTTCATTTGGGTAGACACGGGCTTTGGCGCTCTGCAGCAGCTTCGTTCCATTTGCGCTTTCAAAATTCTACAGGTTGCATTCCACTGCTGGTCTGGAAGTGTACCCCTTTTTGTAGTTGTTTTGTTGTTTGTTTCACTCTTCTCGTTAGGGCACTAGTAGTAGTCCAGATAGTAAGCTAATGCGTTGCGCACGTTTAGGCGCTGGGGTGCCGGTGAGCGTCGCCGTCATGGTGCGGTGCACGGTGTTTCGCGTTTCCAGGCCCTTTGCTGCCCCGCACGTGCGTGGCTTCTGCACTGTCACAGCCCCACGGTTGTTTGCGGGGCTTCACGCAAGCCCGCTGCACTTAGACTCTAGCAACAGCAACAACGGCAACACTACTAATGCTCCTCGGCACCCAAACAACGCGTCGGCCGGCAGCACAGAGAGCGTCAACGCGATCGGGAAGGGAAGCGAGCAGGACGTACGTCACACCACCGCGGCAGACGACGACGTGACGGTTGTGAATAAAGACTACAGTGAGGAAACGCATCAAAGCACCGACGACGGCTTCCACGAGGACGCCATTATTGTGAGGGACGCCAAGGGCAACTCCCTCACACGCATTCGGCGACTTCCGCTCACCCTCGTCGAGGAGGTTCCGCTGCCGCAGCGCATCCTAACGGACTTGGAGCTGATCATGATGGCGTGGTGTGAAGAGCACGCGCGGCAGTACGCCATCTTCATGAGCTTTGTGCGCATCAGCATCTTTGTGCTACTCTTCATCATTCTGTATGTTTTTTACAAGACGACACTGTCGAGCGAGCGGGTACTCCGTGGTGTGGACAAGATGCCGGCCGACCTGCGCATTGGCAATGTCGTGTACTTCGACGTCACCGAGAACGGCATGGACATTGGTCGCATTGTCATCGGTTTGCTGAACGAGGATTGTCCGTTGTACTGCGAGTACTTCCACCGTCGCTGCACCGGCAACGGTGGCAAGGGCGAGTCCTTCCGTGGCATGTCGCTTGCCGCGATCGTGCCGCGACACTGCCTCATCTTCGGCGACGGACACGAGATGGAGCACGACGTCCCCGGCTTCAACTCGCACTACCTCCCGACCGAGCACCTCAGCGGCGGGGCGTGGCGGGGCGCGCTGTCGGCCATCGCCTACGGCCCAAATCGCGAAAGCCCGAACTTTTCGATCCACATTTCATCCGGCGATTACCGGCCGCAGGTGTTCGCTATCGTGATTGGCGGCTACAACGTGATTGAGCGCATGAACCAGGCCGGCTCGAAGCACGGCAATTCCCCGAAGAAACATTACGTGATTGAGAGCTGTGGTGAGTTGTGCACGCTGGCCAAGTCGCACATCGCACCGATGCCGTGGAAGCTGTACGAGTCCGTGTCGGTCGGTTACGACGAGGAGAAGTTCGGGCCGCGTCTGTCGCCGGATGTACTGCGGCACTCGGACGAGCTCGGCGCGGCCGCGTTTGCGAAGTTGCACAACGCTGCCGAAGCGGCGACCGCGACGCCGGAGAAGAAGAAGAAGAGGTGGGGGATCTTTTAACGTCGTAAAGGAAAGAAACTGAAACGCAGGAGGAGGGCGAGGAGCAAGATGCAGACGAGCGTCACGGCAGATCTGAGAAGCGAAACGCTTTGGAGCCCTCCTTTGCGCCCGTCGCGTTTCCAACGTATTTTTTGCTGTTGCTGTTGTTGTTTGATTTGGTACCTCTTTTTTTTTTTTGGGAGGGCATTTTCTTTTCTTGTTGTCGTTGCTCACATACCTTGATAGTAACCCTTGTTTTTCTCTTTTCAGAAGAAGAAAAAAACAAAGTTGATTAAAACTGTTGTGTTCAGCCTTTTTGTAATGGCTCTCTTTTTTTGTTTTGGAATTGTAGTGTACTCTGTTTGTTTGTGTTTTACGTGAAGCTCTCTTTCTGTGTTGTTGCTGTTGTGCCTCCATCAGTATTGTTTTTTGTTTTCGGAAGGGAGGTGTCCCAGTACTACTTCACCAACGTACCTGCGCCTGCATATTCGACTACGAGTACACCGAGACGCTTCATTTGTACCATTTTTTATTTATTTTTATTCACGGACACAATGTCTGTTGTCGCTCAAGTATACACACAAGCTGCACACGCATGCAAACAAGCGTCAGTGCGTGCTTCTTCCTTCCAGTCCGGAGAGAGGGAGAGAGAGAGGGACACCGTTTTCGAGATGGGAATGTAAAAGGCAAGAAAAGTATTTCACACATGCTTCTGGCTCGACGACTGCTGCACGAACCACTTCCATCTCCCAACGCATCTTTCTTGGTACCGGTGGTAACATTACAGGGCTTCATGCGCTACTGCAGAGCTCTATAGTTCTTTAATTGTTTTTCTCTTCCTCCTCTCTTCACCTCCTCTTGAACGCGAATTCTATTTTCTATCTCACGATAGTGTCCCTGTGTACAACCGTAGTCATTGGGTTTTCCCTTCTTCCCCTCGTGCACGCTTCACGGCATTTCACCCAGCTATTGGAAAGAGAGCGCGTTTTTATTTTTGTCACTGCCAAACGAGTCACCGAAGTGACTACAACGCGCGCGAAAAGCAGAAAGAGTTTAAAAGGAACGGCGGGAGAGCTATTTTTTTTATTCAGCGAAAGCGTTTGCGTTGGGGTGAGTATGCTGCACTTTGAGGGCAGCAGCCTGCTGCGGCACCACGTCGTGTGCAGCATTCTCTCCAAGCGACCTGTTCGCCTCACCCGCATCCACCAAGATGAGGATCCCATGGGCATCCAGCCGCACGAGGCGAACTTCCTCAAGTTCATCGACCGCGTCACTAGCGGGTCGTCTTTTCAGTGCACCGATCACAACACCGTTCTTCAGTTCACGCCGGGCATGATCCTCGGTGGCTCCTTCTCACACGAGGTGCCGTCGCAGCGCTGCGTGACGTACATCGTCGAGGCCGCGCTGCTGCTGCTACCCTTTGCGAAGTTCGACTCCCGCATCACCTTCGTTGGCGCCACGCAGGGCGAGCTAGACCTGTCTGTCGACACCATCCGCACTGTCACACTGCGCTGGCTGCAGCTGTTTGGGGTGCAGGGCAACTTGCGAATTATCCGTCGCGGCGCCGCCCCCGGTGGCGGTGGGGCAGTGGAGCTGGATATTAAAGCCATTAGGCGCCTCACCAGCGCGACGGCGAAAGAGCGGGGTCGTGTGCGACGGGTGCGTGGCATTGCCTTTGCCTCCCGCACCGCGGCCGATTTGCCGCAACGCACGGCCACGGCGGCGAAGGGGGAGCTGCTCAACCTACTACCGGATGTGTACGTGGTGACGGATGTCGATAACGGAAGAGCAAACCGCAACGAGCGCGTAAGCGGGTACGGGGTGGTGCTGGTAGCGGAGACAACAAGTGAGTTGTGTGTCGTCTCGCAGGAGGCCGTAGCGATGCCGCAGGAGGCGCCGGAAGACGTCGGGAAGCGGGCGGCGCGGCTGCTCTTCGATCAAATCTACGAAGGCTGCTGCGTGGATGTGCATCATCAGATGCTCGTGCTGCTGCTCATGGCGCTGAGCCCAGATGAGGTGTCCACAGTGCGCTTCGGTCAGCTGAGTCCGAGCGGGGTGTCTGCGTTGATGTTGATGGATTCTTATTTTGGCGTGTCGTGTGCCATTAAACCGGATCCGTCGTTTGCGGGCCCCAACTTTCCTCCCACCACGTTGGTCACTTGCCTCGGTAGTAACGCAGTCAACGTGTGGAAAAAGTCAAGCTGACCTGCGAGATGCACCTCTTCATGTTTGGCCACCGCACCCGTTGTTTTCCTTCTGCTGCTCGTTTTGTTTGTATTTGTGTTTGTTTTTGCGGAGGTTGTCTTGACACCGATGCGAAGCGCAAGGCGGCTTTGCTGTCGTTTCCGAGTTCACACAAGCCTTTCACAGTTTTGCCACTTCACTTTTGAATTTATTGTTTTCTTTTTCCCTCACGTATAACGTTAACATACTTTGCGCATGTCTAGGAGCCGATCTTAGCTGCCATTTTCTTTTTATTACCCTAATCGTTTCGTGTAACATTAATTCTCGCGTTACGCAAGCTGCGATATTCACGCGTGTGTTAATAAAGTACTGAATGGGATGTGCGTGGTTTTTTTTTTTTGCTGAAGACAATGGGGATTGTAACTTTTCGATTCGCCTTTTTCTTCCCAATGTCGTTGTAGTGAAGGTGAAAGAGGCATGCACATCGAAGCACACACACACACACATGGGATGAAGTATTGTCAGCGGTTGTAAGGTATGCGATTAACGTAAACATGTAAAAAAGAATGTATTTAGAAGCAACTCTGTGATTCGCCTGCTTGTATTTTCCTGTTGCAAGAGTCTTCTCGCTCGGCTATCGATGCCTTTGCCACCCATCCTGCAGTACCACGGAGCTTGTACATGCCTGTGAGAGAGCTATGCAGAGGGGAAAAACTGCTAGCTAGCCACATCTAAAAGAGAATCAGGACCGGCGCATCGCAGGTCGGATGTATGAGGCACCCATTGCCTTCCATGCCGCATCTTTCTCTTATTGTTTTTACTGTAGTCCTCTATCTCTTATCTGAATCTTCTGACTTGAAGCGCATTCAATTGTATTAAAGACTTTCTCTCCCCCCCCCCTCGTGAGGTTCGCAGATCGTCGGATCATTGCGCCTGTCACAACGTGGAGAAGTAAAAATAAAAAAAATAGGATTTCGTCCTTCCATAGAAAAACACAGCCTCCCAGCACCGCCACCGTTGTGGGAAAAATAGATTTTGCCCAATGAGTAGTCGAACTACGGACCCGTTGAATACACCTGCAGCCGTTTAAAATATCGGAAAGAGAAAGAAGAAGGATTTGCCACTTGCCATGGAGCTGAATCTTTCAAATCGAGGTCTCTTCTCCTTCGATGCAGCCCAAGCGAGACAGAGCTGGACGAAGACCACTCGGCCCACCAACCGTAGCTCGAGTGCCGCCCCTGCGTCGATGGAAGGTTTGGTCCCTGTAATCCGTCAGCTGAACTTGGCCTTCAACTCCCTCCACATCTTCACCGGAGGAGAGACGCTGCGGGGGCTTGCCGTTTTGGATTTGTCGCACAACGCACTTACGCAGCTGCGCGGACACTCGTTACCTGCTACGTTAGTGAAGCTGAACCTTTCACACAATCGTCTCGCGCAGCTTGCCCAACTGGCGGGCTGCACACCTCGGTTGCAGGAGCTGGACGTGGGTCACAATCAGCTCTCCGCCTCTGCCCTGCGAGGGCTTCCTGTGTCGCTGACCCAACTCAACGTGGAAAGCAACGTTATCGAGTCACTGGCGCCCTTCACCGCTCTTCTTCATTTGTCGAAGCTGAACGTAGCAGAGAATCAGCTGGAAAGCAGTGACACGCTGCAGTCACTCCGTCCGCTGCTCTCACTCCGCTTTCTCGACCTTCGCGGAAATCCAATCTGCGAGAAAACCGGACCCACTTTTCTCCGGCAACCCAGTCGTGGTTCACACAACAGCAGCATCACCACCACCACCACCACCAGCAACGTACAGACCGCAAAAAACAGCGGCGAACCGCAGAGCCTGCTCGGCATTCTGAACACCGCTGTGCCCCGCCTTTCGCATCTCAACGGCCTGGCCCTCTCACAGGCGCCGGAGAATCGGATGTTGAAAAGTGGCCGCGCGGAACAAGCCAGAAAGCAAGGGAGGTCAACGTCGAACAGGAGAGACGCGTCGAGAAGCGGCAGCAAGGAGTTTCATCGCAGCGACTCTTCGCAGCGAAGGGGCACGCGGGAGGTGGAGAAAGGTGGTGGTGATGCCACTGACAAGTCGTACGCAAGCAGCAGCTGTGACGCCTCCGCCACGCGGCCGGCGTTGGAGGTGCGTCTCATGCAGGCTAAGGTGAGTGAGCTGCGCCGTCTGCTGCTCGCCGCGCAAGATACGGAGACCAAAGCGCGCCAGGAGCGCTCGCTGCTCACGGAGAACGTGAAACGCACCGCGGTGGTGATTGATCAACAGGGAGCGGAGCTGGAGAAGCTGCAAGAGGACATCGCGCGGCTTCGCGAGGAAGAACTGCAGCTTCGTGTGCCGATCGCTGCGGCGGAGGAGTCATTTGAGCAGGTGCACGCGTCGCTGCTGGCCACCAAGGCGAAAGCAAGCGCAGCGAGTGTAAAGTAGCGCTGTAAAAAAAAAAAATGGATGCCACGGCGCACTTGAAGTCGCGATATTTGCATGTGTGCGATGTGTGTCGCGGCATCAAACTCCTTTTCCATCATTTCACGGGTGAAGAGGCAACAGTGATGCTGCAGTGCAACTTGACTGTTCTTCTTTTTCTTTTTTCGGAAACCTTTTTTTTTCTGTCTCCTTGTTGGGTCCAGCCAGAGGTGCTATTTTAGATCAAACACACACATTACAACAACTTTTTGTTTTATAAAAAAAAAAGAGAACATCTGATGCAAACGTTGCCCGCAACGAGAGCCGCGTCAAGCGTGAGTCTCATCGCCGTTGTAACCTGAGATGGAACGTACATTTTTTTTTCTTCCATGCTCTCCTGCAAGGCGTCGTTGCGGGGATACTTCTTTTCAGGAGGGTTTCCTCGGCAACCCTTTAACCAAACAGCAGCAGTAAAGGAAGCGATACTGTTTTCTGTTTCCCCTTCCTCCTGCTACCTCTTCCCTTTGTTTTCTCCTTCCCTTCTGTGCAGTCGGATCAATAATTCTGTGACTTCATCGTTTCACGTCGTTGCTAGCCATCACAACTGGTACAACAGCAAATGCAAAGTATTCCTAGTAATAAAAAAGAGAGACAGCATTGAACACGCTGCTGCATCGTTTTTTATTCAATTTGTTCTTTCCCCACCCGCCCCCGGTGCAGCGTTGATTACGATCGGGTTTGTGGCGAGAACGGACATCCTTAGAGCACCGTTTTTTTTCTTTAGAGCCCTTTGTCGAGTTTTCCTTCAACGATACAGCTATTTTTTTTTCCCTTCTCATCTGAGCATCTTTGTGCTCACCTTTCGTGGTTGTTTCCATAGAGCTGAATCGGCTACATAAAATGGACTTCTACATCATCGAACGCCTCGGCGGTGCGTGCCGGTGCGTGACACTCTTCACCTTTGCGATCCACTTCCTGCACGCGCTGTTCAGCGTGGTGAACTACCTGGCCTGGGTGCGCCAAGATACGTCCCATGTCGCGCCAAGCACGAAGCACGCCTACCTGGCCATGACGGTTGTGTGCTGCGTCTTCTACTTCTTTGGGGCCTCCGTGTTTTACATGTGGGCCTGGCGATTTCCCGAGCCGGAGGAAATCGCGAAACGGCGGCGCGTCTACGGCGTCATAATTAACGCCATTTTCTGCGACATCCCCATGTTTGTCGTGGAGACCACCCTCGTCTGGAGCCTGCGTTTTGCGGCGGCTATTCAGGGCTTCACCTACGTCCTCACCTGTATCTCGCTCTGTTACTCCTTACTGCGCGTTTGGTTCTTCTTCATGGTGCGCGTTATCAAATTTCGCCCTCCCAGCGCGGCGCGTCTTGGAGCTAATTATCCTGCCCTGTCCAGTGTAGTCCGCCGAGACCTTGACGAGGCGGAGTACAACAACAGAGCCACTGGCATGCGGGGAAACACGCCGGACAGGAGGGGCGGCAGCGAGAATGATCGCGCGTTTCTGTCTGACATGAACGAGATGGGCGTGGGGAACACCATTTTGCTGAACCGCAATGCTGCACACTATAGCGACGACGCCGCCAGCAGTGGCATGTGTACGCCAGCCGGGCCAGACCGGGTCAATCGCGGTGAGGCGTACTATGGCCCCTCTTCTCGCTACGTTCTTCAATCGGAGAGGTTCAATGACGTAGAGGAGCAGCCGAGACAAGGGTATTATGGCCGCGCTAGCGAAAATATGGATCAACCAGGCCTGCCTTTTCGCATTTAGATTGTGGGGGGCCAACGGTACAGGATTCATCAATTAGGGGGAAGACAGAAGAAATTGGCTGTCGAGGACAAGGCAGATTACGTGTCGTGGAGGATTCAGCTCCATTCGGTGCTTCTCTCTTCCTTCTTCTTTCCCTCTCGCAAATAAGTTCAAGTGTTTACTATTCCAACATGATTCTTTAGACTTTGTTTGTTTGGTTTCCATTACCATTTCCCTATTTTTTTTTGCTGCTGTTTCGGAAGCACTCACGCGAAGGGATGTGCCTTTTGGTGAGTTTCTCTTTCTTTGGTTTTGGTGCCTACTAGATTAGAACTATTCAACCCGTAAACAGATGGTTTTGCGCGCAAAAATAGGTTTTAAAAAGAGAGCATTACATGCGCCGAATGAGCTCTCAACCTCATCAACGAGAAGGGCGTGCGTTTTTCCGTGGCTGTTGACGGTGTTCGTCTACAAATAACGACGTTGTGTAAAGAGAGGTGGAAGGGCGAGAGCACTCGTCTGAACAAAATGCCGGGAGTTCATGTATCACAGCCTCCTTCCCCCCCCCCCTCCTCTCTCCTTCTATTTCTCCTTTGCCAACGTACTTGTTGATCTGCCTGCTGCTTTGCTGTTGACATCCCCACTCAACGCTCTTCCTCTGCTTCATTGCCACCTTCACAGTGTTTCTCCCCTTACGAAGATGGTCAGCATCAAGTGTGGTTCCCGCCGCAAGGCCCGCCGCGCACACTTCCAGGCGCCGAGTCACGTGCGCCGCGTGTTGATGAGCGCCCCGCTCTCGAAGGAGCTGCGCGCCAAGTACAACGTGCGTGCCATGCCGGTGCGCAAGGACGACGAGGTCATTGTGAAGCGCGGCACCTTCAAGGGTCGCGAGGGTAAGGTGACGGCGTGCTACCGCCTGAAGTGGGTCATCCACATCGACAAGGTCAACCGCGAGAAGGCGAACGGCTCCACCGTGCCGGTCGGCATCCACCCCTCCAACGTCGAGATCACGAAGCTGAAGCTGTCCCACCACCGCAAGGCCATCCTCGAGCGCAAGGACCGCTCCGGCAAGAGCGACAAGGGCAAGGGCAAGATCTCCGCCGCGGACAAGGCGATGCAGCAGATGGACTAAATAGGGAAAAAGGTTTTTCCTCTCTCTCCCCCTTTCGCCCCTGCACTGCGCGTCGTGTGTATGATGTCTCCGAAAGTGTGAAACACGTTCCTTGAAAGGACTCCTTTCTTTTTGTTTTTCTTTTCATCTACTTTGAAACCAAACAAGATCAGCGCAAGCACCAACGACGCTTACATGGTGCCGGGATTCAAGCCCGCCTCTGAGGCACTTTTCTCCTGCAGACACTTCTCGTGTTTGTACACACGCCAGAAACCAGGCTTTTTTTTAGGGGAAGAAAGAAGCCGTTTCGAGTTTGTAGCGAAGGTGCCACGAAGCTGAGCAAAACCCCATCATCTTGAAGAAAAAGACACGCAGGAGGGATTTCCTTCCGAGCCCCCTTTTTTCCCCTTTTTGGTGAGCGGTACACCACCCTCCTTTCGTCGTCATCGCCACTCGTCTTTCTTGTCAGGCCCGACTGCTCTCTCTCTCTTTCTGAATTCCCCCTCCATTCTTTCGTTCGTCTCCTCTTTTTCACATCTAACGTCCCCCTAACTGCGTTGTTGTTGTTGTTGTTGTCGAATCAGCGACAATGGAAAAGGCTTTTTGTGACGCCAAAGTACAGGTCGAACGGACGCTTTTATCGCGCAAACGCTTTGGAATTTCAAAAAAGGAAAACCAACAACGTTAACGTATATAGAACTCACACCATAGATAAGCAGCGACAGATCGGTGAATCGAATCTTTGGTAAGCGCCTTGGTTGGAAAAAGGAGAAAAACCTGTTGCGAACGTTGAGCACGCACTGGAAGAATACACTGTAGCCTTTTTTCTTTTGACACATGATCACTCGGCTGGACGACGCGAGTGCGCGCAAAATCTCCGCAGGGCAGGTCATCACCGACCTCACCAGCGTAGTGAAGGAGTTGCTGGAAAACGCACTCGACGCGCACGCGCAAGTAATAAAAATTCGTCTCGTGAACCACGGTCTCGACGAGATCACCGTTGAGGACGATGGCACCGGCATCCCAATGGGCCCCATCATCGATGTCGAGTCCGGGGTGCTGCGTGAGGGAGCCGGCACACCTCTCCTGTCCAGCCGCGCGTCGACGAAGCACTTTGCCGCGAGGGGCGAAAGCGACGGCGTAGCGCTGTCCTCCGCCCCATCCTCCTCTTCTCTTCTGCCGCTGCGCAGCAGTGGGGCACTCAAGCCGGAGCCGGACGAAGGTGTTGGGGAATCGGCCCGTGACCCGTCGTTGGGCTTCCGCGGGGAGGCCCTCCACTCCCTGGCCAACGTGAGCGATCTGACGGTGGACACACGCACCCGCGAGACCGCGCCCTACACAATCTGCATCACCTACGATCCCACCACACACACCTCTCACGTAGCCGTCTCCCGCCTTCGCGATGAGGGCGGCACTACTGTTACCGCACGTCGCCTGTTTGCAAACCTGCCGGTGCGGCATCGCGAGTACACGAAGAACTGCCGGCGCCAGCTGAGCAAGGCAACGAGCACGGTGCGGCAGTACGCCGTCTCCCACCCGCACATCCGACTGCTGATGACGCACCAGGAGTCACTGACTTCCGCCGTCACGACGCTGGTGTCGTTGACAGGATCGGGCGATGCCAGCCGAAGCGTGACCGAGGCCTACGGCGGGCTCTGTGTGTCCCACATGCAGCGCGTCAACTGGGGCTTTTCATTCGGCGAGATGTGCGGCTTTGTCTCCAAGGTGGACGGTGGTGGTCGGCTGAGCAGCGATCATCAAGTCTTTGCTCTGGATGGGCGTCTCGTGGACCTGCCACGGCTGAGCAAAGCAATCAACGACGCCTTTGCGCAGTGTCTGCCCAATGCGTCGCAGCGGCTGCAGGTGGGGTTTTTTCTTCAGGTCCAAACGAACGCGTCGCTGCAGTACGACGTGAACTTGACACCGGACAAGCGGAAGGTGCTGCTCTCGCAGGAGGACCGCCTGGCGGATGAGGTGTACCGATGTGCCCTGCAGGAGTTCAGCCTGGCCTCGCAGTCGATTGAGCTGAATCGGGACCGGCGTATGGAGCAGACGAAGGCGGCGGACCTCCGCGCGACTGAACTGACGAGGCTGACACGCACGCCAGTGTCCGCCACCTCCTTCACGCAGTTTACGTTTAAGCGTCCGAGGGCAGAGGAGTCGTCCACAGCGCACGCCGACGGTACTAGCAGTGGTGACGGGGTGCCGTGCGGTGCCACTGCCTCCGCCACCATGTGTCTTCCCAAGCTGGGACATTTTCTGTACGGCGACGCAGCGGGGATGGCGGACAGCGAGTTGGACGCCGAGTCTCCCACACCGGACCTGCTGGCCGCCTCCTCGTCTTCCTCTTCCAGCGGCATGGCGAGTGGCGAGGACGAGAGGGACGTGCTGCACTGCAGCAACGATGACTCCACGCTCCTCAATGCAGAGGGTCCAGCTTCTACTCCCGTGGCGGACATGGCGATGGAGGCTGTCGAGGTGACGCGGCTGTCGGACGAGGGTATTCGTCAGCGCAGCGGAGGTGCCTGCCACCACTGCAGTTTCCCCGATCTCGCCGAGCTGGCCAAGGTGGATTTGCTCACCGAGAGGAAGGAGGAAAGGGACACTGAGGCACCGGGCACCCCGTGCACGAGCGGACTGGCTCTCAGGACTGGGCGCGTGCCAAGGTCTGCCAGACACACACTCGGCGCACAAACAGACTCGGACTTGACGCAGTACTTCAGCAAAAACTCCTTCAAGGAAATGCAGGTGGTTGGCCAGTTCAACCACGGTTTCATCATTGCTGTTTTGAAGAACGGCGACGTGTTCGTGGTGGACCAGCACGCGTCCGACGAGAAGGCGAACTACGAACGCCTAATGCGGAACTACGTCGCGACCCCGCAGCCGCTGGTGATCCCGGTGCCGGTGGCGATGGACGCACACGAGGTGAACCTGGCAGTGGAACATGCAGACATGCTGCAACACCACGGCTTTAAGGTGCGGCTGGGCAGCGACGACACGAAGCTGCTTGTCTGCTCGCTGCCCGTGTTGCCCTATGACGTGGTAAGCGCCGCGGATGTGGTGGAGTTGGTGCAGCAGCTGGTGCTGTACGGCACCATCACACACCCGCTCCGTGCGGTGTGGCACTCCATGGCCACTAAGGCATGCCGCAGCAGCATCATGATTGGCACGGCGCTGACCATGAAAACGATGCGGCAGGTTGTGCGTCGTCTGGGGGAGCTGGAGCAGCCGTGGAACTGTCCTCACGGACGACCCACACTGCGACTGCTGGGCAATCTGGCGGATCTGCACAAGGAAGGCGGAGGCGTTACACCGCAATGACAGCGTTTTCTCTTCGCCTTTTTTATTTTCTTCTTTCTTTGTCTTTTGGCTGACTTGACGCGCGGTTGAATTATTCCCATACATGTGCTATTGCTATTATTTGTACTATCCTTTTCTTGTGTACACATATATCTGCATCATTGCGGCTTGCAGGAAGGTGAAGGTAAGGCACTTTGACGAGTTTTACTGCACTACCTGTAAAGGTGTACACATAAAATATCCTCTCTTTCTTTTTATCTGCAAAGGAAAAGAAGAAGAAGAACCTTCTGAAAGTGTTTCGCTTTCACGTTTTCGCTTCTTTCTCCCTTCTCTTTTCAACAGCAAGATACACCAGCACGTCGGAACAGAAACGCCAAACAATCGGCGGTGCGAAAGGATATCGACCGGCGCATTCGCACACAACTGGAAAAAAAAAACGAGAACAGAGAGATCACGGCACACAACTCAATAGAACTACCTTGGCCTTCATACACGCACATACACACCAATTAAAAAAGAAATAGAACTTTTTTTTTCTTCTTGCATTTCACTTTCCAAGACAGCATTCTTATTGGTGCTCGTATTGCTCTAGGCACACCTAAACGATGCTGTACGGCAGTCCCCAGCCAGCACCGGTTGCGGAGGGCACGTCGGCCAGCTGTTGCTCCGACCTCCGAGAGATGAACGAGGCAAAGGTGGCAAACATTCTCTCCTACCTCGACAGCGCAGCTGTAGTCCCCATCTCGTACGAGAAACTGAGCCACAACAGTCAAAACCTGCGCGACGTGACCAACGTGACAAACAGCACGTCCAGCGCAATCCCCCTCACCGCCTCAGCCCTGCAACACGTCACCGGCTTCTCGCCTTCGTCGTCGTCGTCGATCGCTCCTCTTCCAGAAGGGTGGCACAGGAACTCTGCTGCTGACGCCGGTGCTGGTGCGACCGGTGCGATTGCAGCTCTTCCCTCCGTGAACGGGTCCGCCTTCGTGCCAGCCCCTGCTCTCGCGTGGATCACCGGGGGTGGGGCCGAGTCCGCGCAGAACACCTACCTCGGTATCCGGAAGCGAATCGAAGGCTTGCAGTTTGAGAAGGAGCAGCTGCAGCACGACAATGACGACCTACGCAGCCGCCTGCAGCTGTGGCGCAGCGAGGAGCAACAGCGCAAAGCGGAGATGCGCGAGGCGGTGCAGGCGGAGATGGAAGAGCTGCAGAAAGGGCTGGCGAAAGAGCGGCGTCGCGCGAAGGCAGAGGGGGAGAAGGCAGACAAAATGAAGGCGGAGTTGACCCGCCAGGTGGACGCCCTCACGGTGAAGCTGCGTGAGGAGACGGCGCGACGGGCGGAGGAGACGCGGCGGCTGGAGGCGGCCAACGCCGCAGCCATCTCCTCCCTGCGCACGAAATGGGCCGCACAGGAGAGGGCAAACCGAGAAAAGTGGCGCCTGGCTGAGGCGAAGCGTATTAAGGAGTCGACGCTGCAGTCTCTCGAGCCGGATATCGTGCTACTGCTGAACCGGCACAAGGCCGAAAAGGCGCGTCTGCGTGAGGAGTACGAAAACGAGCTCCGCCAGCGTGACGAGGTCATCGCGGCGAAGGACGCCTCGGTGGAGGAGTTGAAGTCAAAGCTGCAGCGCGAGGCGGCAGAGACCCTGACGCGCGAGCAGGAAGCCGTTCGCCAGAGTCTGCGCGACGAGAGCGAACGCATTCAGCGCCAGCTGGCGGACGAGCGACGAAGCGAGAAGCAGAAGCGGGAGCAGCTGGAGCACCACCACGAGGATCAGAGGCGCACCTTGCAGCACGAGATTGATCGTCTCGGTAAGGAGGTGCTGCGGCTGCAGAGTGCCCAGACAACGGAGCAGGCGTCCTTCCACGAGGCGGTCACGAAAGAAGTGTGCCGCATCACGGCGGAGGCGAATGAGCGCATGGCGGCGCTGAAGGACAAAATGCTGCTTGAGTTCACCACACGGGAGAGGGACCTGCAGGGGGAGAATCACACCTACCTACGCAGCAAAGAGGACGAAATGCGACGACGGTGTGAGGTGGAGCGGGATGCCGCCATTGCCAAGGTCGTGCAGCGACTTGAGACAGAACACCTGCGTACGCTGGAGTCGACCCGCGGCAGTGACGGCATGCTGCGCGAGCGCTACCTGCAGGTCACGCGCGAGAAGGAGCGGCTGCAAGTGGAGCTAGACCTGGTAAAGGAGCAGCTGAAGTCCGCACTTGAGGTGAGTAAAAGCAAGACCGACGAGCTGGCGCGCATCCAAGACGTGGCAGACCTGTCCCAGCAGCACCTCGACGCGATCGAGAGCCGCGTGCGGGCCGAGTACGCAAAACGCATGGGCATTTTAGACCAGGAGTGGCAAAGGAAGCTGCACGAGTTCGAAGCGCAGCACGTTGCGGAGGTTTGGGAGCAGCAACAGCGTCAGACGTCGCTGGGGCAGGAGCTCAGTCGTCTCAAGTGCGACTACGAGACGGAGAAGAAGACGATAGAGCAGCGTCACCACGCGGAGCTGAGTCAGATCAACGAGCGCGTGCTTGTTGCCATGACAAAGAAGGAGAACACGATTCAGTACCAGTCCGAACAGCTGCTGGCGCTGCAGGAGGCGGTAAGCGTGCGTGACCAGGAGCTCCAACGGCACAAGCAACTGCTGCTGTAGTGCTTAGCGGGCCTTTTTCGTTTTTGCTGTTGTGCGCCTCACGGCAAGCTGGCATGCCGATGAAAAGAAGGAGAAATATAGAAACTAGATTTTATATTATGTGGACTGCGTATCTAGATTTGCGAGTGCTTTTGTTCTTCTCTTTTCATGTCTGATCCAGCACCAAACAAGGCAAAAAAAAATAATAATCAGCGCTTGGAACAAAAGAAAAAGGAGTCGCATTGCAGACATACAATTTAGAATGATGGTAGTTTTGTGTGTGTGTGTCTGTGCAGTATTGACGTTCAATTCGACCTCATTTGTTTCCTGTGCAGTGCGCGTTACGAATTCAGAGGAAAACGTCACGAGCCAAAGGATCCGGTTTGGAGCTGGCACGCCCCGTCAATAAGGAATGAGGATAAGCATTCTATCGTTCTTTTTTTTTCCTTTGGGCGCTACCAGACCCAACTTAATTAGCGGTTCACCTTCTCGCACTACCATTCAATCCAACTCGCTTCGACTTTCCTCATTGAGGGGAAGAAAGTGACACAGTGCTGCTGTGAAGTTGTGCTGCACCGGCGTGTGTGTCTCGCATCTGGCCTCTTTCTTCCTGTTAACTATCACTTCTCGACAATTACTACTGCTTTCGTTCTTCTCATTTTTTGTGCTTCTGGTGTCTTGTTTCTCCGCGAATACGGTACCTCAACAGAGCCCCTCAAAACAAACAAAACAATTGCCATCGTGGGTCATCATGCAGCGCATGGTGCTGGAGCCAGGTGTGCACCCCACGATGGTTGCCCGTCCTGAGGAAGTGTTTGAGCGGCTTAAGGCGGAGGTGGGGGCGCACGGTTCACCGGTGCCCGACGCTTCCGCTGCACCGACACGCACAGCTGCACTTGCCATGACCAGTGAACGCTTTAGAAGCGATCTGCCGGACTCCACGGGGAATCTGCCTTGGAATGCGGCGGAGGCTCTCCTTCAGCTCAAACTGGCACTGGGCGACTCCCCAATTCTTCGTCCAGTCAATGCCGAAACTGTTAACATCACATCATCGGCCTTGCCGAAAACGTTAGGTGTGTCAGGTCCTTCTTCAGCGTCTTCTGAAGGCCAATCAGCAGGCTCTTCTCGTGCGCTCTTCGAAAATTCCTTTCTTCCGCCTGTCGTGCGATACAACACATTTTCTCCTTCCTCATCTGACTACACGCAGCGTGAGCTCATCAGCGTTCACGAAGCGTGCAAACGACTCGAAAGGCAACTTGGAGATGCCACTCAACGCACGACGACGGCGACACGTGCAGCGGACTTGCAGTGGGCACATGTGCTCTACTGTCTGCAAGAACCCGAGCTGGTGTCGAAGCTGCAGCGACGTGCGGAGGCAGCCATTTGGGAGAAGGAGTGTGTGTTCCGCCTCAACGATTTTCTCAACGCGGAGCTGCGCTGTCGTGGTGTGCCGGTGGAAATTGCACAGGAAGACTTTAAGCCCTTCCTTGATCAGGTGCTGCGGAGCCGCACCCTGTTGGACGACTACGTGTGCGCACAGCGAGCCACCAGTACCTTAGCGCCAATGCTGGATGCTGCTGTGGCCCGTGCAGCGTGTTTGCGCGATGTCGCTTCGCTGTCGTCGCCAGAGTGCACCGATGCGCTGGAACGTTTGGGGCAACGCGTGACCGGGCTGTCTGCCCAGGTGAAGGAGGACACGGGTCTCCTACGAAAGAACATGGACGCCATGCAGCGCCGTCTTGATGCTCTTCAGAAGTCTACAGCTGCTCTGCAGCAGTGAACGTGTAGTTTCTCTTGACCTCTGCGCCAACAGGGAGAAAGACTCTTAATTCGATGACTACAACTGTAGTGCATTCTCTCTCCTTTTTTTTAAAAGCTTTGCCTACAGTAGGGGCCGTCGAAGAACACCGGTGGGCTGCAAATGCACAGCCCACGAAATCAGTGAAATGTGGAACTGCTGGCGCTTTTGCCACCCATCTCTATCTTTCTAACGGTCATGCTTGAAGTTGTATTTTTCTGTTGAACACAACGGCCACCGCAATGCTCTTCCATCTGTTTTCCTTTTCTTTCGCTCTCGTTCTGTGTGTTTGTGTGTATACGTGTGCGTGTGTATGTGTGAAAAACGATCTTTTTTTAAACTGACACCGTTTCCAACACAATCCCAAAACATTTCAAGAAACGAAAACTGGAAACGCTAGCCGCCACAATGGCACCTGTAGACGTCGAGCGGGTGTACTCCGTCTTCAACGTATTCGCTGTAAATCCCACGACAAACAGCAGCAGCAGGGCCGCGAAGGAGCCGTACATCCCCGTTCATTTCTTAGCTGTCGCTGCGCGCGAGGTCGGCTTCTACCCCACGACTGCCGCTGTGCATCAGTTTGTGAAGGCGGTGCCCACCGCCTCCGCCGGCGCCGTTACGTTTGCGGCCTTTCTGCAGTTCTGCGAGGACGTCGCCTACACCAACCGCCCAGGACGCTCCGCCATCTACAGGCTGGTCGACGACCTCGACACCCCCGGCGGCGGCCTGATCAGTCGCCGTGAGTTCTTTCTCCTCCTCACCAACGGTTCCGCGGACATCTCCGATGGGGAGATTACCGCCGTGATGGAGCTGCTGGACCCGGCACGTTGCGGGTACGTGGAACTGAAGAATCTTGCCGCGCTCCTCCTCGAGCAGTGTCAACGTCAGCAACGGCTGTCGCAAGCATCGCGCTCGCGCAGCCGATCTGAAGGTCGAGCCAAGCCCGTCTCTTCTGCAGGAGAGCAGCAGCGGCAGTCCGAGGGTCGACGGCATCAGCACCATCACCATTCGCACCGCAACCCACATTTCGACTCTCCACCCGAGCCGGAGGCAGAGCAGCCGGGGACAACGAACGGACACCGCTCTTTGGGGGATCGGGCTGATGACGCCCCTCCGAAGCACCGCGTTCGGCGCTTTGCCGCCGCCGGGACACGACGTAGCGAAGAGAGAGAGGTATCGGGTGCACCGGCACCGTCGTCTGCGGTGCACGTCGCTGCCGGTGCAGCTGGCGCGCGTGACCGCTCCTTTAAGCGCACTGACAGCGGCTCCAACGGCGAGGTGGCCTACCGCAAATTCAATAGTCTGTACCACCGCGCTGACACCTTCGAACGCACGCACACCTCCATGACGGTGGACGTGGACTGCCCGCTGTCGGCGAATGGCACGGCGATGCGGCACAACACAAATGGGGATGCGGCGCACACGCCGTCTCCGTTGTCGCGTCGCGCACACGCCTCCTCGGGCACGCCGCAGTCCCCATCACCCAAGGCTCCCGCCACCGCGCCGCCTCCGTTAGGTCCCGCCTCTGGTGCGGGGAGTCATCAGAAGGTCCAGCAGACCGTGAAGGCACAAGCAAAGAGAGAGAATCAGGAAAGGCGGTGGGAGGGAGAGGATGTGCTTCATTTGCATCCCCAAGACGAGAGTGAGGACGAGGCGAACAGCTATTCGCGAGCGGAAGGGACCACCGCGGTGCAGCTCGAGAAGAGCGAGCAACAGCCTTCTAAGTCGCCGGTGGAGACTTCACAGCTGGCGCCTGAAGTGACGACGTCGCCACCACCGCAGAACCCTGCGAAAGCGAAGAAGACAACAGCAAAGTGCTGCACCATGTTCTGAGCGCTTGCACGAAACACACACGTATGTGTTTCGTGAGGAGCGAGGGAGCGATGCGAAGGTAGTTGAGTACAATGCCCTTTCTCTGCTTCTTCTCCTTGAACATTCTTGTTCTCTCCTTTTTTTTTTTCTTATTTCGTTGCTGTAGAATGAAGCTCTCTAGTATTAATAAATATTTTTTTCCCCTACTTAAAGGGAGTACTTACTTTGTTTTTCCCTCTCGACGACGGCGCCTCTTTCTTTCGTTGGTGTTTCTGCTTTTCAGGCGAGATGCCTCCACGTGCGTGTGGACGTATCTGTATGGTCGACTTTAAATGACCCCAGTCCGCGTTGAGCAGGGTGTTTCTTTTCTTCCTACTTGTACCTTTCATTGTATTTCTTCCGTTGACGATCGTGTACATGTTTCCTCGTTCGGACTGTGCGGATTGCCGCTCCCCTTGTATCCTGGTTCCACTCCCAATCTCGCAAAAATTAAAACTGGTCGCATTGAAGGAGCCACCGCTGTTGGGCGATGTTGAACATCAGTATTCGCGTCTGCTGAAGCATGCCTTCGTAATCACCTGCGTCGTTTGATGACAGACTGAAAGGTGAGTGGCAGCAAGCAGTCTTGACGAAAGCCGTAAACAGCAAGAAGATAAAGTCGAGCGATGGCACGGCAACTTTAATCACTGTGCACCTCCCCCCTTATTGTGTCCTTTTTTTTTTCAAAAATTTTGTGGCCTTCTGTGGCATCGCTGAATGTCCAGGAATCAAGCACACAATACATACACTCCCTCACACACACACAAGAAAAAAAAAGGAAGCATTTACGAATGTAAAGGCTGGAGGTGGCTTAGAATTTGTATACACATGCAAGTAGAAGGGGAAAAGCAAAACAAAGCTCACTCTCCTCTTGCCCCGGAAAGACGTCACACATTTTAAACAACGGCCACGCTACGAAGAAGAGCCGCGGGTCAAAAAAATCAGTGACACCGTAACTTTCTTCTTTGTTCTTAGCAACAAGTACTTTCCCATTTATTGTACTTTACTGCGCACTTTCTTTTTATTTTGGTTCTTTTTTTTTTTGAAAAAGCGTCCCCCCTTTTTTTCTCTCTGTCTGGGTTTGTCACCATTTTTTGATTCTTGCTCTGTACGTTCTCTGTCTTCGTTTGCTTGTGTGTTTTACAAAAGAAAGAATTACGTTCCTTTCTGTTTTTACTGTTTTTTGCTTACCTCTGACCTTTTCTTTTGTGTGCTTTCAGTCGTTCTTGTGTGCACACACACATATATATATATATATATATAGCAACAAGATTGGATTATTCCAACAGACGGTAATAAGCAACAGACAAGTATCCTTCGTTGTTGTTGTGGCTTTTTCTCTTTTATTTTATTCTCCTGCACTCGAGAGTGAGGTGGGCAGCAGAATCTAAAGAAGAAAAACGAAAAGGCAAAGATGCGGCGCCTGCTCTCCAGGGAAAACTTTGCGGACTTCGCACAGCAAGCTGCCGGCGCGCTTCGACGCCTGGTGAGTAGCTCCGATGGCTGGAACTCACGCGATGCGCTCTCCTCGTCGTCGAAGGTTGTGCTGACTGCTTGCAAGACGAACTCCAGAGTGGACACGTGCACACTCGAGGCGTGGGTGGACGACTTAGTAACGGAACTGGAGTTGCAGTCTGCCTCCACCGGTGCAGCTTCTCCCGCAGGAAGTGTGGGGCCCTCCGCAAAGGAGAGCGCTGAAAAGCCAGGCTCACCAGTTGCCACTTCTCCTACGACAAGCAACAGTCCTGAATCCTCCGCAGCATCGCCAGCAAAGGCGAAGAACGACACGTGGAAGCCGCTGAGCGAGTCGGCGCTCATGGCGAACCTGGAGGTGGCGCGCGTACTCGTGTTCAGTGTAAACGCCAAAGAGGCCGGGATGGCCTACCACGAAAAGAAACTGGTTCATGTGTTGGTCCAGTACTACCAAAATCCCACCCTTAGCCAAAAGCTTCGTGACTGCTGCGCGTTGGTGGTGGTGGGCGTGTGCTCTTCGCAGAACGAGTTGCTGCGGGACTGCCTGCGTGCCTGCAAGGACACTCTGCGTGACTCCCCGCAAGACTACACGGGACGCGTGCTGCGCGTGCTGCTCGCCTCTCTGCTCGTGGAGGTGTTGCATCAGTTCCACATCAGCGGCGACGTCGGGGTTGTGGAGGAGCTGGATGAGCGCAGCACGGCGTACTGCAAGTCCCTCATCGATTCTCTCTTCCACGAGGCGTGTCAGCTGCAGCAGCCGGCGCCGACGCCGCCGCTGATCAGTGCCGTCGTCTCTCCCAGGACGGTGGCGTCATCGAAGGGCGAGACGGAGGTGACAAAGGCAGCGGCGACGGCGACGGCGCCTTTGACTGGCTTCCCGGCGGCGCAGCCCCTTCCACCAGCTGCTCCTGCTTCTGCTGCCTCACCGACGATAGCTTTGCCGCCGCTATTGCCCACCTCCGCGACGTCTACAAGTGCATCAACGGCTGCGGCCGACGCTGCGAGCCCCGTCTCTAGCGCAGTAGCGGGCGAAGGCGCTAACGCAGAGACGGCCGTCCACGACAGCCTCACCGTCGCGGCCTCCGCCGTCTTCCTCGCCGTCATCAACGGAGTGTACCGTGGCAGGTCCGGACTCAAGGCGTACTTCCTGCAGACCTACGGCGCCGAGTACGCACAGCTGTGGGCGACACTCGCGTCGCGGCTGTCGCAGATGCCCACGACACTGCAGTTGTCGCTCGGGCCGTCGCGGACGGTCCCCACGGCCACCCTGGAGCCGGTCGAGTACTGGCGCTCCGAGCTGCTCGAAGGCTTGGTGGAACTGTGCACCGAGGACAGCTTCACCTATCAACGCGCCATTGTGATGGTGGCGCTGAGCGGGGCATGCACGAATGGGTCGACGACGAGTGCGGGTGCGAGTGCGACGGTGTCTGGCACGGCCACCTCGGCGCGCCGCGTGGCACAGCGCAGCTTTGGCAGCTCCTCTACCGCCGCAGCAGCACCGGGTTGCTACCAGTACGACCCGGTGCCCGTCGACTGGGAGGTATACCTCTCGAGCGGCTCCCCCTCGATGTGGCAGTTGGCTTCCGCGCTGTACGTCTGTGCCATCACGGCAGACGGCGCCGACGTGCTGAAGGCGGTACTGCTGCAGCTGAACACCAAGTACGCGTCTGCCGAGACGCTCTACCGGTGGATCATCTGCACCTTAACGCTGCTGTGCGTGGCGAACCCCCGCAACGCGGTGCTGCTCTCGGAGCACAACATGCTGCGCACCCTCATCGCCCTCATCAACTGCAACCAGTCCAGCGTCTTTCCGTCGTCGGAGGAAGTCACACTGTGGTCGCGCGCAAGGGAGCAGGCGGGAGCGGTGGAGGAGGCCAAGGAAGGCGAAGAGTCAAAGAAGGCAGTCCCGACGCCTTCTTCGTCCTCGTCCTTGACTTCTCCCTCCGCTGTTGTTGTTGCTGCTGCTGCTGCATCCAAGCAGGTGACGATGGTGCTCACTCCACCCAACACGCTGAACGTGAACACCACTCAACTCACATTTTGTTTCCTCGATACGCTGACGTCGACCACGTTCAGCAAGAACACCGTCAAGATGGTGTGCAACGGCATCAAAGACATGTACTCGGTCGCCTCCTCGCAAACGGACGTGGACGTGGTGGAGAACGTGCTGTGCGGACTCTGCAAGGCCTTCATCCCGCGTCGGCTGCTCTTCTTCCCGGGCGACGGCTACGTGACGTGGCGGTTGAAGCAAATCTTCCCTCGCGGCAGCGGCTACTCCTTCTCCGCCTGGATCTTCCCGACGTGTGTGTGGGGCGGGGGCAGCTGCCTCTACTCCTTTATGGATCAAGGCGACACGCGGGTCAGCCTTCTCGTGGTCGCCGACGGCCGACTTTGCTCGCTCGCCGTGCGGGTGAACAAAGCCGGCGGAGATCCACTCGAGCTTGTCATGAGCGATGGCAATTTCGCGGCGTCGCAGTGGACGTACGTGGTCGTGACGCAAGGGGTAGCGCTGAACGTGTACATCAACGGCCGTCGCCTGGAGAGCGTCCACGACGTACCCTACCCGCGAGAGAAGCACTCGCTGACCTTCACGATGGGCGGCGCGCCACAGCTGCCCGGCTTCTTCGGGTACACGAGTGGGATGAACATCTCGCCCGCGCTCTCGGAGAAGGACATTGCGCGTCTCTACGCCGCAGGACCCACCTTGTACGAGCCCACCAAGGACTGCGCGTCGGTCTTAGCCCCTTGCTTTGAGGAGGAGAGCGGCGGCGACACGCAACCATCGTCGGCCACGTCGTCCCTGCAGCGACATGAGGTGCTGGCGAAGCGATCGTCGGAGTTCAGCTGGCACCGCGTGGAGCTCTACACCCCTACCGATATTGAGGAGACTATTATCCCGAAGCGCGTGCTGGAGTGGGTATTGAGTGTGCTGAAGGCGCGGGAGACGGCAACGATCCGCAGCACCTCGGCCTTCATGAACGTGGCAAAACTCTGCCTCAGCCTCTTGACCACCTCGATGCAGCTGGCGAGCAACGAGGACTTGACGGCGTTGGTGCGCAAGAACCACCTGGAGCGGCTTCGCACGGAGGTGCTGTCGTGGCAGACAACGTTCCCCGAGTTCGGGTCTTTGTTACTGCAGTCTGTAACAGTTCGCGGCAGCGGGCGGGTGCTGCGTGCGCACGCGTGTACGCAGTGCGTCTTCGACATTCTGCTGAGCTGCGTCATGCAGACCAGCGAACGCAATAAGGAGCTTATTAGCCACAGCCGCGGCAGCACGCACACGAATGACGACAGCGTCACGCGGTCGTCGTCGCAGCCGCCATCGCCGCCGCCTCCGTTGCTGCCCAACCTCAGCACACACGAGGCAAACTCGACGAACATCATTCTGCGGGAGCTGAGTGACTGTCTCCTGGTGAAGGAGAACCTGAAGCTCTTCCAGGAAGACCCAAAGCGCTTTCAGAGCATCTTAAACCTCACGCTGCACCTGCCGAAGGAGTGCATCAAGTCGGTGGTCATATTGATTGAGAAGCTGTGCCGTGGTGAGGCGGAGTTGCGGCAAGTCTTTCTCTTTCTCTTTGCCCCGAGCTCGTTGAGTCCAACCGCCGACACGGCGAAGGTGCGGGTGCTGCGTATGCTCTTCGATATCGCGCAGGAGGACGTGGCGATGTGTGAAATGATCCAGGAATGCTGCAAAGGCCGCGGCTTTGCTTTTCTCCTGCTGCTCGTCAGCGGCGAAAACCACTCCAGCGAGGCAATCCGTGTTCTGGCGATCGGGCTGCTCTCCTTGCTGATGCCGCTGAAGAGCTGCGCAAAGTTTTTCAGGAAGAGCGACGGCTTCGACGTGCTGGCGATGTCGATCACGGAGCCGCGCAGTCCCATCCCCCTCGGCATTCGCACCTTCGACGCGCTCATCCAAGTCGCCTTCGATGAGTTCCGCCGTCGCAAGGAGAAGCGGCCGGAGACGGACGGTATTGCGGTGCGTCTGATGGCCGCCGCCCACCTCTCCCATCGCTCACGGCAGCGGGAGTCGTCTGCGGCGACGGCGGTGGCGGCCCTTCCTCGTGCGGTGGCTTCCGGGCTCCCTCCAGGCCGCCCGCCGCGACGCACCTTTGAGTTCCGCGGTCACGCGCCGGCCATCACCGTCAATCAGCTCGGCACGCGGCGGGGGTACAGCTTCGAGCACACGCATGACTACGGCAAGGTCAACGAAGACTTTGGCGAATTGATGATTCTGCACAAAGGCAACCGCTACCACAGCCTCGAGCTCCCCCTCGCCCTCAAAGCGGTGCTGTGTGCATTGGATTTCTTCATTCAGGCGTTGGTGCGTCGCCTGCCATCACCGTCGTCGACCTCCAGCTCGAGCAACACACGGCGGGTGCCGTCGGGGGATCCGCCCTCCGTGGCCAGTGCCAACAACGCGGTCTCGCCGCTGCCTCGCCCGGAGAGTGGCCCGTTTCAGGCCACCTCGGCGTCCTCCTCTCCTTCGCTGATTGTGAACGACGAAAAAGTCGTCATTGAAGTTCTCAACTACCTGAGCAAGGTCATCGACTACCCGAAACACGCGCTAAAGCTGATGGATATCCAGTGGCTGGGTGGGCTGTGGGTGGCAGTGCGGGTGTTCTTTGAGAAGCCCGCTGACTCCGCAGGGTCTAGCGCGCCCCGCGTGCCGTCCTTCGTGGGCGACGAGGCCGCGGCGAGCGCCTCTGTCACCTCGCCGGCGGTGGGGCGGGACTTTGCTGCGACTGGCATGCAGCGATTGCACCAAGACCGCAGCGACTTTGTCTACGAGGTGCGCCAGCAGACGTGCACGATCATACGCAAGATGGTCATCTTGGACATCGTGTCCAACGAGCGGGCGCAGGTGCGCAGCATCCGCGACGGCGACTATCCCCCGCGCCTGGTGCGCATCGTGTTGGAGGAGATCGCGCGTTATTTCTGTGTGCAGAAGAACGGCGAGCTCGTCGAGAACGCCAACAACGTGATCCGCAACTTGAATTTCATCTTCAAGGATGTGCATACAGCGCTGCACCCATTTCCACCCAACCTCGGTGTGGCGATCGTCATGGCGATTACCAACATATCCGTCTCGAGCAGCATGCAGGTAAGACGCCGCATGAAAAACAGTAGCAACCTGCTCACCATCCGTGACAACCTCGCCTTCTTTGTGCTGCGTGAGTCGCGGCGCTTCCTGCAGCTGCGCAAACGATCTCTGAATCAGCTCATCGACATCAACGTGAACAACGCCAACTCCATGACGGTTCTACTCTACCACCTCTCGAACAGCATCAAGGAAAACAGCGTCAACGAAGTCGAGGTGCTCGTGTCACTCATCCAACAGCTGGCCTGCGCCGACTCGGCCCGGCTGCGCGAGCTGCACAACTTGGTCGGGGAAAGTAGAGAGGTGATGGAGCTGCAGGAGCTGCTGAGCAGCACCAGTGGAGGGGTCTTCGCCTCCACGGCGAGCCCGCTGCAGCCGGCCTTGTACCCCTCCCTCCCGACCCCGTCCGATCGCGCGATGAGTGAGGCCTTCACTGATCTGGACTCCAACGCTGGAGGAAACGCGGACCGGCCGCATTGGAGCTCCGGTCACGGGGTGGGACTTAATCCGCTGGAGACGGACGCAGAGCCCAGCGCGGGTGCCTTCACGGTGCAGCTGCTGGACTGGTGCCAGGCCCACCCGGAGGCTTGGGCGGCGGTGCAGAAGAACATTCAGAGCGCCATTTCGAGTCAAGGGTTGGATAGAAAGGACGAGAAGAAGGACGAGCGTGGCGCGCTCTTTAATGGGTCGGGCGGCGTTGGGGGGTTGTCACCGAAAGTGAGCAGCGGTGGCGCTACCGGCGTGGGCTACAGTGAGCGCAGTCGGAAGGAGTTCCAACAGGTTTGCGCGGACGTGGAGGAGGAACTTGCAAAGAGCACCTGGGCATCCGCGGCGACTGCGGCCCCGCAGGGTGCTGTGAGTCACTGAGGACGGCCATGAAGGGCGTTGACGAAATAGTTTTAATGGTGAAATCAAGATCGTCGTCGTCGTTTTCTATCCGATCCGCTCTGGCGCACACGGAAAAGGGAAAGACTGCGTTGTCCGTCGTGCAGCTGTTCACTGAATTATTATTTTTTTAAGGCAGTTTTAAAGCCGAGAGCGATTCGTATACGCGCGTGTGCTTTCTTTCTCTTCTTTTTCTTTTCTGCAGTGCTGTGCTTCTAACCTGGGTTGTTTCGTTGTCGGGTGTGTTGACCTGCAGCTTCATTGGTGTGTGCGTGTTTGTGTTTGTGTTGGTGGTGGTGGTGGTGGTGGTGGTGGGTGGGGGGGTAGGTTGGCAGAGGTGTTTCGAATGGTACCTGCCCTTGAACGGCTTTGAGAGAAGCTGCCGCGCACACGCGTCCGGCGCACGTTTTCCAATTCACGTCGATGTATACAAACTTACCATGCGTTTCTTTTCCTTTCCTTTTATTCGATAAACTATTGTAGAGAGATAAAATAATCAGCAAGACATACAGGATGCAAAGTCGATACGGACGAGGCGGCAAGCCGAGTCGTGCAATAAGAAACTCGCGGCCGTGTGACGCGCGCGCATCTCTGCAGCCTTCTTTCAAATGAAAGAAAGTAACGCTATTCGCATATGTGAGAGGGGCGGTTCCCTTGTTTTGAGACGTTTTCTTCTTCGCTGTCGTCAGTGAAGGTGCGTCGCCAGCATGAAGAAACTGTTTCTGTGCACTCAAAACTCGCTCGGCTTGTATTTTCTTTTCTTCTATTTTTTAAACCCCCGCGCACCTCATTCCTCTTCCGTCTGCACAGCACGTGCTTTATCATCTGTCTTCCAACGTAGAAACGTTGTATTCCGTCATTATCCTTACAATTTGGTACTTTTCAGCTCTCCGCGCTTCTTATCCACCGAGTTCGCCGGAGAGCACATTACGCCTTCGTGCGTTTACGGGAGCATTTCACAGCCCCATTCCTGAAGAAGTGGAGAACTCAGCCTCAAACTTCCTATGAGCGAATCTAGATAATATCTTCTTTGTTTCTTTCTATTCGACGTCTTTGCCATAGTCGTGCGGTGGCGCTTCCTCGTGTACTTTTCTTTTCTCTCTTGGATCTTCCTTCTTCTTTTAACTGCTCCTCTATTTCTACATGCTTGGTTCCGTACAATCTGTCGAGCATCGGCGGTCTCTCCTCCTCAAAGACTTATCAGCTGCGACGCCGACCCTTTGCTGTGTGTTTCGCTTTCGCCTTCCTTTTCTTTTTTCGTTCTTCTTACATTAGTGCTTTACTAACACGTTTTCAAAATGGTGGGGCTTCGCTGCGACGAGACGACGGTGTACGCCACCGTCGCTGTCACGTGCACTGTACTGCTGCTTTTTGCAGTGCTGCGCGCAGCCGTGGGTTTACTCGGCGCCTTCATCGCGAGAGCCACAAAAAAGTTTATGAGACCTGCTGTGGAACGGGTGCTTTGTGCCGTTGGTGCTGTCGTGTCCATTGTTGTCTTTGCAGATGGAAGTGCCTTACTGCCGGCTCTGCTGCTTCTCGCCTCTGCCACCGGTGCTGCCTTCTGCCGCTCCCTGCTGAGTTTTCGCTGGCTTTGGGTGAGCAGTTTCACACTTTACAGTCTAGTCCTCTTGAACCTGGTCGGCCCGCTGCTGGTGGAGGATGTGGACGTGACGAAGCAGGAATGGGTAGCGCTAGTGCGAAAGCAACGCGTGCTGGTACCGTCCTTTTCAGCGATCGCCGCCGCTTCGCCAGCTGGTGGTCGTGCGTCATCGCGCTACCTCTACTCCTACTACGACGCTGTGAAGATCGAAGGCAGCGCGTCCCCGCTGATGGCTTCCGCACGTGCAACGCCGAGGATGTCCGTTGAATCCATTTCCGGGTTTCTGCAGCAGCAGCATGCGTGGGAAACCAAAGGCAGCGAAAAAGACTCAACAAAGGTCACGAAGTCCTCGCTAACGCAGCAACCTCAACTGACAGAGGACCTGCAGCCGACGTACCACATTATCGCAAGTGGCGACGACACGCTGCTCACTCACTTGGCGGAGCTGAAGACCGACGACGAGACCTTTTCTATATCCTTTGCTTATTCTATCTCTCTCCTTGGTCAGCACAGTCAAATGCAGCACAGCCGCGTTCACTGCCTCGTGTCTGCGCACGACCCTTCCCTTTCTTTTCACGCGCACTCGTCTTGCTTGCGTCTCCACCGCACCGCGTTACTGCGCAACGTGACCATTTATTGGGCAGAAGTTGCAGGTGGAGCGGCCGTCTCAACGAATGCGAAGCAACTCGAGTGGCACGTGCTTCACGCCGGTCAAGAGGGCCCGCAAAGCTGCGTTGAGGTGCAAAACGAACTCGCCGCACGTGTATCGGCGAAGCATGACATGGAAGACAGAGAGAGCACCACCGTCTCAGCAGCCGTGACGTCTTTCTTGAGTTGCGTGGAGGAGCTGTCGGTGTCGGAGCTGCCGCCCTTCTTTGTGGCCAAGGCGCCGTTCCCTGTTCGATTCGGGTGGCACTTCCCCGGTTACCTCCACCGCGCACAGGAGACCTTCTTTTACGTGTCCGACCGAGTCATCATCCCCTTCGCCATCTTTGCTGCGGATGTGATGAATGTGTGCGGCGGCGTCATCGCCAGTCTCCTCCGCCTGCTAGGAAACGGGTTTGTCCGCGCCATGCCCTATGTTAAGCACGCAGCGAACGAAGTCGCTCTGTGCATCGGCGGACTCGTATGTGGAGGTGGTGGTAGTCGCCGTGGCGGTGGTAGGACTGCTATAACGCACGCCTCCTCTGCGTTCTCGTCGTTATCAATGGACGCCGCTATGGAAGCGCAGGCGACGGTGCTGTACGCGTACGCGCCGGCCGCCACAGGCTGCGCGGCCTTTCGTCGTGCGCACGCCGCACATACCGCCTTCCGGGCAGGGGTGCAGACACGCATGTCCGTGCTCGCCGTTCTCTCCGTCTTGGCAGACGCGACCGATTTGTTTCCGGGAGTGTGGACGGTGTGCAAGTGGGCGTGGAATGCGGAAGTCACCTTCACGATGTGGATCCTTGAAGGGCTGGGTGCGATGGGCTACTTCCTCGTGTTTATCGCGCCTCGCCCACTCCTGTGCGTGCTGGGTGGTGCAGCTCGAATTCTTGGTGTGGTGTTGCTGCGACTGTGCGCGCCGCTGCGTGAACTGTGGCGGGGCTTTATTCAAATGCCACTTCTGCCTTACGTGTCTCGCCTCCTCTGCTCTCTCTGGTCCCTCGAAGCTCGCTGGTTGTGCTACGAATGGTCTCTCTTCAAGCGTGTGGCCATCATTTTCGTGTGCAAGGGGGAGGCCGGCTTGGTGGTTCTTATGCGTCTTGTCGCTATGGTCTTCCGAAACAGCGGCTGGCTTGCAACGCGGTACGGCCAAACGTCCTTCTCCATTCACCTCGTCGTAACCTTCTTGCAGTCGATGCTGCTAATCATTGCCTTGTGGAATGAAATGCGAGCGCTGATCGACGCGGAGCGGCAACGCCCCTCCGGTGCACACTCACCTCTGCGCTTCCTCAAGCGATGGTTTCCGCAAAGCGTCGCCCTTTTTTCGCCTTTGCAGACCATCACCGCTCGGGTGAACGGCTTTGGACTGCTGATCCGCGCGCATCACCAAGCCTGTATGCACTACCTACTTCTCCACTCCATTGGTATGCTAGTCTTGATAGGTCTCTCCGTGCTGCCTTTCATGAATAAGCTCTACAGCTTGTCTCTGCGTTACTTCCTGCCGTGGATGTCCGCCAAGGCGTTTCTGATCTTCTTTTATGACTCACCCAGTGCCCCGGCGGCGGCAGCGCTTTTCGTTTTGCGGATGGCCGTGTCGACGCTGCTGCAGCAAACCATTGGCGACTTCCTCTACTACATTGTGAGGGACATCATGATTGCGGCGGGGCTGGCCGGTGGACTGGCGCTGGCGCTGTGGACGTGGCCGCAACGCACGGAGCTGGCGAAGCAGGTGGCGACGGCCATATCGGACAGCCTTCAAGGAACGCCGATGCCAAAGGTGGCGCAGGTCTCGTTGAGCTCAGCGGCACGAGAGGGACACGGGAAAGGAGCTTTGGAGGGAGAAAAACGCGCTTCATCGGAAGACGACACGCGAGGAGAGGATGCCGTCACGAGGCAGATTGATCTCTCGAACACTGCTTGACGAGGGCAGCAGAAAAAAAGAAATAATAATACTAGGAGGCTGTAGGCGGCATTATCGAGTTTTGCAGTTCAAATATACTCATGTCGCGGCTCGCCAGGAAGAAAAGAAAAAAACTTGCAAATCGATTCAAGCGTCACTGTGTGCTCCTCATCACGCACATTTGGAGGCCGTTTACGCCATCGTCAATTTTACATATATGCTTCCCCCTTCTTATTCGTCACTCTTCATGTGAGTAACCCGCTTTCTATTCCTCCGTTTCTCGTTCGGTGGGAGCACAACGCAATTTAGAGTGCGGTTTGAATTGATTCGCCCATCAAATAACGAAATACGGACTTTTCAAACTCACCTTAGCCATATCACGCTGCTCTGTGCAACGCGACGGCCGCAACTACAGGATAGGATACTATCCATTAGCTTGAAATCGTCTAACATCAAACAACAACAAGAAAACTGACTCTTTTCTCGTTTAAAACTAAGTACCTTTCCTCCCGTAAAGCGTCGGCCGCGGAAGGCGCACTTGTTATTGTTTTCTGCTTTGTCTTCCCATCCGCGACTTTACCTTCCCCTTCTCTCGCTCTCTCTCCTTCTCTTCTTGTGTCAACTTCTGCGATAAACTGCGCAGGTGCGTCTACGAAACTCGTCATCACGCCGTTCCTGTGCGTAGAGAAGTTTCAGCGCAATTCTGCACATACCATACCCGAGTGCGCTTCTTGGTCTCCTAACGTTCGGGAGACATACACAAACATACAAACGTATATATGCTGCCGCACCACGTCAGAACAATAACTGTGCATCACTAAACAAACTAAAACTCCCAGAAAGAGAGACGAAAGGGCACACACTCGAAGAAATATTGTTTTAAGCAAAGATGTCGTCTCCGTCCATGTTTGCACATCTTCCAGATGCAGTGGTGCGCGCCATCCGAAAGGCAAGTAAGCCTTTCCTCTCGCTGCAATCCTCTCGCTACGCCTCCGCAGGCACGAGCAACACAGAAGTGGATACCTTGTCATTAGTGATGCGTACAAAGACGTTACTGCCGCAGAAGGCGAGCGGTCAGTTCGATGCACGTGACGTGCTGCCAAGTACGTGGTCCGAGGTCTACCGCAGCGCGGTCGAGGAACTGCCAGATGCGCAATCGAAGCGCTTGTGGGGTTTCGTTTCAACGGTGTTGACGGTGCATGAGCAGGGCGGAACGTCAGACAGCGTGAACGCCAGTGCGGCCATCGTCGAATGGAATGACCGTTTCAGCTCGCGGCTGGACGACGTGGAGGAAGTGGTGGCATACCTGTATCGCACGAGCCCACTTCACCTAGACGACGCGGAGGTGGAGGACATCGGCTCAGGCGTTCTCGGCCGCATCGAGGACGCGTTTTTGACCGGTCACTTCGAGGCTGCCGCGACTTTGATGGACGCCCTGCTCACATTTCTGCGTCGCGGTCAGTCGTCGCTGCTGTCAGCCGAGGTGGAGACCGCGCTGGCGGATGTCCGGCGCATCCTGGACACCGCCTTCCACGACAGCGACTCGCATCAGAACGTGTGGGTGCGCAGTGCCAACGCGCAGCTGCAGGAATCGCGCAACACGCTTATGAATCCGTCTGGTGGCCCCAGCAGCGGCAATCGCAGCGCCGTCGACGCGCTGGTGGAGGACCTGTGTGCGACCTGCGTGGACGTGTTGATCCTCATCACGAAGGACGCAACGCGGTTGGTGGAGCGGTGCCGCGAGTCGAGGCGGTCCGCCGTGGACTTTCTGGTGGCGATATGCGCGATTATGGAGCCGTACGCGACGCTGTCTCGTGTGGCCGCGATCTACGCCGAGTACGTTGGGGAGTGGGACAACTATGATAATGACGACGATCGCAGTTATAATGATAGTGAAGAGGATGAGCGCTGGTACTGTGCGGCCGTCCAGGCTGTGTTGGAAGTAGAGTCTCTGACAGGTATGGTGGACGCCATGGAGAGAGTGGCGCAGATTTCATTCAACGCCTCTCTTCAGGGCGGGGAAAGGGAGGCGATGCTGCCGGCGCCATCAGCCAGCGGCAGAGGAACAGGAGCAGCGGGGACTCAGGGCGGTAGTCGACCTGTTTACAACAGCGGCGGCCGCCGCAGCGACGGTGACGATGACGTTTACGACGATGACTCGGCGAGTGACACCGTCAGCGTGAGTGAGGTGGCCGCCGCCGCCACCACTGCCGCGTCTCTGACACCTTTTCAAGCGCGTCACTTTACGGTGGTCTGCATGGCCGCGCACATCGCGGACCTCTGCGCGCCTGCCATCGTCGCCTCTTTTGCCGCTGACATCCACCTCACCTTCACTCGCAACAACCTTGTCTCGGCCTACGCGGAACTCTTCGCCTTCCACCCCCGCACGTGGCGTGTGGCCGGTCTCTACGCGTGCTACTCCCCTCTCATCAACCCCCGCTTTTTGGTAGACATTGTGGAGACGGTGGCGCCGTCTGCGGCGGTGGACGAGGTAACGTATCGCAGCTTGCATGCCTTCTTCCTCGGCAGCTGGAGCACGCACAGCGATCACCAAGCAGCGGTGCGCGCGAAGCTGGAGGCGGTGCTGCCGGGGAACGCGACGGTCAGCAAGTGGTGGGCGGCGGTGGACTTCTGCTACACAGAGGCCTTCCGCAAGGTTCACCGCTACATCATCGTGACGCTGCTAAATCACAAGAGGTGGTCGCAGGCGGCGTGGTTGGCGGTAGAGACGGGCCTGACCGAAACCCTTCACTCCCACCTGCAGCAGATCATGACGAGCTCCGACGCCCTCGTTAGCGAGGAGCTCTACGCGGTTGGGTGCGCTGTGCAACGAGCGTTTGTCTCCGTCGACTGCTGCCCCTCCGCGGAGCTCACCCGCTACTTGTGCGCAGCTGCAGCCTTAGCTGCGTATCGCCAGGCGGCCACGACGGTCAACGCCGCACTGGAGAGTGTGGCGCCCGCACAGGTCGGCACATCGGTGACCGCGACGCCCTCGGTAGATGTCGTGGTGAAGGCTGTGGTGGTGTGTTTGCAGGCTATTGAGGCGGCACTGAAGACGACCGACGAGTGCGCATCCATGCTGCACCCGGCCACCACGTTTACCTTGGTGGAGCACGGGGCATCGCTGCTGCTGTCGCTGCGGCAGCTCATGCGTGACCCCGTCACAGGGGACTCAACGGGCTCGATGCACGTGTCCAGCTGCGTGCTGCCGCTCTTGGTGGAGGCCTACCAGCTCTCGAGCATTCATTTTGGTAGTTGCGCTGACCCTGCGTGGGAGAAGCGTGGCGTGGCGCTAGGCGAAAAGCTGGCCAACGTTCATCAAACGTGCATCTGATAATCTCACAATCATCGTGCAATCCGAAAAAAGAGAAATGTTCCGCATTACTTCCTGTTGTTGCCGTGCTTTTAGAAGGATGCAATGGGGCTGTGAAGTTGTTGTAAAGTACTGCGATTGCTTTTTTTGTTGTTTGGTACGCTGTGTGGGTAGTGGTGTGTAGGTGTGTGTGTGTATGTGTGTGTGTGTGTGTCTGTTTGGAGACGCATGCGCAGGTGCGTCGGTTGGATCTGTCTTCTTCTTTCAGTTTTCCTTCGGTGTGTGTGTATGTGTGTGCCAGGTGTTCTACGTACTCCTCGTGTAGGCCCCAAAGAAACGCCGTCGTAAAGATTCGTGTCCTCGCGTTAACGTGTGGTAGTGAATAGAATTGTACTTGACATGGGTAGCTCTTTCGTTGATGATGATGTTGCGGTCCTCGTTGCAACGCCCCACTCGGCGCGCGTAGACGAAGAGGTGTCATGTCTCTGGTCAAAGCTGTGTTACGTACCTCCCCAAAACAGCGGAACGTTTTGAGGGGGGTTTTCGGGCGTCTTTGGTCATCACAGCAGATCCTCCAAGATGGACTCCGCACTGCACTCCTGACCTCCTCCATTCTTCTATTCGCCTCGTTTTCTTTTTCTGCTCTGCGCTGCGCTGCTTTCTTCCTCAGCGCTGCGTCCTACAGTTTGACCGAACGTCCATCCACGCAGCCGCTGCAGACACGTGAAAGGGATATTAGGCGCGCGAAGGAACGAGCAGAGGCACAATTACACAATCGCAAACGTACAGCCCACTCCTTGCCACACCGCGCACGAAAGTTGCGTAAGTCGAGTCAGGGTCTCTCTCAGAGAGGGCTGCGTTGAACTAGTGCATCTTTGCAGCCTTGCAGACTTCACCAAGGCAAAAAAAGCTGATATTTTTCCGATATCATCGTCTTGGTTGTTGTCGTTCCGGTGATACATATTTTCTTTCTTCTTTCATCGACACGTTACGCTGTTACATTTCGTTTTCTTGTTGTTTTGTTGTTCTGTTTTGAATGATTGAAGCTGTTATCTTTGAGCTGAGCTACTCCTCGCGCTTTTGTTCAGATACTTTGTTTTCTTTCTTTCTTTCTTTTTTTTTAAATGGAAAAGGAAAAGATGCGTTCACGATCGCGTCAGGCGAGACACCTGACCTTTCACCCCATCGTCATCGCGTCAGCCGTTGTCTTTGTCGTGCTGTTTCTCGCCCTCGGGTACCACACCGGCGTAAACGATGTTGAACGGGCCCACCGGCAAAAACTGTCTGAGGTCACACACATTTTAGAAGGTCAGCAAATACTGCTGAAGAGGTGCAACAAGCAGCTGGAGAACTTCACCAAGGAAGACGCCAGGAGCGACTCCCACGTGAGAACGCTCAGAGCGGCACTGCGGGAGCTACAAAAGGAGCAGAACGAGGTTCAGGCGACGTACAAGGGATTGGACGAGCAAAACAACAAGTGCGAGCTGGACCGGGCCGGCATGGAGATGCGCCTCGACGCGCTGGGCACGGAAGCTGCGCAGAACCGCCAGAAGGTGGAGGACACGGTGAAGGAGGTGGACGCGCTACAGGTGTCAATTATGCACATCACACGCGGGGAGGGAATGTCGGTAGTGCTGCTCAACGAGGTGCTGAACTCGCTGAGAGCTTCGTACGAGTCCACGTGTCGCAATCTTCCGGGGTGCGTGGTGATGACGGATGAGGATCTGCTGAAGCTGCGCGTGGAGGACAACCGCACCGAGGACGAGATCCGAGCCTTTCTGGAGCGCGATGCAGCGGCGCAGAAGAGCTTAGTGAACTCGCTGCAAGGGTCCTCGGCAAACCTCGCCGGCATATACTTTCTCCCCACCGTGGACGAGGAGCGGCAGTGGGACACGAAGGCGCACTACCCCACGTACTTCAAGCGCAACACGCTGCAGAGGCCATTACGCGGGGTGAAAACAAACTCCAGCAGGGTCCGCACCGCGGGGAACGTGGTGAAGATTTTGGAGACCTACAGCGACTACGCGATGTGCGCGTACCGCTACAACAACCCCAGGTTTTCCTTTCAGTCTTTCTTCGAGTATACGCCGGACGACGCAGCCGCCGTGCCGGGGCAGACAACAAGGCCTCTCGCCGCCTTTCTACACAAGTTGATTGTCAGCCCCCTGCTGCTGTACTGCACTCAGTGTGACGCGAACATGTGGAGGCAGCAGTACCGACTGGCGTGCTTCAAGAACCGCATGTCCGCACTACACAACTACGGCACACACGATTTCTGGGTCGTGCGCTCGATGATTCAGGCAGCGCCGTCGGTACAGACCGAAGCTCTGAACTTCTACGCCAGTCACGAGGCGGAGAAGCAGCGTGTGCTGGCGGTGGTGCTGCACCTGGCCTCCGAGCGAGACCGCCAAGACTGCGATCGGGCGGCGATAGAGGAGTATGGAATCCATTATCAATACTTGACGGCGAACTTTCCGCGGGATGCTGCGCTGCAGACACACATCGCGGACGAGCGGGGTGCGCAGTGCTCGCCGACGCCGGCCCAGGTCATCGAGCACATCGGCCGTGTGCGCAACACTGCCGCGTATCCATTTGACAAGGTCTATCTCTCCGTGTCCGCCGAGATGCGCAGCAACATGGTGGCGCTGCTGAAGGAGAGGGGCGGCGCTGAGCTGCTTGCCCTCTTGCTGCCGGCCTACACAAACCCCCAAAAGGAAGCCGACACACCTGGATTTGCGGAGCTGGTAGACTTGGAAATTGCAAGTCGTGCAACGGATATTCTGGTGAGTCCGTTTATGCGAGCCAGTCGCTACGTGACAGAGGAGTTCCTCCTCCGCCACAAGCTGAACGCCAGTGGACACGTCTGGGTGTTCTAGAGAAGCAACTAGATAATAATAATAAAAGGCGCTTGCAGCTTTATTGTATAACAGCTTCTTCTTTTCTTTTAATGCGAGTTTTTTTTTTTCCCAACATTGTCAGTTCATTGATCTCGTTGCCTTCCACGTCGCGGCTCGCAGAGAAACTAAAATTTTCATGTTGCTACCACGAAGAGCATCTGTCTCTTTGTCTTCTTCCTCTTCCTCTCTGTCAGTGGCGAGAAGCTCAACCTTCTCAAACGGGTATGTGGATTTGTCTTATCTGACTGTAAGGACAGAAGGGTTGCTACGCGTATCCGCGCATGGCTCTGATTCACTGCCAGTTTTTGTATTTTCCCCTTCGAGCGGTGCAAACGCGCCTTTTATTTTTGGGCAACTTCGTGTTTCCCTGTGCCACCGTCCAACCCTGTCTCCTCTACCTCTTTCTTGGTGTGAATGCATGCTCCTCAATTCATTTTTTGGTGGTGCGATACCTGTGTGCAAAACAACGTATACGCAACTGTTTTTTTTTTCCTTACTGCTTTGCGGATACACTTCTACCCTTTGGTAGTGGTCCTGTTTCTCTGCTCGCGTGAGTAACTATTATTTTATTGTTGCTGCTGCACTACGATATATCGAGAAGGCTACACAATACAAGACGCACACACACACGTAAGCGAAACACGCCCAAGTTTTGTTTTCGTTTATTTCAGAAAGGTATATATCATCATGTTCGCGGCGTCTGCGGCATCGACGGCATCAACGGCGCAATGGTTTGAGCCGATGCAGCGTCATCGTCCGTTTCGGATGATGCCACACGGAATGTTCAACGACATCTTTGTCGATCGTCCGCACCGCATCGACGTAGAGGGCGAGCGGATGAAGATCAACTTCGACGAGATCAAAACCTCCCTGCCCTACAAGCCCACCACTACCGCCGAGAGCGGCAATGTGAAGGCGTTGTTGATCGGCATCAACTACATCGGGACGGAGTACCAGCTGAGTGGGTGCGTGAACGACATTCACACGATGCTCGATACGCTGCGGCAGGTTGACTTCCCCATCACAGAGTCGAGCATCCTCGTGGATGACGAGAAGTTTGCCAACGTTACGGCGGCGCCGACGCGGGAGAACGTCATCAAGTACATCTCCTGGCTCGTGAAGGACGCGCAGTCGGGCGACGTACTCTTTTTCCACTACTCCGGCCACGGCGCGCAGACCAAGTCGCAGGAGGATCAAGACGAGGAGTACGATCAGTGCATCATCCCCGTGGACTATGAGACGAAAGGGTCTATCCTTGATGACGATCTTTTCAAGATGCTCGTCGAGCCTCTCCCGGAGGGCGTGCGCCTCACCTGCGTGTTTGACTGCTGCCACTCCGCCTCCATGCTGGATTTGCCGTTTGGCTTCATCAGCAACAAAAGCGCCGGCGAGGTCGCCAATGCGACGACGCACCTCATGCAGAAGCTACGCGCCAACAACTTCTCAAGGGGCGATGTGCTCATGTTGAGCGGCTGCGAGGATGACCAGACGAGCGCGGATGTGCAGAACGTTGCCTCCTTCGGGGACGGTGAGACAGGGGCGGGTGGGGCAGCCACGCAGGCGTTCACCTGGGCCCTGACGAACACCGCCGGTCTCGACTACTTGAGCATTCTGCTCAAGATGCGCGACGTGCTGAAGGAGAAGGGCTTCACGCAGGTGCCGCAGCTGAGCAGCTCGAAACCTGTGGATCTTGACAAGACCTTCTCCCTCTTCGGCACCGTGACGGCGAATGAGGAGCAGCTGCAGCAGTACGTCCCGGAGGAGTTCCGCCGTCCACCACCCCCGCCGCAGGGCTGCCGTCGCCATAGGATGCAATGGGGGTTCGGATTCGGGCCGATGATGCAGCGCCGGCGTGGTGGGATGAACGGTGGTCCGTCGCGTGGTGCCATGTGGGCTCAACCCTGCATGGCCGCTGGTGGCCGGACAGGCAACAACGCCGACGGTAGCGATGCAGCGCGCGGCTTCGGCAACGGCGGTAGGTACTTCGGTGGGCCGCAGAGTGGCCGCAGTGGTGGTCCGATGATGGGCGGTGGCATGATGATGAGCGGTGGTGGTCCGATGATGGGCGGTCCGGTGATGGGCGCCGAAACGATGATGGGTGATGGCATGATGATGGGCGGCGCGCCGTACCGTGGCCGCTACAATTAGTTGACAAACCGAACTTAAAAAAGAAAAGCACGAGGGAGATGGGTTCACGTGTGGTTTGTTTCTATTTCGCGCTCGCTCTTTCTTCCATGCGACCTCATGGGTTTGCCGGCTCTTCGTTTGTTTGTTTGCTGTTGTCTTCACCGTTTATTGCTGGGATGCAGAAAGAGAAAAACGCACTTCTCCACCTCACATTGTGTTGTGTGTTCCAGCGACGGTCATTCTGTCTTTTGCTGAGGAAGGATCTCCGCTCCAGCAAACACGTCTTCGCGTCTGTGTGGGAAGCAAAAGAACGAGTTGAACTATTCCGTTCCGATTTTAAAACGTATTCCTTTACGTGTGCTAGCGGAAAGAAAAGCTCTCCATTATGGTCTTCTCTCCCCATCATAGGTGCCGTAAGTGTTATTTCAACGCTGCTTGTTATGCGCACTGTCTGCAGAAGACGTCCACCACTTCTTTTTCCAATCTTGTTATTTGACGGGTAATGCGAAAAGAGAGGCGATATTCGATGCAACCAATTTTTTTAAGGGGTATTGAAAGCTCTTCGTTTCCTTCCTGTCATGCAAATATATATATATAATTGCTATTATTTTACTTTGCAGATGCGTTCTGTAATTCCTTTTATTACTTCTTTTTTTAGACTCGTCAAAAGATTATCTTTGTTTGGTTTCTTTTGTCTTGTGTATTCACAGCTGTCCAAATCCGACAGCAGATCGCACCCGCTGCACAATCCGCTCTGTGTGTATGTGTGTGTGCATCTTTGTTTACTTTTCTTTTTTATTCTCCTTTTCCTCCTCCTTGTTTTTTCTTCGGCATGAGCGTTTATATGTGCACTCTAGCTGCTGTGTCCGTTAATATGTTACTATTATGATTTCGTGTGACGTGATTGTATCCGTTTGCGCGCATGAAACAAACAAGCAAAAAAAAAAGAGCACTTCTAAGCGGGTATGTTTATCGACTCTGCGTCGGTGGAAAGGAAATATACTTTTCTAGCAGTTTTTTTTTTTGTGCTGTTGTTGATACCAAACTGTTAGATGATAAAAGTTGCAATCGCCATTCCAATTTTTTATTTGTTCTTGCTTGAAATCTGTTCCTTAGCTTTCTATCGAAAGGCATACTCCCTCAGGTGCTTCAATAAGTGTTCTTCTTTCTATTATTATTTAGTGTTGAGCTTCAATCCCGAATAACCTGATAAAGTACTTTCTTGTGGTTGGAGATCATCACCACTTTAAGTCGTTGGGCATTTTTTCCCCTCTGTTGAATTCTTTTTGTTTTATTACTACGGCGCTTCTTACCTGTATCTGCTGTTTTCGTTTTCGTAGCGCGCTACACGATGTCTATCAGCCGTCGAGCATGTGCGTTGGGAAGACCAAACACCGAACACAACGACATGTGTGCGAATGCGTCCCATGCGTCGGTGTTTTTTCTTTTCTTTTGCTGTCTTTTTATCACAGCTATTTTTTTTTCTCTTTTGTATTCCTCGGGAATATATATTTATTAACTCTATTTTACAATCTTTAGTGTCATCCGTGAAACGTCGAAAATGAAAAAAAAAAAGGGGGGGGGGGCAAAGTTAGCGCGTTGTTCTCTTTTCATCTAAAGCTTTTTTTTCTCTTTTATTTCTTCTTGTCAAAGGAATTGTCTAAAAGAAAAAAATGCCGACTTTACTTTCTCTTCTTCTCCGTGTAAGCACGCAGCGGTAGTTGTTGTGGCGCATGAAGCAGGAAGGAATTGAGAGGATATCGAAGTGTTTGTTTACTAAGACCAAATAAACAACTATGTAAGTCTACACCTCGAGCTGCATCAAAGGGAAAAAAGAATATGAAAAAACTGAAAACTCATTACATTTACGGACGAAGCGAGAGGAAAGGAGCGGCAGGGCCTCCTCTTAAAGGGAAGGCAGCTGGGCCGGCCTGTAAAATAGGGTTCGAAAATGCTTCGAGTTGAGGCGGTGTGCTTCACTGCAATCGACGAGAAGAACCTCGTCAGGCTTCTCTTTTTTTTTTCTTCTTCTACGACTTCCATTCATCGCGAATCACAAGACGTCTCTGCCTACTTCTAGGAAGCAGGAAGGGCATTTCGATGCCAGGTAATTGCTCAAGTTTGCGCCTATATATGCACGTCTTAGTATTGCCGTTGATACAAAGCTGTTTTATTAATTGTCGTTGCTGTTTTGTTTTGCAAATCTTCGTAGGTCTTTTCCCCCTCCAACTCCCAATTTATGCAACTTTTCTCTCTCTTTCCGGCATCACGTACCTTTTCGTTTCTTTCCTTTTCTTTTTTTTTTTGGTTCTTGAACGTTCCTGAACGACATTCATCGACTTTCATCTGCAGCTACGGCAACAAAGTGTGTTTTTCTGCTTTTCTATTAATATTATTACTTTTGTTCTCTTCGATTGCTTCGGGTTGTCACCATCGGATTTGCCTTCTTGAATTGGCTACAGTAAAGAACAGTACTACCTACTACCGGTGTGTGATCGAGGCTCATCTCCTTTGCTTCTGGCACAGAATCAGTTGGTTTTCTTTGCACGTCTTCTTTCTATATATATTTCTCTCATCTCTCCCAAGGACGTCAAGAAGAACATGGCCGAACTAATTTTGGGTTTAGTGCTTGGCCAAGTGGCCTCAATGGCGCTCCCTGTGCTCGCCAACGGCCTCCTTTCCGTCAAGCGCCCGCCTCGGGTCAACATCAACAACGAGCGACAGAAGGTGACGACTTGCCGGCCCGTAATCCCCTATTGCGCACCGGTGCCGTACACAGGTGGTCGCGTACGTGCGCTCTTTATCGGCATCAACTACACCGGCACCGGCAACGCACTGCGTGGCTGCGTCAACGATGTCCGCTCGATGCTCGGCACGTTGCAGCAGATTCAGTTTCCGATCAGCGAGTGCTGCATCCTTGTGGATGATACGAGCTTCCCAAACTTCACCGCGCTTCCTACGCGTGAGAACATTATTAAGTACATGCTGTGGCTAACGCACGACCTTCGCCCTGGGGACGTGCTTTTCCTCCACTACTCGGGTCACGGTGGTCAGACGAAGTCGACGCACGACTCGCAGGAGGAGTACGACCAAACGATGATCCCTCTCGATCACCAGCAGAACGGCAGCATCCTCGACGATGACTTATTTCTCATGCTGGTGGCGCCGCTGCCACCGGGGGTGCGCATGACGTGCGTCTTTGACTGCTGTCACTCCGCAACGATGCTGGACCTTCCCTTCAGCTACATCGCCCCTCGCCACAGCGGCACACGGGAGCAGATGATGCAGGTGCGCCGCGACAACTTCTCCAACGGTGATGTGATTATGTTTAGCGGATGCACCGACGAAGGCACCAGCGCGGACGTGCACGGCGGCGGTGGCACGGCGAACGGCGCGGCCACCCTCGCCTTCACCTGGTCCCTACTCCACACACAGGGCTTCAACTACCTGAACATCCTGCTCAAGACGCGGGAGGAGCTGCGTAAGAAAGGTCGCGAGCAGGTACCGCAGCTCACCAGCTCGAAACCGATCGACCTGTACAAGCCTTTTTCACTCTTTGGGATGCTCACGGTGAACCAGACGATGATGTCGCAGTGCGTACCGCAGCAGTACCAGCGGCGGCCGCCGAACATGCCGCCGCCACAAGGCGGGTACCCAGCCTACATGGCCCCGCCCCCGCAAGGCTACCAGCAGCGGGGTGGTCCTGGTGACAACAAGAACTACAATAATGGCAGCAACATGGTGCAGGGGGTTCCGATGGAAAGGGTGCCGCACGCGACGTACAGCTCGCAACCGCAGTGCGGTGGGTATCCGCAGTATCCCCCCCCGCCGAACAGGCCGGGGCAGTACTACTCGTGTCCGCCGGGTCCGCCGCGTGGACCGCCGGGGCCGCAGTACAGCAGCCTGCCACCGTCGCAGTACTCGTACAACCCGAACCCACCTTCTTTGTGAAGATGCGTTTTTTTTTTCTCCTGGGCATGCTCTGTAGACTAGGGCGGGAAGAGAAAGGGAGTGGGGGGTGGAGGGAGTGGCGCGCGGTTGTGAATTTGAATGTTTTTCTCCTCGCTTCCTCCTTTTTAATCTGTGTGTTCTACACTATTCAATTGTGCATATATTGAAGCCGTAGAGGTGGGAACTCGGGCTCGTGCTTTTCTTCTCCATCCACTCCGAGTACGCGCACATGAAATGACTTTTCGATGCTTTCCGAGGGAGAAAAACAACAGCACGAATCATAATGCAAAAATTAATTGGCGTTAGAGCACGAAATGCCTGGGAAGCGTACCCGCTTGTGGTGCATCAGGAAGAGACGCTGACTCTCGCCGCATATCAATAACAACGAAAACTGTCTGGGAGGTGGGAAGGTGGGACAGTTTTGATGCTCTTGTAGAGTTGTGGCTTCACCTTCGCCTTGCATCTCACCCTCTCGCCTCCGGCGAAAGCCGAGCGGGGCGCGAACGGATGTAATTTATGACAAAAAGCGGTTAGTTCTCGTTTTCAAGACCTGCTGACTCTCCATGATGATACAGCGAAGGATCTGCCCAAGGAAAGGGAAAACTTGACTGTTGTGTTCAACGAATGATGTTGGCGAAAGCAATTGTTGCTGTTGGCGGCGGAACTGAATGATTCTCCGCCCCATCTACGTGTCTCTCGTTGTCGTCTCTGTGTACCGGGCTTCGTGCCACGTCGCTTCTCCACTACAACGTGGTAGTCGCTTGTGTGTCTCTTGACGGTCGCTTTGCTGACGAGGCACATAGGCACACCTACAAGAAAAGCATTTATTTATCAAAATATATATCTCTCCTCTCCAGCTGATTGCACAGCTGCGTCTCAGCCTAGATCGAAAGGAGAGAAAAAAAAGTAAGAAGACAGCGCAGCGAAAACAAAAACAAAATATAAAATGCTGCGGTGCTGCGTGGCAAGTTATCGCCTAGCGCTGCTTGGCCTGGGCATCTCGGCGAGCGCCTCACCACTAACTGTAGGGTGCCGTGTGGGTCACCGCTGGTGCAGCACAACGAGTCAAAGCAGCGAAGAAAACAGCCCCTCTTCGAAAGCACAAGAGGAGGGAGAGAAGATGAAGAAGGAGTCTATCGCAGAGGACGGCGGCAACGCGGTGGTCACCGGCGAGGGGGCGGCGGCCGGGTCGGCCATTCAGAAGCGGCATAAAGGCTTTATTGAGCCGTCCAACGACGTGGTGATGGAGATGGCTCGCAAGGCCCTCGCCCGCGAAGGCCGCGACGAGATCCCCGAAGCGATCGTGTGGAAGTGGGAGACCACGGCCCCACCCATCTTAGCGCAGGGCAAGCAGAATATCTACGACATCACGGATGACATTCCCGAGCACGTGAAGCCATTCTGGTACCACGAGTACTATCAGCAGCGAGAGTACTTCCGCCTGCAGCGCGAGAAGCGGCCGCTGAAGGAGCGGGTGAAGTTGTGGGCGGGTGTGCTGTCGGCCATGGTGGTTGCCGGAGCGGCCCTCACCCTCTTCCGGGTCTGGGTGGAGCAGCCGCGCGAGATCCGGCAGCTGCGCGAGGAGCTGTTGCAGAACACCTACGGCCGTGTGCTGGAGCTGGCCGCGGGCCACGGGCAGAACATTGGTGCCTACCCGTACGCGGTGCACGAAGTGGTGCTGACCGACTCCAACCCGCAGCAGCTGCAGGCCCTGCGCTACCGTATTCCCCACACGGCCTACCCAAAATACGACGTGAAGCGCGTCCGCAGTGAGAGCTTGGACATCTTTAAAGATGGCGAGTTCGACTGCGTCGTGGACATGTTCGGTCTGTGCCACCTGCACGACCCCGTCATGGCGCTGCGTCAGATGCAGCGGGTGGTGAAGCCGAGTGGGATGATTCTGTTGTTAGAGCACGGCGCAAGCCCCTACCCGCCGGTGAACTGGTTCCTCGACTACTTTGCGCAGCAGCACAAGGTGAACACGCACGGGTGCAAGTGGAACTCGCCGATTCGCGCATACCTGCAGGAGTCGCGGCTGGAGGTCAAGGAGCTGCGGAACATGCACTACGGCACCACCTACTACGTTGTGGCCTACCCGGAAGTGCTTGACGCCTTCAAGGACCGCGACGCGGAAGCCGCTTTAGAGAAGAGCAAGGCAATGTGAGCAGCTTGGGATTTGGGAAAAATGGGGGAAAAAGGGAATTTAAACATTAGCAAAGGCGGCAAGAGTACGACTGGAAGAGCTGCTTCTTTTCTTTCTTTTTTTTCTCTTTGTGGTTTGCAGATAGTGCCGCACTTTGTCGTGCGCTCTTGTTGAGAAGTTGTGTGCTAGCCCAGCTGATCCTTTCCCCTTTGCGGCGCCAGTGGAAACTCAAAACATGTCGAAGTCGAAGAAGAAGAGATAAAAAGGCGTTTGCCGGCGCTGGTTGTTGTAGTTGCGCGAGTTGCTTGGCTACCACAAGGGCGAAAGCAGTTGTGCGCGGCTTCTTGTCGTTGGTTGCTGTTGATCTGCCGTGGGGGAAGTACGGGCAGTGGAAATTCGGGTTGTGAGCTTGCATTGCGTGTTGTAGTGGTGAGTTGCGTTGCCAACTTGGTAATTCGGAAAGAAAAGGCTTCGCTTTTCCCGATCATTTCGACCATTTTTTCTTTTCTTTTTTCTTGGAGTGTCGCGTCGCTTTTTGCGTTGCGTACTCGCTTCACACTAGCAACTACTAATCCAATACACGCTAAAGAAAAAAAAGGAAAGGAAAAGGCAGGAGACGATCGTGCAGAGGCAGTGTCGAACAGCCTGCTGGGGTTTTTTTTTTGGCGTCTGGTAAGAGCGTGAACAGGCTCGTGGCGCTCTCTCATAAGCGGCTTCTATTCTAGAGCAAGTAGGGTGACGTGGGCCTCTAAGCTCCCCTGTTTCTCCTTACGAAGTGTTGCGTCACGGCATAAGCGCTGCTTTCGTACATAAATTAAAAGAAACGGCGTCCGCTCGCAGTGCTGAATGCGGCGGAATCGCCTGTTGATGCTCACGGCGTCCTCGTTTGCTCCGATTCATGTGCACCTCAGTTTCACTCCTACTATTTCTCCTCTTCTTTTACGCACACTTCACGGTTCTTCATGTATTCATTGCCTTGATATATAAATGCATGCACTGTTCGTGACGTGCAAAAGACATTCGAATAACAGGTTTCTCTCTCTCTCGTTTCTACTATCCTTCAGGCTTTCGGCTACAAGGCAACACGTGCAAACTCCATTCCCACAAACACACACAGACAGACGCAGGCTCAAAATAACAGATTTTTTTTTCCTCTTGTCAGATTTGTCGTAACGGGAAGAAGAAAAGAAGCGGAGTTTTTTTGCAGAAGCATGCAGACATATTCGTGTTCTGCGGAGCATCGGACCATACCCATCACCTTCGACCCAGTCACCTCCACCCCTTATTCATGGACGCATGGAAACGAAGAAACCACCAACTTTTGTCTGACGTGTTTCCGGGACTCTCTTCAACCGAATGCGTCGTCTCCTCCACCCTCGCTAGCCGATGTCCTGCACAGTACGGTGGCGGTCATGACAGGACTGACTCAGCAGTGCCCTTCAGACATTCAGAAGATTAACTGCAGCACGCACAACGCAGTTCAGCGACGGTGGCTGTTACGCACACTCGACCCATCCCTTGGTGCGGCCGGCCGCTTCTCAGAAAATGATGCCGTATCGAGCCAACAAAACGTTGGGGATCTGTTGGCAAACATCATGGCTTTACTCTATCGCTACCTGGTGAACTACACTGACGCTGCAACCCGCAACGGCTGCCGCACCGTTTTTGTGGAGCTCGTGGTCTTCGTGTTCGCTGGATGGGAGCTGCTGCTCTTCGCAGATGACGCACATCAACCTACGCGTCAGTACTTGCCGCAGCGCTCGTCACCGTTACCGGCGCAAACGCATGCACCTGTGTTACTCGGCGAGGGAAATGCATTGTCATTCTCTATTGGCCGCGATAAATCGTACGACGATGCTGCCCAACGCGAATCGCACATCCTAGACCTGGTGGAGACTAACGGCGAAGCGGGTGTCTTTCTATCTCCCATTCACTATTCTGCGATCTTTCAAGCAGTGAGCAAGGTAGCTGGATGCTTTATCGATGTGATTATTGAGCTCACTTCGCTTCCGAACGCCGGTGAAGCACCACGCGACGGAGACGAGCAGCAACAGCGGCAGTGGAGGTACTTCGTAGCGGCATCTTTACTCCGCAAGGTGGTCCGTCAATCGCCCCTGTTCCGTCGCGTGATGCGGATCTATGGTCACGTCTGCGCGGTGGTCCGGCGGGCACTTCCCTCGTTCATTGAACTCGCTGAACGCGGGCTTTCTCCCCATGCAAGAAAGCGACGACGAGATGGAGGTAGCGTAGTTGGATCTGACACGGCAGCGGGCGAGAGTCACTCTTCCCTCGCATTGCACCTGCTTTTAGAGGCGATATCGACAGTTCTCTTTGAGCAAAAGGACCACCCAGCCCCGCAGTACCGTACTGACATGCATTTCATCGCCTCCCCGACTTCATGGAACGCATCTGCGCCATCAGACGGCACGATTCTTCTTTCGTCGCTGACTCGCTTGTTGAAGCTGCCGTTACTGCCGCCACGGCTGACACCTCTGGTACTGACCATGTTGCGAGAGTTTCTTCGTTTGCCGGAGACTCGTAAGGGTCTTCTGCAGTGGTCTTGCGGTGACATCATCACTACGGCCGCCTCCGCAGACCACCGAGAACCACAGGAGGAGGCAGAACTGCTGCAAGGAGAAGGTACAGAACTGTTGACACATTACGCTGGTTCCCCCTCGCCTCGCCTCCCCGTCGATCTCGCCGTCATCCTCGCCCCTCTTTTGCTACATCACACCGGCGAGGTGGTGGGTCTCACCTGTGCGGTCGTGACGGTGTTGCTGGACGGCCCGATCACCGACGACAGAAGCGTCGCCGCGGCGAGCTGCGCTGCCTCTGTCGCCGTCGCACGGCACGTGGAGAACTACGTTGTGCACGCTGTTGAAACCACAACAAATGAGACACGTGATTTGTGTGCGGCGCTGGTGAACTTGCTGGAGCTGGTGGCGACGATACTGGAAGCCGCAGAAGCAGCAACAGCGGTGGAGGCGGAGGAGGAGGAGGAGCAGGCGGCGCTCTGTGGGACCTTCTCATCCCTGGCATGTCAGAGACCGTCAGATAAAGGAGCAGTGATGCGAGCAGATGCTATGCAGAGGGGCAGCGACATGTCAGCGCGCTGGCGCGTTGTCTTTCACGTCGCGCACATCGACATGAGACTGTTTGAGCAGCTCGTCTGCGGCGCCGTCTTTCGACGTGCGACCCGCTCGCCGCGGATTTGGCACCCCGATGGGCCACAGGGGATGGTCAAGGACGATGACGCAGACAGGGGTGTCGACTGGAACAGTGTGGTGGCGTACGCGATCAGCAGTTTGCTGGATCGCCCGTTGGAGGTTGTGGCAGCAGCCGCAGCAGCCGCACCACCTACGGCGACGGCCCCCGCGCTGACTCTCTTTGCCTACCTCTGCTTCCTCAACGCGCTGGCGACGAGCATGGGAGCTGCCGTGCAAGCCATCTGGCCAAACAACCTGATGCGCGTTGTGAACGCCATAACGGAGCGTGTGGACAAAAAGTGTGCGGGTACCGCTGTCGTCGGTAGCGCTGATGCTCTGGTGCCCCTGAGCCGTGTACTACAGCCTCGTACACATCTGCTGCTCATTCGTGTCGTCGCGGCCTTTCTTCCCTACACAAAAACTGCACTACACCACGTGGCGCTGCTGTTGTTGAACGACCTCGTGCACTCGCACGGGCTCGCCTCGGCGCGGTCGTCGGAGCTGATGGTGCGCAGCACGTTCCACTGGGCAACAGCGTCAGAGACGGAAGAGGAGGCGGAGTGCCGCTGTCTTCTCTCTATTGCGACCCATCTGTTTCAGAGTCACAATGCGCTAACAGGCTCTTCTCGATGGTCCAGTGACGGTGTCAACAGCGGCAACGAAACCTGCCCTTGCTGTAGGTACCACGATGCATGCGAAGGAAGCGCGGCGAAGGAGTTTGCCTTTCTTCACAGGCTGTGTGCGCCACCCCCAGAAATCACAGCACGCAATCTCCTGGATGTCCTGCTGGGCCTCCACCCAGAGTCTACGTTGTTGCTCGATGCTCGTGCAAGCTTCGTTCAAACTATCATGGGGCACGCGCCGCTTTTGACTCCATTGTCGGATGCGGGGGCAGAGGCGGCGGACAGAATGCACGGCGGCGATCCTTTGGCTTTCATTTCGGTAACCACCGTAGCTCAGTTAGTTGAAGTGGCGGATGTCGACGTTAAAGCGGAGCTGCTCCTCGGCCTCAGTAACTGGGTGCGTGCGTCCTGTGTGGGAGAGGGCACCGTGAAGGGGATCGTGAAGGAAGCCGTAGAGTTCCTTGTTGACCAGGCAGGGGAGGCAGTGCAGCGAGTATCTGGCGCATCGACTGGCATCTCTGAAAAGTCGAATGATAGGCTTGCTTTACTGAAATTCCATCACGAAAACGACAGCGATGAGGGCGATGAGATCGACGGAGTAGCATCGTCGTCGCACGCTAGCGTGAAGCACGAAAGTGTCTGCCGCGCACTGCAGCGCCTTCTTTCCGTTGTCGCAGTCTGCCTCCGCTGGTATGGCGCGGCGCCGGATGACGAGCGGATTTCTTTTGCGCTTCGTGGTAGTGGTGATCATATTTCTGCTGTCGACGGGAACGAGGTGCTCCGGTTGCGGGCCCTGATGCTTTATGCGGAGGAGTCCTTTACGTTTCGGCATGGATTGTGCCACTTTCTGTTTGCGGTGGCGTCTCGTCATCACGTCAACGTGCACCGGCTTCTGGTCTTTCTGAATCGGCGATGCGGTTACCCGCGCTCGCAGGCCGCAAATGACCATCCACTGTTGTTCCCTGGACTCGGAGCTGTGGTGATGCTCGGCGTTCTTCTGCATCTCTCCGAGGTGGAGGCTAACAGCACGGAAGCGAAGCAGGCACCAAAAGATCCCTTTATCGATTTTCTACACGACACTGCGGCGTCCCACTGGCTTACTTCAATCTTTACGGCGCGGTGCGACGCTGAGGAAGAGGAGAATCTCACCAGTACGCCTCGTGTGAATAACGTGTGCTGTGGTGATCTGCACTTTGATATTCCTTGTGATTGGATGGGCCCGCTCGCGTTGGCCGTGTTTCCTGGACAACTGCTTCTAGCTTCACTGTTTCGCTGCGCACGCGCCGCGGATGCCTACCGTACCGCTTCGAGTGACGAGGAAATCGAAGGCATCGAAACCCCGCAGTCGAGAGAGAGTTCCCTTCTCCCAGACGACTTCCATGACGAAGGGACAGGAGCGACGGTGAGCGGCCTTGACTACATCTTCACCGAGGCGCAGCATCAGGTGCAGCAGCATCGTCGCAGCAGCCAGCTAGCTGGGAAAGCATCAGATCCGACTCTCCTGCGCGCCGGGAGCGTGCGGTACACGGCAGAGAGCCGACGCCTTTTCTTCAAGTCCCTTTTGTCGCAGCACCTCACTCCCTTCATTGCCGCGTCGCTGCGTGCTCCTGCTACGCCATCCGTGCGTGTCGCAGCGACAGACCCGTGCACTGCCCACATCCTCCGTCTTGCGTGCATTTCTCTGTGGTTCCTCACCTCCACCGAGGCCAGCGAGTGCGACGCCGTATTGACGCAATACGCCTTGCGACACGTGCGTCTCTGTCTGTGTCTCACAGAAGCAGAAGTAAAAAACAGCTACGTTGCCGTGTCGAATTCGGGAAAGGAAAGTGCTGCAGACGGTGATGGGGGTGGTGCGGGTCGTGTCGCACGCGTGCGCGGCCTCCCACGCCTCAGCTTGCTGGTGCTGCAGCTTCTGTACCTGCTGCTCATGCGCAGCAACCGATCTGCCGTCGCAACCGCGGACAGAGACGCCATCGTCATGTTTCTGTCCGCCGCCAAGGACGCATCAGCAAGTGCAGGTGCCTGGTCGAAGGAAGGCAACGTCGAGGTGCACGTGATGGCGGCGATGGTGGAGGTACACATGCGGCGCCTTCCTGACGAGCGGAGCCTCTGCGCAAATGAAGCGGAGTCGCTTTGGTGTGACTATATCAACCTGCTTGCTTTTCGAAAGCAGCCGTCGAATTTCATTGGCTCCGTTGCCCACCGCCGGCGTGTGTGGGTGCTCCTCGCCGGGGTCGAGGGTGTGCTGCGACTGCACCCCGGTAGGAAGTCTCCCGTCTTTCTTAACGATTCAGCGTCGGTGCTGGGTGCGTGCAGTGACCGGAGTCCACCGCGCGGCGACGTCGACGACGCGGAGCGGGTCCCCGTGTTGCTCCTCTTTGATTGGTGCCATGACATTCTCATCCCTGCCGCTTCCACCACCACTTTTTTTGCTGAGCCGCACAACAACGACTTGATGGCGAGCGAGGAGGCGCCGGAGGTGATGGTAGTGGCGGCTCGCATTGTGTACCTGTTGCTGCACCGCTGTCCGTCTTTGATAGCGGCCCAGGGTGGGCTGGATGACTTCCTGGACTCCTACTGCTCTGGCGTGGCTGCCGTGAGCGACCACCATTCATTTCCTTCGCCGCAGCACCTCGTGGCGGAAGGTTGGGTGCTGGCTGCGCTGTTGGGCGTCGTGTTGTGCTTTCCGCATTGGCATGTGCACGTGCGCACGATGGAGCTGCAGGTGGTGTGCTTCCTGCGGCGGCCAGAGGTCTCGCAGCTGCTGCAACGGCCCGAGGCTGCACCAGATGGCCTGTCTCTTGCTGCGCCTTCTCGCCCAGGCGTGGTCACCGACGAGTTGAAAGGCGAAGTTGCCGGAGGCGACGCGCCGCTGCCAAGCCTGGAACTGCGACTTGTCGTTCTCACGTTGATTGATGTAATTCGCACGTATGAACGGAGGGTGGCACGCAATGGTCGGCTGTCCCCCATCTCACGTGGACCTCTGCTACCTGTCGGAAGCTACGTGCCGTCCGCCCCTGCGGTGGATCACGTGAGTTCTACTCGGTGGTGGACACCCTACGCCATTCCCACTACAGAAAGGAGCAGCAAGGAGGGCATCCCTCTGCTCCTCATCTTCAATCAATTGCTGTGTTGAGAAGTGCGGCATGTACTTGGTTTATTTGTTTGTTTCCTGCGCTGCTTTCTGCGACTGCTATTCATTCTATGTCTACTCACTGTAAAAACTAATAATAATAATAATAATAGGGATAACAATGCTCATGGTAGACTTAAGAAACCGTTGAAAAGGTGAGCCCATATCCTGCGCGCATTTCCCACCTTCTCAGTTCGCGCGCGCGGAGTACTTGCTTCTGTCGGTGCTGCCGTCCTTCCTTTCCAAGTTTGTCGTCGGAGCGTCTTCGTGTTCCTCTCATCATCCTACGCCTTTCTCTTCCTCGATCTGACATCGCATCCGCTTGCGTTTCCTATCCATGTTGATCCTCTCACTACCCGTGCACGTCACGACGAGGTCTACAACTGACTGCATCCAGTGTTAGTGAAAAGCAGTGGGAGGAGGAGGAGGAAGAGAGAAAGGAAGGCAACAAAACCGATAAACGTGTGTGTGGGCGTGCATCGTCTTTGCGAAGGTTTGCTCTACTTTAGAAGGAGCTTGATGTTGTTGTTTTTGCAAGGATGACCTCTCCTCCTGCCGATAAGCATTTACACTGATTCGTATTTCTTTGCTTTCACTTTTATTATTATTGTTGTTTTTTTATTTTAGTTTTGTGTTTCGTGGAGTTATCATGTCAACGAAATTTCTTCGACGAACATGTCCGCTGTTAAGCCTGCGCTCCGTCTCTACAGCTGCACCGCCGCGCGGCAGTAATGGTGCTGTCGCAGCTCCATCCCCTTCCCCATCCACATCCCAGGATCAGCAGCAGCAGCAGCAGCATCAATCCACAGCAACTCCTCTTGCCACCAGCGACCAGCTCTGGGAGTCCGCAATGCACGACTTCTACGCCGAGTATGAGCGCTACGCACAAAACAGCTCCAATCTACTCACCACGACACGCGCGGCAGAGTTGGCGATGCGCCGCTGTCTCTCCAAACGGCGTGCCGCAGAGGCTTTGGAGGTGTACGAAATGCTGTGCCGGTGTGGTTTGATCGGCATCACGACGTTCTCGAGCCCGTCTTCTTCTTCTCCCTCAGCGGCGTTCGATACGTCTAGACGGACCGCTGATACATCTGCAGCTTCGTTAGATCAACTCGCTCAAGAGGCCCTGAAGCACCTGCCGCATCGCAAGTGCCAGTACTCGGTTCTGTCGCTGCTCATGGCAGCTGAGGTCGGTAACAGCGCCTTCGTCAACTCCGTCCTCGTTTATCCAGATGATCGAAGGGAAGAGAGTAGCAGAAGGAATGCTTCAAATCGCTCGGACACTCCTCCTTCGATGCTGCTTCCGCACCTAGAGGACGTGTCTGTTGCAGAGCTAGCCCGCATCCGTGTTCACCAACGCCTTCACGCCCTTCACACCACTGGTCAGCTGCAGCAGCCCTTGGGCAAAGAGTACTGCCTCGTCGCAATGCACGAGCTGTGCGCCGACCCCTCTGGTGTGGCGTCAACGACTTCTCTGACGCTTTCAGCAGCGTCAACAGCGTCAACGCAACTGTGCAATGAAATCGAAGTAGGCCCCCTCTGTGCCCTCTCCCGATGCGTGCTGGAGCACCCCTTCACGTACGCCACGCCGTCCGCCGCATGGGCCCAGCGAGAGCTGCTGTGGGAGGCAGACATGTGCGGTGACAGGTGGTCGTGGACTTCAACAACAACGGAGACGACAGCAACGTCAACGGCGAGGTCCGTGCTGGAAGAAGCCCTTGCCCCCGCAGACGCGGAACGCTTAATGCACATCGACAACTTCGTCTGCCCCTATCGCGCACTCTGTCGGAGTTCGCTGGAGTTCCTCGACACGTTCGTGCCACATTGGGATGCGCTGTTCGTGCGCAGAGTGGCGGAGACGCTGGTGCTGCCGCCGGAGGCACACGTAATCTTCCCTGCGAACTACAATAGATCTCGCGCTGCCGCTGCAGCTGCTGCTACTCGTCGTGGTGTTGCTGGCGGACAAGATGTGCTGCGCAGTACCACAGGATGGTCAAAGAACGCTGTTTGCGCGACCTCGACGTGGACAGACGCATCGGTGCATCAGCTTTTTGGTCCCCAAGACGCAGCAGGCAGCGATGTGTGTGTCGCTCATTCTTCTACCTCCCCCGTGTGTCGAGCCGAAGGTATCATAAAGCGACGCGTTCACCACGATGTCGTGGTGCCAGATGCCGCCTACGTGTTGCACCGCTTCCACCAAATTCGGCAGCTCGCCCGCCACCGCGAGGTCATCGTAACCCATGCGGTTTTCTTGGAGCTGGTGGCGGCTGCCTCGCGCACCGCGAACCCGCTGCGCTTTCACGCACGCCGGGTGCTGCGTGAGATCATGTACGCCACAACCACGGCGGTGACCGCGCGGGCGGAGAAGGCGGTACTCACGAAAGCACGCACCGCGCCGCGCAAGCACCCCAGAGCCACGTGCGGGTTTACCCTCCTCGGGCTTCAGGATGAGCTGGCGTTGCTGGAGCACTGTCCGGAGCGCTTTTTCCTGCAAGCGCACGCGGAGGCGAATGCACCCAGCAGCGTCTCTGTCGTGTTGGTCACGAAGCAGCTGGAGCGCATGATCGCTGCGCATGACCGCGGCGAAGAGTTTGCGGTGCAGAGTTCAACAGATGCTGACGTTGCGGATGGCGGCGCCGCCTCGACGACGACCATCAGTGCCCAAACTGCGCAGCTGAACGTGGACAGCTTGGTTAGTCATTTATTAGAAGGCAACGTCGGTGATGCCTCGCTGCGTCCTGTGCCCTCGTCTTCCAGTAAGCGGGCCGAGCCACTCTTCAAGAATCGCTCAGGCAGGCACTGGGCCCGGTTGCCCGCTTTGGTGGCGACGACGAACGACGATACGAGGGCGGCTGCGTTTGAATTGGGTCTCAGCATGTACCCGCCCGCCGGTGTTGCACCGTAAATAGAGAAAAAAGCCAAGTGTTTTTCTCTCCTTGTTGATGCCAGAGGGGGGAAAAACGGAGAGTTGCATTCGGGTGCTAGCATCTTCTTCTTCTCTTTTGCAATCAAAACTTCTGTTTTCTTTTTCTGTATTTATTCGCTTTCAGGACTCGTCTGTACGGACACTGTAGCATCTACTATCGTTCCTTTCATTCCGCTTTACCTTACCGAGCACGGAACGAACAACAAATACGTTTGCAGCAACGCAGCTCTTAACGAGTTGAACGCAGAACGAAGAGGAATCAAACGGCGCTTTCGCTCTAGCGAAGCCGCTTGACACGCCTCTGGGTTCCCGCCTGTGGATCTCCTCCTTTGTTTCCGTGGTTGTTGTTGCTGAATGCGAAGCAACGTTGTTACTTTTGGCTGAAATCGAAGGAGGGAACGAGGAGCGATCAGCGAGCGAGGAATTCTGCTATATACACAAATTTTTGATATTTATTACCATCTCTCTCCCTCCCTCTCCCTCATTGCACCCCTGCCCTCTACTGTCTCTCTCTCTCTCTCTGTGTATGTAGCCCTAAGTAGTTCAGTATTAATAGAAAAAGGAACGCTAGCCATTTTCTTTTTCCCTCCTTGCTGTCGCCTCGTCGCAACTTCCGCCAGTGGCCGTATATTTATATTTATTTGTATGGTACGACGTTAAAAGAAAAGAAAAAAGAGATAATAAAAGGAAGAGAACACAGCGAGACACCATCATGTTCCGCCGCACCTTCGCCACAGCCTTCCAGGCGACCCGCGCCGCGCGTGTATCGCTCGTGATCAAGCAGTTAGAAGGTAACGCGCCACTGACGAAGAAGGACAAGCCGGTCAACTCTTGGGCCGATGAGTTCATGAAGCCGCCCCAGTCGGATGAGATGACGAAGAAGTACGGTCGCTACGCCAAGTACTCCGACCCCGCCCTGTGTGACGTGGATACGTCGGAGGAGGTAGTGCTGAACACGTACCCCGACGGCGCCGCGCCGGGCCGCATCGAGACCACTGCGGGGGTCGCGCTGAAGGACTTCGACGCGTCTATGTGGGATGAGGAGTTCTTCCGCAAGCACATCCTCAAGCCGAAGCTCGCCGACGACCTGCAGGACCGCGCGCGTGTGACGGACTACGCGCTGAACTCGGCCATGCTCGGCTTTGTCATTCTCATGGCCCGCTACGCCCTGCTGCCGCTCTGGTACGTGGGCCAGCCCGCCCTGTCGATGGTCGGCCAGATGAACATCGAGGCCGAGGTTGGTGCCCTCGATGAGAAGGAATGCAAGACGGTGGTGTGGCGCGGTAAGCCGGTCTTCGTCTACCGCCGCTCGGCTCGTCAGATGAAGGAGGTGACGGAGACGCCGATGTCTGCCTTGAAGGACCCGGAGACCGATGAGGCGCGCTTCCCTGACCAACGCGAGAAGGCCGTCGTGATTGCCATCTGCACCCACCTCGGTTGCGTGCCGATTCCGAACGAAGGACTCTTCAACGGGTTCTTCTGCCCCTGCCACGGCAGCCACTACGACCCGTCAGGCCGTATCCGCCAGGGTCCGGCGCCGCTGAACCTCGAGGTGCCGCCGTACCGCTGGATGGATGAAAACACCATCTACATGGGCAAGCTGTAAGCCACACGTATGCGTACATTTATACTTCTGTGTGTGCTGTTAGATTTCTCTTCTGTTGTTGATGGGTGTCGTGTCGGATTGGGTATGTGCGTGTGTTTTTTCTCTCTTTACAAATTAGGAAGCTTACAACTTATTTTAGCTACTTAGTATATCTTTCTCTTTCTCTCTCACCCTCTTCTCCGATTTACGCTCGCCAATTCCGCCTCTTTCTCTGTTTTCCTCAAGAAGATGCCGCTCGTGCTCCCGCGCTTGCTGTTCTGTTCGTGAAGGAACGAGAAGAGACGAGGTCGTTGTGGAACTCGATACGGATGCGACAGCAAAGAAAAAGAACACGATCAGCACAACGACTTTCCCTTTCCGCCCACGGTCGTTGTTAGCAGCTCATGTTCGTTTACATGTTTTGGGTCACCGTTTTTGTTTGTTTTTGCTGTTTTTTCATTCTTCTTCCATTTATTGGTTTATTGCAATGCGCCCGTGCAACGGCGACGACGGTGTCGGAGGGCGAGGGAGAAAAAGAAGAGCGTTGGAGAGTGGAGGCGGAGGGAAAAGAGAAGATGGAAGAAAACAAAAGAAAAAACGTTTAGATGTGCGTTTGAGTGTGCGCGAGCAAACGCCGGTGTGTGGACGCGCAGTTCGAGAAGGGGAATAGAAGCCGCTGTCTCTCTTATCCTTTTGGCTCATTGCTCCCGTATGAACTGGGCGTTTTCTTTCTTTCTTTTTCCGTCTTCTCTTCTATATTTCCTGGTAGTGGTAATTCATGGTTCATGTTAAGTGTAGCAGCACGTATCCGTGCATAAACAAAAGTACGACAGTACCAATCGTTGCCGCCTCAGATGTTGTTGGTGGATCGCAAAGCGTCTCGTTTCCTTTTTCTCTTCTATCTACCCTTCGCCTTGCAGAGGGTAGCCTTTTGCTCGAGAAGCAAAGAAACGCGCAAAGGGCAACGGAGCACGTCGCCAGCGACGTGTCTTCAAAGGCGCCTTTTTTTCCTTCGCAGATGAACGTTCTGCGTCGGTGTTTATTACTGATGTGAATTGTGGAGCGAGCGGCAAAGACTGTCGTGCAAGCTATACACAATAGAAAAAAGATGTTCAGCCACGCATGCAGTGCTGACTTGTGTTCCATATCACCTCTCTCTTCTGTTTCTTCTCCTTCTACTCGAGATATGTTTTTTTTACTTCCTTTCCTTCCTTCCTTACTGGTTTTCAATTGGAGCAGTCATTACCTGGCTATCTTCCGCTTTCGTAGGGAAGTCAAACGCACTTTTTGTTTGTCTGGTAAAAGAAAGAGCGCTTGAGTTTCCTAAAGCTTCCTCACAGCCTCTTCTCAAAAATATATTTCGTAGCCGCACATCAACACCTAATAATAATAATTATCGCAATCGAATACTCGATATCATTTCTGTTCTTTGCTTAGCGGCTTTTCCTCTGTGATGAGCGACTTACGTTTGCCATTTCTTACGCGTTAGACAGCACAGCAAGCCCACTATTCACTTAACAGCACTCCGAGTTTCTAATCGATTTGTTATTATTATTTCTTTTCCATACGCTCTTCTGGCGTTTTTGCCCTAAACTCTTGCGTCATCTTTATGGTAGGTCTTGTACTTGATAGTTTTGTTTCACGTCTATCCACGAACACTTTGCTGGCAACCGCCACGTGCATCTGAGGCGGCCTCCCGCTTCTCTTTCTACTTTGTTTTTCCGTTATTTTTTTTTTTCTAATTGATTGAGGGGAGGACCTAGAAGCCGTTAAAAGAGAAGCAAAAGGAGCGCCGATTTTTTCAGAACTTCATCTTGGCGTTCTGCTCATCCTGCGTGTGCGTGTTTTCTTTGTTGGAGCACCGATGCGACAGCACAACCACGGCAGCGACATGGCCTCCAGAAGTTCACGAGAGTCCCTCAAGCGGCGGCGTGAAGGGTATCAGCTCTCCCTGCACCAGTACGCGGAACTCAAGCGACACCGCACGAGTTGCACAGAGGAGTCGCACCCGACGGAAGAGCTACAAGCAACGAATGCCAACTTCGCGCAGCAACACGATGACGATAGGCAAACACTGCGCGATGCACCCTCTCTAGTTGTCTTAGCGACAGATCAAGGCTCAGCCGCCCTCGCATCCCGAACGAGCAACACCTTTATGCACACCAAGAATAATGGCTTCCCCGTAGGCACAGCTAATACGGTTCCACCGGCGTTGCAAACCAGCGGTGAAGTGGATCCCTATCGCCACCATGCAGCAAGAACTTCTCATGAACTCTCGCTGCAACTTCGACCTATTCGCATCGAAGTCGTGCGCGGCGACAGCGGCCGTCGCTGCTCCTTCTATCTTCAGTCCTCGTTTCTGTACTCGTGGCACCGCGGCAACCACTTCTACCACAGCCTGGACGGGGAGCAGATGGGACTGGAGCTGCACGAGACAGTGCTCTGTCTGGTGTCGGCCGTGCTCGCCCGACAGCCGCACGATCACGCGTTTCCTTTTCCCGTCTCTTCTCCCTTGTGGCCGCTGCAAAACCCCACAACAGGGGCCTTGATGTGCTACTCGGATAGGTTGGATTCGCCCGGTGGCGACGATTACCAGAAGCGCGCACACCTCCACAACGAAGAGGCAGCATCACCACCCAACACCCCTCTCCTCTTCTCTCCTCGATACGCGTACGAAGCGGCACAAGTGTCACGGCGACGATCACCCCCCACGTCCCCTGGCGCGCCATCCAGCGATATCGTCTCGCATCTTGGCAGCTGCAGCCCGGCCCTCTTCGTGGATTGTCTGTTGAAGTGTGTGCACGATGAGGCTGCCCTGCCCGACGATCACGGCTGGGTGTACCTGTACCATGGGCGTCACATCGCCACCGACGTTGGCCGCACGCGTCTGCTCCACGATCTTTTTGCACTGGGGTACTTCCCTCACAACGCGTCAGAGAATGGCGTGCAGTCAGCCCTATCGGTGTGCGTGTTTCACAGGTACTAGCGTGACGAGGGAACCGGTTTCCTTCCCCCCCCCTCATTTCTCCTCTCTCTGTGCCGCAAGGCCCATTTGTTGATATTCTGAAGTAATTATCTATCTACATCCATCTCTAGGTATTAAACCACCACGGCACCGCCTCTCTTTCGGAGGACCCTGTATTCACACGTAAAAGACGGGAAGAAGGTAGGGGAGTAATTAGGCAGTGAGGGTTCGAAACTCGCACAAGAAAAACAACAGTGGCAACGAAGTACGCCACATTTAGCGCCGACGTCGCGATCGAGTGCGTCTTTAAGACTTGTATCTCTCTCTCCCCCTCTCTCTCTTCGATTTGTGTCACTTAACAGCAACTATTTATTACTTCCCCCCCCCCCCAATCATCACCTGTTATTGCGTTTTAGCCCCAGAAGACAACGCAGTAGGAAAAGCGCTTTTCAAGGAGGCCAACGCGCTGCACCTATCATACTTGTTGCACCGGTAGCGATTATGATCCTTTTTTGTCCGTCACTCAATTCATCTTCTTAACGTCGTTCATTTTTTTTTTCCTGTTGTTGTTCTACCTCATCAGCCGTTCTTAAATTCCGATCGCGGTTCAGCCCGCATCGTTGGCGGGCGGGGGACGGAGCGTATAGAATCGGCGTCACGAGTTCAAAAGTATATGTCTGCTAGCGTATTTTTCTTTTTGCCTTAACATCGTTGTTTTCTATATACATAGGTAGCTGTTGTTGCTGGCGAGATGCGAAAAAATGATTCAGTACAAGGCTGTCGTCGTCCCCGCAACTGCTGGACTTCGTTTCTGCTAGTGCTTTTGCTGTGCTGCATGTTGCTCGTCGCAGCTGCGCGGGGCAAAGAGGTCCATCACAATTCAATACCGCACGCAAGCGAAAATGCTCATCGTGCTTCGGCGCTGGAGATGCCGCGAGCGGCGGACGACGAGGGTGTGTGTCCGAGTATGTCCTTTCATCTTTTCGTTGCCTCAGCGATGGGTCTCGCCTCCAGCACGCGGGCCCTTGCCACGTGTACTACGAAACCTTACAGCACCATCTTCGATGATCTGCAGTTGGCCCGTCAGGATCGCGAAGCCAGCGATACCCTCTCCTCCAGATTGTGGCGCCTCACCCACGGAAACTCCGAAGAGTTCGCTCTCTACGACAATGCGCTCGACTTCCTGTCCTTGCAGGCGGAGATGGGAGCGTGGGTGCGTGCAAACCGCACCGTGGGCATGAATCCGTCAGCTTACGAGGCTGTCGTGCGTGGTGCCGCCGCCGTTCTCGGTCTCAAAGCGAGTCTTTTGGAGAAACCGCTTGTCGAGATCCCTGCACGTCTTGCGTCGCTGTCGGATGTTGGGCAGGTAAACTGGACGCTGAGTCTTACGCAATGCAGCAACGACAGCAGCTGCATCCAGCAGGTTACGCAAGACGCGTATCGGCTTCACGCCAACGCCTCACTACGAGCGGCACCCCATATGATCGTCTCCAACGCCACCTTCACCCGGGCGCGCAAGTACTACGCGCAGGCGCTGTTTCCAGGCTCGATTGTGCGGTCATTCCAGCTCGACCCGGCGACGACACGTTACAGTTTCGATCGCAACTTGCGGGGGCTGCTGCGCGCGGTTCAGCAAATGTGGGACGGTGTGACACGCGAAGCAGAAGCAGAGTCAAAAGAATCAGAAAGAAGGGGGGAGGGGGACAGCAGCAGGGCGAGTTCTATCCCGGGTCCTTACTTGCCTTTTCTGCGAGAAACCGACATCACAGGCCCTGAGCGACCGGAGACGAAGCATCTCACCTTCACGGACCCCGCCTATCCCCGCCACTTGCGGCACTCGGGGGTGAGTTTGCAGCCGCTGCAGCGGATTCTGCCGACGGCAGTGCTCTACCAAACCAGTGCGGATTGCACGAGCTGCGGCCTCTTCGACCGCGCCTTTGATATTCTGCCGGCAGTGTACAAGCGCCTGTGTAACCACAACGACGGGAGCATCGTCAGCTGCAGCCCCATCACTCTTTTCATCCGCACGACGCACGTGCGGTCGTTTCAGATGCTGCCCTCCATGGAGCTGTACGCCCGCCTGGCCTACTCGCGGAGGGCCGTGCTGCGTTTGGCGGACCTCAGCCTGCGGCAGGATCAGAAGAAAAACCTGCACGACACTGAGGATGGCGATGACACTCCGAGCGTTGGCGGGAGCGCCTTCTACAGCGTTGAGATGAAGTACGGAAAGTGGAGTGCCGGCATTGAGGATGAGGTGCTTCCGCGGACGCAGTTTAAGCCAGAGTTTGTTCCGCTTCGTCTGCAGGCGAATGTGGCCACCGTGGAGGAGGCAGTGGTGAGCTTCATTACCGAGCTGGTGGGCAAGGGAGTCATTCAGTTCATCTTTTTGGACGCGGAGGAAGTCTCGCAGATCACGGCGGAGAATGAGCGGGTGAAGAAGATGCTGCGCGAACAGCAAGAGAAGCAGCAAGAAGATGGTGTGAATGGCACACGCGAAGAGCGAGACAAGGAGGCGATATCCAAAAACTCATCATCGTCTGACGCCACCGCCCCGCCGTCGCCCAACCCAGAGGACCACCCGCGATATCGCAAGCTGGTTAGCTTTGGAGACCTCGCCGCAAAACTTGTCGCCGCGCACACACGTGCCGTTTTTGGTGATGTTGGTCTCGTGCAGGCAAACCCCACACATCGCCGTGGCAGCTGGCGTCGTGGTGGTGGCAGTCTTAGCAACGCGGGTGGTGCCGCGGAGTTGTCCGCGCCTGCGCCGCCGCCGTGGTGGGCGTCGTCGTGGATGGTGCGCGTGCTCCGCGCTGTGTGGGACCTCCTCTTTTCCGGCATTGAGCGTCCCCTGTACCTGACGGTGTTTGCCCTGCTGTGTCTGTATCAGCGGTGGTGGAACCGCTGGCATCAGGTGTCTTACTGGTGAGGAGGCGGGCACCAATAGCGTTTTATTATGCTTATAATTCTTATTAAGGGTTCATACAGCCGTTCTACGTGTACATCTTGTCTCTTCATCGGCGCCTCCATGATTTCTATTCGTTTGCAATTACGGTTCTGTGGCCGCCCACCGCGAACACCCGACGGTGATCCTTGAAGCCTTCTCATCTCCGGCGCGGCGAAATCCGCGCATCGATCATATTTGTTTATGAAAAACATGGCTGCTCATGGATACGCTCTCGTGTTTTTCTCTCCCTCGTCCCCTCTGCCGCGTCGGGCTTTTCGCGCCATGTTTCTCTGGGTCTTCGTGGAGACGGGATGAAAGAAGATAAGAATAAAAAGTGTGCTACGTTCTATCAGCTCTCTTCACTGCCCTCTTTCCCCTCTCTCTCTTCCCTTTTGCGACGCCGCGTTACGCGCGACCCAGCAACGAAGGAAACTCAAAAGAAGAGCAACATGAAATATGTATATACCGCCTTGGAAAGACGCCCCAGCGTTTCGTTTCTGGGTTTTCTTTTTTGTGAACGCTTAATGTCGTCATTTGCGACATCTTACGGTGGTAAACTCCGCTTCTTCTTTTTGGTTGCTTGTGTGTGCGTGTTCGTTTGGTGTCTTTGGGGCGTTGCCAACGTATCTCCTTTTTTTTTTCCTTTCCTTCCTTGCGTCCTTGGCAACCCTTTCTTAAGGGAAAAAAATACGGTGCTAATCATAATAATGAGGATATGAGAATCATAACTGCACACCGGACGCTACTCAATAAAGTAAATTCAACGTTCATCACCACAGCTATTGGGGGAGATCTATGACGGGTTTTTGTTGCATACACCCCACAAAAAAAGAGAATGAAATCGGAAGTTCTTTTCCAGTATTGTCGTTGCTTACCTGCCTCCGTTGCTGCAGCTTCGTGGTTGAGGGTCACGTCTGTACCTCCTCAACTCTGTTACGCTGGAATGTACCAGCTCGCTTTCTTGATGTTCCCACAGTGCAACCGTGTACCACCTCCTCCTTTTACTCCTGTCTTTTTTTTCTTTACAACTACCTTTTCTCTCCTTAAAACAGATTCACATCTGTCCGTTCAGGTGTGAGCTTGTGTAGTGGAGCGTAAGCGCTTCCTGTATCATACTTTTTTTTTTGCTGTCTTTCAAGACTCCTTTCTAAGCTCCGAATACTTTCACGCCATCTTTTTATTATTATTGTTTTCTTTCCCCTCACAGTGTTCTGATTAATAAGTAAGCCTGCACCCGTACGTGTGTGTGTGTGTGTGTGTGTCTCAGCTTTCTTATACCCAATCATTTCTCAGTTTAAAGAGTTAAAGAGGAAGATGAACTCCCAATTGTCTCCTGCGTCCCTCGACGGCGGGGGTGCCAACTTCATGCACCGCGATCGATTTGAGGTGAACCAGTACGTGCGCGTGCAGGTATCCGCGACCCGCTTCGCCATCGGCGTGGTGACCTCCATCGACGAAGATCACGACAAGGCCACGGTGGAGACGCGCAACGGCTACGAGGTGACCCTGCCCATTTCGTCCCTGCACCGCGCCTTCTTGGTTGTGCTCGATCTCAACGGCGTGCTCGTGGCGCGTGGTCGCGGCAGCTTCATCCTGCGCCCACACGTGATGGACTTTTTGAAGTTTGTCTTTTCAAACTTCGTGGTTGCTGTGTGGACGAGCGGGTTGCAGCGGTCGTCCAACCCGATCATCGAGCACGTCTTTGGCAGTTATCGTGACCTCCTCCTCTTCACGCTGTTCCGCGATTCGTGCGTGTCGAAGGCGACGCCGGAGAACCCGTACGGCACGGAGAAGAACCTGCAGACCATCTTCGACCGCTACCCGCTGAGCTTCCACGCCGTGAACACGATCATCATCGACGACTCGCCCGACAAGTGCTCACACCCCGATATTGCGCTGTGCCCCGTCCCATTTAAGGACCCCGTCGCACAGAGCCAGGATGACGGCCTCTTGGAAACAATGGAGACGCTGCGGCAGGTGCTGCTGCTGGACTCCGGTGCGCCGCTGATCCTCGCGGCAGAGGAGCGCCTGCACCGCTTGGCGGAGCAGCAGCAGCAGCAGCGACACCGAGACGAAGATCAATCGCAGCAACCGCAACAGGAGCAGAGTGGCACGACCCCGCCCTCTGTCACCGCACCCGGCGCCTCCTCATCCAATTCGGAGCCGCAGCACTCGCCTGAATACCCCGGCGTGCCAGCAGACATGGAGGAGGTCGAGCTGTGGCGCACTCGGCTCTGCTGCGAGAACCTAATGGGCACGTGCGCACGCGGCGAGACGTGCCCCTTCAGCCACGACCCCGACGACAGCCGACCCTGTTCGCGCAAGAGCAACTGCCGTTATCACGGCTCGCGTTGGCCCAAGACCAGCGAGGAGGCGGAGCAAGAAGTGGCGCGGCGCCAACTGCGCGAAGCCAAGCAGCGGCAGCGCAAGGTGGAGCTCGAGCAGCGCCGACACGAACAACAGCAAGAGAAAAACAGCCGCCGAGGACAGCTGCGGGGCCCGACAGATCTGCTGAGTCAGCTACAGCAGTCCGTGGCATCGTCGTCGTCTTCGCTCCCTCTGCAACGCCAGCGGGGTGGGGGCGGTGGCGGTCGTCATCGCCAGGAACGGCGGCACCCCCGGCGCAACGACAGACGGGACGAGGATGCGTGGGGTGGAGGAGAAGAAGAAGCGCACGACAACACGATCCACGAACAGCAACAACAGCGGTGGAGCACGGCGACGGCAGGGAGAGGGTCCTCCCCCACGCAGGGATCGTACAACCTGAATGGGCCACAGGAGCGTAGCGATTGGAAAGGATCGACATCGTCGCCACACCCCACGGTGGGTGACGCATTTGGCGAAGCCTCGTACACACATCTAAACGGCAACAGCGGCAATAACGACAACCACCTCAGCTCTAGCTATCGACGGCTGATGCAGCACCACAACCAGAACAGCCTCAGCCACAACGCCAGCGCGGACCTCCGCCACGAGGCACACCCGCAATCTCACGAACAACAGCGACACGGCCAAGATAGCCAAGTTGCAGAATCAGTGTCTTTCTTCTTCCAAAATGCGACCACCACCACTATAGAGCCCTTCAGCACACGTCCAATCGCGCCATCGCCCCCATCCGTGCAGCAGCCTGCGATGCAGCCCTTCCCCGGGCCGCCCGCCTCGCTGTTCGCGGCGCCGTCAGGGCAAAATCAGAACTTCGGCACGGGAGGGAGCTATCGCGGGTTGCCGGAGCCGCCGCAGCCGCAGACCATTCACATTAGTGGAAGTTGTGGCGACTCGAACGCCGTTGTGAACCAGCTGCAGGCACTCATGCGGAAGAGCTAGCTGTGCGGTGTTCGTGATGATAGTGATGGAAACAGGAGGGAAAAAAACGTAAAAGAAAACAGCGGGAGTTTTTTTATTGTTCGAACGATGCAGGAAACGACAAGGTGAACGAGTGCGGTGGTGGCGGTTGGAAGAGGTAGAAAAGGGCCGAAGGCGACGAACCGACAGTTCGTTGGAAACGAAGGGTCCATAAGAGGGTATACCAACGAAATGGAGCGGCGTCCGCAACGACTGTGGCTTTATGGAGAGTCGTAAGGTCGTAGCGACGTGGACCGGAGTCAGCTGTGCTGCCTTTCTCGTCGATGTCGCGATGTAAACTTCATCTTCGCCGAGGTCTTCCTCCAGTGTCGGTGTCTCCTCCCTCCTCCTTTCCGTTTTCATTTTCTTGGTGCTGTTGCTCTTGACACATTTGGCTAAGCCTTTTCGAGATCGCAAGCAAAGCACACGTTTCCACCGCGTTGGCGTCTTCTTTCTTGGCACGCAAACCGTGTGTGCTGCCTATCCTCGTTCTCTCGAACTGTTCCCACCTCCCTTCGCCTATTAAACTGGTTTTCTTCTTCTTACTGTTATTATCCCCCTTGTTCTTTTTCGCCCCCTTTTCAAGAGAAGCCCCCACCACCATCGCTTGATCGGGCCAGCGATGATGTGATCAGTTTCCCGCTTCCTCAACGTTGATGATCGGACCCCCCCCCCCTCCCCAAGTGTGTGTTTGTATTATTATTTCCTTAACATACACCGCATCTGTCTTTTTCGTTGGCATTTCCTCCTTGAACGCTGCACCTCCGTCGCCCGATCATTTTTTTCGTTTGTTCATTTCCCTCGTTGAAGACTCGCAGCGGGCGTGTGTGTCTTCTTTACCCATCTCCTCTCTCTCTCTCTCTCTTAGTTTACGTAGCTTTAGCTTTAGTTTTTTTTTCATTTCTTTTGACCTTAGAGTCTTCTCTGACTCACAGCACTGCCTAATTCTATTTTCCTGTTATATATATATATATATGAGAAAAGGTCCGCCTTTTTGTCTCAAGCTAAACGAAACATACGAGCTTTTACGATTCGAACGAAAAAGCCATCACCGGCGAAGATCGCAATGAGAAGGGACATGCGCACACCCGCGCGTTTCTCGTTTGCGACGAATGCATACAGTGTTGCTGACCTGTTTTTTTTTTGTTTCTGTGGTCTTTTGGTGGTATTATCCGTGCTGCGCGTATTGGCGTGCTGTGATGCGAAGAGAAGATAAAAGGGATCTTGAGGGTTGCGACTACCGTGAAGCGGGTAAGGTCTCCAGCGGTAGTTAACAGCCGAAGTCAAATAGAAACTTCCAAAGAAGGACATTAATTCACAACCTCTCCTCTCCGTTTTCTTGATTTATCTTATCTTATCTTTTTTCTCCCTCTCCACTTTGGATAACCGGCCGCTGACAATTGTGCGTCTGTCTCTCTCTTTCTCTATCATTGTATTGCGTCAGGATTTGAAACAAGTACACCAACCAGTAGACTGCATGTGTAACTCACACTTCGTCAACAATAGTCACTGTTGTTGCTGTTGGTGGTTTGAGTGTTTTTTCCTTTCTCACGTAGCGCTACACATCTCTTTTATTTTCCCACCGTTTGCGACGCCTCAACTTTCTGCGCCTCAGAGGAACCACGATGCCCTGCACACTCAATCGCGTGCAAGGCGGCCGCGCGCTCCTTCTGCTCATCGCCCTTCTCCTCCTCTGCATCGGTTGCTGCCTCGCCTCTTCACGCCAACCGCACGCCGACGACGACGCAGGCGCCACCCACCCCTTCTGTAAGGCGGAGTTCGCCAGCAGCTACTTCGCCTCCATCGCCACGACGATGCCCATGGCGGATAACTCGCCTGTGGCCCAAACCGGCCACCTCTACGTCGATCAGGCCGCCGGCGCCGTGCGCATCGACCAGTTTTTTCGCAATCACCGCACGACGTTCTTGCTGGACAACCAACGACTGCGTGGGTTTTTATTTTTTGGCGAGCGTGACTTTCAGCGAACGGCGACCACGCCAGTGGACGATGCAAGCCGTGCAGACGACGGAGACGAGGGGGACGAGGTGCGACACCACTGTCACGTGTTTTATTTACCGAGCAGGGTCGCACCGTTCTGTGTACCGCAGAGCTACACCGTGGACTCGCGCCCGTCGTTGGTGCGTGGGGTGGCCGCCTCGCGCTTTACGGGCATGGAGGGCTACCCCGACTTGCCGCTGGTGGAGCAGAGCCTGTACGTGATCAACAGTTCCGCTTCGATTAATCCCGATGCGGATGTTTGCGACGCACCCCCGCCCGTGTCGTTTATTCCGTGGCGGTTGGAGTGCCGGGCGCGGCCGGATCTCGAGCCGCACAAGATCGCCGGGGCGCCGTACACCGCCCCCAACTGGCGCCTCTTCGGGCACCCCATGTTCGACGAGCTCGTCCTCTCCGCTGCGCAGGAAACGCAGCTGCAGTTTTGGCAGCCCACCGTTGATCTTCTGACGATGGACTTCTACGACTACTACCCGACGGAGCACGAGGCGGACACGTTTGCGGTGCCTCCACAGTGCACAGCGGTGCTTCGTCACGACACGGCGAGTGGTGACGACACGACTGGCCGGCGTGCGCACGACGCCGCACCGCAGCTGCAGCTCGCCACTCTGCAGCGCTTCCTGCTACAGTGGAATTTGTTGCGTAACGTGTCTGTCGCAAGTATATCAGGGGAGGGAAGTGCGCGCACAACGCTTGCGCACTAATATGCTTTAGCGTAGGGCGTCAATGCTGTGCATTTTGTACTGTTTTTTTTTTCTCCACTACTGTTTTATTCAATTTATTATTCAGGGTGTGGCGCGTTATGTAGTTTTATCTTCTTCTCTCTGGTTTATTCACCTAGCTGTTTGTCAGGTGACTGCTTTCTCTATAGAGGGAAAACAAAAATCCCCTGTTAATCTCGCGTCAATATTTCGAGCCCGTTTCTGTCTGCAGCCGAAGCGGCATCTCGTCATGGATGGAGAAACTGCTTCGCAGTGGGGAGAAAAGGTTGTCGAACACGCAGCTCTGTTGGCTGCCTTTTTTGTTTTCTTCTGCCAGTCAGCCGCAGACACCCGTGGATAGGAAGCGGCTTGAACCTTTGACCTCTCCTCTCTCCCAAGGGTCCAAGGCGAAGGTGTTAAGCATCGATCTTCGCTGTTTGTGCTCAAATCCATGTTTTGTGGCCCGCAACACATTTTTTTTTTCTCTCTCTCTCTTCCTCTCCCTCTCCTTCTCCTCTTGACTCACCACCACGCGTTTTTCTTTTCACGCGTCCCTTTACAAGTGTGGGAATGTAGTACAACTTTCGACTGTACACTCCTACCTTTATTGCCACCGAAGCAATGCAGCGCTTCGCCACATCTGCAAAAGATGCCGTCACAGCCGACTGCGTGCATGTGCAGCACACCGTTGCGGTTCACTGTGCGTGCAAGGATAAGAGCTTCCCCACAGAGCCGCTTCCCCTTGGTCCAATTGAAGATCTCATTGCCCCGATGATTCCCATCGCCGTATCCTTTGTGTACCGCTATTCTGGTCCGATGGAGGTGTCCTCCGCTTTCGTTTCGGCCGATCTTGTGCGGCAAGCGATGGCTCATGTGTTGAGCTTTTATCCTCCCCTCTCCGGACGACTGGTCCTGCTACCCAACGGCGATCGAAAGGTTGACAGGTTGGACAGTGGCGCGCTGTTCGTAGAAGCGACATGCACTGCGTCCCTGCGCGAGTTACACGAAGCCCGCGCCGGTGGCAGTGAAAAGGCAGATGCGCGTTTTCGCGATGTTCTCTCGATGTTCGACTTACCAGCCGGGTCGAACGCACTCTTCGCCTCCTTCAGCCCAGCAATCCATCACGTTGTGCAAGACCCTCTCTTCACCCTTCAGCACACCCGCTTCGCGTGCGGCAGCGTGGCACTGGGTGTGCGCATCTCCCACGCGCTAACCGACGCGCAGGGGTTTTTCCAAGTGATGCAGCATCTCATGGAGCTGTATGACCAGCTGCAGCGCGGGGAAGCAAGACTCACACTGCGGAGGCCACCGCGGTGGCGCTCGTATAAGTCAACCTTTCGAGCCGAGGCAACACCGGCAGAGGTGGCAGAAGCGCTCGCGTACGTTCCGGCTGCGTTGTACGTTGAGGAACCGCCTGTGAAAGGCACAACAACGGCGGCGGCGGTGGCGGCATCGCCTGCTCTCCCTCTCCCTCTCCCTTCTCCGCCTGAGGTTGTAGGGCGGGAGCTCTACTTCTCTACTGACGAGCTGGAGGAGTTGAAGCGCCGCGCCACGCCGTCATCGAATAGGAATGGATGGGTATCCACTTTTGAAGCGCTCAGCGCCTTTTTGTGGCAATGTGTGTACAGAGCCCGTTGCGCGGTGTGTGCGTGTGACAGTCGCATGGCACACGACACGTCCACGTGGCCAGTGACCGACTATCTCACGTCCATTAACCTACGCGATCGCTTTTTGGATCCCTCGACAGGGGAGGCAGCGGACTACTTCCCCGTTGGCTGCTTCGCTCCTGTTACGAAGGTACGCCCCAAGGTGTTGCGTGACGGTCCACTACACGAGCTCGCGGCTGCGGTGCACGCGATGTTGCGCTCTCCGGAGTTGTCTCCAAACGAGGTGCAGCGCACGGTCCGTTGGATCGCCGCGCAGCCGGATCGCTCGCGCATTCGCAACCGCTTCGCCGCGGGCGGCTTCATGCTCAGTGCGTGGAATAAGTTCGACATCTACGGCTCTACCGCGTGTGCCGGGACACAGCCTGTTTTGGTCAGCACGCCTTTTACGTGCATCTCGCTCCTTGACGTGCTTGGATACATCCTTCCACGTCCGCCCTCCTTTGCTGACCCCGCTATTTCTCCAGCTGCCACGGATGACGGTGACAGTGGAAAGCTTCGTTCGACTGCAAGCGATGGTGTGGTGATCTACCTGGCCGTGGATGCGTCTCTGTGGGAAGCGTTGAGCTCTCGAGAATTACTCGGGAGTCACCTGCATTAGCTTTCCGTAGCCGCACAGCTGACACGTAAAATTGACTTCTGTTGTTGTCGTTGTTTGGGTGCGGTGTACGCTAACTGTGCCGTGCAACCGCTTTTCTCTCTTCCCCTTTTCGGCCAGCCAGCGTATGACCCGTTGTGTCCGACACACACGGCGGATCGAACTGCTTCCGGACCACGTTTTTTTTCTTTCTTTCTCCACGGGTCTTTGCCTCACAACATTCGCGTTCCTGTCTTTCTGCATCGTTGCCGCTTCTCTTGCGTTGTCGCGACGAATAACGATGCAACATCCTCCTCCCCCTCCTCCTTTTTTCTTGTTTGCGAACGAAGAAATGGCCACCAAGGGTATTTAGATGCCCATTCACGTATCTGTCAATCGATGCGGCGCGGCTGCTCCTCCAATCACGCTCACGTCCTTCACTTTTCGCTTTTCCCTCTTCTCTCACCTACACCTCTCGCCTCTCTCGTTTAACGCCTCTTCGTTTCTTATATTCCTGCACACACAACTGTGCTTCTTCCGCTGCGCACTCACTGCAGTTTCCTTTCTCTCCGCTTCTCCACGTTGTTTCTTTCGCCAGCTCTTTCTCGAGGACTACGGTGTTTTTGCCTTCCTGTTTTTTTCCCCCAGCTAACCGAGAAGTCTCTCACACGTATACTTCGTCATCTTCCTCTATTTGTATATCATTTAGTTACGCCGTCACCCCTACAGACACACGCGCCTCCTCTGCGCAAAAGATGTCCTCCTACCTGCAGACGTACAAGTACTACAAGGAGAAGAAGATGGGCATCATCCTCGCCCCCTTCTCCGGTGGCCAGCCCAAGAGCGGGGTGGAGCTTGGCCCGGACTATCTGGTAAAGCACGGCATCCAAGCGGACATGGAGAAGCTTGGCTGGAAGACGACCATCGAGCAGCCGCTGGACGGCAAGGCGGTCGAGGCACGCAAGGGACGCGAGAAGGACGACAACGTGGGCCACATCCAGCGTCCGCGCCTGACCGGCGAGTGCACACAGAAGGTGTTCGAGTGTGTGCGGAAGGTGGCCGAGCAGGGCCGCTTCCCCCTCACCCTCGGCGGTGACCACTCCATCGCCATCGGCACCGTCGCCGGCGTCCTCACGGCGCACCCGAACGCGGGTCTCATTTGGGTAGACGCGCACGCCGACATCAACACCATGTCCGGCACCCTCTCCGGCAACCTCCACGGCTGCCCCGTGTCGATCCTAATGGGACTCGACCGCGCGAACATCCCGGAGAGCTTTGCGTGGGTGCCACAGGTGCTGAAGCCGCACAAGATAGCCTACATTGGTCTGCGCGAGGTGGACGAGGCGGAGAAGAAGATTCTGCACGACCTCGACATTGCCGCCTTCAGCATGCACCACATCGATCGCTACGGAATGGAGCGAGTCGTGCGCATGGCGATGGACGCCGTCTCGCCCCTCGGGACGGAGCCGGTCATGGTGTCGTATGATGTGGATGCCATCGACCCCCTTTACGTGCCGGCGACGGGCACCCCCGTGCGCGGCGGTCTGTCCTTCCGCGAGGCGCTCTACCTGTGCGAGCGCGTCGCCGACAGCGGTCGCCTCGTGGCCCTTGATGTGGTGGAGTGCAACCCGCTGCTGGCCACGACAGATGCGCACATGAACGACACAATCTCTGCGGGCTGCGCCGTGGCACGCTGCATGATGGGGGAAACCTTGCTCTACCCCGCCAAGAGCTCGCGGCTGTGACCACGCTTCTTCTTTTCCGTTACACATCCTCCCCTTTTGTGGGAGTTGGTGTTTTGTTTGTTTCCTCTCCCCTCCCCCCTTCCATTCGGAGTACATAGATTGTTCCATCGCAGCCCTGAAAAGGCAGCGGAAGCCGAAAGAACAGAGAGGGAAAGAAAAAATCTTTGCCCATTTTTTATTTTGGCGAAGTGCGCGTGCAGCTACTCTTATTTGCTTCGCTGATACTCTTTTCGCTTAGCGTAGGTGCAGCATGTCTGTCATTTCTTTTTTTTTCCTTCTGTTGTTGCTCCCCTTATTGATCTATTTCCATTCCCCGCCACGCCGCTGTGTGATTGACGCCGTCTCCTTGGTTTCAAGGAGTGTGTGACGTGCTTACCCGACGTCCCTACGTGTGTGTGTGTGTGTGTGTGTGCGAGAAGAAAAGAATCTTTTCTTTCTTTTTTACTTTTTTTCCTCTCCCCCTATCTGTGGGTTTGTGTTGTGCGTGCGGCTTCGTGCTGGTTTCCAAACTTCAAGGAAATGGCTAGAGCAAGGCGGCAGCGAAGATGTTTTCGCCCGACACATCTTAGCAAAAGAGCACTAAAATCTCTTTTCCGTCTTGGCTGCGCGCCTTCTCTGCCGGCCCGCACAAATGAACAATCCATCAGTGAAGGAGAAGAAGCAGCATCGACAACAACACAGGGAAAAGGAAAGGAAGGAGGGCTCTGTGTTTGTGCTCGGCCTTGTAAACGTACAGACGTGTGTGCAGATCACGCTCTGCAAGCTCATCAAGATGCTCGCGGCTCCTTTTTTTTTTTTCATTTTACTTGCTTCTTTTTTTCTCGTGCCGCTGTTCTGTGCTCATTACACCTCTCTCTCTCCGTCTCTTTTCATTCCCGATCCTTGTGTGCTGCGGTCCCATGATCGATGAATGAGCCAACCACAGTCGATGGCACAAGTCAGCGCTGAGCACCCCTTTCCTGTCTTCGTCGTGTTCATCATGTCCTTTTTATTGTTATCAGTATTATTGTTCTTTCTCACCACGAAGTCGTTCACTGTCGTCGCGACGGCCTTCCGACTACAACCCAGCTGTTGCGGATGTACGGAAACGGCGAAAAGCAGTGTCCTGACTTTGGCACGCCCTCCTCTTTTTCCCCTGTTTTTCTTTCTTTTGCCATTGTAATAATTTCCCCGCTCCTCGCCTACTTTTAAAAAGGGCAGTCAGCGATGAAAGCGAACTCTTTTTCTTTGTGTGTGTGTGTGTTCTGACTCTCTCTATATATATCTGTATTAAAACTAAGAGACGTTGTTTTGTCACATGTCTTAGTCTCAAGGGGAGACGCGTTTACGCACATTTTTTTTTTTAAACGGAGAAAACCAAACCGTTGCCTGATCTATCAATGCGAGTGTGTCCATCTGATTTTTTTTTTTTCTCCGCTCCGTTTGCGATACGTTGTACATTTTTTGTGTGTGACTTTGTCGTCGACGATAAACGTAAAAGAACTGTTTTCCTGGTATGATTCACCACCACCACCCCTTCGTTCCACAGCAAGCGAGCCCACGGCGGCATTTCCCTTGATTCCACTGTGTGTTGAACACGCTTTTTTTTGGCTTGAAAAGCCGGTCTTCTTCTCCTGCTCCTCCCTTTCTCCGTCCGATCGTGTTTCCCGTTCGTTGTTGCGTGTTGAGGTGTGTCATGAAAAGGATGTTCTTGTAGCACAACGACGAGCGAGGGCTGCTTTGGAAAGCAGAACGAGGAGACATAACAATAGTAATAATAAGGGAGGAAAACAGAAACACGTTGTTACGCGGTAAGACAAGGGAAACAGGCTTCAAAACAACGGCAATAATAAGGGGAAAAAAAAAGAAACGCCGTCTTTTTGTTTTGTCGCTAGAGTGCTTCGCCGTGGGCAATGAATCACGTCATTTTATTCGGTGCAGAAAAAACGCAGCCGTTATTATTATTATTACTCTCTTTTCATGTAATATATATATATATATATATATATATATATATATATATATATACACCCCGTTGTTGTTTTTTGCACTTGCGCGCTACATTATACGTAAAGGAAACATATGAACTTTTCGTGCATGCGTGTGTGTGTGTAGAGGCATGACGAAGAACACAATGAGCTTGCGGGGCCCTGCACCAAAAGTGGTAGCGAGAGCGGGGAGGGAAATCCACGTCTACTGCTATTGCTCTTTCGAAAGAAACAGCACGAAACAAAACAGATATCGATGAGCGTTGGATCGATCAGCGCATACAGCAAGCGCCGCTGAACCCGTACCGGCTGCTTTATTCTCTATTAAGTTTCACTCGCATATGTTTTTCCCTTTTTTCCTCCTGTTTCTTGATGCTCACCTCATCCTTCGCCCAATTACAGAAACGATTCGATCCTCCTTTGCTCATAAAGCGCACCGTTTGGCACTGATCGAAAGCGACACATCATTATAAAACGGCGGTACATACCCTCCAAAAGCATCCACGGAGATCGGTACCTCAGGACTACAATTTTTTTTCTAGTACTTACCCACCCTTTTCCAACCCGTGAGGAAGCAGAGCTGCTGCACACTCAAGCATCGATCACCTTCGCAAACGGCAGCAACATGTCCAACACAAGCAACTCCAGTCGCCAACCGGTTGACTATTCCAATGCGCAGATTGAGTACGGGGCAGCGGTCAGCAATGTGAGCAGCGTCGCCAAAGGTGAGGAAGACCAGGCGCAGCAACTGCCTACCACGGCCGTCGCTGCCCACGACAGCGACAATCAGCGCAGACTGGCAAAGCTGTGGAAGCGCCGCGAGCAGTATCGAGTTGCGTCCTTGGTGCTGGTGGTCGTTGCCTTGGTCACTGCGCTCGCCTCCATCGCGATCGTAGTCGTGGTTTTCAACGACTGCAATCACTTTCATTACCCCGGATCGGACAGCCAGGCGTTGTACGTGCTGGTTTCGTTTCTCCTCTACATCGTCGTTTTGGTTGAGAGTGTCTTGAGCGTCATTGCTACGATTGTGCTTCTCGTTTGCCTCTGCCGACGTCCCGAGAGCGTTCTGCTGCGTGCGCCTTTCGACCACGGCAAGTTTGTGTGCCTGTGCATCTTTCTCGTTTTGTGGCTGCTCTTCGCGGGTTACTCGTTTGCGGTGCCCATCATCCTGGAGGCGCTGGAGCAGTACCCGAAGGAGCCGGTGGCGCTGTGCGTTGTGCCTGGCGTCCGTGTCGTTGCGCTTCTGGCTCTGGTGTGCGTCGTGGGCGCCAACCGGACGTTACGCCGATGCGTGTGTCCGCTGCTGAGGTGTGCACTTGTACGTCCATGTAATGAGTGTTTGATGGCTGCTTTTTCTGTTTTTACTCGCTTCGTGACTGCACCTGACCATCTGACACCTTTCTACCTTTGCAGTGATAACAAGCGGTGGAAAGAGGCTGTGCGGCAGAGCACTTTGTACTGCTGTTTCTTGGCGCTCTGACAGGTCAGATGCAGATTTGCATACCTTTCTCTTCGTTTTGAACTTCCCCGCGTGTGTTTCTCTTTGCTGTTCTTTTGTTTATTTATTTATTCAGGCTTTGGCTTTCGTAACTTCCTTTTGTCCCCCTTCTCCTTTTCCACTGCGCGTGTATTTCTTTCTTTTTATTCTCTGGCTTTCGTTTCCTCCTTCCCTTCCCTTTGCTGTTCTCTCGTAGCGTTGCTGTTCGAAGTGCACGGCGATTTTCAAACATGAAAGGGAAACAGGTCTTTTTTTTCTCTTGCACAGCTCGCTCGGAGTTCTGATGAGTTCCACTTTCTTTCTTGTTTCCTGGTACACTTGAAGGTTTCTTCAAAGAAGCGCGCACCTAATTCGTGTCATTAAGAAAAACAACAGAAAGCAAATTTTGTGCGACATTCCGTCAGCGGCTACATGTGCATTCGCTTCTTCCGTCGAAGGCACCGCAGCGGGGGAGCCATCTGCTGTGGATTGGCTCTCTTCGCAGAGATCTTAGCAATGGCCGTTGTTTTTTGCGAGCGCTTGGGTGGTTTCCTTCCCCGCGCGCCCGGCATGTTCTGCGGCATTCCCTGCCTCTTCCCCGCCTCCTCCCTGGCCAGCGCGCGCTTCGCGGCGGTGTTTTTTCTGGCGCCTGGCCCCTCCCGTGGCGCCGAGGGGGGCCGGGCGGCGCGCCAGAGAAGCCCCCGCGGCCGCAACCCCAAGCAAAACGAAAGAGAAAAGGAAAGCGCAAAGACGGAAGTGGAGAAAGCAAAGCCAACATACCCAACTCACACGCGCCACGCGCGACTTACCATATGCGTATCGCAATGCGCCGAACGCGGGCAGCCACTGAAGAAGAAAAACGCTTCCTTATCCCGCGCCCGCTTTCACCTGGAGCAGCACCGTTGTGCGTTCTGTGTATTTTCTTTTTCCCCTCCTTTCCGTTAGTTAATCGAAGCATAAAGACAAAGCTACATTAATTCTCGTGTGAAAAAAACAACAACGTTTTCGTCGCCTTCCCTCCTGCGCAACAAGCTTTATACGTAGTGGAATAATAAAAAGAGGAGCAGCAATCAAGGCACAGGTTTTACGAAGCGAAAAGCGGCAAAAAAAAGGAGAACGAATAAAAGAAAGAGAAAAAAGAAAGCAAGAAACTGTCATCCGCTAAGCGCACGCAATGGATAAAGCGACGATCGTGCACGTCTCCCTTCAGTGGCAGGGACGTAGTGAAGCACAGCAGCAAAAAACGAAACACCCTAAATCATCTGCTTCTCGCGCATCCACTGCTTCAGCGCGAGATATTCCTGCAGGCGGCAGTTGCCGTAGTAGATGTAATCCAAGCCGCTGCTGCCTTTAGCGAACAAGTCATCGTCGCTCGCGTTGTTGGTGCACTCGTCCGGGTTCGCGCACATGACGAAGGACCACAAGGACCAGTTCAGGTGCGAGCACAACATGCCAAGGAAGACCTCGGTCAGCTGCTCGAGCGTGACGGGCGCGGCGGATCTGTTCGCCGCCGTTGGGGCAGCTCCGGCGTTGAAGTACGTCTGCAGTGCTTGGAGGCAAATGTGGCCCAGGTGCGGCCGCGCGTCCGCGGCATCTTCCCTCACCCCTGGCGCGCCGCTGCTCTGCCGCCAGGTGTGGTAGATCAGCTCCTGCGCGCGGGGGTACGTCATCGGCAGGCCCTTCCATTTCTCCTCGTACTCCTTGGGAGGAAAGACGTAGAGGTATTTGATGAAGCCCGGCTCGCCCTCGCCGGTGCCGCGGGAGTAGTCGTAGTCCAGCTCGCAAATCGTGTTGCCCAGGTCGAAGCAGCGGTAGTTCACGTCCGAGTACTCAAAGTCGATGAAGATGATGCCCTTCATGTCCACCAGGTTTCGGTGGTGGCCCCGCTTCGTCAAGAACTTGCGGCTGAAGGCGGTGGACTTGTCAGACGTGACCGACGTCACCTCATCGTCCTCGTCGTCGGCCGTCAGCACCTTAGCGGGGCTGCGCAGCGGCGCGGGCACCTTGCGCCACGCCAGCAAAATGTTGCCGGGGTTCAAGTCGTTGTGCGAGAACACGAGCGGCACGGCGCGCTTGCGCAGCAGCTCGCGCAGCAGCATTACCTCCGCACTGATAAACGACACGAAGGAGGCGCGGTAGCTCTCCTTGATCAGGTTGTTCGTGAGGCGGAGAAAACGCATGCACGTGCGCTCGAAGGACGACGGGCACAGGTCCTCCATCAGCTTGTTGCTGGTGTCATCGGTGTAGTAGCTGCTGGTCCTCTTCGCCAGCACCACCTTCTTCAGGGACTCCGCGAACACCTCGCAGTACTCCTCGGGGGTCCCGTAATGGGGCTCCTCGGCGCCCAGGTGCAACACGCTGCGGATCTTCGCGTTGTTCACGTTCTCGGGCAGGAACGCCGCGTAGGGGAGGCGGTGCATCTCGTGCACCAGACTCCACACCTCCGACAGCAAGGTCGGACTGCTGAGCAGCATGTCGGTCGAGCAGGTCGCGACGTCGTCCATGAACTCCTCCACGCGGCCCCACTTGAAGGAGTGCAGCACCGCCGGGCTGAGCTTTGCCTCGCTCATCTCCTTCATGGCCATCACATCGCGGACGCGGTCGATCGCCTCGCTGTCGCCGCTGCCGTATACACGCAGCAAAATGGTCTTGTCAGGGAAGTCGGGGTGCGCGAGACGGTACACGTGGTTGCTGTTGCCGCCCGACAGCTTCTCCACGTCCATCTCCCCCAGCAGCAGCAGCGACGCCTCCTTCGCGCTGGTGGCGACGTTCATGCTGAGCGGACGCTCCGCCGCAGCGCCACCGTCGAACGGCGCCGGCGTTGCCGCCCGTCCGGCAAAGAAGGCCTGGGGATCAAAGAGGTGCAGGAGGGGCATCCAGTCGCCCACGTGCGACATGTTCTTCTCGTGCTTCGCATCGACTGCCACCGGTTTGTGGCGCTGCTGCCGCGACCCTTGCGTCTTCTGCAGGGCCTTCTTGTGCAACGAGCGGCACAGCCGGTAAATGAGGTCACGCGTCTCGGCACTCTCCATCTTTTCGCGAAAGTCGGACGCCACGTCGTTGGTGCTGTTGTGGGCGGACAGCGAGAAGTCGGATTCGAACGAGTCGTCCGACGCCACCGAGGCGGGTGAGCTTTGCGTCGCTTCGTTTTTGACGGAGCGGACGTACTCGTAGAGCGCCGACCGCGGTGTCTCGTGCGTGGAAAGTGTGATGATCTGCCGCACATCCATGCTGCGGTACATCTTCTCCGCGTCAATTTGATTCATTTTCTCTTGCTATTCTTTTTGTGGTTGTGTGTGGGTGAGAAAAACAGAAAACGAAGTGCAGAGGTGGAGGTTTAACGAGCGAATAGAATAATACCAGAGAAAGAGAAAAAAAAAAGGGTGAGTGGAACCGACGAATTGTCCTCTTAAAGTCAACAACGCTAGCGGGGTTGGAGGAGGAGGGGGAGATCGGTGGAGCGTACTACTTTTAGATAACTGTATTGAAGAGGAGACAACAACAGTAAACACACAAAAGGGAAGTTGGCGAATCAGAGAAGAAGACAGAAAGGGGCTAAGATGAGGTACAACGCTGTAGAAAAAAGCAAAAAAGGTACTAATACGCCGATAACGTTCAAGATTTGTGGAGCTAAATGTAACAACCCTGCGCCAAGAGAAGGTGACCATGAAAAGAAAACGAAGAAGAGGGGGGGGAGGGGTGAAAGGAAGAGGAGTCCATCGTTTATATATATATATATATATATATATATATATGTATATGTATATTTAAACACAAGAACATGTGATCGAAAGAGACCGCACAGCCCAGTAAGTCCCTTCTCTGCCAAATAGTTCAAGTGCGCTCACGCCAACCTGTGATACAACTGCACAAGACATCAAGAGCAGACGTGAGGAAGCGTCTTTTTCTTTGGTACCACAAAGTAAAACAAATCAAACCTAATGCAGTCAATATCTGTGTTCCAATAATTCTGCTGATATATATGCTTTACTTTCCTCGCTGATTCGTAGTTTTTCCGATCCGCGTTCAAGAAAAAAACAGTAAATGAAGCAACGGAGAAACAGCAAAAAAAGTTTTCTGTGAGGTCAAGTGCTACACTCAGTAAACGGCTCCGACAAGATAAGGAGTAACAAAAACCGGTGTGGAAACCTAAGCATCCGGTACATCTTCGAACAGGAGGAAACGTCTTCCTGCGGCGTACAACACAAGCTACAGTACCAACACAAAAGTGAAGAAAAACAACGAACCGTATTTGTAGCTGTCGGTGTGTTGCGCGTGTAAACAAAAAGAGAGAGTTATTTGTGCGTCAGAATGGTAGCTCATCCATTTCTTTTTAATCGGTGTAGAGCACCGCGAGTAGTTCCTCCGTTGTATCCGTTTTTATTTTTTCCTGACGCCGGAGACGGATCTCAATTAAAAGATATATATATATATAAGGAGAAACCTGCTCACGGTGCGCATAGAAATGCGGGGTAGGGGAAAGAAGCTTACCGCGCGCACATTCGTGTGCGTGTAACGCGCGGTTGCACTCCTGGTCCCCTTCTTTACCGCCACTTTATGTACCACGGAGCTTTAATAAAAGTAGAATAAAGAACGAAGAATGTACGCTAGCTGAGAAGAAAACGAAGTAGAGGAAAAAAGAGAAGTAAAGAAGAAGAAAGTGCGGGGCGGCTCCCCAGCGAAACATCCGCATGTGTTGTCCAAATATTGAAATTAAAAAAAAAGGAAGCACCTTGAAAGTGCAGATCAACGAAAACAAAGGTGGAAAAGGGGGGCAAATAATAAGGGTGCGGAAGCCAAAACGTCCGCGTTACAAACAGCCAGAACCAAAAAGATGAAAATGAAGAACGGAACGAGGCGTACTCGCAGCATTATTTCGACGCGGCAAAGCTCTTGTTTTCTTCCCTGTTGGTAGTCCAGCCCCAACCAGCAAGTGGCACCAAGACCAAGAGAAGAAAAAAGACTTAAAAGCAAAGAAAGCGTCATGTGGGAAGGCAATCCGCCTCGCACATCATTAGTAGAAAAAAAGCCTCAGCCTCTCACAGTTTTCCCTTTTCAATATGATATTTCCTCTCCGCGCCTATACAGACTCGTTTCCCTTCTCCGGGAGGCACCTTTCTTTCGAGTCTGATCTACAAGGTGTTCGGCTCTGCCTTGTCCAGCAGCGACGAACGCATGTCGCGATTCATAATGCCACCAAAGCCAAAAGCAGGGATAATGCGGCCCATGCGCAACAGCGTGGAGGAAATGTACGTCTTCCGCAGGCTCTCCGTCAAGTCCTTCATGTTAAAGTTGGGGTAGGCCTGACGGTACCGGATGGCCGTGATGTGCAAGAGCGTTGTGACTAACTGCAGGAGGGCCGGTGTGATAATCTGCGCCGTATCGACGCACGAAATCAGCAGTCGCGTCTTACCTTGGTTCTCCGGTAGCACGGCATCCGGCGCCTGCGGGAGGTACCTCTGGTGGTAGGCGTAGCCGGAGATCCACGCCCCGACCATCGGCGCCAGTGTAAAGGCACCGACACAGGTCAGCGTGTCGCGGCCGCAGAACAGTGCACGGGTCAAAAATGGGACCGGCCTCGTGGCGTTGGACAGATCCTTCGCACCCACCGGGGGCAGTGCACGGAGAATCAGGCTATCTTTCCAAATCGAAAACACGGTGTTCGCGACACCGCTGGAGATACCGGCGGCGAGGTTCGCCTCCTTCTCCATCCCGTGCGATTCGAAGTAGCTCTTCGTCAAGTTCGAGCTGATATACGTGAAGGCGTACGTCGTGGCACACGCGCGGTACACCACGCTGCATTTGTTCTCCGCGCACGGCAGGAAGAACTTATGCGGCCGCAGCACCACGGTCTTGGCGCCTTTCCACATCTCCTTTATGCTACTGTCCGTCACACGAGCCACGCGAGCCATAATACTGTAGTCGATGATGGAGATGGGCACGGCGGCGGTCAGTGCGACAGCGACGGAGGTAATGCAGTCCGCAGCGACTGTAGCAGCCGTGAAGTTCTTGACCTTGTGAAGGGGTGTCGTCTGCAGTGCCTTGCGGAGCTCCGCCTCCGTCACCTGGGGTGCATTCGTCGCCAAGGGGGTGTCTAACATTTTCCTTTCTTTCGCTTTGAAGAACGGGTAGGAGTGTATGTATGGGGGGGGGGGGAGTGAATATAGGACGGTGCGTAGGTGTATGTAGTGATGTGCACTGCCTCTCGAACAAAGAACAAAAACTGAGAGAGAAGAACAAAAAAGGAAAGTGAGAAAAAGGAAAAAGGAGAAGCGTGGGATCCGTATTATCGTTTCTCAGCAAAAGGAGTCCCATACATCGTCATCTTTACATGAACCGTCATAGCGTCGTTGTCGCTTCATCTGTCTTTCTCATTTTGTGTCCAAATCCACGTTGTCGCTCGTGTGCTGTCTCCCATGAAGCAAAGAGCGTGGACGGCGTAGCATTTGTGTGTGTGGGTGGGGGGGGGGGCAGAGGTGCGTCAAGGTGCAATCGCCTGCTTGCGAGAACGATGAGAAGGGGGAAAGAGGGCTTCGTGCTATCCTCAAAGAGCCGAAACAGGCGCAGGAGACCGCTGCCCTGCTGCGCCGCTCAAATCCTCCGAGTGGCAATCGGTGGTGGTCGGGGTCGCGGCTCCTGCGCAGTTCAGCGCCGTCGCATCCACATTTGTAAGCGGCGTCGCGGCAGCCGTTGCAGTTGTCGGCTGCCCTCGGTGCGGTGCATCCCATCCGGAGACGGAAGCACTTGGCGCCGCAAGGAGCAACCCCAGCAACTCCGCTTGCCGGGCAACGAGCGCTTTCCCTTCGTAGGACAGCCGATCAAAAATAAGCGCCATCGAAACGGCGCGCCGCGCTGCACTGCCGTAGCGGCGCGACGGCGTTGGCGCGGCCGGCGGGGTGGGTGTGTCGCGTGCGCGGGAGCTCGACCAGCTCCACAAATCACGTCGTGGAGACGACATGGCGGCGAGTGTTGTCGGCCCGGCGCGAGGGGAGGGTGTTTCTGCAGCGCAGATGTTTGCATGCACGTAATTGTGCTGCGAATGGGAGACAGAACGCATTGACGGAAGTGCAGCTGCGCCTGGTGCCGCCGGACTGGTTGCGCGGGACAGCAGCCGCTGCGGTTTTTGTGCGGTGCATCGATACTTCGCCACGGTAGACCTCGTAAAGCAGAAGCGCTGATAGGGAGTGAGAGCTGAGGTAGCAGACAGCGTCGATGTGGAAGTGCAAGCCTGCGCCGCCTTTTTCGGCGGCAGCGGTGACGCTGACAGGTCCGAAGGCGTTTGCGGAACGCAGCTGACCAACGGTGCGTCCTCTTCGCTCACCCGTTCTTCGACCACAGCACACCTCCAGCCCTCCGCAGAGCACGAAATTGCTAGCATCGAAAGTCGCTCCTCGCGTTCCACCCGGAGTCGCTCTCGCTCTTCCGCTTGGAGAAGAAGCGCTGCGAGATCGCGCCAGCCAAACACGCACACATCCATGAGCGCGGGCGAGACGCGGAGGCACTGTTCACCGGTGCGCGGCGGAACAGGAGGAAGAGACGCGTCACCTCTGTTCATTGCGCCGCCTTGTTTGATAACGTGTTCACCGATAACAACGTGGCTGTGAACAACTTTCATGTACTTTTACCGCAAAAATGAAAGAATCATTCTGGACGATTTCAGCTTGAAGAAGGAGGGAAAAAGGGAAAGGGGAGAAGGAAAGAGGTAAAGTGCAATAGGTGGAAGATGACAACCACTTCCATCCGCGTCAAGGTTCAGGCCAGGTGAAGCAGATTATCGAACCCCCAAACACTGGTGAGTACGCGCGAGAGATGATCAGATAGTTTGCTTCATTCGTTGTCAAAGCGCATCGAAAAGTAACAAAGCGGCAGACTTCCTTTCCAATCCGCCGCAAAGAGCGGGGCGGCGCCGGCGCGGGTGGGCGGGACAGGAAAGGAAGAAAGACACGAAAGCGGAAAGCGGTCGGAAAAGACAAAAAAGAAAAGAAAAGAAACACAAGAATTGTTAAACCGGTTCGCCGCAGCCATTCCATCAGCCGGGGCGTTCCTCGCTCCGGCATAACAGCAACAGAGTGCAGACATGTTCACGGAAAAAAGGAGGGAGTGCACGCACCGTCTCAGCCAAGGCACAAGGAGAAACGCCTCCGCCGAGCAAAGCGGCTCCGCTATTCCGCACAGCCAGCCCGAAAAGGAGCGTTTCCTTCCTTTTTCGCTAACAGGACTATCCACGCAGCTTCTTGCGAATCAGCCGGCGCAACTCCTGCACATGGCGCATCATATCCGCCCTCTCCGCGGCGTACGCGTGGAGCTGCGACAGGTGTGCCTCCATCGCCGCCTCCGCCTCTCGCGTCTGCTGCTCCGTCGCCTCATCAGACATCAGCTTGTGGTGCACCATCTCCCGCATGCGTCCAATCCGCAGTTCCACCTCCGCCGCCTCCAGCTCGTGCTGGCCCTCCAACTCACGCAGCTGCTGCTCGGCGGCTGCCAGCTCCCGCCTACCCTCCCGCACCTCCTTCTCCAACCCGGCCGTCTGCCCGTCATGGGCCGCGTGAAGGGCGTTGCTGTACAGCTGCAACAGCGTCGCAGTCGGTGCGGTGTCCAGCGGAGTAGGCGTCGCCCCCGCAGCAGCAGCGGCAGCGCGCACAAAGCGACGCACCGGTGGTCGGCTCATGTGATCGAAGAGGAGGCGGCGTGCGGCAGCCATGTCGTGCAGCTGGGGGGTGAAGTCACGCTTCAAAAGGCGATGAAGCACCTCTGCCTTGTCCGACGGCGTCAGCCACTCCTCCTTCACGTATGCCGGCGTCGCGTCGGTCTGCGCCGCTGCCGCCCACAGCGACTCAAAAGCGGCGAGAGTCTCGGCCACGTTGCCGTCGCTCTGCACTCCGTGCGCACGGCGTTGCCGCTCTGCCGCCAGCCGATCTTGGGCGTGGCGCTGCAGCTCCTCCGCACGCTCAACAAGCTGCTCCGTCGTCGGT